CACTTTCCTACTTACGCCCACCTAGTACTTCTACGCCCACCTAGTACTTCTACGCCCACCTTTTCTACTTCTCCCCGACCGAGTACTCCCCCCGACGACCGACTCACATTCTGCGCTCACCCTGAAGCAGCACTTTGTGAATTGGCACACACCTTTTCTTACTCGTCTCACCTTCTCTACTTACGTTCACCTCTTTCTAGCACTTTGTGAATTGACGTTCACCCAGAAGTAGCACTTCTTTTTACGCCCACCTACTACTAACACTTTGTGAACAAACGTTCACCCTGTACTACTTACGCCCACTGAGTACTAGCACTTTGTGAATAGACGTTAACCCGGTGCTACCACTTTATGAATCGACGTCTACTTAGTACTTCCTACTTCCTTTTATCGCCACGTGACTTCGTCCTTATCTTCACGTGACCTCGTACTTCGTCACGTGACTTTTGACCCCCCCCCTCTTATTCTTTTTTTCTACTCCCCCCTCTTTATTCTCTTCTCCCCCCCCCTACTTCTTCCTAACCCTTTCTAACCACCACCAACCACCGCCCCACCCACCCTATTTCCTTCCCTCCTATTTATACTCCTACGCACATTCCTCGGACGCACCATTCCTCGGAAGTGCCATTCCTCGGTAGTCGCATTCCTCAGTAGTCGCATTCCTTAGAAGCGCCATCCATTCGATGTTACCCCTTTTTAAAACAAATGATCTATTCAATTGACGTTTCTCCCTCTTAATAATTCAATCCTTTTTATTTTAAACAGAAGATGTATCTCTCATCCTACTCTCTACTCTCTTCCCTCTCTCCTTTTTAAATCTTACTCTAATTTTTTTTACAAACAAAAAATCTATTCAATTCAATCTACTCTCTGAAAATAATTCAATATTTTATCTTAAACAAAAATATCTTTCGTTCTCTCTCTTCTTTCAAAACTCCCTCTTCTCCCTTTACTCTCTTCTTCTCACGAACAAATCATCTATCGAATTGAATCTACTCTCTTCAAAAATATCTCTCACTCTACTCTCCTCTTTTAAAGCTCCCTCTACTCTCTTCTTTTTACGAAGAAAAGATCTATTCAATTGACGTTACTTCAAAAATAATTCAATACTTTATTTTAAACAGAAGTATCTTTCGTTCTACTCTCTTCTCTCTTCTCACTCTACTCTCTCTTCTTTAAAACTCACGTTAATCTCTTCCTTTTAAATATCTCTGTAATCTCATCTTTTTACAATTAAACGATCTATTTAATTCAACTTTTCCTTTTCTCTTTTTTAAAATACTCTCTAATCTTTTTTATAAACAATTCATCAAATCGACGTTACTCCAAAATAATTCAATACTTTTTATTTTAAATAGAAGTATCTCTCATCCTACTCTCTCTCTTCTCACCCTACTCTCTTCTCACTCTACTCTCTTCTCTCTCTACTCTCTTCTTTTTAACTTTAATTTTCATCTAATTCTACTTTTAACAAAAAAATCTACTTTTAACAAAATTATTTTTAAATTCTTATTTTTTTTAGTCAATAAAAAATTAATTCTACTTCATTTGATCAATTGTTAAAAATATTTCTAAATTTTCATCTTACTAATGAAAAATCAATTCATTTTCATATAATTGAGTGCTAAATAATTTTTTTATATTTCATTTTCAATTTCACTTTTAATTTCATCTTCATTTTTAAAATCCTTTTAAATTTGATTTAATTCTACTTTTAATAAAAATATTTTTAAATTCTCATCTTTTTTTAGTTGATAAAAAATCAATTCTACTTCATTTGATCAAGTGTTAACAGTTTTTTTAGATTTCATTTTTATATTTTAATTTCATTTTCATTTTCATTTTAAATTTCATTTTTAACTTTAATTTTAACAAAAAATTCTAGTTTTAAGAAAATTATTTTTAAATTCTTATTAAGTCAATAAAAAATCGATTCTACTTCATATAATCAAGTGTGAACAAATTTTTCTAAATTTTCATCTTTAGTAATCAAAAGTCAATTTATTTTCATATAATCAACTGTGAACAATTTTTTTACATTTCATTTTAATTTCATTTTCATTTTCACTTTTATTTTTAAAATCCTTTTAAATTTGATTTAATTCTACTTTTAATAAAATTATCTCTAAATTCTCATCTCTTTTTAGTTGATAAAAAATCAATTCTACTTCATTTGATTAATTGTTAACAATTTTTTTAGATTTCATTTTTTATTTTTTTATTTTAATTTTTATTCTAATTTCATTTTAATTTTAAATTTCATCTAATTCTACTTTTAATAAAAATATTTCTAAATTCTCATCTTTACTATTGAAAAATCAATTCATTTTCATATAATCAAGTGTGAACAATTTTTTTTACATTTCATTTTAATTTCACTTTTAATTTCACTTTTAATTTCACTTTTATTTTTAAAATTCTTTTAAATTTGATTTAATTCTACTTTTAATAAAATTATCTCTAAATTCTCATCTCTTTTTAGTTGATAAAAAATCAATTCTACTTCATTTGATTAATTGTTAATTTTTTTACATTTCATTTTCAATTTCACTTTTAATTTCACTTTCATTTTTAAAACCCTTTTGAATTTGATTTAATTTTACTTTTAACAAAATTATTTCTAAATTCTCATATTTACTAATGAAAAATGAATTCTTTTTTACATAATCCAGTATTGATAAATTTTTTTACATTTCATTTTTTATTTTAATTTCATTTTTAATTTTAAATTTCATCTAATTTTAGTTTTAACAAAAAATTCTACTTCTAACAAAATTATTTCTAAATTCTCATTTCTAGTAGTAAAAATCAATTCATTTTTATATAATTGACTGCTAAATAATTTTTTTATATTTCATTTTTAAAATCCTTTTAAATTTCATTGAATTGTACTTCTAATAAAACCTACTCTAACCCTTCATTTCTCATCTTTACTAATGAAAAATCAATTCAATCTTACTTGATCTATTCAACAAATTTTTTTAGATTTCATTTTTATTTTTCATTTTCATTTTTAATTTTAAAATCTTTTTTTTTTAAATTAAAGATATTTTTAAATGGACATCTTTTTTTTAATAAAACCTACGTTATCCTTTCATTTCTTATATTTATCAATGAAAATTCAACTCAACTTGTCCAATTTATTCATTTTTTTTTATTTTTATTTTCATTTTTAAATTTCATTTTAAAATCTTTTCTTTTTTTTTTAAATTATTTTTAAATAAAAACATCTCTCAAATCAATCTCTTTAATTCAATTCAACCTTATTGAATGGCTTACTTTTATTAAATCACCACTAGCTTCGCCCTAACGACAGACTAATTTTTGCTAAACAGATGGATTCGTTTTTTTTCACGATAAGCAATCTCTAACTCTTTTTTTATCATAATCATAGACTCTTTTTCATAAACAATAGATTTCACTACTTTTTTTTCAATCATTTTACTGGTTTTTTACAACAAACTTGGATTTGACTATTTTTTTTTTAAAACAAGTAATAAATTTCACTAGTTTTTTTAAAATAATAAACAGATTTTATTTTTTTTTTAAATAAACAATAGATTTCACTAGTTTTTTTAAAACATGTAATAAATTTCACTATTTTTTTTGTAATTAGCGTAGAGTTAAATATTTTTTTTACAACAAACTTGGATTTGACTATTTTTTTTAAAGTAATCATAAAGTTTTCTCTTTTTTTTTAAATAATCATAAAGTTTATTACTTCTTTTATAATTATTCTAATCGTTTTTACAATAAACTTGGATTTCACTAGTTTTTTTCAATGATTTTAGAGTTTATTAATTTTTTTGAAATAAACAATTGATTTCACTAGTTCTTTTGTAATTAGCGTAGAGTTTACTGATTTTTTAAAAATAAACAATAGATTCTACTAATTCTTTGGAGTAATCATAAAGTTTACTTGTCTTTTTAAAATAAACAATAGATTTTAGTAATTTTTTTAAAACAAGTAATAAATTTCACTACTTCTTTTGTAATTAGCCTAGAGTTAATTAATTTTTTTACAATAAACTTGGATTTCACTATTTTTTTCCAATGATCTTAGAGTTTAGTGATTTTTTTTAAATAAACAATTGATTTCACTAGTTCTTTTGTAATTAGCGTAGAGTTAAATAATTTTTTTACAACAAACTTGGATTTTACTATTTTTTTTAAATAAACAATAGATTTCACTAGTTTTTTCCAGTGATTTTAGAGTTATTAATTTTTTTGAAATAATCATAAAATTTATCAATTTTCTTGCAATAATTCTACTGGTTTTTTACAACAAACTTGGATTTTATTTTTTTTTTAAAGTAATCATAAAGTTTGCTCTTCTTTTTTAAAGTAGTTATAAAGTTTCCTCTTCTTTTTAAAATAATAAAAGAATTGAATAAATCTTAGTACTTCTTTTTAAATGGACATTCAGTTGACTCATTTTGCAATGAAATTCTAGTGGTTTTAGAAGAGTCGGGTGATCTGGCTACTCAGTTTAGGGTTAGGGTTAGGGTTACAAGTTTTCATGATCATTCCATTTTCAATCGATCTAATGTTTCTCTTTATGATGATCATAAAGCTCTCCAATTCCAAATCTTCTTTTAATGAGTTCAAGATAACTTCTTTCTCTGGTTAGTGGGATTAGGGTTAGGGTTAGTGGTTAGTGTTTCATGATAGATCCATTTTACAATCATTTTAGACTGGAGTCGTTGTTTGTAATGAGATGAGATGGACTCTTTTTACGCTGGTTTTATACTTGACTCTTTTTTTTTAAAATAATGATAACCCCTACTAATTCTTTAAGATACGCAGAACTCTTTTTTTCACGATAATCCATTCATTCAAGTACTTTTACAACAAATTTAAACATGTTCTTATCATAATCTTTACTAGCTCTTTGATAAGCTTAAACTTTACCCGATAAAACATAGTTTCGAACTGAGATGGTGTGTTAAAATTATTAAAACTTCATTTCATTCATTTAGATTTCTATTATATATAAACAATGGATATATGCACATTTTCATTCTATTAACATTTTTTTCATTCATTTTACATCATCCCCATAACAATCACTCCCAACAACATTATTTTAATCATATCAGGAACTCTTATTTTCACCCCATCATTTGGTTTTACTTCTTCTTCTTCTTCTTTCTGTGTCTCTTTGCTTGAATCAGTAGTACATTTGGTAGGCTTGCACTTGCGCATCGACGTCAACGTCACTGTCGACGTCACCGTTGACGTACTCGTTATCGTACTCGTATGCAATGACGTACTCGTCACCCATGTATCTGTTGTTTGTATCATTGTACACTCTTCTGTTACTTTTCCTCCACTTCCCGGTTTGGTTGTCGTAGTAGTTGTCGTCGTAGTCGTGGTACTGGTCATGGTAGTGGTCGTCGTAGTGGTCGTCGTAGTGGTTGAGATTTCTTTTTGTGTCTCTGTATGATGAGGCTTAATTTCTAATGGTTTTATTCCTCCGCATAACGTGTCTATTTCTTTACAAGCTGGTTCAGTTTCCTTACAATCCTCTTTAAAACCGCAATCTAGTTGTAAAGCGCTGCATTCCTCTTTCAATTCCAAATACAATTCCAATGCTATCGTCGTTGCATCAAATGCTTTTACTTCTACTTCTGATACACCTCCATCTACATATGCTCTTTTAACGAGTCCAAATTTTACATAGTTTGGCGTTCCACTACCCGGTGTGCCTGGTGTTCCATCTCCTGTGCTTGGCGTTTTACCTGATGCGTCTGTCGTTCCATTTTGTGGTGACCCTGGTGGTGGTGGTACTGCTGGTGATGATGGCGACCCTGATCCTGCTGGTGCGGATACTGGTGCAGAACCATTGCTATCCTGTCCACTTGGCATTGCGGCTTTTCCAGACTTTGATAGCAATAACTTAGCTGCCTCTGTAGATTTTTCTGCCACCTGTTTGAGCTCATCGTATTCTTTTTTCATCTTTGTCAACTCCTCTTTCGCTTTATTCAGATCGGTTTTTAAAGTAGGACATCTCTCTTTTACTTTTTTAACTAATTTTTTGCAAAGTTCTTCGGCAATTTTATCATCACATTTACTATACAGAGTTTTGAATGCTTCATTCTTTTCCAACTCAGTACAACTCTCTCCTAATTTTTTTTTACAATCATCATCTTTGCTTAAACTTCCTTTCAACAGATGAGTTAGCTCATCCTTCGCTTTCAACTTTTCAAAAGTATCCCTGCATTTTTCATCGAGTGCTTCGCAGTTATGATTATTGCCATTGCCATTCTCTTTTTTCAACTGATCTGGACAGTTCTCCACAAGTTGATGACAATGTCGGCCCCATGTTGTGCAGAGTTCTTCAAGTGTTGCTTCATTTCCATTTGCTTTTTCAATTTTTCCTACAATTTCTCCATTCTTGATGTTTTCTTTTAAATATTTACAATCTTGACTTGTGTGGAATACCATATAACTACATGTTTCTTCTGGTAAAGCACATGAAACACTAAATGAATTCTTTCTCCTCCTATATAATTGATGGCATTTCCCATGCAATGCCTTTGTACAGTTTCCCTGAGTCATTAACGAATCATCTTTTTTTTCTAAAAATACTTTTCTAAATCCCTCTGAAACTCTAAAGTATTCACAGCGTCTTTTCAATGTTATACACTTTTCTAAATTCAATAATGAATCACTACTAAGTTGATCACACTTCTCTCCCAATTCAAGACAATCCTTTTCAAATGGAAAATCTCTCTGATCATCTAAAAGCAAACTTAACTCTTTGGATTGAAGAAAAATATCATTTGAAACCGCATAACATAGTTCTTTAGGATAAAGACATTTTGAAAAGTATCTTTTATCTCCTTTAAGTTTTGTACAGTTTCCTACCACAGATTTTTTGCATTCTTCAGGATCGCTATAAAATCTTACAAGACCAAGCTTCCCCCTCAATTCCTTTTGAAAGAACTTATTCAACATCCTGTCTTGTCCCTTTTTATAGCACGCTGCTCTTGCATTTTGGCACGCTTTATCAATATTATTATCCTTACACGCATTTTCTAAATAGAAACATTCCGACTCAAGTTCTGCGCACTCTCCTTTTATAAAAAAAGTTGGCAGCTGTCCCCACAATAAAAGATCTGAATCAGCTTTTTCATATCCTGTAGACAACCCTTTGAGATAAAGTTTTAATTTAAGATTTGTACATCTTTCTTTTACATTTACATCTAGTAATTCTTTGCATTTGTCGTCTTTCTTTTGATCTTCACATAACTTTTTCAATTCAGTATTCAAATACTTAGAAGCATCACATTTTTCTAACGCTTTTTTGCACTTTTTATCTGGTTCCTTCTCATTCCCATCTCTGCTCAAGACTAGCAAGAGATCTTGCAGAAATTTTGTACCTGACTTCCTTGGTAGATCCACTCCTGATTTTCCAATAATAATTCCTTCTTTTTCAGCTCTTTTATACACATCATCAAACCCAATACTTCTCAACAACGACGCCTTCGGCTTGACAGGACTAAAATCAGATTCTGGCGCTTTATATGTGAATCCTTTTTCCTTGCATTGCTTCATATCCTCATCACACTTTGTTTCAGTACACGCTTCTTTGTAAAAATGACATTTCTCAAGTCTTTCATGACACTTTTCTGAACTTTTCTCATTCAATTCTGTTTCTAAAGGTTTGCAAACTTCGCCCAATTTTGTTTTCAGATCTCCACACGTTCCAGTCGGATCAAGGCAAAAAGACATCAATTCGTCGCTTTCTCGGCTCAACACTGGGCAAACAGTATTCATCTTTCCTTTACATTTAGCTTCTTCTTTAGCATCCCCTCCGAGCGCCCTCAAAAGGAGCTCCTCTGCCACCTTTTCACGCTTCAATTTGTAACATTTCTCCCTCAAGTTAACACAATCACTCTTAATATCATCATAATCCGTCTCTTCTAAAAGTATACATTTTTCTTCATATTTTTCACAAACTTTTTCATCTTGAAGATCTATATCAAAAGCATCCAATTCTTGTTCAACTTCGTCTTTCAGGTTTTTGCATTTTTCGTCTCGTTTTGTTTTATCACAAATTTCTTTAACTTTTTTATCTACTTTTCCTAAATCCTTATCTATTTCCTCCAACTCTTTACAATATTTCTCGAGTTCTTGTTTGCATTGTTGTACTTCTTTATATTTGTCCTTCACAATGAAAGCCAAAAGGTGTTTCTCATCAATGTCATCCGCTGCTGGTGCTGCTTGTGGTGCTTGCCTCTTAACCGGCCGTGCCATTGCCACCTCCTTTGGGGGAGTTTAGTGGGTAGTTTCTAAGTTGGATGTAGGGAAGTGAGTGAAAAATTGTTTTGAAACGATTTTTTACAACTTAGAGTTCTTATCATAATCTTTACTAGCTCTGCGATAAGTCTAAACTTTACCAAATAAAGCTAAGTTATTAATTAAAATATCGGACTAAAATTATTAAAACTTTATTTTTCAATTCATTCATTCATTTAGATTTCTATTATATATAAACAATGGATATATGCACATTTTCAATCTATTAACATTTTTTTCATTCATTTTACATCATCCCCATAACAATCACTCCCAACAATATTATTTTAATCATATCAGGAACTCTTATTTTCATCCCATCATTCGGTTTTACTTCTTCTTCTTCTTTTCCTCCTTCTTCTGTCTCTTTGCTTGAATCAGTGGTACATTTGGTAGGCTTGCACTTGCGCATCGACGTCAATGTCACTGTCGACGTCACTGTCGACGTACTCGTTGTCGTACTCGTATGCAATGACGTACGTGTCACCCATGTATCTGTTGTTTGTATCATTGTACACTCTTCTGTTACTTTTCCTCCACTTCCCGGCTTGGTTGTAGTAGTAGTTGTCGTCGTAGTCGTGGTAGTAGTCGTGGTAGTGGTCGTAGTAGTGGTCGTCGTAGTGGTTGAGATTTCTTTTTGCGTCTCTGTATGATGAGGCTTAATTTCTAATGGTTCCAGTTTACATAAAGTGTCTATTTCTCCGCAAACTTTTTTAGATTCCGGACAATCCTCTTTAAAACCGCAATCTAGTTCTAAAGCTTTACATTCTTCTTTCAATTCCAAATACAATTCCAATGCTATCGTCGTTGCATCAAATGCTTTTACCTCTGCTTCTGATACACCTCCATCTACATACGCTCTTTTAACGAGTCCAAATTTTACATAGTTTGGCGTTCCACTACCTGGTGTGCCTGGTGTTCCATCTCCTGTGCTTGGCGTTTTACCTGATGCGTCTGTCGTTCCATTTTGTGGTGACCCTGGTGGTGGTGGCACTGGTGGTGGCACTGCTGGTGATGATCCTGATTCTGGTGCAGGCGGTGATACTGGTCCAGAACCATTGCTATCCTGTCCACTTGGCATTGCGGCTTTTCCAGACTTTGATAGCAATAACTTAGCTTTCTCCGTAGATTTTTCTGCCTCCTCTTTGGCCTTTTCGTACTCATTCTTCATCTTTGTCAACTCCTCTTTCGCTTTATTCAGTTCGGTTTTTAAAGTAGGACATCTCTCTTTTACTTTTTCAACTAATTTTTTGCAAACACTTTCCTTGGTGTCCTCTTGACAATTAGTAAGCAGAATTTTGAATGCTTCATTCTTTTCTAACACAGTGCAACGCTCTCCTAATGCTTCTTTACATTTTTTTTCCTCGCTTAAACTGCCTTTCAACAGGTGAGTCAGCTCATCCTTCGCTTTCAACTTTTTAAAGGTTTCACTGCATTTTTCATCGAGTGCTTCGCAGTTCTCATCTTTGTTATTTTCTTTCAACTGCTCCGGACAATTCTTCACAAGTTGGTGACAATGCCGGCCCCATGTTGTGCAGAGTTCTTCAAGTGCTGTTTCATCTTTATTTGCTCCTCCAATTTTTCCTACAATTCCTTCATTTTTGATGTTGACTTTTAAACTACTACAATCTTGACTTGTATGGAATACCATATAACTACATGTTTCTTCTGGTAAAGCACATGAAACACTAAATGAATTCTTTCTCCTCTTATATAAAGTATTACATTTCTCATGCAATGCCTTTGTACAGTTTCCCTGAGTCATTAACGAATCATCCTTTTTTTCTAAAAATACTTTTCTAAATCCCTCTGTAACCTTAAAGTATTCACAGCGTCTTTTCAATGTTATACACTTTTCTAAATTCAATAATGAATCACTACTAAGTTCATCACACTTCTCCTTCAACTCAAGACAATCCTTTTCTAATGGAAAATCCCTTTGATCATCCAAAAGCACACTTAACTCTTTGGATTGAAGAAAAATATCATTTGAAACCGCATAACATAGTTCTTTAGGATAAAGACATTTTGAAAGGTATCTTTTATCTTTAAGTTTTGTACAGTTTTCTACCACATATTTTTTACAATCTTTAGGATCGCTATAAAATCTTACATGACCAAGCTTTCCCTTCAATTCCTTTTGAAAGAACTTATTCAACATCCTGTCTTGTCCCTTTTTATAGCACGCTGATCGTAGATTTTGACACGCTTCACCAATCTCATTATCTTTACACGCATTTTCTAAATAGAAACATTCCGACTCAAGTTCTGCACACTCTCCCTTCGTAAATAATGTTGGAAGCTGTCCCCACGATAAAAGATCTGATTTTTTATTATCATATTGTGTAGACAACCCTTTCACATAAAGATTTAGTTTGAGTTTTGTACATCTTTCTTTTACATTTACATCTAGTAATTCTTTGCATTTGTCGTTATCATTTTTATCGCATAACTCTTCCAAATTATGATCCAAATACTTAGGATCTTTGCATTTTTTTAACGCTTCGGTGCATTTCTTCCCCGCATCCTTATCATTCTCATCTCTGCTCAAGACTAGCAAGAGATCTTGCAGAAATTTTGTACCTGACTTCCTTGGTAGATCCACTCCTGATTTTCCAATAATAATCCCATGTTTTTCCGCGTTTTTATACACATCATCCAACCCAATACTTCTTAACAACGACGGCTTCGGCTTGACCGGACTAGAATCAGATTCCGGCGCTTTATATGTGATTTTTTTTTTCTCGCATTGATCCTTATCCTCATCACACTTTGAATCATCACACGCTTCTTTGTAAAAATGACATTTCTCAAGTCTTTCATGACAATCTTTTTCTAAATCTTTCGCCAATTTTGTTTTTAAAGGCTCGCAAAGATCCTTCAATCTTTTTTCCAATGTTTTACACGTTCCAGTCGGATCAAGGCAGAAAAACATCAGCTCGTCGCTTTCTCGGCTTAACACTGAGCAAACATTTTTTATCTTTACTTGACATTCATTTTTTTTAGCATCCTTTCCGAGCGCCCTCAAAAGAAGCTCCACTGCCACCTTTTCACGCTTCAATTTGTAACATTTCTCCCTCAACTTGACACACTTCTCCTTAAGACTATTTGGGTCTGCTTCCTCTAAAAGTATACATTTTTCTTCATATTTTTCACATTTTTCATCTTGTATGTCATCTGACAATGCATCAAGTTCCACATCAAAATCTTCCAATTCTTGTTCAACTTTGTCTTTCAGGTCTTTGCATTTTTTATCTCGTTTTGCTTCATCACCACCACCACAAAGTTCTTTAACTTTATCATTAACATTGAATTTACCATCTGCTTCCTTCAACTCTTCACAATATTTCTTGAGTTCTTGTTTGCATTTATCCTCATTACTATATTCCTTCTTCGCAATGAAAGCCAAAAGGTGTTCCTCCTTAATGTCATCTTGTGCTACTTGTACTACTCCTGCTGGTGCTTGCCTCTTAACCGGCCGTGCCATTGCTGCCTCCTTGTAGGGAGTTTAGTGGGTAGTTTCTAAATTGAATATGGGTAGAGTGAAAAGTTATTCTAAAACGATTTTTTACAAGTTAGAGTTCTTATCATAATCATAAATTTTATTAGCTTTTCTACGATAAGAGCTCGCTAGTTCTGAGAGAAGAGTAAACTTTACCCGATAAAGCCAAGTTATTAATTAAAATATCGGACTAAAATTATTAAAACTTTATTTTTCAATTCATTCATTCATTTAGATTTCTATTATATATAAACAATGGATATATGCACATTTTCAATCTATTAACATTTTTTCATTCATTTTACATCATCCCCATAACAATCACTCCCAACAACATTATTTTAATCATATCAGGAACTCTTATTTTCATCCCATCATTTGGTTTTACTTCTTCTTCTTCTTCTCCTCCTTTATCTGTCTCTTTGTTTGAATCGGTGGTACATTTGGTAGGTTTGCACTTGCGCATCGACGTCAACGTCACTGTCGACGTCACTGTCGACGTACTCGTTGTCGTACTCGTATGCAATGACGTACTTGTCACCCATGTATCTGTCGTCTGTATCATTGTACACTCTTCTGTTACTTTTCCTCCACTTCCCTGCTTGGTTGTCGTAGTAGTAGTCGTAGTAGTCGTAGTAGTAGTTGTGGTAGTGGTCGTCGTAGTGGTCGTCGTAGTGGTTGAGATTTCTTTTTGCGTCTCTGTATGATGAGGCTTAATTTCTAATGGTTTTATTTCTTTGCATAACTTGTCTATTTCTCCGCAAACTTGAAGATCTGAACAATCCTCTTTAAAACCGCAATCTAGTTGTAAAGCGCTGCATTCCTCTTTCAATTCCAAATACAACTCCAATGCTATTGTCGTTGCATCAAATGCTTTTACCTCTGCTTCTGATACTCCTTCAGCTACATATGCTCTTTTAACAAGTCTAGGGCTTGGATTCTTCGTCTCACCTGTTGTGCCTGGTGTTCCACTTGATGTATCTGGTGCTCCATTTTGTGATGGTGATGATGGTGGTGGTGGTGGCCCTGATGCTGGTGGTGACTCTGATCCTGATGGCCCTGCTGGTGCTTGTTGTGGTGGTGGTACTGGTGTAGAATCACTGCCATTCTGCGCAGTTGGCATTGTGGCTTTTCCAGACTTTGATAGCAATAACTTAGCTTTATTTGTGGATTCTTCTGCCGCCAGTTTGAGCTTATCGTACTCAGTCTTCATCTTTGTCAACTCCTCTTTCGCTTTCTTCAGATAGGTTTCTAAAGTAGGACATCTCTTTTTTAGTTTTTCAACTAATTCTTTGCAAACATTTCCCAAGGCATTAGCTTCACAATTAGTAAGCAGAATTTTGAATGTATCATTATTTTGCAACTTAGTGCAACGCTCTCCTAATGTTTTTTTACAATCATCTTCACCTTTTAAACTTCCTTTCAACAGGTGAGTCAACTCATCCTTCAATTTCAACTTTTTAAAGGTATCACTGCATTTTTCATCGAGTTCATCACAGTTATAACCTTGGTTGTTTTTATTTTTTTTCAAATCATCCGGACAATTCTTCACAAGTTGGTGACAATGTCGGCCCCATGTTGTGCAGAGTTCTTCAAGTGTTGTTTCATTTTTATTTGCTTTTTCAATTTCTTGTAGAATTGCTTTACTCTCCATGTTGTCTTTTAAATAAAAACATTCATCTTTTGTACGGGCTACCATATATTCACATGTTTCTTCTTGCAAAGCACATGAAAACCCAAATGGATTCCTCCTTTTCCTAGATAAAGCATCACATTTTTCTTGCAATGCCTTCGTACAGTTTTCTTTCTTTAACGAATCATCTTCTCTTTTTAAAAATACTTTTCTAAATCCCTCAGAAACTCTTAAGTATTTACAGCGCCTTCTCAATGTTGCACACTTTTGAGAATTCGAATTTGAATAAGTTTCAAGTTGAGCACACTTCTCCTTCAATTCAAGACAATCCTCTTCTAATGGAAAATCTCTTTGATCATCCAAAAGCACACCTAACTCTTTGGATTGAAGAAAAATATCATCTGAAACCGCATAACATAGTTCTTTAGGGTAAAGACATTGTGGAAGATATTTTTTAAGTTTTGTACAGCTTTCTACCACAAATTCTTGACATTTTCGAGGATTCTCATCATAATATTTTATATTATCAGGACTCTCCTTCAACACCTCTCGAAAGTGTGTATTCAACATCCTATTTTGTCCCATTTTATAGCACGCTGCTCGTACATTTTGACACGCTTGATCAATTTTATTATCCTCACACACATTTTTTAAATAGAAACATTCCGAGACAAATTCTGCACACTCTCCCTTCGTAAATAAGGTTGGCAGTTGTCTCCAGAATAAAAGATCTGAATCAGCTTTTTCATATTTTGTAGACAAATCTTTCAGATAAAGATTTAATTTGAGATTTGTACATCTTTCTTTTACATTTACATCTAGTAATTCTTTGCATTTGGCGTCTCTATTAGTTTTATCATCGCATAACTTTTTCAAATCATCATCCAAATGCTTAGAAGCATCACATTTTTCTAACGCTTTTTTGCACTTTTTATCTGGTTTCTTATCATTCTCATCTTGGCTCAACACTAGCAAAAGATCTTGGACTAAATTATCACCAAACGTCTTTGGTAGATCCACTCCTTGTCTTCCAATAAGAATTCCATCTTTTTCCGCTCTTTTATAAACATCTTCCAACCCAATCATTGTCAACAACGACGCACTCGGTTTCACCGGACTAAAATCAGATTCCGGCGCTTTATATGTGATTCCTTTTCCCTTGCATTTCGTCTTATACTCCTCGCACTTTGATTTATCACACGCTTCTCCATAAAAATGACATTTCTCAAGTTTTTCATAACACTTTCCGTCTAATTCGCCATCTTTAAGCTCTTCTTTTAAAGGCTGGCAAACAGTATCCAATTTTTTTTTCAGCTCTTGACACGTTCCACTCGGATCAAGGCAGAAAGACATCAACTCGTCACTTTCTCGGCTTAACACTGGGCAAACAGTTTTCATCTTTGGTTCACATGTTTTTTCATCTTTAGCTTCCTTTCCGAGCGCCCTGAAAAGAAGCTCCTCTGCCACCTTTTCACGCTTCAATTTGTAACATCCTTCCCTCAAGTTGACACAGTTCTCTTTAAGATCACCATAACCCGTCTCTTCTAAAAGTATACATTTTTCTTCATATTTTTTACAATTTTCATCTTGTATGTCATCTGGCAATGCTCCTTCAAGTTCCGTATCAAAATTTACCAATTCATCTTCAACTTTCAGGTCTTTGCATTTTTTTTTTTTATCGTTCTCTTCACAAAGTCCTTTAACTTTATCATTTACTTTCAAACCATCTGCTTTCTTCAACTCTTCACAATATTTCTCGAGTTCTTCTTTGCATTTATCATCATTACTGTATTTCTCCTTCACAATGAAAGCCAAAAGGTGTTTCTCATCAATGTCATCCGCTACTACTGCTGCTTGCCTCTTAACCGGCCGTGCCATTGCCGCTTCTTTGTAGGGAGTTTAAACTATTGTTTCTAAGCTGGATGTAGGGAAGTGAGTGAAAAGTTGTTTTGAAACAATTTTTTACAAGTTAGAGTTCTTATCATAATCATAAATTTTATTAGCTTTTCTACGATAAGAGCTCACTAGTTCTGAGATAAGCTTAAATTTTACCAAATAAAGTATAGTCTCGAATTAAGATTGTGTGTTAAAATAATTAAAACTTCATTTCATTCATTTAGATTTCTATTATATATAAACAATAGATATATGCACATTTTCATTCTATTAACATTTTTTCATTCATTTTACATCATTCCCATAACAATTACTCCCAAAAACATTATTTTAATCATCTCGGTAACTTTTATTTTTATCCCCTCGTTCGGTTTCACTTCTTCTTTTGATGGTTTATCCTCCACTTTCTTTTCTTCTTCTTTTGCTGGTTTATCCTCCACTTTCTTTTCTTCTTCTTTTGCTGGTTTATCCTCCACTTTCTTTTCAACCCAGAATGGCTTACAATTCTCTTTCAATTGTAAACAGACTCCTTTTTCATTATGGCTATTGGAACCTTTTTTTAACGTGTCCGGGCAGTTCTCCATAAGTTGGCGACAATATGAACCCCATGTTGTACAGAGTTTTTTAACCAATGTTTGATTTGAACCTTTAGTTTTATCCAGAATTTTATGTTCTTGCATGTTATTTTTTAAAATATCGCAATGATTCTTAGCTTCTGAAACCATAAATTTGCATGTTTCTTCTAGTGAATTGCATGAAACACGATATAGATTTTCCTCCCCTTTAGATAATTTATCACATTTATCCTTCAAAGCTTTCATACATTTTTGATTATCCGCTAATGCATCACTTTCTTCTTTCAAAAACGCATATTTCAGTTCTTTTCTAACTCTAAAATATTCACAACGCTCTTTCAATTTAACGCATTTCTCATTATTTAATCCTAAATCTTTTAAAATACCTTCACAATCCTCTTTCAAAATACCTTCACAACCCTCTTTCAATTTAATGCAGTCCTTTTCTTTAGGAGAATCCCCTACTGCATTGAAAAGTTGTTCTAGATCTTTCAATTGAGACGAAATAATTTTTTCAAATCTAAGACATATCTCCTTTGGCCGAAGGCATCTCATAAAAATCTCAACATTATTATTTTTAAATGTAGCACACTTCTCCATTACTATTCTTTGGCATTTATTAAATCTTTCATCATTCGATCCTAATTTATTAAGTTTGTACAACTCACTTCCAATTAATTTAATGAATAGTTGATCTTCTTTCTTTTTATGACATGCCAGTTTTAGATTTTGGCATTCGATAAGCATATTAGGTTTGCATAATCCTTTAATATACTCACATTCCGAAATAACCTCTAAACATTCATTCTCACTAAATGATGTCGAAAGCTGATCATAAGACAAAATTCCCGATTTGCCTTCATCTTTAAATTCTGTAGAAGTTCCATCTTGATAAAGTCTCATTCTAAACTTTCTACACCTATCCGTTATATCTGATATATCTTTACATTTTTCTTCATATTTATTTTTTTTTTCACATAATTCTTTAAATTCAGAACTTATAGTTTTAAGATAACTACACCTAGTATTTAGTACGTTCTTACATTGCTCTTCCCTATTATCAGAACTACCCAAAGACAAATGGTTTAACATGTCATCCAACGTTTTTTCTAAAGCTCCAAGAATTAGTCCTCTATTTCTTCCTTCTTTATAAAGATTTTCCAGATCAATCATCTCTAACAATGTCATTTTCGGCTCAATCGGATTAAAATCTTTAACTGGAGGCCTATATGTAATATTCTTTCCCTCACATAGTCCCTTAAATTTGTTGTTTATCTTTTCACATCTCTTTTTGAGAAGAGGATATATTCCGAGTTTTTCATGACATACTTCTTCTTTTTTATTCTTATTAATAAGATCGCTTAAAGAATTGCAAAACTCATCAATACTTTCATTGAAATTTTCAAGTGAATTATCTTCAAGGCAGAAAAAAACTAGATCATCACCCTTTTTAATCAATGTTGGACAAATTTCCTGCTTTTTTTCCTCAAAATCTTTAGATTCAATAATACTAGTACCAAAAGCTCTAAGAATGACTTCATTTCTCATCTCTGTATCCCTGAGAAAATAACAGGAATATCTAAGCATACTGCAGGAATCTAAAACATCTTTTTCTTTTATATGTTCAAAAAGCATACATGTTTGATAATATTGATCGCATCCTTCATAAAAGAAATCTTCTTCCTCCAAATCCTCGATTAATTCAGCAATTTCATGTATTTTTTTTTCAATCTTTACTTTTATGTCTTTGCATTTTTTTTTTTTATTTTCACAAATTTCTTTAACTTTAGTATGAACTTTATTTAATCCTGGATCTATAACTTTCAATTCTTTACAATATTCCTCAAGCTTTGATTCGCATTTATCTTGATCTTTATAATCTTCTTTCAAAATATAAACAATGATATCTTCATCCTTAGCAACAAAATCCTTAAACGGCGTAAATTTTGCACTTACTTGAGAATCTCTGGCTTTCAAATGCGTACTTTGATTGCCATAAGTAGGAACTATAAATAGTTAAAAATAAAAATAATCCAAAATATAATCACCAATTAAAATTAATATTCCTAGAACTATAATTTTATTAATCATGGAAAAAAACATCTTGTATTATTTCTGGATCCCAATATATGGCATAAAAATCAACAATATGCTCCTATATTGGATCCTTTATTAAATTTGATATTTCATGAAAAAGTTAAGATGAATTTCGCAGTTTCTATTAAACCCTAAAAAAATTAGGAAAAACTATTAAAAAATAAAAACCATTACAAATCTTGATTATAAATTTAAATGATCTTTTTTGTTTTATATATATTCCTTTTCATCCCATTCAATTGTTTTTTATAAAATAATATATATATTAGATTTTATTTACCGACTTTTAACATTTATTTTAATTCATTTCGAACTTTTACTACTTTTAATACTATATTATTATTCTTAAATCCAATATCTTCATTATTTTTAACTTTACTTCATTCAAATAATTAATTCTTAATTTTTTTCTTTAATCACTGCATTGTTTTCAATATTGATTTATAATCAATACTTCTTCTGATCTTTAGTTTTAATTAAAGAATACTCGATTAATGATGTTTGACATGTACTTTTAGTTTAATTGAACACATTCTCTTCTCTATTTTCGTTTATATTACTTTAATTTTCCAGAAAAGCTTATTTTTCTGATTGCTTTCTAAAGCTTAGATTAATAAAAGACCCAGAATACCATCAGAAAATCCCTGATAATTTTCTACATCTCTTCTATGCTTAAGATATTAATAAAGGGTTATCAGATTCTTTTATTCCTTTATTCTATGTTGTTATCTCTCCATCTGATGCAATACCATTAGATAAGATTCCTTGACAAAGAATTGTCTTCAATTCTGCTCTTCCAAGGTAAATAATTGTCATATAACTAGTACTTTATAAATAAAGTTCATATTTAGTTAAAATATACCCAAAAGGCCCTGATCCAATGATTATCACCTTTTTTATCAGAAAAAATCTCTATAAAATATACTAATAAATATAATACATTTGAGCGCATTCTTTAAAAATAGTTCAAGAAAATAGAATAGGATAACTGATTAAGCACTTTTCTAAGCAATTCTAGCTTCTCTATATTTTTAATGTTAAGGTATAATAATAAAGTTAAAATAAGAAAACATAAGGTGGATGATATGTGAAGTAATATATATATAAATATATTAGAAAAATATATACATAAATAGAATTAAAATTAATTATTTAAATATAAAGAGTACGTTGTTCATGCAGATCAAAATCAGCAGTATCATTAATATTGAATGAATTAACGGTTTTTTTTCAACATAGCAGCTTTTTCGATTTCTTAAGATATATTTGGATCAGAATCATCATTAAGTGCTTCAATTATAGAAAGTCTATCACTGAGATGTCCGTTTTCTTAAAAATCCTATAGGTTAAAAAGAGTAACCCAAAAATAAGAAAAACAATAACAATAATATCATTTGAAGTAACAAATGCCTTTTTTCGAAGAATGAAAGATGAGAAGCACTTGATCCAGTAAAAGTACCCTCAGTAGGAGACGGCCGTGTAGAAGTTTTTGTAGTAGATGAAGTTTTAGTAGATGAAGCTTTTCGAGTGGTTGATATTTTAGTTTTGCTCGATGAAGTCGTAGATGTAGATGAAGTTATTGATGTTGGTTTTTGTTCCGGTGGTGGCGGTGGTGGTGGTGGTTGTGGTGGTTGTGGTTTTGGTGGAGGTGCAGGTGGCTCTGGTTGTGGCTGTGGTGGTTGTGGCTGCGGTGGTTGTGGCACTGGTTCTGGTTCTGGTTCTAGTTCCGGCCGAGGTGGTGGTGGCGGCGGTGGTGGAGGCGGTGCAGGTGCAGGAGCAGGTGGCGGTGGCGGTGGTGGTGGTGGTGATGGTGGTGGTGGTTCTGATGAAGATGTAGAAGTTGGATTTGATGAAAGCGAAGTATCTGGATCTTTCTGAGAGCTAGGATCTGATGAAGGGTTAGGATCTGGTTTTGATGGAGGCGCAGGTTTTGATGGAGGCGCAGGTTTTGATGGAGGCGCAGGTTCTGATGGAGGTTGAGGCCCAGGTTTTGATGGAGGTTGAGGATCTGATGGAGGTTGAGGCCCAGGTTTTGATGGAGGTTGAGACCCAGGTTCTGATGAAGGCGGAGACTCAGGATCTGATGAAGGCAGAGACCCAGGATCTGGTTGAGGCTGCGGTTGCGGTTGTGGTTGAGGTGCAGGTGGTGGTGGTCTTGATGAAGATGTAGAACTTGGAGTTGGTGGAAGCGTAGTAGTTGGTTCTGGCGGAGGCATAGTAGTTGGATATATAGATAGAAAAGGATATGAAGCAGGCGGTACGCCTTCTGATTTAGAAGACTCCCCGAAAAAATGAAGTTGCCAATAAAAAACTTCACCATCTAGATTCTGATCCTTTTTATCTTCAACATCGATAGTCCAATTACCTACAATGGGTTCTCCCCTAAAAATCATTAGTTATTATTTTACAAAATGAAACAAAATACCAATGCTTTACAGTCATAAAAGTCCAAAGAATACTGCCACCATGTTTATCAGGATTACGTCTATGTGCTAATACTGAAGTAACTCCAGAAGGACTGGTAATATTAAACTCTAGATGACCTCTTCTTTGGTGCTTATAACGAAATGAAACACCAACATATTCTAAACTTTTAAAGTTATAATGCGTAGGATATCCACGATGAATATAAAAACTGCTTGTGATATGCCCACCGTTTTCAGAAAATTTCTTATTAAGTGGTATTAGTTGAGTTGAAAACATTGTCTGAGGATTTAATTTTTGAAATGTTTTTGCTCTTTCGACCATTCTATATGCATCTAGTTTCCCATAACCAAAATAATTATTATAATAACGTTTAGAATGAACTTGTTCCCATCCAGGATATTCCAAATTAAATGGAACAGCTGTCTCCACAATCAAAGCTTGAACATCACGCCATGTAAGATTAGGACTAATTTTTTAGTCAAATAATTTTAATGATATTCTTACCATGCTGAAAGAAGAAGAGCAATAACACCCGCAGCAAGAGGTGTAGAAGCAGAAGTTCCAGTATGTAAAAAGGTGCATTCTGTCGTACCAACATCCGTAGTATACTAAAACGATCAATTTATTATAAAAAAAAAGAAAAGATTACAATATATGCACCACTCTTGCCAGAATACGTAGAAGCTAAAATACAAGGACATGGCTCTGAAAATCTAAATCTTTTTTCTTCTGCATCTATAGCAGCGATAGTAATAGTATATGGACTATTTGCATATCCATCGTAATTACAATCATCAAAATACCCACCATTTCCTGATCCGAAAACGTATATAGAACCAAGACCATTCCTACCTTCATTTATCCCTTTAATAATTGCAGAATAACTAGTATAAGAAATATCTTGAATTAAATTCCCAGTATCGGCAGGTCCCCAGCTACAAGAATAAATATAATTAACATCATATTTGTAAATAAGAGCATCTCCTTCATTCCAAGACGAATGAGCAGAAGGGACATATCGTAATCCTTAACAATATTAGATTGGTACCAATTAAAGAAAAATACCTGAAATATTAGATTCATATGCAACACCAATCCCACAAAGAGTATTCCTGGCGGCTGCTACTTCTCCTGCACATCTAGTACCATGATTGTTATACGTGTACTCAGGTTTTACGTCGAAAGTTCCAGTAGCAAAATTAAGTGAAGCCTCGGCATTCTAAAAAGAGTTAAAATAGTAATTTTACAATAATTTTTCAGACAAAATTTGGAGCCAAATCCAGGTTAGTATAATCTACGCCATTATCTACAATGGCAACTGTTACACCTTTTCCCGTTATCCCTAAAATCATTAAAAGGCAACCAACAACACAAATATCAAACCTTCTAACCAGAGACCTGTAACATTTATATCTACACCAGGGTCTTTCGTATTGAACTAATTAAAAAATCAAATTTTGATGAAAAAAAGAATAAACTATACCAAATACCATTGTTTATCAAAATAACGGTCCTCTATATTTAATTCTCCTTTAATTTCCTTTAACCTCTTTTTTAAATCTTCCGTCGATTTTTTCGCCTGATCTACCGTCGGATCTTTTACAACATTCTTGACAACTCTTCTATTATAAAGACCTTCATTATCAAAATATATATCGTCTCTTATCGCACCCCTGTTTTCTCGCTTGACCAACTTTTGTTTCTCATAATAAAAAAGCTTGTCACTATTAAACCCATCTATTGCATTTCTTCCTTTTTCTAAACCGAAATAATTCTCAATTTTTTCTTTAATTTCGTCTTCTAAAACACCCTTTTCTATAGAAAATATATGCTGGTTATCCAGATATTCTAGTTTCTCATGATATTTGAATCCTAACGCCCGCGAAAAATCCTCAATATCAACCTCTTCTGAGAAATGAAAATGATAATAATCATTATTCTCAAAGTCTACTGGCACCGTTTCACATCTTACTCTAACTAAATAGATCCAGTATAAAGTAAGAGTAAGGAGTATTTTGAGGATCATGACGAAAAGTTAAGAAAAAAGTATTTATCTTAACTTTTTAATTAGAAATTCCTAACTTTTTAGTTAGAAATTCTTAACTTTTTTAAAGTTTAGTATTAAAAAAATTTAGCTTACTTAAACCTAACCCTATCTTCAACAAGACCCTCTAATCTATCCCCTTGTTTTTACTAATAAATGATCAATTTATTTTCATCTAATCTATTATCTTTAATAAAACCTTCTCTATTTTTTTCTCTCCTTTTTATTAATAAAAAATCAATTGAATTTTATTTAATTGATTATTCTTGTTTTTACTAATCAATTTCATTCAATCATTTATTTTAAATAAAAACCCTCTTTAAATTTTGATATTATCTACTGTTTTTAACAAATTTTTTTTAATTTCATTTTAATTTATTATTTTTAAATAAAAATTGATTTGACTTTACTTTTAGTAAAATCATTTTTAAATTCTGGTCTTTTGTTCTAATTAATGAAAAATCAATTCAACATTATCCAATTTGTTACTTTTAATAAAAATACTTTTAAATTGAACCATCCTTTTAATCTCCAATCAAACTCCTTCCAATTTACTCTTATCAAATCTCCACTAGCCTCTCCCTAACGACAGACTAATTTCCGATAAACAGATTTATTAGTTTTTTTAAGATAATCATAAAGTTTAGTTATTTTTTTGCAATAAACTTGAAGTTTATTAATCCTTTTATAATGATCTTAGGTTTTATTGGTTTTTTTTTTGATAAACAAAAGATTTTATTAATTCTTTTGCAATAAACTTAGACTTTGCTGGTTTTTAGGGTAAGCGATAAATTTTGTTAATTTTTTCATCATAAACTTTACTAGCTTTGCGATAAGTCTAAACTTTACCAAATAAAGCATAGTCTCGAACTAAGATTCTGTGTTAAAATTATTAAAACTTCATTTCATTCATTTACATTTCTATTATATATAAACAATGGATATATGCACATTTTCATTCTATTAACATTTTTTTCATTCATTTACATCATCCCCATAACAATCACTCCCAACAACATTATTTTAATCATATCAGGGACTCTTATTTTTATCCCCTCATTCAGTTTCACTTCTTCTTCTCTTCTTTCTTCTCCTTTTTGTGTTTCTTTGCTTGAATCGGTGGTACATTTTGTAGGCTTGCATTTTCTCGTTGATGTGAATATCACTGTAGACGTCAGTGTAGGTATACTTGTCATAATGCTCATATACAATGACGTACTCGTCACCCATATATCCGTCGTCTGCATTAATGTACACGGTTCTGTTATTTTTCCTCCAGCTACCGACTTGGTCGTCGTAGCTGACGTCGTTTTCGTTGTCGTCATCGTAGCTGTCGTTGTTTCTTTTATTATTGTCTCTGTATGATAAGGCGTAACTTCTAATGGTTCCAGTCTACATAAGGTGTTTATTTCTTCGCAAACTTCTTTAGAATTCGGACAATCCTTTGTAAAACTGCAATCTAGTTCTAAAGCTTCACATTCCTCTTTCAATTCCAAATACAACTCCAATGCTTTTACTGATGCATCAAATGTTTCTGTTCTTCTGATACCCTACTATTTGTAAATGTTCTTGGAACAAATCTAGGTTTTGTTGTGTTCTGCGTTCCACTTGTCGTAGAATTTAATCCTGGCGATACTGATTGTACTACTGCTTCTTCTGCTGTTACTCCTGTTCTTTCTCCTTTTCTTGTTAACCTCTTCTCCTTTTTCTCGTCTACTCGTCATTTTCACCTTCCCATCCCCAATCTCTTCTCGACCTCCCTCTTAACCTTTCTTCCTTTCAACTCTTTATCTCAACTTATCTCCCCTTTGTTTCCAACTTTTGATCTTTCCTTTCCAGCTTTTCGTCCTTAACCATCCATTTCTTGATTCCCTCTTTTTTTCACCTTTTCCCTAAACCTGCACTCCCCCTAATATAGTATGTAATATGACATTGTGGTAAGATTAAAAAATATATACAGGTTAGACATTACATCAAAAAAAAAATAAATTATTTATAAATATTCATTATTTTAATAGAACTAAAATTATAAATCTAAATTTTTATCATTACATAAATATTTCCAAAAATATGTATTAAACAATTATCCATATCCCTGTTATTATTCCTAAAATCATATGAAATAATATTAATTTTTGATTCTTGTTAGTTTGAACTCCATATCCCTTATCACGATCTTTATCATGTATATATCCTGTGATGGTTGTGTACGTTGCGGTCTTCATAAACGTTTCTCCTAATTTATTAGTTAATGTTAACGTAACTGAACATTCTGTTTGCGGAGAAATTTCATCTACTTCTGAATACGGATCTGTTGAATATGTTTCCCTCATTATAGGTGTACAAGTACTTATTAAGGTATTCGTTAACGCACATTTTGTATGAGACTTGTCTTTATAACATTTTGTTCCATATAATACTTTACTATGAGTATAAGAGGCAATTTCTACTCGAAGTGTTGTTCCATCAATGATAACTTGAGAATTGTAAGGCCCTTTCTGTGTTTTATATTTAGTAGTATCATCCGTTTTATCTTCAGTATTATTTTGCAAAAGCATGCATTTTTCCTTCAATTTCTTACAAGAAATATCTAATCCATTTTTACAGATCACTAGATAACTACATTTTTGAGTATAATCAGCGCAGTTTGTATTTGAAGCATCAATATTATCTATTTTTGTTTTAATATAATCACAAAATTCGTCAAGTTTTTCAAGTGCATATTTGCAAGTCCCTTCCGGATCTTTGCATCTATCCATGAGCAATTTCCTTAATGATTCAGATATATCTGGATAAGATGGAACATAAGGACAAATAAAAAGTAATATGTTTAAACAGGAACTCGGATTTAATTTATCTTTCAAAAACCTCAATAAGGCTTCAAGTAAAAACGCCTCATCATCTGTTAATTTTAGATCTTTCTTCACCAGTGTTTGAATTTCTGGTTTTGGTGTATCTTCTGAATATTTTTTAACTGGTGCAAATGTTCCAGCTCTTTTTAACAAACTAGCAAATCTATTACCAACAAAGATATCCCCTATTTTCTCAGTAGAGTCATATGAATGTGAAATATCAAAGTCATGTAATTTTAAATCATTGAGAGATGATTTTTCGCCTATAGATTTTATTAAAAAAATAAAAGAAATAAGATACCTATATTTCCCATACTTTTTGAAAAAATATGTGCCAACCCAACAATATATATATATAGTAATATCTTCATTGGTAAAATAATATAATAAATAAATCTATAAATTTTAAAATTTTTTTTTTTATAGAAAAAATTAATATAATTAAATAATAACTAAATAGTAAATAAACAGATAATATTTATGGCAATAATGCTTTAAAATATATAAATAAGCTCTTTATATAAATTGTTTGTTTAAAATTTCATTTAAAATACTTCATTTTTAAATAATTATATTCAGAAAATTCTAAAGAGAAATACAGCTTCATTTAAATTAACATTATTATTCCCTTATTATTTCCGTTGGTTAATCATCTCTTTATTAATAGCTTTTAAGATATGAAAGTTTTAAATGAATTTTAGGATCAAAATCAACAATGTAACCCTAACCCTGATATAATTGTTTACATCATGATTTTAAATTATCTTTATTTTACTCAGTTTAATAATCAAAATTTTAGTTTTTCATACATCTTAAAGAATAAATTTCTTTATAATTAATATTTATAATAATTAACTAAAACTGAATCATTCAAAATAAGATAAAGTATAAATGGAAATGGTTGAACAAGAAGATTATTCATCTCTTTCTCTTTTAGAGAGAGCAGTACATAAAGTATGTTATGGTATATTAAAATTGTAGATTTATTAATAAAAAAAAATAGTTATGGAAGGTTCGGCTTGAAGCATATGAAGAAATGTCAAAACTCTTTTCAATTTCTACATCAGAACAAGATCCTATTTTTCGATCATTCTTACTTGATATTGGTCTATGGAAAAAGATTTCTACTGACTCTAATGTATTTGCTCAAGAAGCTGGTATTAAGGCTTTAAAGGATTTTCTTGAGTTTTGTGGAAAAGAAGCTTGTATAAGGTATATTTTTTAGACTTCGCGTTTTTTTTTTAAATATTTATATAAATAATTTTCTAGAACAAGAAGTACTGTTATACCATGCATAGTTGAAAAATGTTTAACTAGTACACGTGTTGGAACAAGGAAGATATCTATTGAAATTGTTCTTTTATATGTAGAACTTGATTCTCCTGATCCTGTTTTAGATGATTTGCTTCCTGGTCTTAATGCTAAATTCCCTAAGCTAGTGGCAGCAACAACAAATGCTATAAAGGAGATATATCGTTTATTTGGTGTAAAGACTGTTGATCCAAGACCTGTTCTTAAAATTCTACCTAAACTTTTTGCTCATAGTGATAATAATGTTCGAAAAGAAGCTACTGAGCTTGCTGTTGTTTTATATTCGTGGCTTGGTGATGCACTTAAATCTAGTTTATTTTCAGAACTTAAACATGTTCAGATTAAAGAACTTGAGTCTTCTTTTGAAGGGGTAAAGGTTGGGAAAGTTACTCAGGAAAGGTATCTTAGAAGTCAACAAGTTCTATCTGAAAATTCTTCTCAAGGTTATTTTGTGTTTATATTTCTTTAGTTTATTAATATACTTTAGCTCCATTACAGGATAATGAATCTGAAAATATTGACTTTTTTGATTCTTTGGAGCCTATTAATATTTTAAGTAAAATACCTAAAGATTTCAATGATCAACTTGTATCTGTGAAATGGAAAGATAGAAAGGATGCGCTAGACTCACTTTATTCTGCGTGTAAAGTTCCTAGAATAATGGATGATGATTATAATGATATTATTCGTTTATTGGCTAGAAGCATAAAAGATGTAAATATATCTGTTGTAATTGTTGCTAGTAATTGTGTTGAGGCTTTTGCACGGGGATTAAGAAAAGGTTTTATTAAATATAAATCAATTGTCCTTGGACCAATTATGGAGAAACTTAAAGAAAGGAAAGCTACTGTTATAGATGCGCTGACGAATGCAATGGATGCAATTTTTGATGCTGTTAGTTCTATTATTAATAATTTATTGTTAACGGAAATAGACATCATTAAGTGATGTGCTGGATGACATTTTGGAATTTTCAAAACATAAGAATCCCCAAATAAGATCGGAAATTCTTTTTTTTCTTGTTCGTTGTTTGGAATCCATATGTATTTATCCAAAAGCTTCGGAAATTAAATTAATAGCTGAGTCAAGTAAATTATTGTTAAATGATACTTTTGAGCCTGTGAGAAATTCTAGTGCTAAAATTATTGGGATATTAATGAAAATTGTTGGAGAGAGACAAATGGGTTTTATTTTGGATGGTGTTGATGATTTACGCAAAGCTAAAATCAGGGAATATTTTGAGTCAACAGAGATTAAAATAAAATTTGAAAGTCATAAACAATCTGTTCTTTTTGATGATTGTAAATCAAATAAGCTTAATAGTTTAGAGAATTCTAATTCAAAGATGGCTTCAGTATGTTTTTATTTTATTTTTCTTTATTTTTAATTTTTTCATATAGTCCAATGAAGTCAAAAAAACTTTGCTCAAACCTTCATCTTCTAAACTGAAGGATTCGCAGTCCTTAAAAGGATCGTCTTTAGGATCTCGTCTTCCTTCTACTGTAGATCATATAGGAATTAAATCTGGTCTAAAACTTTCGTCGCGTCGACCTGTATCTTTGCAAAATATAAAAAGTGATGATGTCAATAATTCATTTAAAGCAGTTAAGAATGTAGGCTCTGTCCTTCAAACCTCTTCCAAATCAATAGAGCAAGCCATAGAACTTAGCAATCTTTCTATTTCAGATAAACGGGAGTTAGATGAATTAAGAAAAGAGAATTCAAAACTTGATGAAAGACTACAAAAAGAAGTATTGGAAAAGAAAAATCTTTTAAATGAGATAAATTCCCTTCAGTTGAAGGTTTTTAATATTTAGTTTTTAAAAATGTTATTAAGTTTTTGTAGAATGCTCAGTTAATTAATGATCATACTAGAGATATTTTGAAAATAAAAGCTGGCGAAACGCAGCTTTCTAGGGCAAGAAATGAAATAGAAATGATGAAATCTCAATTATTATCATTACGCAAAGAGCTGGATCAAAGTAGATTAAACGTTTCTAATAGGTCGACTAATTTTCAAAATCCTGTATCAAGTGATGATAAAATTGGAAATTCTTCTTTAAATATAAATGAATCAGATAACAATTCTTCTAAACAAAATCAACGAATAAATATTTCTGCTGTTGATTCTAGTTTTGATATAGAAAAAGAAAATAGTCATTCGAATTTTTCTATTTTTGGTAAATATTGCAATGGATTTTCTTCATCTAGTTCTCTTGAATATTTTAATGCATCTTTTAATAAAAGCGATAATATTTCTGGTTGGGATAGCGCTGCTGATTTGACTGCTCGTCTAAAAGAAAGGATAGAACAAATGAAACGTGCAGATATGCGACAACATTAAATGGATAATATATTCTGTATGATTATGACATATTGAATTGTATATATTTTAGTTTTTATTTTTTTATTGTAGAGTTTATATTGATATTATAATTAAGACAGGATAAACATGTTTTCAAGTTGGGTAATGCATATTTTCGAATAAAATAATGTTTATTATACACATAACTTTATTAAAAGTATCCTATGTTATGAATTTTTTATTAAAAACTAATTTAAATATAATTGTTTTTACACTTTAAATGCGATGTTAAATATATTAATAAAAAGGAATCATTTTGAAAATGCTAATTTTATCTAAAGCTTAATACTATGGCATCCATATTCGTATTACTAAATCGACTCCGCCACTAGCTATTGCTAATCTTTTTGAATTAAGTGATTTGTTGTTAGAAGTTTCATTTGATCCATTAGTAGTAGATTCTGTAGATTCAGATGCCCAGCATAAGCAATTTATAAAATGCGAATGTGCTTCCTCTATTATTCTAGTACATTTGCCACTTTGACTTAGATCCCAGCATCGTATAGTTTTATCATCTGATGCACTTATCAAATACCTTCCAGATGGATGAAATACAAGAGCTCTAAGCCAGTTGTCATGGCCTAATAGAGTCTTAATTATTTGTCCATTTTGACATCCCCAAAGTTTTATCGTTTTATCTCGAGATCCTGTTGCTACATAACCCATAGAATTTTTTGACAAATGAACACCAGAAAGTTGCATAAGAAATTTGTACGCTGAATTTGGTGCAAATATAGCACATTCTATAACGTGCTCATGTCCCTGAAATTCTAATTTGCATTCTCCGTTATGTGTATTAAATATTTTTGCGATCTAGTAATAGATTAGAAAAAAACAGTAGTCTTTATATTTACTCTATCATTTCCAGCCGATAATAATAGTTTTCCATCATTCGACGGGCAAATTGTTCTTATCCAGTCGATATGTGCATTAGAAATGGTTTTTATACAAAATCCTGTTGAAATTTCCCATATTTTTATATTTTTATCTCTTGAAACACTAACAATTCGATCACCATTTGGTGGAAGAAACTTTATTGAAGATATAGAATGATCATGACCGTAAAGGGTTTTTATATTTTTATATTCGTTTTTAGAATCCCATAATTTTATTGTTAAATCTGATGAACAAGATACAAGACAGCTTGAATCAGAAAATGTATTGAACTCAATGTCAAGGACAGCTTTTGTATGTCCTTTTAGTGTTCTTTCGAAATCACCTGTTTCCCAATCCCAAATTTTTATTGTTGAATCTTCTGAAGCACTAGCAAGAATAGTAAAAACAGAATGGAAAGCAAGAGATGTTATTGGTTGCCTATGTCCCGTTAAAGTATGTTTTGCAGGTGCACATGGAATCCAAGATGCCATGTCTATAGAATGGTTTTTATCTGACGGTATTGTAGATAATTCTGTTTGTGCTGCGCATAGACGTGCTTCCAAGTCCATAATCTAAAATAAATCAAATATATTATTGAGAATAATTGTTTTAGTACTTTTTTTTGTAATCTAATTACGCTTGTCCATTTTTTTTCTAAAAGTTTATCATATTTGTGTTCATTTTCCTCATTAATATTAATAATAATTCCTTTGTTGCGTAATTCAGATTCAAAGGCTGAAAATGTTTTAGGAAAATCTGATTTCGAAAAATAAAACAACAGAGCTTTGTATCTGTTAATTATTGTTAGACCTTGCTGTATCTATAATAATTACATAAATAAGACAGTCTTACAGTTCTTCTTTCTGTCGATCATTTAAAAGTGACATTTTTAATATTGAAATTAATATAAGTATTTTCTATGGCAAAATAGCTTTAAATGAAATATAGTTATAAAACCAATAATCAGTTTCTAGTTTATCTTTTTGGTTTTAACTAAAGATTATAATATATAAAATGACGCGAAAATTCGATAGTTAATTTTTTAAATTGTAATATTGAAATTATAAAAAAATATGTAATTAAATAAAATCAATATTAGTAAGGAATTTTATGGAAACCCTTGGTTTATTTTATCATAACTTTATTTATAGATAGATAATAATTATAAATTAGGCAAAGTAATTGTGTGAAGAAAAACCTAATAAATCGTCTAATTCTTCTCTCGTAAACATCTTTTGGTCCCTATTCCATGTATCCGAATGCGTCTTTTTAAAATCTGCCATAAATTTTTTTATAGTATTTCCAATTGGATAAGGATCTAATCCTATTCTTGCTAAACGAGCAACAACAGAAGGAATCCAGGATTCTGGAGCATCATATGGAAATGCCATTACAAGAGCTGAAAGTCCCAGTACAGCTGCATGACGAGATATAATAGTTGATAATGTGCAATTTTTTTGCAAAGGATTATTTGTTAAAAGATCAGAAAATTGTTTTAAAAGATCTAATATATTAGCTTTTGTTTTGTTTTTAGAACATTGTATTATTCCCGTGAGTGTAACAGCAGCATTTAGTCTAACTTCTATTTGAGGGTCTTCTAAAAGCGTTCTAATTTCTTTAAAAATTTTGTTATGACAATTTTGATGAAGAGTAAATAAATGTCTAAAAAAAAATGCCTGCAGAAGAGGAAAAATATCAAGTTTATGATGCCAGTTTTCTGACGATATCATAATTCTGGTAATTGAGTTTGTCATGGAGCGTAATAAATGTGTTGGGAAATATATGTCTCCTATTTGTTGCAAAATTTGATGTATTGATGATAATAGATCGTGATCATCTTTGATATTTAACATGAATACAATTTCTGGTAATATGGTTTTAGGAATATATGGTACAATAAGTGTATACCCTGTCTTATTGAGAGAATATTGAAGCCAAGAAAGTATCGTTTTACTGCAAGAAATATATGAAGATGAATTGGAATTAAGTATGTATTCAGATTTCCAATCTTTTAGTTGTGAAAATATTTTTTTTATAACATTTTTAAAATGATTTGATGATATATAAGGAATTGTCATATAGGAATTCTGGTTTTGATATCGATATTCTATGAATGACTCTGCATTACAAAAAGATTCATGGTATTCAAAACTTGTAATAATATATAAGGTTTTTGCTATCTCGTCTCTTACACGTTTGTATGGATGATCAAGATGAAATAAGAGGTTCTCTATAATTAGATTTGAAAATTGAAAGCGCCATCCACAATGCGTAATAGCTTTTCTTAAAAGTGCTATTTTAGCTGTTTCCTTTAACATTTTAGAAAATCATGTAAATTAAGATTTTTTTTACTTTAAATGTTAAGTCCGATTTCTTATCTAAACGAAATGATATAAGCATTTTTAAAAAGGGCCAAGATCTTCGAGGATCCCTTTTAGACTATTCTTATGTTAGATACTATGATAAAACTTAGGGAATATACGAAAGAAAATTTCACGAAATTTAGCCAAAAGATTAATGTTTCCGGAGTTATATTTTCAAAATTTTTCTCAACTATAGGTAACATCCACTCCCAGACTTCATTACTGTACTCTAGAGATTCGCATTTTAAAGATAAAACTAAACCTGATAAGATTTCGCAGCCTGCTCGTATTTCGTGTTTTTCATTTTCTGGAATGCATAATTGTTCGATTTTTTGTTTTAAATTATTGAGGGTTATATGACAAGAAACATTTTTTATAATTTGAAATAAAAATTTCATAAAAGTTGCTATAACAACTCTAAATTTTGGAGATTCCTGACGTGATTCTTGTTTTAAATGATTAAAAAAATGTTCAAACCAAGTTTCAGAAAAAAGATGAATTGTGTTATCAAAAGTTTTTTTGGTGAAAGAATTTAATTGTAAAAATTGCGATTCTTTTTTAGTAAGATGTATTGGATATGCTTTAGGCCATATTAGCCAACCATATTGAAGAGTATCAATGAAATGGCTATAATAAGGAATTAGTTTTCTCCAATTTTGAGTTTATTCTTACTCTTTTGCTGGATTAGAAAAATTATAAAGAAATTTCTCAGTATAAACTTTTACATTTTGTTGATTAAGGCTCACGTGATGCAATATTCTAGTTGGTAAATGTACTTCTTCCAATAAAATGGCCTTCAAGTTCCCATTGGTAAGCCCATGTTGCCAAAGGATTGATAAAAACTAGTAAAACATTAGATTATCATAATAACTATTAATTTAATATACAGATGTTAAAGATTCTATATATAAAAATCTAAGTAATGGATGATCGTTAATGGATTCGCGAATTATTGATGTAACCAATTTGTCATCAGGAGGATTTTCTACGCTTACTAAAATTTTTATTAATCCAGTCCCTATTTAAATTAATAATAACAAAGATAGAGGAATGACTAGCCAATCATAGCTGACGTTCTCCAATGTGTATCTTTTATTATATCAATTAATTCGTGGCGCTAATCAATATTAGTTTCGTTATTCTTGTATATAAAAATAATTATTACTAATCTCTTAATTTCATTGCATATATATTTATGTTTTTCATTTACTTTTTTAACTAGGGCTATAATTTTTATATTGACATTGTCTGCAGGTTTTATTAAGTCGAGAAAGCTCTTTTTATATAATATGACCTTTGAATGTGGTTTAAATGTAATAATAAAGTCTATATATGCTTTGTTGCAGATTTTTTGGAGCGAAAGCTATATATAAGTTATCTTCAAAAAGATATATTGATAAGTATTACAATATCAAATTTCGTTATATAGATTAGACCATGAATATATTTGAGTATAAAATCCCAATTATTCATAATAACGCGTTTAAAATGTTTAAACATACTTAAAGAGTAAAGTGCACCTTTTAAAATTTCAATATCCGATGATAACATAGCATTTAATAAAGGGGGAATTATGATATTCTTAGAATTAGTCATTATTTTTAATGCAATATTCAGCGTATTTTGTGCACAACATCGAATTTCTGAATAAAAATTCAAGCAAGAGCAAACAAGGTCCTCGAGTAATAAAATATCTAAAGAAGTCATGTTTCTATATCTGGAATTAAATTTTACTCTAGTTATATGGTAAATTTCTGCTCTCTTGACTAAAAAGAAATGAATATTGTTTATTATGAAATATGCATATTTACTTAATAATATTCGAGGGTATTTTTTCCTAAGACCACTAATTTTATATGGTTGTATATCGTGTGTATATGAACGAATTAAATTATCTAGTACATTGGCTGTTCGACAATATAGAACATCTAGAAGCCATGTTTTTAATGTTGAAATTAAAGATTTAAAGCATTGGATATCATCATTGTGATATTTTGTTAGAAATGCATGCATGTTATGCAATACATTTCCTATTTCTTCTCTTATTTGCAAAATTTGAATGTATCTTGGATCATTTTTTCTTTTTTCAAAAAAATAACCAGAAGAATATTTATGCATAATTTTAATGCTCTCACTGGATATGTTAGTTATATATTAATTATCAATAATATATACTCGTCTTTGGAATTCTTGTCTTTTATTTCGTTAAAATCTGAATCAAAAAGAAAGGCTATTCCAAAAAGTGCTTTTTTTAGGTAAAATAAGCATCTTGTAACATCATCCGACCATTCTTTCTTTGTTTTAAAGGCCGATTTGTTGCATGTTTGCATTAAATATGATAAATTTTTTAAAATCTTATTACATTGATAAATAAATAAGTTTACAGAAAAAGTTATTTCGTCTTCTGATGGAATATGCCATTTTATGCTTAATTTTTTTGGATCAGTTTTATGCGCCCAATAATCCGGTTGGGTATTATGACATTTTTTTGGGTTATCTTGAAACATTTCTTTATCCATTGGATATATTGTAGTAAAATTTGATAATATTACTGAAAAAAGGTTTCCAACATGAGGAATTATATTTCCTTTGGATTTTTCAATTAAAATGTTTAATATTTCTTTTAAATCTGTGCCATATGATATTAAAATATTTCCTGTGCTATTAATGGATGTAGAAAGTATTTGTAAATTCCATAATAAAGCACCATCTCTAGGATGAATATCATTGCCTGTACTTCTAGTTGATGCTGCCTCGTTATTTTCTATTTCAAAAAGGATATTTGTTTTAAGAATAGGAAATAATTTTTCAAAAAACAGCTTAGGATTTCTTGGTACGCAAGAAGTGCATAGAAAATTTACCGCATGTATTGAGTGATATAAGACATTATTGGAAATAAAATGAATAATTTTTTCTAACGCCAACTTGAAAAAATTATCTGATAATGATGCAAAAAAATAAGTCAATGTCGATGGTAGTATTTCGATGATGTGATTTTCAGATGATTTAGTCTTTATTGAAGTTTGGTCCGGCAAATTCTTTAATAATGTAAATATACGATCTAAAAATATTATAATAAATTCATGAAAGAATGCTGTAGATGATTTAGCAATTAAATTGTCATTAACATTATTAGCTTCTGTGTTATTGTAACTATAATTTTCTAGTAAAAGGTTATCATCATCGTTAACAACATTTTCAAATTTATTTAATTCATTTTCAATCCAATTTAGAGCGATTTCATAATTTGCATTTTCTGTTAAATCGTGGAATGGTACATTTTGAGCAACTCTTGATATAAATGTTAAACTATATGCTGTTTTATCTAAATCATTTGCATCAATATAAGGTAATACTAGGTTAAGAAGACTCGTTATATGATTTTTGAATATTTTTGTGCCAGAAATAATAGGTGCAAGAATACATAAACTTTGAAGAGATGAGATTGTACGATGAGTCTCAACAAGACCCTTCATAGAAGGGTATATTCGTCTTAAAATACATGGAAGGATAAATGACGGCTCTAGATATGTTAAATTTTGCAAAGTTATTTGAGACTGCTCTTTAAAGATATTAAATTAAGAAACAAAAATATATGAATTACCCATTATTTCATAATCTTGACTATAAATAGTCATAAAAGTTACTTTTTTTAGAGTCAAAACAAACTCTTTCCGTATTTTTATATTTAATTTCTTTTCTGGTAAGACATCAAGTTCTTTATTGTTCTCTTTATTCCATCTATCCACAAAATAATTGGAAAGATAATATATAAATTTGGAAAGATTTTTTGTCCAAGGTCCATAATTTGATGGATGAAAATATGTTTCTATACTCTTTATAAGGGTTTTAAGATTTGAAAGTACTTTAGTTCCTTTTTTTTTGGTAAGACATAATGGTGAAATAGAATAAATAATTAGTTTTGCTGCTTGTTTAGTAAAGTTTTTTTGTTGAATGAATGGAATCCCTTCATGTAAATCGATATCATTCAAAATAGGATTTTTTATATTCCCTATAGGAATGTTAAATAATCGAAGAATGGTAGTGAAAATATATGATAGTTGATTATCTGTAAAAAGACAAGGTGCGCGAGTTGGAGCTGGATGACTTTCTTTTGCCAGTCTTCCCAAAAGATCAAGAAATATGAAACTACATTGATTTGAATTCGATATAAGAAACCATAAATGAAAAATTGCTTTGATTGTAATTAATAAGTAATAAAAAAATTGAATAGTTACCAGGAAGCCAGTATTGTGGGTCTAATTTTGGTTCATCTTTAGGAGAAGGATGACATGGTAGGAAAAGGTTGAGCATCCCAATAACAGCAAATGCGTCAGAAATAATAGATGTATTAAACTTTTGTTAATAGGTTAATAAGTATTCTAAAATAATTAATACTTACGAGAGGTAAGAGTTCGTTTAATATATTTGGTATTTCTTTGGGAAGAAAATATAGACGAGCCTTTTTAATAATAGGAATGATACTAATGTTATTACAATTAGAAATAGTCCTGGATTCAATAAAAGTTTCATCATTTGGAAACATTATTCGTTTAAGAATTAAAAACGCAGGTTTCCAATCAAGTGATATATCATGAACGGAAAGATAGTGATGTTGTCTAAAATATATGTAAACTTAGAATAGAATATGGTAAGAATGTACTTTGTTAAAGATAAAAAAAGTGACTCAAATCTTCTCTTATTATTTGGTGAAATACCCTGAGTAGTACAAAGTTCGTAATATACACTAACAAGTTTTATACGAATTTGACGAGGTAAATCAAATTTTAAGTTAAGCCAATTATTGATTTCTTTTGAAAATATAGCAGCTCTTGAAAAGTCATTAGCTGCTAAACTTATATAAATATTCTTAGTAATTTTGCCAAGATTTTCTAGTTGCTTTTCTTTATTTTCTATGTTATAAGGTAGTATTTCTCTGTATAAAAATGTTTTTTTGTGTTCATTTTTCGGTTCTAATATTGGGTTGTTATTATTTGGAGGTTTCGATTTATTAAATTGGATACATGTATTCATATTTGGTTTAGCTTTAGCTATATTTAACAATAATAATTTATAAATAAATATTTTTTTTGATATTTTGTAGTTTTCGTTGATTTTAAACTTTTTTAATATATTAAATATATGCATACATATGAATATATTTTTAGTGCATTTAATGTAATTTAAACCGTAGTAATCATTAGTTTTAGAGTTTTATAAGAATTTTTGCAATTATTTAATTATTAAAGATATTTAGAATTTATAAATAATTTTATGTAAAATTATTCTGACAAATAAAATTTAAATGGTTCATAATATGTAAACATATAAATTTTAATGTTTACATTTTTTAAAGAAAACTATTATTATTATGTTTATGATGAAATTTAGTCAATTTTGTAATTTGAATTTTATAGTCAATATATTATATAGGTTTAAATTCTATTTTTCTGTTTAACATATCAGCAATAGATGTATAGATACGGTTATATGATAATAATACATATAATTGGAAAAATTATTAATATTTTTAATATTATATTTTCTAATATTATTAATGTGTAGGAATATCTTAACTAAATATTTTTATGATATTTTAAAATTGAAGAATATTTTTGGTAATTTTTATTTTTCGAATATCATAGTTCTTTAGGATATAAAATAGTGATATATATTAGTTTTAATTTTGTTTGAGATGTATTAAATCTAAATTTATGGAAAATTATAATTTTTTACATACATAATTTAGTAAATATTTTTTAAAATTAGGAAAAAAATAATCAAATGTTATAACTTAAAATTTTATCGTTAAGTTTTAAAGAATCTTTTTAATGTTGAAATTACGTTAGAAAAGATATTTTAGTTAAATAATTTTTATCGAGTTGACTTAAAAATGTCTATTAATTCTATAGACGTTAATCTAGAAAATGAACCAATTTTATTACCTTTTGAACATTTTTTTTTTTATGGAAACAAGGTTGAATTTATATTGGAATGTGGTAATGGGTATCCAGCAAATCATATAATCAATAAGACATATTCTTCCTCTTCCGGAAGGTTATATTTTTCTAATCTGAGAGTAAGCTTTTGAAATTAGGGATTATATTATATTTATTAGTTTTTAGATTATTTATTTTCCATCTCAAGCTACAGCTAGTTTTAAAAATTTTGTATGTCCTCTAAACAAATTTGTAGATGGGAGTTTTATTCAACGTTTGTTAGAATATTTTCCTCTAAATTTTATTTATAATTATTAGCTTGGTTTTCTTCTAATTATTATCAGGCTACAGTATATCCTGTACCACAAGGTGGTCTTCCAAGTGTTGCATCAGTTCGTAAGGGTATCGTTTTGCATTTTTTTTAATGTTTCATTTAGGTAAAATTTATATTTAAGGAGGGAGGAGGGTTCGATTTCGCAGCAAAATTTTCCGATATTCAATTTAGACTTCATGATAATAATAATGACCCGCGTTATGTTCAACATTTAGAAGAGCTCCCTCAATATCAAGTTCATGATAGTTCTTTACTTCCTAACGTTGATCAGCTTGTTGTAGATGATATACCTAGTCTTTCCTATGTTAATAGAGATCCTCCTCCTAATTATGAAGATGTTGCTAAAAATAAGTAAAGTTGGTATAGTGTTATAAGTATCTTGGTCATGTCCATTTTGGTTTTATGCAATGGTTTTTTTAGTTTGAATTTATTTTTAAGAGTGAATAATTTTTAGTCAAGTTAAACAATTGTATATATGCTGTTAGATTCTAGAAATAATGGTATTTAATCTGATACAATTACTGTTGTGTTTTTGTATGGGTTATAATTTATTTAGATTTATTATGTTATTTTTAATGTAATAAAATGGTATGTTATTTTAAAATACAAATATAAATGCATAGTAATATCAAGTTTTGAATGATTATTTAATATAACTAAATAAATATAATGTTTACGTATTAGATTGTTATATAATTTGTACGAATTGCTAATTTTGTTTTTAGATGATATTTATTATAGAGTCAGAAAGCATTATTTTTATTATAATATTTATTTTAAAATAGTAATAAGCTTTGGATTGTCTAAAATATTTTTTTAACTTATTTTGCTTTTATACATATTAATTGGTTTTTCTTTGTAAAATTCGAAATTTTGAATATATTTATAGTATTGATTCTTATTTAAAATCCAAATAAAAAAGTTTTACAATAAAAAAATTGTCTAAATTTAAGAAAAATTCTATTAAATTTCAACGAAAAAATATTTTATATTGATAATTTAGATTTTAAATCATATTTTGTATTTTTATATGACTAACAAACGGCTCATATTATATATATGAGGTTTATTTCTAAAAATATATAGCTATTTTCCTAACTGAAAAAATTGATATTTTTAAAGATAATTTTCTTTGTAAAATAGTCGTTTAAGGTTTAGGTTTTGTAAAAAAATCTGGACAAGACTTCATAGGATTTTATTGATAAATGGAGGTAAAGAAAAAGGTATTTAATATTAGCTGATTTTTGATAGGGTGTTTCGAGATTGAGGTTATGGATTTCAGATATGGTATTTTTTCCTTTATATGTACGTGCAGAGGAAAGAAACTATGATGAAAAAGATAATTTAAATGAAAAAAAGAGGGAAAAAAATGATGAATATGATGATAACGATATGGATCCTGAAGATATTATGCCACAAATTCAAGAAGGTATATTTAATTTTGCTGATTTAATATATATATTATTTAATTATATGATTGATTTAAATAACAGAATGTTCAAATACAAGAAAATGTGCACCTTTAAAACATCATTATAACGAATGTCAGGAGCGTGTTTCTTCTGTTATTAATGAGTCAGGAAAAAAAAAATCAGATAATGAAAATTGTATTGGTATATTATTTCTTTATATATTGATTATTTTATTGATTTTATTATTAGAAGAAATGTTTCATATGTAATTGATTTGTTTTCTTATCTATAGTTTTGTAATTTTTTTTATAGGATGCACTGTATTGGTAATTGTTCAGCCAGTAGGATTTTTTCAAAATTAAAATAAATACCATGTTATTGTTCCAATAATATTTTTATTGTTTTTAAGTTAATTTATGTAAATAAAAATATGGTTTTATTGTTTTGATTTGTTATTTAATGTTCTATTTGTATTTAAAAATACATATATTTTTAGTATTTTTTATTAAATATATCTCGAGAATGTGATTGATTTTAGGGCTACTTTTCAAGATAATTTTTTTAGAATTATGTTAATATTTTATATAATATGAAATATTTTTTACACTTAAATTTTTGATATAAATTAAAATTCTAAATGATTTCTAAAGAGGCCTCTGAATCTATCCGTTCTAGGAAGCTATGTGAGATATGTTCTTTGAATTATCCATCACTTAAAGTTTGTTTAAACTTTTTTTTTTTTTTTTGATTGTTACAGCGTCCTAAAACATCTCAAAAACTATGTAAAGAATGTTTTTATTATGTTTTTGAGACAGAGATTCATAATACTATTATATCTAATTCTTTGTTTTCTAGAGGAGATAAGATTGGGATAGGTGCATCAGGTGGTAAAGATAGCACTGTACTTGCTTATATTATGAAAATTTTAAATGATAAATATGATTATGGATTGGATTTATATATGATATCTGTAGACGAAGGTATTCAAGGATATCGTGATGATTCCTTAGAGGTTTTTTGTTCTTTCTTATTTCTTAAACTCTGATAATTATATGAAGACTGTTAAGCGTATTCAAATTCAGTATTCCATACCTTTGAAAATTCTAAGTTATGAGGAGATTTATGGATGGAGTATGGATGAGATTGTTAAGCATGTGGGTAGAAAAAATAATTGTGAATATTATATGTATACATTGGGCTTTTTATTTTAATGAAATTTAAGGTACTTTTTGTGGTGTATTTCGAAGACAAGCTCTTGACAGGTGTGCTGCAATGCTGAATATTGATCATATAGTTACTGGACATAATGCAGATGATATTGCTGAAACAATTATTATGAATTGTAATTTTTGTTTTTAGAAAAGTTGTTAAAATTTATATATAATAGTATTACGAGGAGATATTTCTCGTCTTGGACGTTGTACTGAAATATTAACAGGAGAATCTAAAATAAAAAGGTCAAAGCCATTTAAATATACATATGAAAAAGAAATTGTGATGTAATATTCAATATATTTTTATTGAAAAGGATTTAATTTTTTTAGGTATGCCCATTTTAAAAAGCTTGATTATTTTTCCACTGAATGCATATATTCTTGTTTGTTTATTTTTTTTTTTTTTCTATTAATTTTTTTTAGCTGAAGCTTTTCGAGGTTTTGCTCGAGCCTTGATTAAAGAACTGGAATCTTTAAGACCTTCATCAATTATTGATATTATTCATTCTGGTGAAGCATTTTTACTTTCTGATACTGTGAAAAAAAATCTTCCTACGCAAAAGAATTGTAAAAAATGTGGATATATGTCAAGTAATGATTATTGTAAAGCTTGTATATTATTGGAAGGCTTGAATAGTAAGATTAGTAGATTTGGAATAGAAGAAATAAAAAAGTCAATGATTATAGAAATTATGAGAAATAGTATAAAAATGATAAATAATCAGAAGCATGAGGAAAATTAAAAAGGATTGGATTCTTAGATTATTGTTCTGGGTTATATTTTAAAAATAATTTGATAATATTTTGATTATGTTTTAATAATATATATGGCTTATATCTTTTTATTCATATTTTATCGTATTGAGAATTTAAAAGATGTTGAATTTAACATGTAATTTATTACTAATATAATTAGATATATTTATGTCTTTAAAATGATATACATTATATTAGTTATTTTGTTAAGGTTGTTTTTAGTTTTAAATTTTATTAATTAAATAAGTATTTTATTTTGTATTAATTATAATTTAGATGCTAGATTAATTTAATATTCTTAAAAGTAATATAATTATAACTATTTGAATAGCATTGTTTTAATATATTATTATAAATATAATTTTCATGTAAAAATTATAAAAATATATTTATTAAATTTATATAAATTAGTGTTTAATTTTGATATTTAAGTTAGATTTCATTAAATAAGATAATATAATTATTATATTATTGTTACTATTATTAAATTCGAAAATAAATTTGTTTGTATTATAAATTTTTAATTATAGTTGTTATATTTAAAATTTTGATGCTTATAACTTTTTGATAAAAGATTGAATTAAATTACCTAATTTTAAAATATCACCTATCATTTAAAGTATAGTATAGTCTGTTTTTATAAATAATATTTAAGAATTATATTAATTGCAACCTAATAAAAATTTTTTAATTTAAATAAAATATATATATATTTTTAAGCAATTATTTTTATTTAAAAACGCTTTTCCTCATGCAATAAAAATATTATAATGTATATATATCATAATTTCTGTTAGTTTATTAAATTTTTTAATATACAATCTATTTAAGAAGCTTTAATATTTTCAAGTTTTTTTATAATTTAAATATATATATTCAAAATAATTCAGTAAAATATTATTGGAAATCTTTAAAAGATATATTTTCGAGCATTTTTTATTTTTAAAAGTATGTTATTAATAATAAAATGTTAAAATTAATCATTCATATATTTATAGTGTTTCTTATTTTAATATATTTTGATTAAATTAGAAAAAAGTATTTTAAATCTTTTTTTTAAATTAATATCGAAATAATATCATTTGATTAAAATAAGAAAAAATTGATTTTGATATTATTTTACAGTTTATTGAAAATGGAAGAAATAAAATTGCTAATAACAGGGGCAAACAGGTTAGTTTAAATGTAAATAGATTTTTAAGTTAAACATATGCTAAGCTCGTATAGTGGACTAGGATTTGCTTCTATAATAAAATTTATAGAATATTATTCTCCAGTAAATCAGATCGATGAATATTTAACTGTTATTATTACATGTCGAACTAAAAAAAAAGCAGAGGATACAATATTTCGTTTAAGAAAGCATGCTCCATTACGCAAATTAAAATTGTTTTATGAATTACTAGATCTTTCCGAAATGGAAAGTGTGGAGGCTTTTTGTAAAAATGTATTATTGAAGTATTTTGTTTTTATTTTCTTTTGTTTCTTTTTAATTTATAAAAGATATAAAAAGTTGGATATTATCGTTTTTAATGCTGGTATAGGTGGTTTTACTGGAATTGAATGGTTCAATGCTCTTTGGGATATTTTTACAAATTTTATGAATGCTATAACATATCCATCATGGAAAAAACAAGGCATTTATGCTAAATCTAAAAATGAACTTGGTTTGGTTTTCCAAGTAAACTTATTTTCATATGTTTATATAGTTAGTAATTATCGTATTTTTAAGAAATTTCTAAAAAAGATTTTAGAAAGAGCGTCTTGCACCACTTCTTTTCCCTTCATCGCGTCTCGTTTGGGTATCCTCATTAGAATGCCAACCATCTGCGTTTTCTGTTCTTGATATACAATGTTTTTATGGAAAATTACCATACGAATCTTCGAAACGTTTAATGGATATCTACCATTTTGCTACTTATGAAAAATTACCTTATAATCAATATTTATGTCATCCTGGGATTTGCCGAACAAATATTATGTCAGAACACCTTAATTTTTTTTCTACTTTCTTGATGATTATTATTTTTTATATAGCACGTTTGTTGGGAAGTCCTTGGCATACTTGCACTCCTGCAAATGGAGCATATTCTATTATTTATTGTGCTACTAAAAAAAAGGTTCCTCGTGATATTAAATGGGGTAGCGGTACTAACAGATGGGGACGTTGTGTCTTGAGAGAATCTGATGTTATTGCATTTAAGGAAAACGAAATGGAAATAGCTGTTAATTATCTTCATAATTTGGTTAAAGAATGGAAAGATAAATTTTTTGTAGATTAGTTTATTTAGAAATTATATGTATTTTACGTTATTTTTAATATTAATGGTGACATATATGATTGTAGGTATTTGATAATAACATTGATTAATGTTAATATTTTATGTGTATTTTTAATAATTATCTATATTTAAATGTTAATAGGGCTAGGTAATATTTTTAGAGTGTCCTTTCAGCTTTTTAGTGCCGATTGTGTAGAAGAGTTGAAAAAAAAATCTAAAAAAAATAAAACTATTATAAAAAGTAATCTCTGATAATTTAGAGATAAAGTATTTTTTTTTAAAAAAAAAGTTTCTGCACCAACTCGAAAAAATAAAAAATAATAAAAGATTGGAATTTCTTAACTAATTATTAAAAGAATCAATATTTTTTAAAGAGGTTTTTAGAAAATTGAATTAAAAAAATGACACTTAAGAGTATTAGAAATATTGTATACATGTCATTATTAGCTGTTGAATCTGTATCTAGTGTTTCTCCTATAAATATTTCAGATGCTTCCAATAAAAATGTTTTGGGTAAGTCTAAACTAACACGATATGATGAAGTTGCTCTGTCTACCGAGGCCGCTGGCTCGGCTGATGATTCTTCTCGTTTGAATATTGGGGCCAATGTGTCAATGTCTGTTCCTCAAAATAGTCCTAATTCTGCTTCTTTGGTATGCATTTTAAATTTTCTTTGGTTTTTTTTGTTTATGAATTTTCAGTATGTTGGTGAACTTGACCCAAGTGTGACGGAGGCTATGTTATTTGAGCTTTTTAATAGTATATATTAATTGTTTGAGAATCCTGGTGTATTTGTATTGATTTATATAGATATTGGTGCTGTTGCAAGTATCCGTGTTTGCAGAGATGCTGTGACTAGAAGGTCTCTTGGTTATGCTTATGTTAATTTTCATAATTCTAGTGATGGTAGAAATGTTATTGATATTTTGGTTTAAATATTGATTTTTTGGTAGGTGAGCGTGCTTTAGAAGAGCTTAACTATACTTCAATAAAAGGGAAACCCTGTCGCATTATGTGGTCTCAGCGTGATCCTTCTTTGAGGAAAACTGGGACAGGGAATGTTTTTATAAAAAATTTGGATTCTAGTATTGATAATAAGGCACTTCATGATACTTTTACCGCTTTTGGAAATATTTTATCTTGCAAAGTTGCTGTTGATGAGCTTGGAAATTCTAAAGGATATGGTTTTGTACATTACAAAACGTCTGAGTCTGCAGAAGCAGCTATTAAACATGTTAATGGTATGCTTTTGAATAATAAAAAGGTATATGTTGGTCATCATGTATCTAAAAAGGACCGTCAAAGTAAATTTGATGCTATGAAAGCGAAATATACGAATATTTATGTGAAAAACATTAATCCAGATATTAGCGAAGCGGAATTTGAGGAGTTATTTAGGAAGTTTGGGAATGTCACTTCATTGAGTCTTTCTGTAGACGAAAATGGGAAATCTCGTGGCTTTGGATTTGTAAATTATGAGAATCACGAGGATGCTGCTAGGGCTGTTGGAGAATTGCACGATACAGAATATAAAGATCGTAAATTATATGTTTGTAGAGCTCAGAAAAAGCATGAACGGGAAGAAGAACTTAAGAAGCAATATGAACAGGCCAAGCTAGATAAACTTAATAAATACAATGGGATAAACCTCTTTGTAAAGAATTTAGATGATGATATAGATGATGAGCGTCTACGGCAAGAATTTTCTGTTTTTGGAACTATTACTTCAGCAAAAATTATGGTGGATGAAAATGGAAAATCCAAAGGATTTGGATTCGTTTGTTTTTCATCACCGGATGAAGCAACTAAAGCAATAACAGAAATGAATCAGCGTATGGTTTCTGGGAAACCTTTATATGTTGCTCTTGCTCAGCGTAAAGATGTTCGGAAATCCCAGCTAGAGTCACAAATAAGTGCTCGCAATCAACTTAGAATACAACAACAGGCCGCTGCAGCAGGAATGCCTCCACAATACGGAATAGCAGGTGCTCCTATGTTTTATGGACAGGGCCCTGGCTTCATGCCTGCTGGTCCTGTAGCTGATAGAGGTATGCCATTTCCGCAACCTGGCATAGTATCATCTAGACCACGATGGGTTCCCCAACAGGCTGGGCAGCCTAATGGACAAGCTATTTCTCAAATGTATTCTGGTATGTCTGGATACAATGCCTATCTTGCAATGCAGGGAAGGCCTCAAAGATCTGGTAGGTTTTTCTTTTTTTTTTATTTATATTAATTTTTTTTATAGGGCAAATTTCTCGTTCTCCTCAAGGTATTCCGTCTCGTCCAATGATGTCTATGGGTATGCGCCCTGCACCTGGAGGCGCAAGAGTGTATCGAATAGGCTCTAATATTAGAAATGGAACGAGGGATGGTATTGATGCTGGAAGTGATAATCAGCTTACTGCTGCTGCTTTAGCTGCTGCTTCTCCTGAAAATCAGAAACAGATGTTAGGAGAAGCTCTTTATCCTAAGGTTCAAGCGTAAGTGAATTTGATGGTGGTTATTTTTTTTATAACATTAGTAGACAAGAAGTTAATTTTGCTGGGAAAATAACTGGAATGTTATTAGAAATGGATAATTCTGAATTATTGCATTTGTAGTGTTTTTTTAATATGTATTTTATATACTAATAATTAATAGAATTGAAGATGATGTTGCATTACATGCTAAAGTGGATGAAGCTTTAATTGTTTTGAGAGAATATCAAAAAGATTCTAGTGTTCAGGACCAAACAATTGAGATTAATACTTAATGAATCATGAAAACGCTATGAATCTTAGATAATAAAAAAATGCATCTTTATTTGGCTGTAGTTTTAGATATTTTAAATTTCTAGCCAGTTAGACTTTATTTCTTATGTATTTTTTTTCCATCTTATAATAAAATATTGTTGGTGTTGATAAAGCATTTTTTAGTTTTTGAGCATGAATATATAATTTAAATAGATATTGTTTATCTAATTTATGTTTGTTTTAGAGCTTTAGTAATATGTTTTTAATGAATTAGATACTTAATTGTTTAGCTTTTTTAAGGAAATATTTGAGTTAAAATAAATATTAAAGAAATATATAAAAATTGTGTAAAATTCAGTACGTTAACGATAAAAAATTAAAAATAAAAAGGGAAAATATTATAATGAACATATACTAGATTTTCTCCGAAAAATGGAAAAGATAAAGTTTTAGACATGCATGATTTAATAAGCGATAGTAATAGCATATCGTTTTTAAATGTTACTAATTTTGAGGTATCAGAAAGAAAAGATCAAGATATCAATAGAAACTATGAACTTAGTAAAAAAAATTCTTATCTTTTTTCTAAATTTGAAACTAGACGTTTTAAAAGAGTTGTTATATAATCTTATTATTCCTAATTTAATGATATTAGATAAAAAATGTAGAAAATATTAAGTTTAGAAAAAAGAAGTTTTCAAATTTGAATTTTGATAAAAACATATATAACATGTCACCTGATATATGTCAGGACTCGGAATCATTATTATCAGATGCAGAAATTGGGATTATTGAAAATGAAAACACATGTTATATTTCTGAAATATTTAATAATGAACAAGCATCATTTAATAATAATGGCTGTTATGGCAATCTCATAAATGAAGATTTAGAACCTAACTGTCTTGAAGAATTTATTGAAACATTAGAAAGAAAACAGAAACATAATAGTTTTCTAAAGATTAATGAATTTCCAGAAAAATCATCTTGTGAAACTCTAAGTAATCAGGAGAAAAACAATGAAAGCAATTATTTCGATGGTTTGGATTTCATATTAGTAATAAATCATATTTTGATATTTTTAATTAGTTTCTAAAAAATTGAGTTTTTCGGAAATGATTGCACCTTTAAATGCCAATATTACAGCTAGCTCTTATTTGAGGTCTTTTTCTCAAAGCGATATTTCTAAATTTTCTGATAATTCTTTAAATGCACCACTTGCTAAGCCAATCCAAGATCTTTTTGATAGACAAGCAGCATATGATATTGTTAAAAAGGATTTAAAAAAATGGGAGGATGTTGTAAAAATTAATAGGAAATCTGAATTTCTGAAATTCCCTATTGATTCTTTAGAAAAACCAAAATTAACAAATAATTCATTATTTGCGAAATTTCAAGTTTGTTAATGTTTTCTGCATCTATTCTATAATTTACTGTATTTAGGTGTCTACACATTTTGAAAGAAGTATTGATGATGTTCTTCAGTCTTCGGGTTTAAAAGATGAAAGATCTGCTCTTGAATTTGAAGAATTATTTCTTAATAAACTTCCGGTAGAAGAAGTTGCTGTGCGTCGTGCTGAACTTAGATTAATTCGCGACTTAATGTTTAGACATGAACGCAAAGCTAAACGAATTTCAAAAATTAAAAGTAAATTATATCGAAAAATACATAGACATGAAAAAAAAAAAAAATCTTTAGCTTTAAGTAAAATCGATTATGATGGATTACCTTTTCAAAACGAAATAAATAAAACTAAGAAAGGAATTGATCTTTATGGTTTTGATAGTAATAAATTGGATAAACAGCAGCTAAATAATAATTGTTCTGTTATTGGTAATAAACAATTTATAGTAAAACAATTACAACATGATAAACGACTTCAAAAAAGAATTCGAGGTATATGTTCTTCTGATTCTGATGAAGGTTTAGACAATGATAATAAAAGTCCTGATATTAGCAATAAGGATTTATTGACGAATTTAATGAAGTTTAGAAATGAAAACATTAAATTAAAAAGTTCAATGGGTATGCAGCAATTTATGAATTCTGAGAAAGATAAAAAAATAAAAGACGAGGGAACTATAAATGAAGTATTAAATATTAAAAAAGACTCTGAAGTGTTATGTTCAGAATATAATAGTAATAAAGTATATGAAGATTTTTCAAATTCTATTGGACGGAGAATATTTAACCCATCTTTTGTAAGTTTTTTTTTTATTAAATTATTTGTAACTTTTTAAAGAATAAAGATTATGTTTCTAATATTAATGATCAAAAGTCTGTTGAGACTTTTAATATTGACAAGGTAATATATTTTGAGGTTCTGAAAATTGCTTACTTATCATATTGTTTTGAAGTCTTGGGATTTTATAAGCAAGAATTCATCAGGTTCTTCAAGTGCTTCAAAGATTTTAGATACATGTTTTAAAAACTATAATCCATGGTTGGTTGCAACTGATGAACTTTCACCTGAATTTTATGGATTAGGATTCAAATTTGATTCCGAAAATTTTAAGGAAACTAATGAAACAGAATTGTGTATAGATATTTCTCAAGGATTATTGTTTCCAACTAGTGAAATAGAAGGAAAAAATTATAGAAATGATACTGAAGAACATTTAAACATGATATATAATGGCTCAAGATTTGCTTTGAAACAAAAAGATTTGGTTGCTCGAGCTTTTTCAGGTGATAATGTTGTAGAAAAATTTCAAGAAAAATTTAAAAATGTCGAAGAATATGAGCCTTATAAAAAGAATGATATAATGCCTGGATGGGTATTTTTTTGCCGAAATACTTTCAGTTTATTGATAATTTTAGGGGAGTTGGTGTGGTTTCGGAATAAAACATGTTCCAAAAAAAAATAAGGTTTCTGATATATCAAAAAAGGATAGAAAAGATTTGGAGTTAAAAAATGTAATCATAAGTGATAAAAATATTAAGAAAGTATAAATATGTTTTTATTTATTAATGTTATTGAGTTTTATAGAGCAAGAAATTATTGGTATCTTCAGTTCCATATCCATATAAGACTAAAGAACAATATGAAAAATCCTTAATGTTGCCTCTTGGTTTAGAATGGACAACAAGAAGACAGTATCAGGTAATTTATAGCAAATATATATTTAATCTGCTTATATATTAGAAACTTATTACTCCACGTATTATAATAAAACAAGGTTCAGTTATTGAGCCCTTAAAAATATCTTAATTATTATAATTATTTTTATATTTGAATTAATATTTGTATATTTTTAAAAATTGAAAGATTATTTAAATATTAAATTTATAGAAATCAAAAAGGGTTTTAACTTTTATAAAATCATGATATACTTTTATATTCTTTAAGAGCCTTTATAATAGCAATAATTGTCGGTTTAAAATACTAATAAATATAAATATGTATATATAAATAGTAAATTTGTTACATTTTTAATTACTTCCAAACTATTTGTAGAAATATCATTGGATTTTATAATAGTATTAATGTTATCGTTCGTTTTCTTTAATAAACTAACAATTTGAGGAAGTTGTAAAATAATTGTTTCGTTTGATAAAAATTTTATCCAAAACTGATTTAAAAATTCATTTGCTGTTTCATGACAACGTATTATTTGATTTTTTATATCTAATGGAATAACTATTATCATAAATATATGCTTTTTATATAATATTTTCAACCTGTCTTGAAATTGTATCTTATTCTAGATTTTGCGTTAATTTGTTGGAAAATATCATGAGTTGTATCTCTTAATAACATGCTAATATTATTTATCTTTATTATGTCAAACCTAAATAGTAGTAAAAGATTACAAACGTTTATAATTGGATCTATTTGATGCTCCATATTTTCAAGTTTCATATATAATTTAGGTCTTTTCTACAATTATTAGAATATACAAATACATCATTATTTTAAAGTACGATCTTTTTGGAGTAATCTTCTTGGAAGATATTATTTTTTAGAAAATTTTTTTTTTGATCTTTTATATAAAGATAAATATTATCTTCATTTATTATTCCTTCCAAATCATTAAGAATTAAATCATTAACATTATCCTAAATTAAATTAGATGGTTTAAAAAAAGAAAAAAAAAACATTATCCTTTCTTTTTTTGTCTATATTTCTATATAGGTTAAAATGATTTCAGAATTGATGTCATAGTTTACTTTTTTAAACAATTTATCATTTTTGTAGAAAGATTGTTTAAAGAGTGCATCATATGTATGTTTTCTAGTTCTTTCATAATAATTGATGATTCAAAATCAGCAGTCTATTTTATTAAATTAAAAATAATTGCTATCAATAATAATAACCTTTGTAATATGATGTTCATTTCTTGTTAAATCAATGAAATATGATATATTCTTTGTATCATTCGAGTATGTTTGAATAAAATCTATTCTAAAGTCAATAGTTAAGTAATTTTGTCTAAATAATATCTACCATTTTCATAATCAAGATATTTGTCTAATATTTCATCATTGGAATCATATGTATTTATTTTTTCTCCACGTAGTTTTTTACAAAGACGAGATAAAAAAAAGCGTCCCCAAAAATCATCTTCTGATAACTATATAAAATATTAATTGTATAAGACTTTTTGAAAAATGCTGTTACTGGAGGAACATTTTCACTATAAATATGTTTAATTAATGGATGTTGTTGAAATATATCGTGAATCTTTTCTTTATTTAGGGATAGTTTAACTTTATTATTAATTGTTTGAGGTTTTATAGTGGTAAGAACATTATATGGGCCTCGTTTTTGAGCTTTTTCGACAGCATACGTTCTTAATAGATGCTGAATTGAATTAAAATAACATGTATGTAATAATATATATGCATATACTATTCGTGTACTCCAAAATTGTTCATTTGTAAGATTTCCTTTAACGACTGCCTCTGAAAATGTTTTCATTAATTCGTTATTGTCTTTAAGAAGAGATTGCTGTAAGTCAATATCCTGTTCAAAATCGTCTCTAGTTAATATATCGGTAACAGATTGTTGATTATGCGAATATTTCCTTTTTGAATTTTTTTTTTGGATTTCTAGCTTAAAATTATTGCAATCATCTTGAGCTTTTGGTGATATAAATGTAAAAATATAAGATATTATTTCATTTTTCTGATCTCTTTTAAAAATTTTTATCATTGCTTTGGGGCTTGTGATAGGTGTAGCCTGTAGATCTTATCTAGATTAGACCTGTATATTATTTAATTTCTTTTGTTATACTTTTGATTGAATCTAAAGAAATGGATATAGTAGGCATTTGTTTTCCAAATTCCATCCATTCTATATTATTTTCCTTAAGAATAAGAATTCCTTATTGGTTAAATATATTTTGTATGAAGATCGTTTGTAAAACCTTTTATTTTTTTATATAATACTTCAAAAGTTCTTATATCCATTTTTCAGATTTCCGCTAGAATTGTTAAAAAATTATTTTATATCAATAATTTAATAAAATTATTTTAATAAGAATTTATATACATGAATTAAAAAAATAAAGAATTATAAATTCCATAGCAATATAATCCTAAACTATATGTAAAGCTATGTAAGTTTAAATTCTATATACATTATTTTATCCTATTTTTCTTCGTGGTCGTCGTCCTTTAATTTGTTTTTCTAAAACACATTCATCACAATACCATTCTCCTTGAGGTGGTTCTGGAAGACCAATACCTAACATTTATAAAAAAAAACAATTATAATAAAATTTAAATTACATGGTAAATGAAACCATTCCCGTTGACATTTTTTCCCATCACACGCAACCATTTCTCCATATGAAATTTGATCGCAATAACAATATGTGGGTTCGTTTGGATATAATAAAATGTTAATTCTAAGTAATATATAGTAAAAAGTAATAAACCTGGATTTGAGTTTTCTAATCTAAAATATTTAATGTAAAAGAATAAAATTGTTTAAGAATTTACTTTCTAATAAGTTCTCTTCTTGGTTGAAAATGTGATTGCTGATTTTGATCTTTTGATTTAAATTTTTCACATGTATTTCCTCTCTTCCTGTCTTTATCAGGAGTATTAGGCCTTGGAGGTGTTGTTCCTCCATTAATATGAAATATTCTTTTTTTTCTTATTGGAGTAGAGTTTTCACGATGATTTCCTTTGGAATTATTGGGAATATTAAGTTCTTCTGTAGTTGTTCTTTTAGTTGAGACTGTTTCTTTCCGATTTTCAGATTTAGAGATGTTTATATTTGAAGAAAATGCTGGATGATTTGTCGATCCGAAACGAACAGCAGGAGGCATTTCATTTTCTATAAGAGAAAAATCGGAATCAAGACGTTTAAGATGTTTTTTTATAATATCTCTAGCTGATGATGCAACCGAAATTTTTTCGTCTGCATAAGGAATAATCTGTATAAGAAGTGAACGTAATCTAGAAATACATATTGATTTGTTTTCTTGAAATGACTCTGTATTTGCTAAAAGATTAGAAATAGATGATGATATAAGATGTTCAAGATCTTAAATAAATAAGATTAAGGAAATTTTCTTTACGTTTTTACTTGAAACTTTTGCGTCAACTTCGCGTAATAATGTAAAAATTCTTGTTAAATCTATAGGAAGCGCTTCAATTGCTATTAAATAAAATGAGCAATATTGATAAAAATATTATTATTACCATCAATAAAATCATTTAAAGATGCATATGTTTCCCCATTATTGTGTAGAAATTTATTAGGTGCTTTCATGCAAATTTTTTATTAAACACTAATTTGTAATTATACGTAAATTTATCTTGTTATAATTTTTAATTATATATTTAAAAATTTAATAATAGTATTAAATCCCTAATATAAATATTATAAATAAAATATTAAATGAGTTGGATATTTTGATATTTCAAATATTTTTTTGTTAATAATTTTATAGTATTCTAAAAATAGTATAAAGATAAAGATATAATTGTTTTACACTAAATTATTCAAAATTTGGTTAAACTTAAAGATGTAATATTCTCATTTAAGAGTTATTTTTCACTGAAAATTTTGGTTTTATTCTAATAATAAATGATTTTTTAGTATTAAGATTCAAGTTTTGTAAATATTGTAATTGAAAATATAATTTTAAGATAATAATGAATTTAACGTTTAATGATACAAATTCACATTAAATGGATAATAGCAAAATATGATTTATAAAAATATATATTATATAATAAATTAATTATTATATAATTTATGATTATATAATTAATTTAGATAGAATTTAATATATTTAAAGTTTTTTTTCTTTTTTTGTTTTAATTTTACATTTGTAATAATATATATATTATTATTCATCATAGATTGATAAAATTTCATGTCAACATTTGTTATTTAAATAATTGTTATAATATCTTCAAATTTATAGATAGATGAATATTTATTCAGGTTATATAAATGATTTAAATTTTTTAATTGTAATTAATTGATTTTAGGGTATTAATCGAGTAATTAATTTTAAAAGTTAAATACATTTAAGGAATAAATTATATTTATAAAAAAAGTTAATATAAAATCTAATAATGGTATTTGATGCAGCCAAACCTATTAAGAAAAATAAATCGTTTTCTTCAATGGAACTAGTTCTTGATGAAGAACGGAAAGAAATACTAAAGTTTCTAGAGACTCGTGAAATGCGATTATCGACGGGATTAAAGAATAAGTTAGTAAGTCCCAATATTATATCATGTATTTAGTTTTAGATGTTTTCTTGAAAACGATTTGGGAGCTGGGTTTAGATCTGATATTAATTTAAGTAATACACTTAATGTATCATCTTTGTCTAGAGGGTATTTAAAAGTATCTTTAGATTGTGATTGTCTTATAAATAATAGTTCAGGCTTTTTAAATGAAGTCAAATTCTGTTTTTATATGCTTGTTTTTGTTTTCTAATCGTTTACTTTAGTTAAGTTCTATTTTTACGAAATCTTCTAGTATTAAAAATGTGATGCAAAAGATTTTAGATAATGTTTTTTAGAAAAATTTGATCGTAATGATCCTATTGAATCTAATTCTCATGATGGAGAATGCTTCGATAATTATATAAGATCGGCATCGCCATATTTAAATTCCACTGTTAATGAACTGGAGTCTTTGTCTCTTTCTAATAGTCTTGAAATTCAAGGTTTTATGCTTTAAATTTTATTGTTTTTTGATTTTTAAATTTTTAGGAAAAAAAAATCCAGTTAACCCAACGAAAGATACTTATCATTCTTCTATGTTACCATCTCGCATTTCAAAAAATATAACAAATAAAATTCATACTTCTAAAAATGCTTTAAAATCCAAAGAACCTAATATTTTTTCGCAAACAAATATGAATTTTTCATTGGAACAAGAGATCAATGCTGATGAGGATAGAAGATCGCAAAATATGAAAATTGATATGGGAACTATTATTTTTACAGAAGATAGAACCATAAGGACTATAAAACGTGGAGAATATCCCTCATCTTTTAGTGGATCTAGAAGAATTCGTTCATATCTTGTTTCTATTGATTTAAGTTCTGAATCATTATATGCTTTAGAATGGGCTATTGGGACTATTGTACGCGATTATGATATTATGATGATTGTAGAAGCTATAGATAAAGATGACAAAGATGATAAGGGTATTATGGAGTTGGAGAAAGAAAGATTAGCTGCGATGGAAGAGATATGCCAGATTACCCAAAAGCTACTAAAAAAGACAAAATTGATATTGCAAATTGAAATTGAAATAATTCACCATAAAACTCCTAAACATTTATTAACAGAAATGGTACTTTTTTTTTTTTTTGAAATTGAGATTTTTGATAAAAATTAGATCGATTATCTAGAGCCTACTCTTGTTATTCTTGGTAGTAGAGGATGTAGTTCATTAAAAGGGTTTTTTTTTTTTTTTTTTCTATTTTTATTAATAGTTATCTTAGAGTTATTTTAGGGTCATTTAGTAATTATATTGTCAATAAAGTATTTGGGTTTGTTTTAAATTTTTAAAAAATTGATTATTGTGTAGTCAAGTGTTCCTGTTATGGTTGCTAGAAAAAAACCAAGAAAATTGAAGTCAAAATATGCTGTTTTTGGCACAAATATTCGTATGGCAAATAATTTATTTACTAAGGTTTTTGGTTTTATTTGGTTTCAATAGCTAAATTGTTAATAGACTATTGTAGATTAAGGTTTAGTTTATATAAATATCAAAGTTATTTAATCTTATTTGATATTTATTTTATTAATGTCTAAAATTAATGATTATATAATATTATGATCATATAAACGTTTTAAATGTTTTAATGATAAAGAGAATACACATATATCAGATATTAAAGCATAATTATTTATTAAGGGTATGCACAAAAATGATATCAAATTTAATATTAAATTCTAATTTGAGTATTTGCTTTATTTATCTAGTTTAGAATTAGTTAATATTTAAATTTACACGAAAATATTTACTAATGCTAATTTATGTAGTTGTTCTTTTTTCTGGAAAATAGAACTGGTTCCATTTATAACAGCAATTAGTTCTTGTGCTAAACGTTCTGAGAAGTTTTTACTATGTTGTTTATTACTGGCTTCAAGTATCCAAATAATTGCTTTTCTATGTCGCTGATGTTCATTTAAAGGAACTGGCATTTTTATAGATTTAGTTCCTTTTTTTATGAATACCTGATATTGTTAGAATAATATTTTATTACTAGACTTATAAAATATACAAGTTTCATTAGGGGTGAAACTGCTTTAATAGCTTTAAAAAGAACAGAGTATGGATCTGTGTTTATCTTTTGTTTAATGTATATAAGTGCGTTTTGAAGTTGTTTTTGTGCTTTTGCTTTTTTTCCATTTTTCATTATGATTCCAACGGTATGATTGAAAAGTTTATCGAACTTACTAAATTGTTCTATTTTTGTAAATAAATCAAAATATATTAAATTCCTAACTAGCCATTCAAACTTTGTGATTTATAGTTTTCTTCTGAAAAAAATAAATTATTTCTATTATTTAAGTTGGATGTTTGTTGATTTATATTTTCGGTAATTTTAGTTTTAGATTTGTTTTTAATAGATTCTTTTAAAGTCATGTCTCCATATGCTTCAGTTTTTATTGATAATGTTGTTCTTTTCTTATCTATTTTCTGACATGTACTTATTTCTTTTTCATATAAAAATATGATTGAACGATTAAAATTGTAAAATTTAATTATTTTGTTTGTTATTGGATTAAGAAATCTAACAAAAATTATATTGTTATTTGATAATAAATATGTCATTTTTAGATTTCGATATAATGTAGTTGTGTAGTTTTTATGATATTTTGAAAATCTGAATTTATTTTTATCGAAAGGATATAATTGAGCTTCGAAATTTTTATATCTAATGGATATTTTTTTGCTTTTTAAATTTGAGTTTTAAAGAAATGCTTATGTGTTTTAAAAATTTCTAAATGTATTCATTTGAAGGTAACTATAGGTTGAAGCGAACTGTTAATCTTGGAGGAAAACAAAAAGAAAGTAAAGAGCTTTTATTGAGGAAAGTTGCAAATGATAGAAAAAAAAGAGATAATGAGCGCCGTAGACATAATGCTGCTATCTTATTACAGGTTAGTACTTAATTTATATTTTTTCATTAACGAAATAAGAAAATTATACGTTCCAGAATAGTTATGAAACATGTTAAGGATACGTTTCGCCTTGATTTTGATCATGATATTTTAAAATATAAGTCTACCTTGAATTTTTCAGAAGATCTTTTTTTAAAAAATATCAAAAGATTGATATTTTTTTATCAATTAAAAAACGATTTTTACAGATTGTATGAAATTGTAGATATTATTTCAAGATATATTGATTTTGGAGATATGTCTTTTTTTCATGTTTTTCCTAGTATTTCTTCTTGGGTTACATGTCGTTTTGGTGGTATTTTGATAGAAACTTTAAATTTTACTAGGTTTTTTTTACAGGTATTTCTTTATTTATTAATAAAATTATAGTGATATTATGTTTCATAAAAAAATTTTTGGGCTTTTACCTGATCTTGCTTGTTCGAATGTTTTTTTAATTAGTTCTGGTTATTATAAAGAGCTTTGTCTTTATATCTGTAAAAATGTATGGTATCGCAAAATTATATTATTTATTTGATATATTTATTAGGAAACATCTTTCACTCCTTCTATTATGTCGCTTTTTTTCAAAACTATTATGAATCCTTTAAAACATTTTCTTATGTCTGAATACTTAGTACAAAAAATAGTGTTATCTGAATTCATTGTGAATTTTTTTGTTTTAACTAAAAAATATGATGACTTGTTGGACTCTGTGATATATCAACTTAAGCTTTTTTTTTCTAATATTATATTTTTGCGTATTATATTAGATATAAACTTTGAATGTTTTTTAGAGCAAGAGCTTTTATGGATATTACATAATATATTGTTATATGTAGTAGATTCGGATAAGAAACGATTGATTTTATCTTCCTTTGATGAAATAGTATGTATTGGTTGATAATAAGCTATTATTTTTGGTATAATATTATATAGGATTTATATTCTCGCTGTGTTAGTGAAATTTTGATGCAAATATTTAAAAAAGTCAGAGTTCCTATGGAATCATATCATTATGATAATTCTGATAATGAAAGTATTGATAATGTACAGTCGATAACGAATTATAAAATTGTTTCCGAGAAACTATTTTTTGAATTAAATCTTACTTTTATTTTTTCGACTGAGCATATTGCTGAAATTATCGCTTATGTTTCTCCTTCTACTGTTGTCAGTATTTCTAAATTCTTTGTGATGTTGATGGAGATTTGGCCTTCTAAAAAATCAGAAATAATGACGCAGCTTGTTATTATTTCTACTGATACTGATGAACATAAAAATATAAATATTTTATTTGTATTATGGGAGAGAGTTAAATTAAATATAGCGGGACTTCAAATTATAGAAAATATAGATGTTTGTAAAAATAATATTTTTTCCACGTGGAATGATGAATGGTATACTATGCTTCTTTTATTTGAGTTATATTCTCGAATTTTAATGACTATGGTAATGCTTAATTTTATTTTGTAATATAAATCTAATTTAAAGATCGATGAGGAGTTTATTGATCTTATAAAAAAAAATCATGCTTTTTATGATATACGGATTTTGGTTGATTTCTTGAAAGTATAACGTTATATAATCTAGTTGTTTTTTTCTAATTTTTTAAAGGATTTGTCTTATGCACTTTATTGTTATAATGAATATTCTGAAACACAACTTTATGTTTATGATATAAATTGGCTTAATATTGTTCGCTTACGCAACGTTGTTACAAGATTGATACATCAGTTATTTATTCGGGAGTATTTTTTTCTTGTTATTATATTCGTTACTGATTTTTAGTTCTCGGAAACAGTTTTTTCCACATGATTATTGGTTAATGACTAATCGATTTGATATGTCTATATTCATGCCTTTTGTTATTTCTGAAATGATAAAAAATCATGAAAATTATAACAATAAGCAATTACCGAATTCTTTTTTTGGAAATGAAGGTGATAATACTCTTTTTTCTATGAATATTTTGAGAGATTTTCCTTTTTATCTTCCTTTTTCTGTTAGAATGCATATATTAAGAAATTTAATTGATTATGATATGGATAAATTTGGGCATTCTGATTCTTGGAATATAATAAATAGGTTTTATGTAACAATTAGACGTAATAATATATTTAATGATGGATTCGAATCATTGTATACTATTGGTAAGGATATTAAGAAGCCAATTAATATTGTTTTTATCGATCAATATGGGCTGCCTGAGGTTGGAATAGATGGTGGAGGCATAACAAAAGAATTTTTAACATGGTAATATTATATTATATTATTACATATATTGATTTTGTATAGTATCTGTAAACAAGCTCTTGATGTGAATTTTGGTTTATTTCATGAAACCTCTGAGCACATGTTGTATCCTAACCCTCATTCATATGCTTGTGAATGTATAAATTTAATTTTTATTTTTATATAGCTGATTTATTAGCATCTCAGCTTCAATGTTTTGAGTTTTTGGGAAAATTAATTGGGAAATGTATATATGAGTCTGTTCTTCTTGATGTTACATTTGCTCCTTTTTTTTTGACAAAGATTTTGGGGAAAAAAAGTTATTGTAAGGTTTATTATAATATTGATTATTTTGAATTATAGCTTTGTTTAGTGGATGATTTAGTAATATTGGATTTCGAATTATATAAAGGACTGGTAGTGTTTATTTTTTTATTTTTATTTTTTTTTAATGATAAGATGTTCTTGAAGCGATATACTGGTGATGTTCAAAATGATTTTTCCCTTAATTTTACTATTATTGAGCAAGGTATCTAAATATTGATGATAATTTTTATTGAAATTTTGAGTAGAGTTTGGGAAGACTACTACTATAGAATTAATACCTGGTGGTTCAGACATTTCTGTAACAAATACAAATCGTTTACAGTATATATATACAATGGCTGATTATCGGCTTAATAAGGTTATTTCGAAGCAAAGTTATGCTTTTGCTAAAGGGTTGTTTGATATTATTGATATTAAATGGTTATCAATGTTTAGTAGTCAAGAATTACAAAAAATAATTGGAGGTTCATCTTTACCCATAGATATAGATGATTTACGTAATAATTCTGTTTATGGGGGGTTTCATGATAATGATCCTACTATTGAACTTTTTTGGAGTGTTCTTTATGAATTTTCTGTTTTTGAACGTCAAACATTTTTAAAGTTTGTTACTAGCGTATCAAGACCGCCTCTTTTAGGTTTTAAAGATTTAAAACCTTTGTTTTGTATTCGTGATGGTGGTGATGATACTAATAGGCTTCCTACAGCATCTACTTGTATTAATCTTTTGATTCTTCCAAGGTACAATGATAAAGCTACTATGAAAAGGTAACATAAAATTATATATCTAAAAATATTAATTTAATTGAAATAGTAAACTTTTATATGCTATCAATTTTTGTGCAGGTTTTGATCTTTCTTAGTTTTTCTTTTAGATATTCCGTTTTAAAATATATTAATCATTTTATGATAAGAGATTTTCAATGGTCAATTATTTAATAGTAAAAAAATATAAATATATTCTACTGTTTTTGGCATTGTAAATATTGATTTATCCATATTTTTATAATGGTTTATGTTTTTGTTAATAGATTTATACTTTTATTTTAAAATATATATAATACAGTATTGTATATGGTTATATAAATTTGTGTATAATTTATATCATATTATATATTCATTATAATTTTAATTAGTTGTAATTAACATAATATATATCAATATTCTATGAATATAAATTTGTTAAAGATGTTTGTATATAAATAAATATATATATATATATTAATTAAAGTTATATATGAATTTTAATCAATAATTTAATCAAGAATGTTAAACGCTATATAAAATATAATATTTTGAAAAAATTATAAATTAATACCTTATACAACATTAAAAATATATAGATATATATATAATATATACATAGATATAAATATATTGCTAAAATAACAATATTTTGGTATTTCTAATTTACAATTATTGGTTATATTAGAAATAAAATATGAATATTTAATAGAAATTAATATATATATATATGTATTGGAAAAAAAAAAAAAAATAAAATGTTTTTTAATAATATATTTATATTATTTTAGAAATATCATAGTTAATATTTAATATTTTATTTAATTATTTATAATATACATAAATTAGTAATATTTCGAAAAAAAATATTAAAAATATTCATACATTATTATAATTCAATATAATTTTATTATTATCAATATAATATTTTTAGAATTACGATTATTTAAATTATTGGATTAAAAATAAATTGAAAAAAATAACATGTCTTATCAAAAAAAAATAAAATTAAATGATGATGAAAATAATATTTTTATTATTAGCCATGCGATTTTAGAAAATGATTTTATAAATTTAAAAAAATATGGGTCACAAGGCTATAGTTTTATAAATAATAAATTTAGAAAGAAAATATGTAAACAACTTTTCCGTATCTTTATATTTTAATATTTTTTTATAGGGAAAATCCTTATATGTCCAGAAGATAAAAAAGTAGATTCTAAAATAGATTGGAAATTATTACCAGTACATAAAGATGAAAACCAAGTTCAACTTGATGTCAATAGATCATTTATATACTATCCCAAAAGTAGGCTATACCATTTCATTATTAAAATCTAACATACAAAGAGACCTTAGCAATCATGAAATAAAAAAAAAAAGAAATGAACTAAATTCATTAATTGTAGAGATTCTTCGAAAACATCCAAATCTCAATTATTTCCAAGTAACAAATATATATATTAATATATTTTAACATATCCAGGGATATCATGATATTGCTCAAGTATTTTTACTTTGTATAGGAAGAAAGGAGGCATTTAAACCTTTAGAATTATTGTCACTAACACGTATCCGTGGTAATTAATAAATCTATTATTGAATTAATTCATTTATTTTCAGATTTTTTTCTACCATCATTATCTCCTATATTAGATCATCTTGAGTTTATAAAATTAATTGTTCAAAAAAAAGATCAAGAACTTGGGAAGCATATTGCAAATGTTCCATCACATTTTGCTTTAGCTTCATATTTAACATGGTTTTCTCATGAAATAAAACATCTTAAACATATTCTTAAAATATTCGATTTTATTATATCTACTGATACTGCTATGGTTCTTTATATTTATGCAGCAGTAAGTATTTTTTTTTTTTTAAATAATATTAATATAAGATTATTATCCAAAAAAAAAAAGAAATAATGATTATTGATAAGGATGATATAGATATTTTACATAAGTTTCTAAATGATTTATCTCAAGAATGTCACACAAAAGATATATTCCGAAAAAGTATATCTTTAAGAGAAGAAATACCTCTCCGTGCTTTACCAAACTGGAAATATATCATGAAATATAGTTTCTTAAAAGATTCTGAAACAATATATAATTTAGAATATGCATCAAAATTATATTACATGGAAATAATTGAATTAAGAAAATCAAAATTACATCAGTATATATTTACTAAAAATATATTGAACAAAACTATATTAATAGCAACAGTAGCATTATTTAGTGTATCAATTGCATATTTCAAAAAAATTATTAAAAGCATGTAAACTAATAACTTTATATGAATATTACAATACATATTTATTTATTTATTTAAATATTACTGAAATAAAAATACCACATTACACATAAACTTTAAAAAAAAATATATATAATTATTTAATTTATGAAAAGTATATATATACAATAATATACTGAAAAATGTACTAAAACATAGTTCAAACAATAAATAAAATTACTATACAATTTTTTAAATCATCTAGAAATTACTTAACAATTGTTACTACTTTATTTAAATATCAATTTTAAATTATTAAATAATTCAAGACATCGAAATAAGATAATTATTTTATTACCAAAACTTAAAGTGTACTTTTATAATTAATAAAGCTTATACTATTTTTTTTAAATCTGGTACTAGTATATAAAACTTTAAGATAACATTTTATGACATCAAAACAGTGCTATTTAGTAATCACATAAAAATCATTGATAAATTATAGTATATCCTTAATTTATTTTCACTGTTTAAAGTAATAAAATATAACATTACGTAAATTGCAAAAGAAAAAAAAATCAATCAGCCTAAGTATAATTAATATCACCATATATATATTTTTATATTTAACAAATATATAAAATTCATATATATTACAAATCTAATACATCAAAAAAAGAAAAACGTTGAGAAAAAATAAAAAAATGCAAAAAAAAAAATATCAATAATATAATATATTATATTGCTTGTCTTTCTAAAACGTTTTTTAATATTTTTATTTTAATATATTTTATTTATTATATTTTATTAAATAATTATCATACTGAATTTTTGAATTTCTTAATATATTTTACGATTTTTTTCGAAAGAGTACAAATGTTATAACAAAATTTAAATAACAATGATATGATTTTTTTATCAATAAAATCAAAGCATAATTGTAGAATTTATATCAAATAATTCATCAAATAAATAAGAAATATATAAAAATTAAAAAGCTAGAAAAAAATTAGATATAAAAAGATTTTTCATGAAATCCTTAAATAAATTATTTGTTATAACAATTATTATGATTTTTTGATTTTCAACAGTGAACGAACCTGAGCATACGATATGAACTTAAAAAATAAAATATATAAGCTAAATTAAAACATTGGTGTATTATTTATAAACTTTCAAGGGCATGTCAATATACATATCATTTAAGTAAAATAATAGTTCAGTAATCATCTATCCTTCTATTATAAGCACTTGAATATCTATCAATAAAAAAAAGACAATTAACTTTTGAATATGGCCAATAAAAACAATATCTTAGGAAATTATAAGAAATAATTATACTAAAAATAATAGATGAAAATAAAGAATGTTCATCTCAAATAAAACAATTAATATGATATATTTAACCAAATATTCGATATTACATATAACATGAAAAAATTTACTCAGTTGATATTTTTTATTTCACAAAAAAATACATTAAATATTAAACCTTTAATTTAATTTGCAGAAAGTTTTAATTCTGAAATATTAAAACGTAGATGTAAAGGAAATTAATTTTTAACATCAAAAATATAATAACAAGGATATATTTTGCATATTCAATATGCAGGTATAGTTATTTTATTATCATATATTTAAGACCTATATCAGTCAATTCAAAAAAAAAAAAACATATAAATTAATATGAAAAAAAAAATATCAATAACAAATTATTAACTACTTATACTAAAGCTGAAAATATAACAAAAGGGAACTTAGAAAAAATAGGAGTAATAAAATCATAATTGTTTATAAAATTATTAATGATTTAAATTAGTGTTCAGAAATAGAAGACCAAACACATGATCTTTATATTAGATATTCATATATCGCATACAATTATAATATATAACAAATAAAATAACTTAGAGATAATTTCAGAGTTAATTATGAATTCGTCAAATAAAAATATTAAACAATATATAATTTACAAATTAATTAAATTTATAGCATTATTTTATAAGTACATAATTGAAAAGGTTATTACTAAGTATATATTTATTTTTCATAAAACCTTAATACTATACCAGAGCTCTCAGGAATCTCAAATAACTTAAACTTTCTTCAAACAATAAAACTAGAAAAACTATATTTCAAACATCAATGTTATTTTTCAATTTCTATGGCATATTTTTTTCTTTTAATCTATATATCAACTTTAGCGCTAACAATACGAAGCTATGATTATGTATTAAAGATTTATCTTGCAAATAATAAAAATATGATTTTTATAAATGCAGACAAACTTATAGAATTTAAAAAAAAAAGACAGTTACAAAAATAAATAGATTCAGCACATTTTCATGAATGGCTATTCCATAAACTGATAAGGAAGAACCATTATTAGAAAGGTTTTTGTTTATGTTTTGATATGTTTATTTTGATAAAGTAGATATCTACTTTAAGAACAATAGATAATACTCATCAGAAGCATAATTTATCTAAACTTATAATTTTTATTTCAAAATTATAATCAATATTTTTTAAACATGATTTTTTGATATATCATATATTTATATAGTTTATAAAGAACATACAGAACAATCAGTTAATAAAAGCATTTTTTTAAAAAGCTTTTTGGGAAAATAAGGCATCTTTAAACGTATAACTTATAACATAACATAAATTAATACTATTTTAGAATTCAATAATTTTAGTTCATTTACAAAATTCAATCTTATTATATGTAAGATATATTTATAGAAATTATTTATAAGCGTCCTTAAAATTGTCACATAAATATCAAGTTATTTTCTTAAATCTTTTAAATGTAAAAACATTTGAACTAATATTAATTTATATATAATTAAAAATCAATTTAAAATAATAACTTTAATTATATATTGGCATTTTTTAAATAGTCAAATATATACAAAATATTTACAAAAAATAAGTTATTTTTCATTGGCAATAATAAGTTTAAAGCATAATTTAATAATCAGAAACAAAACTTTTATTTTAAATAATTCTATATAAAAAAATATTCCAAAAAAAAAATAAATATAAAAATATATAATTTTTTAAAAAAAATACAAAAATTTCAATTGCTCGCGCACAAAATCAACCATGTCTAATTAAAAAACTTAAAACATCAAAATAAATTAAGTATTTATTGACCAGCACTAGTTCTTTTAAATCATTAATATGGAAGTTTTATTAAAATATACTTACCTAAAAATAAAAACGTATGAATAAGTGATAACATCTACTCAAAGATTTTAAAGTTTTATAAATATTATAGAATATCATAAATCATGACATATTACTAATTCAATATCCCAATAAATCCAATCATTTTTATTTTTTTTTCACAAATCAATGTAAAACTTATGTTTAAATGGAGGAAAAATATCTTTATCTCCTATATACTTTGATTCTTTTATATTTTGAGTCTATTATCTAATATTTATAAACAGCAAGATCAGTATGTTAATAAGTCCAATTATATTATTAAAAAGCAATTGCAATTTTTGATATTTATATATAATATTTCCTTAATCATGTATTCAAAGATGCATTTTTCAATGAGGCCTTTTGACAAAATAGGACCATAAGCGCCTACTTAAAATCTAAGTATTTATTAGAATCTTTATGCTAAATTTTATAAGTTAGTGAAAAAATAGCATTAAGAAAAAACATTAAGTCGATTAAAGTCATTGGCTTCAATAAAAAAAACGAAATTGAGCACCTACAAAATTTATAGGATTCATTAATTCCTTACATATCTCATGATTTTTCAAAATTAATAACTTATAAAAACAAAAAATGAAAACAAATTAGCAATCAGTGAAAATACTAACACTGAAAAAAACTGATAGAATGCTACCAAAATCATTTTTAGAAGTATAGAAAGAATTTCCGAATAATTTAATTATAAGAACAATCAATATCTATCGATAAAAAAAACATTATAAAATAATTTCAAAATGCCTCAAATTCCATATATACAGTAAGCATAATCTTTTGAAAAGCTTTCAGAGTGTAATTAAAATTCTAATTTATATATAGTTTCCAAAAAAAACGAACAGAAAAAATTGATTGGATTGAACCATTGAAAAAATTTATTCAAGATACATCTATTGATGAAAATCAATATATCAATGTGATTTTTATTCTCTTATTGAAAAAGACGCACTTATATTTAGGAATGTAATATTCTTAATAAATTACGTCAAGATATACAAGAAGAAAACATGGATGTAATAAACCTAAACATGCTTTATAAGTATATCTCAATATATAGTATTATATCATTTTATTAATTGCAGCTGCCAGATACTACGGACAACTTGAATTTTTAGGTCTTAGATTTCCTATAGATGAAAAGAATATACGGATTTTATTTACATGGTAATAATAGTTAGATATTTTATTTAGTATAATATAATTATAAAGGTACTGCGCATTTACAAATACAGCCATATCGCAATATTCATTAGCATACGAAAAGGCATGTGTTATGTTTAATATTGCAGCAACGCTTTCTACAATAGGAACAACACGAGACAGATCAAAAGAAGATGAAATCAAAAAAGCATATCATTATTTTCAATCATCAGCTGGAATATTTGAGTTTATAAACACAAATTTTTTGCATGCTCCAAGTTTTGATTTGGAAAAAGATAATATACAATCTTTATGTGAAATTATGCTTGCTCAAGCTCAAGAAGTCCTTTGTGAGAAACAAATAAATGAATCAAAAAAACCTAGTATAATATACAAACTTTGTGCACAAACAGCTTGGTACTACGAGAATATTATAAGCAAAATTTCTAAAAATGTACAAAAAAAAATTTTTAAAAAATATTGGTTACAACTTTGCGAAGTACATTTTTGTTTTATCCTAACTAAATGTTAATAATGTTAGATAAAACAGAAATACTACAGCTCTATAGCGCATTTAAATAAAGCTTTAGTTGATGAAGAAAATAATAAATATGGGGAGGCTTTAGCACATTTAGCAATAGCGAGTACACAAAGTCGCGAAGCTTCTAAACTTTCATTATCCTTACTTTTGTCAATATCTACTTCTGATAAACAGAATTTTGATCCAATGTCGTATTTTAATAATATAATTAAAAATCTTTCTATGCAAATACAAGAAAAGAAAAATAAATTAAATCACGATAATGATTATATATATTACCAATCTATTGTTAGTGAAGAATCACTTAAACCTCTTGAAAGACTTTCAATGGCAAAAGCAACTCCTATCCAAGAAATATATGTTAATCAAAATATACAAGAATTAATTGGACAAGACATTTTCTATAAGTTTATACCAATATCTATTCATGAAAGCGTCTCTTTATATTCAGAAGAAAAGGCAAAACTAATTAGAAAAGAATTAGAAAGATGTGAAACTGCAGATTTAGAATTGGATATAACGTTAAGTCATTTAAAATTACCTGACTCCTTAAAACAATATAAATATAATGATTCAATAATAATAAAAGAATTATCAAGAGTTCCTGAAGAAATTATTGAGTTATCGAAATCTATACTTGATCAAGAGAGGGATTGTAAAGTTTCATCACTTATTAACAGTCTTTTAAATCTGAAAGAAAAAATAAATATAGATCTAAATGAAATAGAATTTATTATGAATGAGGAAGAACAAGAATGTGAAACAATGAGGGTAGTATTTATATTTTTATTATTAATTACTGATATATACTAGGAAAAATATTTGCACAAATGGTCACAGATTCCGTCTAGCTCATTGACTTTATTAATGAAAAAACAACTATCCTTATACAGAGAAAGTCTTTCTTCATATGCTAATTTACATTCACAATTAATATCTGAGTACAATTCTTTTGCTCATCAAATAGCTACATTAATTGAAGGAGAAAAAAATATTGAAAAAAATTATGAACAAGAAATTAAAAAAGCTATTCAAAGCTCTCAAACAAACCTTTTGGATCTTGATGATTCTAGTGATATTCAAAATGAAGTAAATAAAATAGAAGATATGTTAAAAAAACTAAATATTATCAAAAGGGAGAGGCAAACAACTTTAAAAGATTTAAAGGAAAAAGTACAATAATTTACAATACAAATATTTAACTAAGTTTATATATCTAGATATGTGATGACGACATTTCAAACATATTAATTCTAAAAAAAGCAAAACCGGACACAGAAAAACAAATTTTTTTATCAGAACTTGAAAAATTTAAACTTCATGAAACTAGACTATCTGAAACTATTTATCATCAAGCTCAAATACTTCGAAACCTTACATTAGATTTTGAAAATTTACAATCTATTTCATCAAAGTCACCTATTATTCAGAAATGGACCAAAATAACTGAAACAAATACAAATGTTTCAAATAATTTTAAAGGAACATATAAAAAATACTTCGATATAAGATCTAGAATTTTGTAAAGTCCAACAGTATTGTTTTTATATCACTAATATTATAGAGATATGATTTCATCCTATAAGGAACTGAAAAGCCTTTCCAGTTTACTTTTACTAAATACCAAAAAATTTGTAGATGATCGAAGACACGAAGGAGCAAACATTTTGTTTCATATAAAAGCTACATCTTAAGAAAAAATATATAAAAGATAAATAAAAATTTGATATTGTTTAAATATAAACTAATTACATTATTTAAATGCACTTATCTATTAGTAATGTATATAGTTATCACGAAAAACATTCATCCAAATAATACTTAAAGCTACTGTCATTAGAATTTACCGGGATTTTACATATAATAATATTGCTAAAAATGATAAGTGGTCCTGCAAGAGGAGCACCAAATTTAACACTTTTAAATATAAACCATTCCGTAATAAAATAAAATATCACAATATAATATGTCCATAATATTATTTCATAAAATATTCATATATATTATTTCATAAAATATTCATATATATTATTTCATAAAATATTCATATATATTATTTCATAAAATATTCATATATATTATTTCATAAAATATTCATATATTTTTACACAGAATTAGACATATGATATGCTCCATAGAATCTTATGATTACTGAAACCAATGTCCATGTTCCAAAAAGCCTTGTTCCCAAGGGATTTACTAATCATATATATATATATATATATTACTACAAATAATACTTATTTACCCTGATCATAAGCACCACTATATACACGTTGTGTTAACTTCAAACTAATATATGTTTGAATTGTATTAAAAAAAGCAATTATAGATATAATAAGATTCCATTTTGGCAAATATCCTTCCGGTAGTCTATCTAATAATATTTTTTATCTAATTTTTTGATTTTTGCCGATAATATTTATCATCAAACCTAGTAGTTTATAGTTTTACCTCTAAAAGATGAAAAACCAAGGGAATTTAGCAACAAATGATCAATATTTTTTAGAAGATTCAAATACTAATAGAAAACCATTTGTTTATATAGACTTTGAGGATGGAATAGAAACTGTTTTAAAAAACATAAATATATATGTTAGTAATGAAAAGTATTTCATATAATAATCAAATGAGCTCCGGGTTTTTTGATTTAATATATAGGAATACTTATATAAGTACACTAGAAGAACCTATTTATATGACAATTGTACTTTGGAATCTATTATGTTATAAACTAATATAAAGTATAACAATATTAAAATAATAGGTATCGGAGCAAAATATATACTATTTCCTTATAAAGATTGCAATATCTTACATAACTGTATTTTTTCAATAATATCATCCATTCAATTAATTAATTATTTTAGGGAATTTGTAGGGTCCATTTATTTTTTGTTTTATTTTTTCTTTATATTTATCATTAAAAACGTTAAAAAATGAATAAATCAATATTTTTACAGGAGTTTTCTGTATCATCTGGGTGAACAAGTTGGTTATAACTTTAAATCTCAAGCTTTTAAAAGTTTCAATGTATACTTTTTTCAAATTACAAATTAACTATTAAAAGAAATAGATCACTGTTTCAATCGATATGTATTCCTGGATATTCTTTATTTCCTTTTGTTATTTGCACTATATTCGTATCTCTTAAACTTTTTATTTTTCGTCATTAATATATACCAAAATTTTTTTACACATACTATTTTAATTAGATTTCTTCTAACAATTGTTGCATATATCTGTTCAACTTACGATTTGTTTATCTTTTATAATTATTATTTTCTAAATGTTTATAGCATCACTTAACATTATAAACAATTTTTCTTTCGTTAAAAGAAATATTTTTGCTATTTATCCTCTTTTTCTCTGTTATTTTTGTATTATATTTCTTTCTTTTTATATTTTACTCATTAAAATTAGTAATATCATAGATTATTTTTTTAGAATTCATATAATTTAGGTTCTCAAAAAATATAATTACGGATTCGTATTATTTCTGTACTTTATTTCTATGTATTCGGTATTCTTTTAAAGTTTTTTTATTTTTCATTACAATTCTATGAAGATAAATAGGTTCACTACTTATTTATTTTGATCTAATTGGCAACATTAAAAACTTTAATAATATACCCATAAAAAAGCTATTTGTATAGCTTTTTCCTTTATATTTAGAATTATTATTAACTATAAGATTTATATATTACTAGTATATATTTATTTTTATTAAGGACATTTTTTTTAAAAAATTACAACGGAAATACTACAAAAAACAATACAAAAACAATTTGGATTCAATATATATCCAATACAAAAATATTGATATATTTTTCAACAACTATTAAAGTCTTAATAACTACCAATACATCCTATATATATTAGCCCATTCCTTTAAATAATTTAAAACAAATAAATGTTTGCTATATATAAAATAATATATATATATTCTTTATGTATACTTTAGATGTAATCTTTTTTTCAATTTTTATCTGCTCCAAAAACAGCAAATCTACTGTCTTATCGATTGTCTATTTCTCTATAAACTATCTGTCATGTTATTGTGCGTCGAATGCGCTCATCCTGTTACAAGCCTTTATACAGAATATTCAAAGAATAATTTTAGACTAACACAATGTGTATGAATCTTATTAAATTTAGACTTGACTAATCAGTTAGCCACTTTGTAAAGGATTTGCCGACAAGTATGTGGAGTTTGATTATGTTATTATAACAATTGATTTAATGCTTATAAAACCCCAAGTAAGTCGTTCTTTTATTGTTTTTTCTAATAGAAAAGGTATACCGACATCTATTATTTAATCAACTTGGAACACAAGATAATCGTTTTAATGTGTTAATAATTAATAAATCATTGAATCTAATTTTTATAGCCCTATATTGTTCGCTTCTGGCCTTTATTAATACTTTTTGATGTCTGTAAGACTTTGATATATTTTGGTTCAATACTTTTTACATCAAATAGATCTTATGTGGCTACGAGCTGATCGGCAATCAGGACAAAGTATATCAACATCTACATCTTCACAAGCTATTTTGTCAAGCATAACAAAATGCCTGTATTTTTTAATTATATGTCTTCTAGAAACTATTTCTTTCCATTGGGGGCCTAGAATGTTGGCACGACAATGGTTGGGATGGCAAAGGAAAATTTTATTATATACTTCCAGCATAACTTCATTAACCAGTTTGCAGACCTAATGCCATTTCTACTGCAATTCTTGTTTCTTCAGGAGCCCGATTACTACCTGTATTAATGATTATATGGTCTTATGATACACCAACAGCTAACCAAATCATTGAATGGGTTGTGCTTTATAGTAACTTCGAGGCAATCAAAAGTCATTTTTATTGATTAATATACATAAATAACTAATTTATCCAGTTCAACTAAACTGCGGAGACTTAAAAGCTTTAATTTTAGTTCTTTCTGGTGGGCTATCTAGGGCATTGGTTTTTTCTTTCTTTCTAAAATATACACTTGATATTCCATTGAGAATTCATCTTCAAAATCGCTGGCTTCCATGGAGTTGTTTCAATAAATGTATCTACAAAATCTCTTAAATATTTATATTTATGCCAGAACTTTGGACCATAACGAATTATTTACACCTTTAAAACAATAACTAAACCGATAATCACTTTTTTAACCTAGTCAACTTGCTTTTTGTGGTGCCAACTATAAACATCTTAGTAATAGGCACTTTGTCTAGAAAATAATACCAAAGGATGTAACTGTGCAAGGTATCTAATTACTTTAATTATTTATATTTATATATATGGAAATTTTACGTAATAGCCCATATTAAATAACAAACTACCAGTGATAAAATCAATACCACTCTTCCAACTCTGAGTTATCTAATGTTAACTATACTATTCTCTGCCACACAAGTACAATAGCAAAATTGCACCAAAATACCACTCACCTTTGTGATTCATCCAATGATCGTTTATAAGCAAGCCAACTTATTAGTCCAAGTATGAGCCCTACCGCAATCACACTACCGGACATCTTCTAATATAATACCATATATATATACTGTTCCTGTTATAATCAAGATCTCGATAAAATATTCGTAGGTTTTTATAAGCTATCAGTATACCTATTTAAATATAGGGTTATATTTTAAACATAGGGTTAAAAGACTTAAGCTCTAATCATTTCTTATCAAACTGATGGAAAGAACAGCAAAATTAGTAGCAACAGGTCAAAAAATCTTTAAGACTTTAATAATAGCAGCGAAGAAAAGCTGCGAAAAAATAAAAACATCAAGTAATGTTTTTTATCAACCAAATAATTATAGGGTTTCATTAGAATATAATGTTCAAGTTGCAAAAGAACTCATAAAACAAGGTAAAATACAATAAATTAGTTAATATCAAACAGATTTAAGTATTAATTTCTAGTTTGGATTCAAGAACGACTGAGACCACCCTCAGTTGCAGAAATTAAGTATACATATAGAGAAATTCCTAAATATACAAACATTTCATATTTTTATTCTTTATCACAAAAAGAATGGATTCAGCTTGGCATTTTTTCTCTTCAAGTATACGGGTTCTTTAAAATTGGGGAGATTATTGGGAGACGTCATATCGTAGGTTATAAAATCTAATAATATTATTATAGTTTGGTAATGGTAAAACATTTAAAAAATAATATTTTTAAATTGCAATTTGTTTTAAGATAAATAAGTGGAATTTGTTTTATTTGAAATATATAATGCTTTTGAAATGAAAGTCTATTTCTTTAAATCAATTATTAATACTTGTATTTTTTTTATTATGAATTGAAAATGTGCAAATCGGTGTCCTTTGTGGAGGAACTCGCTTAAGTTTTTGCTTTACTTTTTTCGGGATTTTAGGAAGTAAATTAATCATCCATTCGGGAACTTCAGAACCTGATCTTTGCATAACATGAACAATACTATTACTAGATAGTAAAGATATAGATAATTATAAAATAATACCTTCGAAGATATTTAGTGTCTGAAGTTGAAAAATAAGTAATAGCTTTTCCGAATCTACCAGCTCTTCCTGTTCGACCAACCCGATGAATATAGCTTTGAATTGATACAGGAAAATCATAGTTAATAACAAGTGTCACTCCTTTAAAATCTATGCCTCTTGACATGATATCCGTACAAATCAAAACAAATATTTCTCCCTGTCGAAATCTATAAATCAAAGAATCTTTTTGTGCTTGTGTTCGTTCACCATGCATTACATCAATATTAAATCCTTCTAATTTAAGTTCATTATATAATTCATTAGCCCGTTCAACAGACTGTACAAAAATAAGTACAGGGGGTTGGAAACCTCCTTCATGAATTAATTGTCTCAAGGCAATTAATTTTCCTTCTTCCGAGCCTACATGAACAAGCCTTTGTTCAATTGTGTTAGTAGTCGTGTCTCTATTCATATTTAAATCAAAAAAATTAAAGAAAAAAACGCACTTTTTTCCAACAATGAGACGAATAGGATGATTCATAATAATATTCAAAAGATTTTCAACACTAGAAGATATTGTTGCAGAAAATAAGGACTTTCTTACATTCGAAGAGAAATATGTAATAAGCCTATTAGTTTGCTCTATGAATTCATGATCAAACAATCTATCTCCTTCATCAAAAATAAGGTGTCGCACACTATAGAATTTAATATTAAGTTTAGTTATCAAAAGATAATACTTTTCATAATTAAGATTTTTTTCAGAAATTGCTTTTAAAACCATTTGAGGAGTAGAAACTATAATATCATATTTGGAGTTCACAATATTAGAAATAGTAGATCTTCGGAGATGACAAATTTTAAACTTTTTACCATTAGTAAGTTGCTTGATTTCTCTATAAATCTAATAATTAATAATATTGAATAACAACGAAAATACCTGCTTGGAAAGCCCATTAACAGGAGTAATTATTAAAGCACGAAACCCTTTATCAGAGTGTTTTTTAAGATCAAGCAATATTGGTATAACAAAAGCTAATGTTTTACCAGATCCTGTAGGAGAACAAACAAATAAATCTCTGCCAGAAACAGATATAGGAATAGCCTGCATCTGAACAGGAGTAGGGATTTCAAATGCACATTTTTTGATATTTCTTCTAATGAAATCTGGAAACAATAATTGTTCACTCATTGCTGAAAATGTCATTATTGGTGGTGGAACATCATTTCCTGTTATACGAATATGAAATAAACGTCGGATCCTTTTAGCTTCTTCATCTGAGTACGGAAACAATGGATATTCTATATTAACTTCATTATTTTTTATAATATCAGATTTTTTATCTATTTTCATAAAAATATAAACATATATAAAACTTCAATATTTTATACCTTCGTTATCTTTTAGTTCTTCTATTTTTCTCTTTTTAAGATTTGTTCCTCCAGTTAATATTGAAAAAGCATCCATATGTTTAAGTACTTCGGTTTAAGAATTTCAAAAGAAAAAAATTACAAAATATGTATTTATTTATTATAAAACAAAACACACAAAAGTTCTCTAAATGCCAGTTATGATATTTAATATAATAATAGAAATATATATATATAACTTTTTTTTTTTATAAAATTAAAAAAACTATTAATTTTTAAAATTCCCCATTAATAATAGATAGTTTAAGAGAGGATTCCAACATCTTAAAATGAGGATTCCCAAATAGATGAATATTTAATATCGATAAATTTGAAACCATTAGATTTATTACCTATATTTTATAAAAGTAAATAGAGCAAAACTATTAATCTCCTAGATTGTATACCCTAAACTAAATACCCAAAAAGTAATGCAAACAGATATTATTGCTTAAAGTTACCCAAAAATATCGGATGAAAATATGATTAAATAATTATAAATATTCCACAAAATGATAAGATACGTCAATTTACCATTAATAAACAATCTAGTCATCCACTGTCCCATCACGAGGACGATACTGGACATTACGACGATCGAGCTGTTCAATTATCTCCTCAGGTAATCGTCCTTGTACACGAATAGCATAAACACCACCAACAAACCGATTAATACGCTGCCACTTAGCTACCCAAGATTCCGTGGGCTGCATTACAGCAAGAACGCCTTCATAAATAGGTGATGTACACTCTTGCACAGAATCTTCTGATGCTGAAATCTGAAGAAGCATTTCACAATTAGGACATCCTGACTTTATTAGCTGCAAAAAACCTGAAAAAAAGATTAACCCTGTGATAAAAAGTGTTTATATGAAAGGATAATGCCACATAAGAGACATGCACGAAGATTTTTTCGTTCTGCTGAAAGTACGGATGTTAAAACTGCCATTTATTTCTATACTTTTTTATAATGAATTTTAAGATATACAAATGTCGAGTCGTTTTCGAGCTTTGAAAATATTAAAAATATCTTTTTGACAATATTTATATTTCATTAAGAAAAACATATGTATTTTATAAACTATTAAAAATACTACTACTTTCTGTTCATAAACAAATGTTTATGAATGTTCATACATCCTGTGATATATAATTCATAATATTAAACAATGTTTATTTCGATAATACTTCTACATGTTAATATAATTTTAATAATCTATATACTAATCTACAATTTAATTCCTGATGTATTTTTCTGTCTTTTTTTAACCTATGAAAACATACTATATCTTATGATTTTGATCATATTCATATATAAAACAATTTAATAAAACTTATCTCTTAAAGTAATGAAAAAACATTTTTAAAAAAAAAAAACTATTATTGTTTATTTAGATATCACAATTATAAGCAAATCTTTAAAAAATTTATTGTCTTTTAATCAATATATATCTTTAATGAGTATAATTAAAATATTACTAAAATTAAAATATAAAAAGAAAAGGATCTATATACAATGATGACTCTTAATAGCTTATATTTCGTTTTATAATGACAATGTTATATAATTTTCTACAACTGATTATCAAAATATCAAGTTTCCACTTTTTCAAAATATTTACAATTTTAATACATTTTACAACTTTTAATAAAAGTAATAATATTTAGAAACACTAATTAATTCATTTTAAAATCAAATATATTTTTTATCTTGAACATTAAGAAATTTAAAAATAAACATAATTTCTTGACTTAAATTATTAAAATTTTCACTCAATTACTTTCTATAAAAATAATGTTTTTCAATCAGCAATCTATCTCAATCTTCAAATATAAAATATCTTTAAAAAATAAAATAATAAAATATAAAAAAACTAATATAATTTCTAAATTGCATGACTTTCTACACTCTTATAATATGAAAAATAACTAAATATAAACCTATTTTAAAATTTTAATAAAAATATACATTACATGTGCATATCGGTCAACATTATCTAGTTATATGCTATTAATATAAACAATTATATATTTTTTATCTGATAATAGGTCTTTTTAAAGACTTTTGTTTTTGAAATATATTGTTTTAAGTAAATAAATATTTTTTACTATTTACATTAATTATCTTTTATTGATTGGTAAAATAATTTCGTATAGAAAAAATCGAAAATTTTAAAATACTATGCATTTTAAGGTATAAGATTGACTTTCTAATAAGAAATATAATTAATAAATAGTCCATTACACATATTCCTTCCTCAAAGGAATTCTTGGATATTGTTTTATCCAAAACTCAACGCAAAACACCGACAGTTATTCGTCCAGGATTTAAAATTTCTCGTATTCGGTTGGTTATTGCCAATTAAAATGACATTTTTAAGATTTTTAGAGGTTTTTATACTCGAAAAGTTGTATTTACAAAGGATACATTGGAAAAGAAGCTTCAGGATATTCTCGATGAATTTCCTCGACTGGATGATCTTCATCCATTTTATGCAGACTTACTAAATGTTTTATATGATAAAGATCACTTTAAAATTGCTTTATCACATATTGCAACAGCAAAGCATCTTATTGATACAGTAGCACGAGAATATGTTCGTTTACTTAAATATGGAGACAGTTTGTATGATCCATAGTGATTTAAAAGCTTATTGCTAATATCCTCAAGATATCGTTGCAAACAGTTAAAAAGGGCAGCTCTTGGACGGTATGTTAGAATTTGGAGATGGAATAAACTAATAATTAAGAATGGCGACGATTCTGCGCCGTCAAAGTCAGGTTTTAACATACTTAGAACAAGTTCGTCAACATCTTGCAAGACTCCCTTCAATAGAGCCAAATACTCGAACTTTGCTTATTTGTGGCTTACCTAATGTTGGAAAATCATCTTTTATGAATAAAATAACACGAGCAGATGTCGAAGAAGCTCCATATCCTTTTACAACAAAATCTCTTTTTGTCGGGCATATGGATTATAAATATTTGAGATGGTACGATTTTTGAATATATTCTAATTATTTTATGTTGATAATCTTTTAGGCAGGTGATTGATACTCCAGGTATTCTGGATCATCCATTAGAAGATATGAATACTATAGAAATGCAAAGTGTTACTGCACTAGCTCATCTTCGAGCATGTATTCTTTATTTTATAGATTTAAGTGAACATTGTGGGTATTCTCTCGAATCTCAAGTAAAATTATATCATAATTTAAAGCCGCTTTTTTCTAACAAAGTTACCATGCTTATTATTAATAAAATAGATCTTATGCATCCAGATAATTTAGATGAAAAAAGAAAAGCATTGCTTCAATCAATTTTGGATGACGAAAATGTACAAATGGTCGAAACCAGTTGTGTAACCGAAGAAGGAGTAATGAATGTAAGAAATATAGTATGTAATATATATGATTTATCTTCTTACCTCCTTACTTTTAACTAGTGCTGTGATAAATTATTAGAATCCAGAATAGAAGTAAAGCTTAAAGATAAAAAAGTGGACAATATCATGAATAGAATTCATCTTGCAAAACCTGTAATAAGAGATAGTATTGAGAGATTACCAATTATACCAAATGGTTCAAAAGATAGAAAACCGTATGATTGGAATGATCCTAATAGAAGAAAATTAGAAAAAGATATAGAAATGGAACATGGAGGTCCCGGTGTATACAATATTGATCTTAAAAGTAAAAATAACAAAATTTTTACTATTACTAATTATACTAGAAAATTACATACTTGAGAACCCTGAATGGAAGCTAGATATTGTGCCTGAATTATTCAATGGAAAAAACATATATGACTTTATCGATCCTAATATTGAAACCAAGCTTGCTGAATTGGAACAAGAAGAAAAAAAACTTGAACAAGAAGGCTTTTATGATTCTGATGAAGAAATTGTATGTTTAAAAAATCATATTGCTTTAATAATGCATTATTAGGAGGATGAAGAAGACACTAAAATATTAGAAAAAGCTAAATTTCTTAAAGAAAGAAATGACTCTATAAGAAGAAAAGCTAAGTCTAAAAAAGCATTAAACAATAGAGCTATCCTCCCTCGTACTATAGGCCTAAAATCGGTTTCAGAAATGAGTAAACATTTAAGGTCAATTGGATTAGATACATCATTTATACACGAGCGCTTAAATTCACAGTCAAAGGAAACCTCAAGTTCAAAACAACTAAATGAAGATATTGAAATGAAAAATGTTTCTAATGAATCACATTCTAGAATTCCAAATAAAAATCGTAATACTAATGGTATTGCTGATCCTTTGACAAGATCAAAGGCAGAAAAATTGGCTAGATTATATCAGCGTAAATTAAAACATCTTGCCATGGCATCAGAAAGCGATAGACGCGTTTTTAATAAAAAACCAAAACATCTTTTTTCAGGAAAACGTAAAGCAGGAAAAACAGATAGACGTTAATATTAATATTCGATTATTATATAATATTAAAACAAAATTTAAAAAAATAACATTTAAAATCAAAATAAATTATTATGTAAAACATTTAAATTATCATGTAAAAACAAGAATTTATAAATTACTATTTAAAAAAATAATCAAATTATACACAATTTCAATTCAAACCAATTAAACCACATTTTTTTTTAGAAAATATCATATCAAAATTCTATGATATTACCTAACAAATATTAACACATATTTATTGAATTATAATAAGTACATTGTTGATAAACGTTCGGACAAGTTTAATAAAGTCTAAAAAATATAAAAAAACAGTTAAATATAATATTATAAAACCTCATAAGCTTCCTTATGAAAACAAAGTTGAGCATCTATAAATTCTTTGAATTGTAAAATCTAAAAATTATTATTTATAAATTAAAATCCATATTATTACCAATTCTGGAATCTCTAAAGCATTTTTCATAATTTGCATTGCCTCTTCAACTGCAGTTACAAAGGCATCTTCTGCATGCTCAATATCACGGCATAGCTGTTCATGTTTTTCAGGTCTTACTGTTTTTGCTGATGATTTGAATGAATCGAGATCTATACGCTTGACATTAACATTTTTTCTAGCTTTAGCTACACAATTAAAGACTGTGGACAAATTTGAAGCAAGATATTCATTAAAAGAGGTAGATATCCGTGAATCTTGCTTTAGACGAGAATTGCCAACTACCATTCTCATCAATAACAAAAAGAAAGGGCTCTTAATGTTTTACTTTTGTCTTGCGTATCTGCATAAGCTATTAAAACATCTTTCAGAGGGTTTGAATCATCCAGCTGCTCAGAACTCGATATAGCCGCCCTGGAGAGAGCATGAGCTAATGTTTTTGTAACACCTTTACTCGTAGGCTTTAAAAATGCTGCTTGTACCTCCGTAGCGGAATGTGCTGATGCCAAATTCTGAACTTTTTCCTGAATTGACTTCGAAAATTCGCTAAATGTTTCTCGCTTTAAAAATTAGCTATAAATTCAACATATAAAAACATTTTTACAAGATTTGCTGGATAATCATAAGACTCATTGTCATATGTTGACCTATATCAATATTTAAATCCCTTTTTACCATGCACAAGACATACGTGACAGACAAAAGCTTGGAATAAACAACTTTAAGCTGATCAACATGACATTCCAATTCCAAATATTCTTCCGGAAGTTCTGTCTATTTCATACACTATAAATAATCATCATTAATAATGAAATAACGGCATACCAAATTATCTACTGTTCCAATAGTTTCGCGTACAAGTTGCGCCGTCCTCTACAAAACGTATTAATATTAAGTCAAGTCTATAAAGATAATATTAATATTTAAAGTGCTTACCTTTGCCAGCGGTGAAATACCTGAAAATGACTTATTAAGGTTGATTGAATGAAGACTTTTAAAAGCGTCCATTATAAATAAAAAATAATACTAATAAACCTTTTTTTCTAAAAAAAATACCTCTAATTTATTAACAAGTAAATATAGATTACTTTAAAATACCGACAAATAGTAAAAAAAATTAAAAAAAGATGTTTCTACTACCAATTTCTAGAAAAAATCATAAAAAACAGGCAAAAGCACTTAAGGAAACTTATATGAAAATATATTCTGGCCTAATAAACAAAAACTAATAGAGTTAGTCCAGAAGCCTTTCTAAACAAGAAATTTGAAGAGTCAAAAAAGATATATTCTATAAGAAAACACCAAATTAAGGCAGTACATACGATATTACACCTTTCCCTGCTTAGAAAAGAGTTTTTAAATGCATGTTGTGCATTTTCTATTTTGATTCGTTGCCGAGAGATTCGTTTATACGATATATGGGACGTTGGACTAGAAATTCTTAAACATATTGATCCTGATCAGCAAGAAAGATATCTTAAAGGGTTGATGGCGTTTTATCAAGGTCCTATACGTTCTGATTCATCAAAAGATAAAGTTGTATATGTATAAATTTTTAAAAAAATAATATCAATTTAATGAAGATTTAGGGAGAAGAATTCCTTAAAGCTCTTATACTTTTATATATTGAAAAAGGAGAATTTGAAAAACTTTTGAATATCCTTGAAGAGTAAATTATTTTTTTTTTTAAAAAGCTAATTAAATAAGTTATTTATTATCTGCACCATATAGTGAAAATTCATTATTTTATGAATATGCAGGGATGGCAGCATTAGAATTAAGTCAGAAGACGACAATTACAACAGAAAGCAAACGATTTTATGAAAGAGCAGAATATATGTTTCAAAAAGCTAAAGAAAAGAATAAAAATATTTCTTATGAGAATGTTTTTAATATGTTTTCAAACAAGAATAGCAAAACAGAGAATTAAATCATCTTTTATATTAAAACATATGATATTTTACAAAATAATTTATGCGAAAATTCGAATCATAAACTATAAATATTTTTAGAGTCAGTAATCCATATCTAGATAAGTATTATCAGCAATAAATATTTATTGCATTACCACATAAATCTTTGAAGGCTTCCAGGTTCGGATTCCCAAATAAACGGTTTATATAAAAATATATTTGTTGTAATATAATTAATATACAAAAATAAAAATACTTCTGCATATAATCTTAACTTATGAGAACTTCGAATACTAAATCTCCATAAAAGATATGGTGTTATAAAATATCGGAATTCTAGTAATGATACAAAGCCCAAAACTAAAGTTGTAGCAATTGTAAATAATAGAATATATGAAATTTTATGATAAAACATCAATTTATTCAAAACAGCCCACATACTAGCATAGTAAAATGGTGCAGCTATATATTTTGCCATTGGGTGAACTTTAATAAGTCTTCTCCATATATAAAATGTATAATGTCTATTATCTGACATAAGAAATGGATGTTCTTTCCTATTTTCGTTAAGAAAAAACTTGAAAATTTCCTAATATACGTATTGTAATATATAATTAATTCCATAATAATTATAATTACACATGTACGAAAACATGCCAATTTACTTCCGAATGACCATTTGAAAAAATGTGTAATAGTTCTATTAGTTAAGAGGTATGGAGATCCCCAAAATGCTGTAAAAATCGAAAAATAAAATAATTGTGGCAAATGTATCATAATAGTATGATTTGTCTTATCGCCTACAATATTAACAAAAAATAATCTAAACTAAACCATACCCAGAACAACACCTCCATTATAAAGAAGAAATACACCAAATAAAAATACAACAATAATGTATGGCCATATAACTTCTATTATTTGCTTATATTGTTGAAACAAAAAACGATACAACGACTTAATAAAGCAAATATAGTCTTTATATTAATAAGCCTTTCTCTCAAAACACTTATCCTACCAAAAAAGTTTGCATTATATGCAGGCACATCATATACCATAAATTCCTGGTTACTTGATTTTATAGATCTATTAAGAGGAAAAACAGAAATACCAATTAAAAATAAAACCCATACAATATTTGTCTGTCTAATTGTCAATGAAAAAAAAGAAACCTAGATGCATAAGTAATAATAAAATATGTATAGGCTAAAACTATAGCACTTGTTTTATACTGTTTTCTTAATGCTAAAAATAGTGATAAAAATACAACAAATGTAGACATAACATCAGTATAATATAAAAAAGAATAGAAATATAATAATGGAAATTGAGCTAGTATTATCCCTTCTACTTCATCCATCTCTGTTGACTCATTCTGCCGAAAATATGTTATAACTTTACCAAAGCATAATCCACAAAGACTTCCTGTTATAGTATTTAACATCCTAAAAACTGACAAATCACATCTATTTATTACATCTGGTATAGCACAAAGTATTATCAAGTGTATCCAGTACCTACAACCTATAAATCATATACCTAATAGTCTAAAATATCTACATTCCAGGAGGCGTAGTGATCTTATCATTCCATTTTAAATAATTCCCTTGGAAATATTCTTTCATCTGATTTACATGAAAAATCTCATCCTAAACATTTTAGATATAGTTTTCATAGATCTTTCTAATTGAAAAATCCATTTATTTACCATGTAAGGAACTAATACATGCTTCTGAATTGAAAATGCATATTGATAACGAAGCGCTTCTATTTGAAGTGCTAAGTTTTTTAGCACCATAATATATATCAAAAGCACAAAATAATATATATCTAATAACGTTCGGTATAACCCAATACAAAACTGCCTTTTCCTGATTAAAAAAAGATATTTGTATGAAAGATAGACAGACAAGAGTTATTATTTATATATTATATATATTTTTATAAAAGCATAAGATATTATTAAAGATGGGACTTTTGATATCAGGCACGCCACTTTCATGGCAAGAAACACAACAACAAGCAGATTACGTACGGCAACAAGGCATCGAGGTATAGGAAAATCCTATAAAATATATAAATAGTTGTAAAGATAGTAGCAATTTCTTCATATATGGAAAGAAGCAAAAAAAAAGAAAAAAAAACAACTACTTTGGGGAGATGAGGTATAGAAGACAAAGAATGAGTATATTGTGCCAATATATGTTGAATAGATAGAATATATGTTAATATCTTATGATGACAAGAACAAAGTTGCTTCTTTATCACTTCAACAAAATAATATTCTTAAAAAAATTGAGAATTATAAAAAAGCTTTTGAAGATCCTAAATTACTGAATTATGGAGAAACGTAAACACATTTCTAAAAAGGGTATTAATAACAATTTAAATGTAGAAAAAAAGATATTCTTCCGTCTTTTCATTCAGAATATGGAAATTACATGATTGAGGGGGTTCCAGGTATTCCTTATGGAGAAGAGATTGAATCATTATTAGATATTGAAAAAAATATGAAAAATAGGTCATAAATATATATGGAATATGAAGAAGGGCTTATTTTTCATAGACGAGTTATAATTAAAAAACAAATCAAGCCAAATGAAATTATTTTAACACTTACATCTTTCCCTAGACTAGGAGCACCAGACGTATTTACGGATCCATATTATCCTCCAATGGGTCATATATCGTGCAGCTTGTTTTTACCAGATGAAATTATCAGTCCTCATGTTCGATTTCCTACATTAACTAAAAATATTCGGCTACGCCGAGGCAGAAAGGTAATTATCAATGTGCCCATCTTCATTGATGAGAATACGTCTCTGCCTTTTATTGACGAAGCAATTTCCTTTTTAAATACGGCTTGTCCTGAATCTGTAGAATTATTACATGAAATTATAAAACCAAATCATATATATATGGATAGCATGTGTTTTGGTATGGGATGCTGTTGCTTACAAGTTACTTTTCAAACAACAGATATATCACAAGCAAGAATTCTCTATGATCAATTAATACCTTTGGGACCTATTATGCTATCATTAACAGCGGCATCACCTGCTTATAAAGGCTATTTATCTGATCAAGACTGTCGTTGGAATGTTATTTCAAGGTGTGTTGATGACCGAACGGCTGAAGAAATGGGAGAAGAGGTAAAGTTATTTCATATTCTATGTATTGTTGATAAAATAGCCCTTAAAAAACAACAGATTTGTTATTTCTAAAAGTAGATACGATTCTGTTGATTGTTATATTGCTAATGACGCAAAAAATCATCCAAAATATAATGACATAAAGCTTATTGTAGATGAAGAGATTAGAGAAAAATTAATAAATAACGGTACTTTTTTTTTTTTTCTTAACGCTTCTAATTATAGTAGGAGTAGACGAGCTTTTAGCAAATCATATTTCTCATCTTTTTATTCGGGATCCTTTGGTTATTTTTTCAAATCTGCTTATTCAAAATAAAGAAGAATCAGGGCATTTTGAAGTAAGAATTTATTTTTTTTTAATTAATCTTAAATTATAGAATATCCAATCTACCAATTGGCAGGCATTACGGTTTAAACCACCACCTCCAGGAACTGATATTGGTTGGCGTGTAGAATTTCGTACTATGGAAATTCAACTTTCTGATTTTGAAAATGCAGCGTATTCTATTTTTGTTAACCTTTTGACTCGTATAATCTTATTTTATGACTTAAATTTCTATATTCCAATATCTAAAGTAAATTATAATTTTATTTTTTTAATAACAGATTTAATCTTTATAGGTAGATGAGAACATGAACATTGCTCATCATAGATCATCAGTATTAACAGAAAAATTTTGGTTCCGAAAAAATATTTTTTCAATTAATTCATGTTTTATAAAACAAAAATCTTCATTAAAAAATCAACAATTTAGTAAAACAACATCCAAAAACATTAGAATACCTCAAGTTAGCAATGAATCTGATGAATATGAAAAAATGACAATACATGAAATTATTAATGGTCAAGATAATACTCATAATGGTTTTCCAGGACTTATTCCACTAATTCACGACTATTTTAATTCTATTAATCTTTCTCAGGAAACAAGACAGGTTCTTGAGAAATACTTGGAACTTATAGAAAAAAGGGCAAGCGGTAAATGTCTTTCTATTTGCAACATTTATTTATAGTAATAAAATTAGGAGAATGGCAAACAACAGCATCTTGGATTCGTTCATTCGTAAGAAATCATCCTGAATATAAAAAAGACAGCGTAATTTCTCAGAAAATTAATTACGATCTTATTAAAAAAGCTGAAAAAATATCAAACGAGTTTGGTAAAAATCAGAAATTAACCAACTACTTTTTAGGTATTGCATAAATATTCTATATAAATATGAAACTATTAACTCTATTGCAATCTTAATTGCATATATTTCATACATAACTTTATCTACTTTTCAATATTTATCTTTTTTATATTACCCACATATTAAAATATTCGTTTTCTTACTTATCAATCACTTATCTTTCCACTTTCCAATTCTTTCAATTTTTTTACACGTTCTTTAAAACTTTAAAAAGTTATACAGAATTCTAATCAACAATTAACCTACGCTTCATATTCACATTTTTCATAGGCTAATTTATTAATTTTAACTAATTTATCTAAAAACTCACCATGTCGCTCCTCTACACATTTCCACGGTAAATACCATGTATTCTCACGGCACTTTTCCATCTTAAAAAATTATATTACTTAATAAATCTTACATAATTCAACTCCTCTAATATCTTCATACAACTAACTTATCATTAAAATACTTCTTAATTTTTTTTAATTAAATAACCCATCTCTATAAGAAAGATTAATAGGTCTACTAGGCTTTTTTAATGACGTATTTCTATCTGAACTAGAAAATCGGCTGTTCTGATCACTCATTCACTAAGATTATCCCAAATTCTAACACCTGAAGATCCTCAAATATTATATTAATATGTAATAAGCGTTTCTTAGGTTATCGTTGTCTTGGCAACACAGGCTCACCACTGAATATTCAGACGCATAGTCAAGATAAAGCACGGTAAAGCTGAAGAAGCAGTAATATTCAGCTTGCTGAAGTCTATTCTTAAACGCGTATGCTAGGAAGGGCTTGATGTCGCAACCAAAAATTTTTAAGACAACATACAGCGGTGTTCCGGTTTATGAGTATGTTGTGAAAGGCATTGCTGTAATGCGACGGTACTCAGATTCATATATCAATGCAACGCAGATCCTTAAAGTAGCGGATTTTGATAAACCCCAGCGCACACGGATTTTAGAACGGGAGGTACAAAAAGGAGAGCACGAAAAGGTTCAAGGAGGTTACGGAAAGTATCAAGGTAAATTTACCGTAAAAAAAAAAATTCTTAGTTATTAAGGAACATGGATTCCACTTTCTAGGGCATTGGAGCTTGCTCAGCAATATAAAGTTGAAGATATATTGAAACCGATTTTAGATTGTCAACCTAATACGAAAAGTCCACCAGATCCTAAACGGATTACTCCAACGCCTAAAAAAACGCCTCAATCAACGCCTACACAAAGTAAATATATTTTAGACATGAACTTTTCTAATTTTTTAAGAGTTATTGGGTACACCGAAAAAGCATATTGCAACCGATGAAGATCTTAGTTCTATTTCAATGGATGATTCAGTTTCTATTGAAACACATAGTACTCAAAGCAATTTAGAATCAGAAATATCTGCTATTAATTCAGAATTAGATGCAGGAAATGGAAATGGGAATGGGAATGGAAATGGAAATAGAAAAAGAAAATATACACAAGTGCAGAATTTTAATAATGACAAACAATTTAATAAATATAGCGAAGCATTACTTGAATTTTTTATGTCATCAAGCCATCAAAGTTTACCGGACTTTCTCATCCATTGTCCAAGTGATTTCAATGCTAATTCTATTATCGATGAAGAAGGACATACAGCATTGCACTGGGTATGTGCAATGGGTCATTTACGTGTTGTTGAAACGCTTCTTGATGCAGGTGCCAATATATCTGCTGTTAATTTGCAAGGACAAACAGCACTTATGAGATCTGTTTTATTTACAAATAATTATGATTTGAAGTCATTTCCACAACTAATACGTATTTTACAACCTACAATACATTTATCAGACAAATTTTCTCAAACGGTTTTTCATCATATCGCTTCAACGACAACTTCTCGTTCTAAATTATTAGCAGCTAAATATTATGCAGAAACAATATTAAATCGACTATCAGAAATCCAACCTGCAAACGAAATAGCACAACTTTTAGATGCAAAAGATTCAGAAGGAGATACCGCTTTAACAATATTTGCCAGGAACGGGGCTAGGAAATGTATTCGTGTCTTAACAAATTTTCATGCCAATTTACATATCCCTAATAATCAAGGACGAACAGCAGAAGAATATATTATTGAATATGAGCGTCAACGTCAAAGTTTACCTCATAGACAGAATTCATTATATGTTAATCAACAGTCAGTAGATCAATATAATAAACATTATGAAACATCAAGGCTTTCAATACCATATTCTCGATTTATGAATACACAATCTCAACCTCATTTATCTGAAGCAGCAATTAAGGCTACTCAGGAAATTCTTCCTGAAATGCAAGAAAAGCTAAAACTTCTGGCTAATGCATATGATGCAGAACTGAAAGATAAAGAGGCCTATCATACACAAGCACTTGAATTACTTGCTAATATGAACCGGGAAATTGAAATCTCTAAAAAATCTCTCCAAGAAATAATTGGTACTGGTCCAGATGCCGCTGAAATACAAAAACAAACAATAACAAATGCTAGCACGGAAATGGAAGCAGCATCTAAAAAATTAAGAATAGCTATTGAAAGAAATCAGTCTAGGGAATTAGCTAGACTAGTTAAAGAAGAAATGCTAGCCTTTCAATATCCTACTAAATCAGATGAAAATGAAAACAGAAAAGAAAAAGAATGTTTAATTTATGAATTACAAAACTTGCAGAAAGAACGTCAAAAACTTATTGATACTATTGTAGAGCTTTTTGCTGCTGCTGGTATCGGGGAAAGAATGAACGAATACCGAAAGCTTATTGCTATGAGTTGTGGATTGAATATTGAAGATGTTGATAATGTTTTGGATGCAATTGAAGAAGTACTAACAGGTAATCCCGATGATATGGCAGAAGAACAAGCAGAGTCTGTTGTCCTTGTTTAAACGTATGATATTAAAAATTTATTTTTGAAAATTATAGTCAAATCGAGAAATCTTTGTAACCAATAATTTTAATATAGAAACAGCATATCATTATTTCTTTTTTTTCAGAACGTAGAGTTTTATAAAGGTTAAATATTTTTATCTTATTTATTCTTTACTTAAATATAATAATTATGTCTTCGGAAAGATATATAGAATGTATATTTATGTTTTTAAAATCCTCTTAAGAGTAGTTCATTTATTTCTTTTAAAAGAATCATCTTTAGGTTAATTTTAAAAACTTATTTATATTTTTTATTAGAATTGGAGATTAAAAAGCAGAATCTTTTCAACAAATATTAAAGATTTTATCCATAAAAATTTATTTAAAATACTCAAAAATTCAAATTTGTACAATTATTTTAAATAAAAATATTCTCTAAGACTAATAATAACAATCTTTAATAAATTGGAGATGATTTTTAAAGAATTTCGATTAACTATTAAATATTATTCAGAAATAATACAATTTATTTTTTAAAATTAAATATAATTTTCTAATGAATTTACTCAATTGATTACCATAAAAAACAAAATTAATATATTTCTAAAATATTTTAAATTCTTTAACATTTTACTATAACCTCAATATTCCAAAATCTTAATACGTATATCAAATTATTATAATCAAACAACTTTAAAAGAAGTAAATAAATTTATTAATAATAAACAAGGTCAACAGATAATTAAATTTTCTAAATTGTATAAAAAAGTTTTAATAAATTGTCGGCAATATTTGTAATTTTATTGACAAGTATTAAAAAATTTCTTTTAATATAGTCAAAAGAATAATCAAAATATAATATTTGTCTTTTATACTTTTATTTTTTTTATAGAATATAATAAATTTTATTTTCACAAAAGTATAAATTTATAAAGATGTTGCTAATTTTGTTATCTATTTTAAATAAATATTAACATATATTTGAAAATATAATGTCCATAACTATTGTTAAATGTTTAAAAATATTGTTTTTTTAAATATCTAAACTTTAACAATGCAAATATATAAATATCTATTTATCAAATCTAATAAAATAAGAAAATATTTAAAGACAACTTAGATACTTAATAAAAATATTCAGAATTAATATGTAAATATTATAAGTTTATTTGATTATATTAATATAATAAATAAATATTAAAAATATGTCATGTACTTAAAAAATTACGCGAATTATCCCTTATATAATATACAATAATACATTTTTTATTTTACAGAAAAACTAAATCACTTATATTTTAAATAGAAATCAACATAAACTCTATCTTTTTAGGAAAGAATCAATTCAACTATCTTTAAATTTACAAAGATATCTAATAAATCATAAAACTTATGTTTTCCATAAAACTAATATATAGAAATATATCAATCTAAAGCTATTGCTTTTTTTATTTCTGCAATTGCTTTGCCGGGATTAAGACCTGTTTATATTAAAAATTAAAGATAACTTTATATTTATAGAAAACCTTTCGGACATGTTCTATAATAATTATTAATACATCAATTTCAAAGAAAAAATGAAACTACTTAGCACAGTTCATAATTGTATGACAACGATATAACGACATTGAGTTTTGTAATTTCTCTTTTCGTTCTTGAGTCGCATCATCACGAGAATCAACAATCCATCTATAAGCTTGCATCAATACCTATGGAAAAAATTCAAAATACAACATAAATACACAAAACGTTAACTCACAGCAGGTCCGAGATATTCTTCGCTATTCCACCAATAACTAGGACAACTTGTTGAACAACATGCACACAAAATACATTCATATAACCCATCAAGCTTTTTTCTATCTTTCTGAGATTGAGGAATTTCTTTTTCAGGGAATTCCTTATGCTGAAGATAAGGTTGAATTGATTTATATTGTTTATAAAAATGTGTCATATCAGCCACAAGATCTATAAATAATAAATAATAAATAAATATTAAACAATAAATAATACCTTTTATTACATACATATGCGGAAGAGGATAAATTTTGACTTCTTTAGAATTGATAGGAATTCTAGATAAGCATGCAAGTGTATTAATACCATCAATATTCATAGCGCATGAACCACAAATTCCTTCACGACACGATCTTCTAAAAGAAAGTGTAGCATCTTGTTCATTTTTTATTTTAATAATAGCATCTAAAACCATGGGCCCTGTATCATTTAAATCAACATCATATTTTTGCATTCTTGGTTTTATAGATGGCGTTTCTGGATTCTAATAAAAAATATTAACCACTTCAACATTGGAAAAAGTAACACACCCATCTATAAACAGAGAATACTTTAATATTAGATTTATCAGACGTAGACAATGTTTCAGATGACACTGTTGACTAATATCATTTAATTAAAAATTTAAACAACCAATAATCAATTCCCACAGAAACCATTCTAGATACAATTGAATTCCTCAAAAGCAATGCAGATTTCCGCTTTAAATCATTAATTTATATTCATTTTAAACTAAAAATCTACCTCATGAATATTCAAGAAATTAATAAGAACCTTATTTGAATAACGAAAAAGCATCATATTAATAACAGCTACTTATAAAATCTCTTAATACTCTTTATCTTTTATAAACCATTATAATATAATATCTTAAGAGGTTAAACGTTTGAAAAATAAGACCTGCTTAGTAATAATAAAATAAAATATATATAATTAAAAAAACTTAATCTCTGTAATTAGAATATTATAAAAACCAATATATTAAGCGTAATGTAAAAGTTTGTTGTTAATTACAAATAAATATATACATGTATATAAGAATTTGAACTTTAGAGTTAAATAAAACTAATATATAATAATAAGTAGACTTTAAAGTTTTAAAATATAAAAACTTGGTCAGTTATTTTAGAAACTAAACTTGGTGTATCATATCCAAGAAGAGCTATTTCTTTTTTCATTGCAGTTATCATCGGAGGTGGACCTAATATTTAGTAGGTAAAGAATAAACATTGTTATCAGATAATATACCACACAATAACAATTTCATGTCAGATCCAGGTGGAGGACAATGTTCTTTAATTATTTCTTTAGTAACATAGCCAACACCGCCTGTCCAATTAGAAGGAGGATTATTAAGAACATAGTAGATTCTAAAGTTTGAATATTTATTAGCTAATATATCAAATTCATCTTTCAAAAGAATATCGACTTCAGTAACATTGGCAAATATAAGGGATATTTTTGTTTTATCTTCTGGATTTTTTAAAATAGCTCTGATTATCTGAAGCATTGGCGTAATCCCAGTGCCTCCAGCAATCATTCCAAATTCTTTAACAAGCCCTGAATAATATCTCATTTGTCCTCTTGGACCCTTAACACCAATTGTTTGACCAATTTTCATTTCACCAATATACTTTGAAACTTTTCCAGTAGGATACGACTAAAAATATTATGAAAAAACAAAACTATATCTTCTATAATACCTTAATAAGAAGATCAAAATATCCTCGTTCGTCATCAGAAGAACATGGTGTATATGGACGAGAAACTTTCTTGCCATCAATAGTAACGGATACCATTATGTGCTATAAAAATAATTTTATAAAAAAATAAAGAAAATTCAACATTTATTGACCCAACCTGTCCAATTGGTAAACCCAATATATCATTTTCTTTAGCAAGAGCAAATCGATATCTAATCAATCATTAATATTCTCCCATTATAGAAAATTAAATCCAACATAGAAGAATTATAATTAATAATAGTTTTTTCAATCAATTCAAATTCTTGAAACTTGTCTGAACGAAGAGATATACGAGATCCTATACGGAAACTTACTAAATCATTTATCAAATTTATAATATCAAATCTACTTCCACGGTAAATTTTAAGAAGACTTAATACAAATGCTAATACTATTCCATGAAACAAATATTTTTTATTAACTATAATAGTTCCTATAATAATTAAAAGAACTTTATACTGATTAAACATCAAAAAATTCAAAAATAATATATTTAACCTGGAATACAGATCCCATGAAATAGCGTATTGTTATGTTTCTGAGCCATTTCCACACTATAATACTACTTTCTTTGAGTCTAGTATGTCTATAAAAATATTCTCTCAATCTCTTGTGCTTGAGTTTAATAAAGTTTTCTAAAAATTATTAAAAATTCTTATTATAGACATTATATAACATAGATACACTTTAAATTTAAATAAATATTGAATAAATAAAAACCATAAATTCAAATCAACTTAATGATCAGAAATCAAATGAAAAGAAAGAACATAATGTTCAGACAATTTGTATTATAGTTAGTCTAATATTTATATACCATACATATCTTATAAAAGAAAAAACTTAAGATTTAGATGGAAATAATAGTAGTATAAAAAATAAGCATGTAAAATATATACTTATTATTATTAATTGTTATTTTTTTTAATATTTTATTTTCAGTTTGAATATTTTCTAAATTTTTTATTATATATATATAACTTCTAATCTAAGTTTAATACAATAAAAACTAAATAATATAAGGAGAAATAGCTAAAAACGAATATAATTGTTGTTGATGACTATAAATTTATACTTTATAACTTTTTTATATCAATTATTTCATTAGTCAATAACTAAGATATAAACGTTCTTAACGTTTAACAAGACAATGTTTAATTAATTGGATTATTTTAATCCACAGAAACTAAATCTAAGAAGCCAGTTGGTACAGAATATGATCGAATTTGATGAAAAACAAAGAACATTTTTATTGAGTGGATAACATACCAACTTACTATCTATGAGAATCCTATCAAAAACAATATATTCAAAGAAAACAAATATACAGAATATCAATATGAAATATCAGAAAATATACGTGATCCAAATATATCATTGAATTTTTAAAAAAAAAAACCGAAATAAGTTTGCATTTTTCTTTAAGAATATTTGATGCTACAATGATTAGAATTCTTACTAATCAATTTATAAATTTCTATGAAAAACAAGAAAAGCTAGCTATATAACTTTTATCTATGTCTTAATTTCCAATTCATGGATTAACACAGAAAGAATTTACACTATTTTTTAATAGATCTTTAAAACTCATTAAAAGTAATCGTACAATAAATGCAGGAGGAACCAAAGCATTACTATTTATTTTTGAAAAAATAATTGTTAAACATGAAGAAGCTATAAAAACAGAAGATTTGGGTTCAAAAATCAACATTCTTAATAGCCCTATCAAAATGATAGAGGTCTTAATTGAAGAGCTTAAAAAGTAAATTAAAATTGGCTCTAAAAATTTATTATTAGGTGTCAATTCATTTCCATTGCATGGAAATCTACTTACTTTACAGTAAGTTTAAAAACATTTTATTATAAAATCTAAAGTTTCAGATATATTCTTAACAGTATACATTCAAACAAAGAATTGTATATTAAAATAAAAGATTACTTAGATCTTATGTATACTAAACTAATATGTTTTTGAAAAGATATATGGAAGATTGTTAATCCAATTTTATCTGACGATCCATTTGAAAATTTGTTTTCAAAAAAAAATAAAAACATATTCAAAAATGACGAAAATATTCAATGTTTTATGGAAACAAACAACCCTGAAATATCATCGAATTATCCACAAATAATATTAGCTTATTCATAGGGGAACATAAAAGAAATAAGGTAATACATATTTTTATTTAGAGTTTTTAACATGGATAGTATGCTTTTAGCTATTATTTTATCATGTTCAGATAAAACAAATCAGCTATCAAAAGCAATATATGAATAGTGTAATAATGGAGGAAAATTATTTAAAGAATGGTTAACAAATATTCGACATTCAGGCAAAATTTTTACAATTTATTCAAGTTTTATTATATTATGTTCTTCCCTTTTCATGTCTTGCGGAAAAGAGTTGAGTTTTTTTTCAAAATCCTGGATTCAAGTTATCATAATATTAGAATTAACAGCGAATACTGATAAAAATAGAAGATTATGTTTTCTTTGAAAAATGAATCACCATTTATTGGTAAAAAGAGAAGAGGACTGACTTATTGCATAACCAGTATATTAATATCTAAAACAAATAGCTCTCGTCCATTATTGCTAAAGACAATTGAAGAACTTATGACTATAACAGAATTTAATTATCTACATCAAAAAACCACGTTAATACTACTCAAATTCACGCATATGATATCCTAAGGGATGTTTTTCTTGAATCAAGGTTATCAAATATTTTAACTAGGTTTATTAAAAAAGGATTTGTTTTAAGTATTAATGGTTTCAATTCTAATATGTAATATTCTACTGATTTTAATAAATAAATACTGATTTTTTTTATAGCTGAGCCGTTCGCAATTACAGTATGATACTATTTAGTACACTTCTAACTTGTGCATTTGGAAACAAAAAACATAAACAGGACTCTTTTCATACTATCAAAGCGATGTTATCTGAAACTTTTTTCAGCAAATATCCTAAACTAAGAGAATATCTTTTGAAACAATTAAAATATCATGTTTCTCATTTAGATAATTATAATGTTTTTAACCCTTATAAAATATTCTTTAATCTATATTATTATAGGAAAATAATGTCTATATTGGACTAAATCCAATTTTGACTTTAATATTGTACCTTGAAGTTACAATGGATTGTTCAAATAACGAATGGATTGGTATGGACAAATTTAGACCTTTTTTAGATCATTGTTCTAAAATTCATATTTAGAAGGTTGAATTTCATTTTATTATAAAAAAAACTAATTATTATAAGGTACGTAAGATGTCAGCAAAAGCAATACCAACTATTATTTTTCCATCCACGCATATAAATACTATTATCAGCATTATAGAATCTTGTGAAGCTAATATTCAAAATACATTACATGAGATTTTATTAAAAATCAAATACTTAATACAAAGTTGGATAAATTATTTAAATAAAAACATTTTTCATGTTAATGATGTACAAGGTAACATTTTAAATTTATATACCTAAAATATCTTAATTGTTTCTAGCCTTTTATACTTATGTAACAAATGCTTTAATAAAGAAATTTGAAATTATTATTCCAGTAGTCCTTGTGCTATTATTAAAAAGTCTTGCTTTAAAAATAATTTCTATATATTTTATAGACTTTGATTGGATAAAAGAGAAAATAAATATGGAAATTGAGAGTATTTAATCTTTTAAGTGAAATAATTAAAATTAACTAAAAACAGATACAATGCAGAGGAGACAATGAAACTCTGCGTCATGACTATAGAATTCTGTATAGATCTTTTTCAATTCAGAGAATGTCATCAAAAAATAATTGGGCAGAACCTTTTTTTAAAACAAGCATCTATAATACTTTTATATGGACTAGAAAATTTCCCTCAAATAATCAAAAAAAACATCAAACATGAAATAATCATTATAGATTTGCTATAAAATTCTACTTATAATGTCAAATTAAGCATATTTAGTCATTCAAGATACATAACAAAAACGTAGGAAATATCTATACTTTTGATATTATTTAAAAATTTTAGAATACTTATTTCCCCTACTATAATCTTCAAAATTTTCACAATTATTTTAAAGGAAAGATGGGGAGTTCTTACAACGAGTGCAGCATTATCTTTGCCCAATTTATTAAATATTTCTTCTTTTTCATCTTTAAATATAGATGATTTAAGAAATATGATAATAGAAATTATAGTTCTTTTAAAAGATTCATATAGTTATCCTCTTAAAATGGATGCTTTACTTTCATTAACATCGGATTTATTGTTTAAGGTAATACTATAAATATATTTTTTAGAAAAAAAATTTACATATAAAAGGTATAGCATGTAGAACCTAAAGATATTTATTGGGAACAATTTAATTAGTGGATTAAATATCTTGATCTAAATTTTGACGAAGATAAAGTATATATTAGTTATACTACTATTAAAGTATATTAATAGATCAATAGGATTAAATTAATAGAATGCCTGCAATGCAATCCTTAAAATGTTTTTCAGAGCATCTTATTTTAAGTAAGATTAGTTATTATCTTTCTCAACAGTTAGAACATATTATACCAATTTATTTTATTTTAAAGCTTTTAAAAGATGAAAAAATAAGGATACTAGCATCAGAAATAGTTTCTCGAATTATTTTCAAAAAAAAACATATTTTCTCCTGCTTATTTTTCAAAACCTCTTCTTAATCATTTATCTTCTATTTATAAATATTCATTTACATTTAAAAAGGAACTTTTAAATTTACTTATTAACTTAGAAAATATTAATGAACTTCAAACTATAGTGTCTTATCCTCAAGAAACCAATAATTTATTTATTCATGAAAAAAGAAATTTATGGAGAGATACACTAAAAGACAATTCTGAAATAATTAAGGCACTAGCTTTGTTAAATGACAATGGATACATAGTTAATAAATTAACAATATGGGCCAATTCTTTTGCAAAAACACTTTTGCAGATTATTATTGAAAAGGGATATGATGACCATTTAGGCTGAACATCTTATGGTAATGTTAATAATATAATATCAAAATTCGTATGCATAGTACAATATTTAGAAGAAAAATCTAAAAAAGAAAAATCATATCTGGAACTAAGGGATTTATTTGAGAAAATAATTATAGAATCTAAACGTATTAATATTCATAAATATTTATTTAATTCAAAGATGCATTTATATAACTTTATACAAAATTTGAATAATTAAAAAAAGATTATAATAATATATTTTTAATAATTTACATCCTAAAATAATGAGTTCTAGTGACAATTTAAAATACTACATACCTTTCAAGAGGAGTTAATCCAAGTAATCTCATACCATTACTAAGGACTCTTTTGCACGCAAGAAAAAGGGATAATCGTGCCATAGCTACATCTTCAGATTGATTCATAACCCAGAGCACATCATAACAACCACTAATAGTATGCGCAAGTTTAAAAAGATAAGTAATAATAGTGCATGGCTCTAATGTTTTTATCGTAGTATTTATGACGTCAGGATATCGAGCTAGTAATCGGACCAAATCTATTGCAGCTGGCTCTATTAAAGAATCAAGCTTTGCATCTTGTATATTTTCCAGAGAGATATTCAGACGTCTTATTACAGATTCCAGCCTAGAATGGGCATACTGCAAATATGGACCAGTATCACCCTCAAATGTTAATATACGTTGCCAATCAAAAGAATAATTATTTATACTATAGGATTTTAAAAAAAAAAAAAAAATATTAAGAAATACCGTTTGGAAGACATATCCTGTATCAAAATAGCTGATATTCCAATTACATCTGAAACGTATTCAGGATCTTCAATTTGAAGATATTTCTTTTCATTCTTTTTCATTACATCATGCATATTTTCTTTAGCTGTTTCAAGAATACTATCCAAAAAAACAGCAGTACCCTTTCTAGTACTCATTCCTAAAACCAGACCATAATTAATATGCATGCATGATTTAGCCCACGGTAAATCAAGAAGTTCTAAAATTTTGAGAAGCTGAGCAAGATGTAAATCCTGTTGTGAAGAGACAACATAAATCATTTTATCAAATTCATACTTTTGATAGCGATTAATAGCCTCCCCAATATCTCTTGTTAAATACAAACTTGTTCCATCCCTCTTTTGAAGCATTGCTTTTCCAAGATTTTTTGAATATTTTGATAAATCTATAAACATAGCACCATCATCCATATTTAAAAAACCTTTTTCTTTAAGAGAATTAATAACCATCTTAATACTCTCTGGAGAAACTCCTGATTCTCCACTATATTCATCATAACGAATATTTAAACGATCGTACGTAATTTTATACTTTTTAATACTAAGATCCCTAAAACGTCTCCATATACTAAGAGCCGTTTCATCACCTTAATACTATTAAAAATATCATTCCTCGAATGAATATATACCTTCTTCCATTCTCTTAAAATACTCACGAGCTTTATTATTTAGATCATCAGCTTCTGGATTATCTTTTTGCGAAGCAAATAAATTCACTTTTACATAGACATCGTAAAGATGCTGAATAGGATTCGATTCCAATGATTCTTCACTTCCATACAATTGAAATCCTATTGCTAAAAGACCTACAAAAAATTCAGAAAACAAAAAAATTCAATTGTTTTACCAAATTGCTTCCCCCAATCACCCAGATAATTCAATCGAATAACTTCCCATGAACAAAACTCATGTATATTAGATACAAACGCACCAATAATTGTACTTCGTAAATGACCCGCATGAAACGGTTTTGCAATATTTGGACTCCCAAATTCAACTACCACTTTCTTCCCTTTCCCAGACTCATTAGACCCATATCTATCTCCATCTCTATGGATATACGGAATCACCATACGTGTAAGAAATTCCGGACGAAAAAAAAATTGAATAAAAGCACCTTGATGCTTACAAAAAACTATTTTTTCCGGAAACTTCATATTCTCATTAATATCGCCCATGTTAATACTCATATAAACACCTTTTCCGACCATTCTTTAGCTAAAAATACCGGATTTTCTCCCAAACGTAATCGTGCTACCGGTAACATCAAATCTCCATTTTCAAGCTTAGAACAATGCTCTAAAATAGGATAAATCTCCCTATAAGAAATCCCCGTAATTCCTGAAAGATTTTGCGCAATATATAAACGAAAAATATCAAACGGATTCCTAAGAGGATTTGAATCTTCATAATATAATAGATTCTCTGAAACTCCAAATTCTTTCAGTTCATTTACAAGCTCCTCATATGTCTTAATATTCCTCATATTTCCATAGTAATTTAGCCTCTTATTAAACGTCTTTTGGCTGCTTATTCTACAAAACTGGTCTGTCTTGGTTGTTATTAAGTAGGTTCGCAGATACGATAAGATTTTCATAGGTTACTGTGGTAACCCAGCAGATAACCTTATAAACAAATAAAGTCTAACTAAGAAAGCTATAATGTTGAATGATATAATAATATATAATATTATTAGAAAAAGAATAGTTAATAGTAGTTTTAATAAGAAAAAGAATAGAAAAGGGTTTTTTTTTGAATTTTTGAAAGAAAGGGTTTGTGAGGGAATATGGAGGATAAGAAGAATATATAAAAGAATATATAGAAGTGTATGTCATAAGACATCAATTTGTAGAATTTTAGATTCATATGTGTCATTGGAAGAATCGATGTTGTTGAAATTGGGAGAAGAAAGGGAAAAAAAGAGAAATAATGAAGAAAACAAGAAGTTAGAAAGTTTAGTTTGGAATATTTGTAATTTTATTTATTTATTATGGGTTAAATATAATGTATAAAGATGTAGAATTATGTTTATCAGCAATGGTTTATGAGGAATGGAAGGGTTTGCTATGTAAAGCAGGAAGTTTAGATTCATTTGAAGAAAGGAAGTATATTGATACGGTAATAACGTCAATTGTGTTAAAAAAGATAAAATACAATTATGATAATGAATTATGTTCAAAACAATGTCTTTGTCTACGATATTCGGTTATGGCAATATTTTTTATTCAGAAAGAAAAGAAAAGTATAGTGCAAAAATGTCTTATAGAGGTTAAATATCATCAAAATCAAGAAATGTTTCAGGAAGTAATAATAAATAATGAGGAATTGAATGATTTTTTAATAAAAATAGATGTGGGATTCAGTAATTGCAACAGGAAAAGGAATACAAAATAATAAAAAGAATTGGGTGATGGTTTCAATTTTTAATTTTGTTAAAAATATTAGCTAAATATACTAGTTAGGGTTCCAAGGAGATGATCCTAGTACAGATTTTAGATCTATGGGTGAAAAGATATTTATTTTAAGATTAATAATATTTATTTTTTATATAGGAATTTTTGGACTAGAATTATTACATCATTTTGTATTAACACAAAATGAATACACTAAAATTATGATATCGGAATCTAGATCGAATCATACAGATATCAATCTTCCTTGGTATCCTTTTGCGCTTGCAGCTATAAATATTTTGGCATACATTATAGATTTAATGAATAAAAACAGACTCGAAAGGATTTTTATTCAATGTTATAATTATGGCGTATATGTTGAAGAAATTATGAAACATTTATTTTGTATAACATTTATTTTTTTTAGATTTCATACATTAATTCTTAGGTTATACATTTATTTCTTTTCATCATTTTTGGAGACATCAAGTCTCTATAAAAAATGTGAAAACAGTTATCGATTTTGAACGTTGTTTAAAACGTTTCAAAAAACAAACAAGAAATAACATAACAACGGGTAATTATGTGTTTAACTTTTGAATTTAAACATATTTTTAATTTTATTAACTATTTTCATATTTTTTATATACTTTAGTAGTATACATTAATCCATTTGTTTTAAAGATTACAATATTTTTTTTAAGCGAATAATAATCATAATACACCATTCTTATTTTGAAGAGAACCGTTTTTTCCCAATATCAAAAGGAACATATCTAATAATAATAAATACAAAATTTTATAAAAATATTCTCCTACCTATACTTTATCATATGTTTAATTTGTCTACGCATGGTAAATGCAAAAAGAATACAAAAATATATCAGCAAAATTGGCCACTATCAATATTAGTTTTAAAATATAAAAAATCCAATCGTTCTATACAAATACTGGAATATCAAAGAAAGGAATAAAACTGCAGATAAAAGCTATAAAAATCACTCGTGTTGCAGAATACCAAAACTTAAATTCCGGAAGTCTATTTATAATAATTAAAAAAACAATTTAACAATTGAATTTCCAAAAAAACCAAAAATTATATCATTTATATATTTCTTATCCTTTTAACAACATACCTTCGAATAAATGGCCGAAATTCTTCATCTTGATGAAGAGGCAATCGTACTTCTGCATCTTCATCTTGTAAATCTTGTTCAAGCGGAAAATCAAGTTTAGGCGTAAGAAAAGCAAGAAATAAATTCAAAAGATAAATCCATAAAGCATAACATACTAAATTATCATAAATACCTATTATTAATCCTATTTATTCCATTTACCAATATACCATCCTTGAACTACTAAAATCCTTATCATAAATAAAACTAATAACCCAAGAGATCCAGCCCATCGCCATGCCTTATATGGTGTAGATTTATCAAGTAAAGCTTGAAATTGCTGTATAATTTAATAAATCATTAATACCTATTAAAACTAACTTGAGCAAAACGTGTCTTTTTTATAGTAAACATTGTTGTAAATGACTCTGAAAACGCTAAATTCTCCATATCTACCATATTATCTTGAAATAAACTATATATATGCGCGATGTATGCGTCTTATATGCGTCTTATATGCTTTATTTTCTAAAACCTTAAGCCTATCGGAGATATTCCACTATAAAATGGAAAAATGCAACAATATTTTCTTATTGTATTTTTCAATATAAAGACATGTTTTATAAACAATGAAATTTCAATATAAAAATTAGCAATCTTTTAATGTTCGTTTTTAATATTTTAATCAACCATATATAAATAATATAAAAAATATATTATTATATATTTTCAATATAAATTAAAAGATTACATAAATGTAGATAATAGACAATTACTTATATTTGCCTTATATAAGGTAGATGATATGTTATTATAAATATACGTACAACTTAATAAGTTGTACGTATTCAATTGAATATAGATTATCATGTCTATTCAATATTCCTATTCAATATCTTTATTTAGAAATCATATTTATCAATATTAATATATCTTTAAAGAGATATCTGTAAATTAGATGTTTAATGAATCGAAAAAAAAAAGATAAAACATTTCGAAATATATAGACAAAGGGATGTAAAAGCAGTATTAAACATGTCTTATCTTCAGGGAGAAATAAGACTTGCTAATGCTCGGTTATGGCATCAAATATCAGCGAAGGACTGTATTTTAGGAAGACTTGCAAGTACTTTAGCTTGTCTTCTTATGGGGAAACATAAACCTATTTATCATCCGGCAGGTAATTTTTTTTATATTAAAATATATATATCGAATATATTTTAATATAAAATTATTAGCGGACGTAGGGGATTATGTTATTGTTACGAATTGCGCATTACTTCGACTTGATGAGCGTAAGTTAAATCGTACATATGTACGACATAGTGGTCGACCGGGAGGGTTAAAAAAAAGGACGATGAAAGAATGGATAGAACGTGAAGGGGCTAGTATTGTTTTACGACAAGCGGTTTCAGGAATGCTTCCAAAGAACCGACTTCGAGATCGTCGTCTTAATCGACTAAAATGTTTTGAAGGAGAAAATCATCCTTATTATAAAAATATACAAAGAGTTTGGACGAATTCAGGGGAATGGATATCAGCACCGATTTAAATAATGAAAATAAATTTAAAAGTATTTATAAGTCTGTTTGTTTAAGACATTTTTTATGTATTTATATATATATCCTTAATAAAACCTGTCGAATCATTCCAAACTAAGATTGTACTAAATCTTCGACCAAATAAAGGTCTATACTAAAATCTAGAGAAACTAGGAATGCAAGCTACATAGGAGAATAGTTTAAAGCTTATAGATTTGTAAAGCATTATCCAAAACTTGCTGCAGCAAAGTTTGCAATAATAGTATTCCCGATGACGACAATTATAGTTTATTAAGTCTATAATAATAACCAAATGAAATTTATGTTCATCTTTAATTGATTAAACAGAAAGTCGTTTATATTTTGATCCCCCAAAAATACCAAAATGACTTTTTATTGTACCACTTGGTTTTTCTGCATGTGCCGATTGATTTAATGCCCGAAAATCCATTGAACTATTGGATTTTTCAAGTATTTCAACATACGATTGTCGTAATGGATTTGCAAGTCGTTTTGACTTAGCTTCTTCCCGTTTTCTATCGGGACGAACAACAATAACAGGTACTGGCGATGTTGCCAAACAATATCTATAAAATATTAACATGATAACCCTTTCACACTAAAATAATTATAATTAACTTGGAAATCGATCCTGGAAATAAACTTTGAAGCCCGAGACCTTTACCACGTGTTCCAATTATAAGAGAATCCGGTTGATAAATATGAATCTTTTATAATAATCAACAAAACATAATTTAAACATAATACCAGTATAATACTGATCTTATATCACCTTACCCGGTGTAATAAAGTCGTCGTTACCTTCCCCATTGCAAATTCAACCATAACAGAAATCTAATACAATAAAACACTTTGATACATTAACAATTGATCATACTGCTTTGGATTCCTCATTCTTTTGAAGAATACGTTCCATCAATCGATCTGCATCCTTACGATACATCTTTTCTTGCATCGATAACCCAGCTGCCATACGCGACCCTAAATTTTAACCCAGGTTAACCCATATTAATTATAAAATAACCCTAACCCCTCGCCCTAACCCGGCGCACTAACCCTAACCCTCATATAACATATTCTAACCCTAACCCTAACCCATCCACACTCAATCATCAACACCCATAACCATCAATATAACCCTAACCCTCACTACAACCCTAAATCGTAACCCAACCCTAACCCATTCCATCCCTACATCACACCAACAACCTAACCCTAGCACTAACTAACTACAACCCCAACCCTAACCCTACCACCTAACCTTCATCATATTCTTACCTGGATCAATAACTCTTAATGCAATAATCTCATCTCCATCCTCAACTAACACTTCAATCAACCAATCTAATGCCGATTCCGAATAGTCATTCTGATCAATCCCACATAAAAATGTACGTGAACGATAACTATATGTATACGAACGATGAGTCGCTCGTAACGTTAAACTAAAATCACGAGCATCTCTATTATCAAATGTATCAAACGAAACTCGTTTCAAAAAAACCGGTGCATTTGATTTTCCCTCATTAACACCTGGTTCTTCTGACTCCACTCCTGTTTCATGTGTTGTTGCCATAAACCCTTCCTTTAACCCTCTCTCTACTCTTTATTAGCTCATAATTAAAATTTTAGAGGTGCCCGTGCGTAAACAGGGGTGTCCGGTTTTCCTCGCAAAGGATTATCGGTCTATACAATAACAATCTAAATTTCTTAAATCATTCTTTATACACAAATATTCTGTCCAATTTAGCTCATAAATTGAGACATTTTTAACACAGAATAATCCATCAATAAGGAATTCATTAAAGAGTGATTAGAGGACACCCGCGTGCACCTAACATCAACCGAGAAAACATAAGTAAAACTTTATAGAGGAATATCCATTATAATTCTGAATATGCTTTGGCCTCTTGAAACGTGGTACATGGACGTACCTATAGTGACACGACTATTTATTACAGGAGCCATTGCTACAAGTGTAGCAGTGGTAGGTTTTAATGGAATTTTAAGAGATATTTAAAAGAGATAGCAATGTAATTGGGTGACGCCATTTCAGCTATTTTTTTCATGGCATTCAGTTATTATTCGTAAACAGGTTAGGATTTTTTTTTTAAGTAAAATTTGGTAAGATAGTAGTATTGGAGACTTATTACGACATTTCTTTATTTTGGGAATTTAAGTTTTGACTTTTTATTTCATATTTTTTTTATGTAAGAAGGGTATATTTTTTTGGAAAGGTTTATTTTTGATAGCGCTCGATATTGTCGTATGCTTGAGGAAACATCGTTTAGAGGACGATCCCGTGAATTTGCTTATCTTTTACTTTATGCTACAACATCATTACTTGTTTTTTTTTTTTGATTATGGTATTAATCGATTAACATTGGTTATAGATTCTTTCACCTCTCGTTTCGTTAACGTTTCTTGCGTCGCCATTGTCATTCTGTTTAATTTATTTATGGTCTAGACGAAATCCTTCAGTTCGATTATCATTTCTTGGTTTATTTGTCTTTAACGCACCATATTTACCTTGGATTTTACTTTGGTTTTCATTCATCCTTCATAATACGATTCCTAAGGGTGATCTACTTGGTATGTTTGTTGGACATGTTTATTATTATCTTAAAGATGTTGCGCCAACAATTTCATCATAATTACAAAAAAAAAAGAAACAAAGTAATATTTCTTACAAATTTCTAAACGAAAAACCAATGCACAGCATATTCTATATTATTAGATGGAAGTTAAGCATTGTATACAACTCATTTTATTTTAGGGAAGTTGGATAAATAAAACTAGACGTTTTTTTTTTCACGAAATATTTCCATTCATATATCTCAAATCTAACACTTAATTGATATTTATAAGATATCTAGAGCTTATCTGCAATTCTTCAGTTTCTTTTCTATCTAATAACTAATACAATCTTCGATTCATCTTTTATTTCCGGCTCTTTCAAATCCTCGCTTCTTTATATTTATTGAGGGTATTCTATTTAATCATCACCTAATACAGCTGCACAAAGTGATGCTAAGGTTCCAAGATCAGCTTCATGTCCAAGTGATAAAGGCCGGCATGATGGATCTGAACGACTATCTAATACATGTCCGTTAAAATTCTTCATTAAGGTGTCATCAAGCAAAGTAGACATCATTTCAGCATGATTACTTTGAGGTTTTGTTGGGCATTGAATAGCTGAATTAATCGTTGTTTCCGAAGACGTATGGTTATCTTCATATGATGACATAACAGGATATGATGTCATAGAATCCAATGAAGGCACAGAAAGCGATTGCATGAAAAGTCTAGGAAACGATTCAAATTCTAAGAATTGCTGACTAGTAAAATCAATTAAAGAACTGTCCATATTGCTTATAGTTGGCGTCTCAACCAAAGGTACCATCGTATCAATAGATGGCGTAATCACATTATTATTATCCATCGCTATCTTCTTTCTACGCTTATACGGACCTCGTTTAATACCTTTTTGTCTCTTTTTTCGCTTAGAATTCGTACATGAATCGACTAAATGATTTTTGATACATCGACTACATGGACGTACTTCTTCACACTTTTTATTCGACTTTTGACAATTTACTTTGATAATTTATAAATTCATTATATTCATCATTACCTACTTACCACATGCATTTCTTACTTGGCATCTTTTTTTTTTTACTGGTGGTCGCATCATTTCTAAATTATTAATTGTTAATTGCTGATTAGGCACCGACGAAAAACTAGAGTTTTCTTGAGGCGAATCACCATATAAAAACATAAGAAATGTTGATGCCTGATTCTGATCATTATTACTAATGATTTGCTGATATGGCAACTCTGAAGAATGTAATGGAAAATTAACTGGAATATTCATATTTTGCTTTACTGGACCCGACAGATCATAAATAATTGCTGGTGATTCTGCTGGGTCATGGATCCTCATCAAAAAAATGAGGAACACATTTAAAGAATTATCTTAGTTTTTTTAAGTTCCGGTAATCTTTTTAAAGCATGTGAAATGAGGGAGCAATAAAAGAAAATGAGGCATTTAAAAAAATACATGAAAAAGAAATTAAACAGAAAGAAAATAACATTAAAATGTAAAAAGGTGATACCTGATGAATAAAAATGAAAAAGAAAAAAAATTGAAAAAAGATAAAAAATTAATCGAATTATATGACCATGTAAAAAAAATTAATCAGAGTAATAATCATCAGAGTCCATAGTAATAGTAGAAAAATCAAGCTTTAAAGAGTTAAAGAGGATAGGTTCTTTAACCTATACTTACTTTATATCGTAAAAGTCCACCTAATTATATTTTTTTAAAAAAGATTAAAAAAAAGAAAAAATAAAAACATACCAATGCCAAGGAATCCTTTACAAAACTGATTTCCTTCTTGTGATCTATCTGTTATGAATTCCAAGTTTGCACCAAAGTCTTTATATTTTTCAGTTAGCCATTCCAAAAAAGAAATAGAAGAAACGACTTCCATTTCGTTTCCTATAAAAATGATAAAAATGATGAAAAGAATAGAGTGGTAATTACCGGTTTCTTTATCTATAAAAGGTTCTCTATTTTTTTCAGATTGTTCTTTTGTAAAATGAACAATAACAGTATCTAAATATATGAACATAAAAATATAATATTTAAACAATACCTCCTTTAGAATCACAAAGAGTCCATCGTATAACATCTAAATTTTCCCAAACTAGAGTAATTTAATTTTTAAGATAATAATAATAATAATAGAAAGCAAACCAATAATTGTTTCAACGGCACCTAATTCAAGGCTTTTCAAAGTATCTTCAACACCATCTAGTTATCATTAGCTGTTATAACATAAATGATTTAGATCAAATGTTTACAGCAATATTTTCCAGTATCTTGTGATATTTCATCAAAATATTTTTGAATAAGTCTTTTTTCTTGAATAAATTTAACATTGGAAAGAATATCAGAAACAAGTTCGATAGCTTGATTAAACCCATTTTCTCCTCCGTAGGAAATGTCAACAATCTTAACAATTTTTGAAGTTAGTCGTGAATCAAACATATCTTTAAAATGTAAATATTAATATATATAAAATATTCAAAAAGAAACCAGAAATGCTTAATTCCGTTTTAAAGTCTTATATTTAGTATGAAAAATGATTAAAATGATAATATACCTGCTGATCCTGCTAATATCAATCCTGCTACATTAACTTTATCGTTCGTAATAAAAAGTTGTACTGCTACTTCTGCAACCTTCCTTACTATTTCCAATAAGATTTTCCACTAAATATTAGAAATTACCATAATTATGTCGTTTTTCCTCTCTTAAACGAGCAAAACGCAGTGCAGATTGTCCACCACGACCTTTAGAATTAATCCTTTATATATAAAAGAATATATGAAATATACCATGTTTTTTTGGAAGATCAACTGTAAATTTGTGAAGAACTTCACGTGTATTTCCACAAAGTGTCCCAAAAAGTGACCCATTACCATCCATAACAATAAACCCAAATTTTTGGTCACTTTCAAGCAGCTCTGAAAGTGCCTCCGTATGAAACTTATTATCACAAAGATACAATGACGTATTAATTGGCTTAAACGGCTCAAAATCAATACTTAATTTCTTTTCTTTCCCATCATCTGTAATAATTTCCCCACAATAAATAACAAGACCATTAGGTGGAACTTTAGTATACAATTTAAGCTTTTCACGGGTAGATGTAATCGCTCCAAGTACAGATAATCGATTAACTCTTGATTTAATATTTGATGCTGTTCCATATTCATCTAAAACAATAAATTAACCATTTTTAACCCTTTTTTTTCATATAAACCCCCAAGCATCTTATTCACACGAGAAACCTGATCCTTTGGTGCTAAAAAAATACATCAATCATACATTATTTTCCAAGTCGTACTAACGAATAATAAGAGAAATCATAGATGTCCCATTTCTAAACGTATAAGACTATTTTAAAAAAAAAAAAAAGACAAGAAACCCTCGTGCTGATTCTAAACTCTTAATAAGCTTCCTAACCTTCCACATTTCTACATTTTTTTCAACATCATTAGAGCTTGAACTCATATTTATCTATTTCGCTCGTTTTTTCCCCTTAAAAGATGCAACAAAAAGGAATATATAAATATATATAGGTTCCAATGGACGATTAACCTCTTATTTGGTCCTTAATAAGCTTATTTTAGGCTTTATTTTTGATTTTTTTTTCTGCACAAAAATTTGAGGTTATCGGCGATAACGTCTTAGTAAAAAAAGATTAAAATTCATAAACAGAGGGTTTATGCCTATAAATTAAGAGGAATCAGATAGAAGAATGTAAAACTTGTGATTAAAACAAACAGGAACATTTTTTTCAGATTAAAATATCATAATTTGAAGCATTTTTTAGTACTTTTTTACTTGATTTTTTTTTTTAAAATATCTTAAAATTGACAATATAATATATATTTTCTATTCTAATTATGTAATATTTTGTAAAATAGAATCTCTATATTTTTTATAAATAGATTTTTTATATTTTAAATCATTAGAAACAAGCGGTATTTTATATTATTTTTATAAAGAAATTCAAATATTGTCCTTATCTAAACAAGTTAATTATCTACAAAAAGTATTCTATTATTTAAAGATAAAAATAATAAAATATTAATATACTTATTATTTTGACTACATATTTCCTATATCCAGGAAAAATAAACTTTTTGTATTGATTTTATCGAATTAGCAATCTAGAAAAACTCTGTAGACCAAAGTGTATCCATCTTTGCAATTTAATTCATTATTTATTCATTTATTCAAACGGATTCTTGTGCAAAACATTTTATAAAAATCCTGTTGCTTTAAAAATAATAACCAAAATTGCCATTACACATTTAAAACAATTATCTCCCATATTTTTGATATTCCCATTCTCTATTATCAAGTGGACATACTTGACGAGTCTTAAGCCAACGAGAAATACAATGAAAATGAAATGCATGCTTTATAAATTAAAAAACCTCCCTGTATAAAACAATATTTATACATTACAAATACCCCATGCAACAGTACATGCTTCGCTTATTGGTGCAACCTGATTCGCTTGACATTCAATACCTATACATATTAAAAAAAAAAAAACACAAACAATCAATTTATTTGTAAAAATAGAATCCTTACAAAAATCCATAATATGATTACGACAAATTGCACAATTATCAACAATAATATCCCATGCCCATAGTGCTACTGCATTCCACTTATAAAATAAAAATCAAAAAAAAAAAAATTATAAATAATATACACCTTTTTAACCTCAAAACGCGGCTTTAAACCAACTGAAACCGATTCTTCCATTAGCTTTTCATCTTCCATAATTTCCGTAGGAATAAATGTAGACGTCGTAGGTAAACTACCAACTTCTTCTAAAACCTCTCCATCCGCTCTAAATTCAACTGGATCTTCTATCATAGATTGCGAATCTGTTAAAGAATATTCCATAGCAGCTTTATCTCTTATATAAAGATTTAATATCAATTTCTCCACCCAAATATAATTATACACTTAGTAACTAAGGTAGCACTTTCTATCCTTTTTATATATATTCAAGTAATATATTATAATAAAATAAGTATTTTAGAGGGTTTTTATGTATTTTTATAAGGACTTGTATATATTTTTAAAAATCATGACGTTGGAGACTATATAAAGGCTCAGCCCGTCCGATAACAGAGAAACCTCAAAATTTAGAGATTTTGAAATATCAGGTTAAAACATAGATAAAAAGGTAAGAAATAGCAAGAAATAAGATTGATATTGTTAAATGAATAGATATATTGTTTGAACGGAGAAAATCGGTTAAAAAACAAAGGAATTAGACGAAAAATAAGATATATGTTTCATCAACTAAAAGACGAGAAAAAAAGGACGAAAAAAGAGGAATTAAGAGCTCTATATAATAATTTTATGAATATAGAGAGATATACATTGAAGAAAAGCTTTTTTTTATGTTTTTAAAGGGAGAAATATTGATATAAATAAGCAAATTTATTAGTCAGAAAAAAATATGAATATAGTATTTAAATTTAGGAATGAATACACAAAAACAGAACTTAATTAATAGGGTAACACCGGAAAACAAGTATAAAAAATCGTATTCTACGAATTGGCAATTTTTTAATACAAATGATCAATCACCAGAGACAGAATTAATTAATGAATCGATGTCTCATAGAATGTCAATTACACCGCATAAAGAATTAAGTCATTATGCGGGGCCAACGTTTCATCATTCACCGGCGGCTTCTAATCTTCCTATTCCATCATTTTTTTCTAAAATTACATATAACACGCCGCATTTACAACCTTTGCATTTCCAGCAATCATCTCAACATATACAAACGTCGATTTCGAGGTATTTATGTTGATATACTCAGGATACATTTTTTAACATTAATAGTCCATCTACGTCTCAAATTCATTCATCTAAACAACTAGAAGAAACATCAGAAATATCTTTATACGAACCATCTATATCATTATCACATGAAGTTCATTCTTCATCACCGAAAAAGTTATTTAAAGTTGACATGAATGAAAAGAAGGAAAGACAAGCATTACGAAAGCAAGAAACAAATGCATCATTAGAATTTAATGATACATTTTACTCAAAAACGTATTCATCAATAAAAAAAATAGGAAAAAAAAAAGAAGTCAAGGAAAATACTCTTTTATCAGTATATTCGGATTTTCATAATACGCAGAGAAATCAAAAAGATAATCATCATCAAAAAACAACTTTTTATAAGAAGAATAAAATGCAACTCCGAAAGAATATGTACATTGATAACTATAACACTAACGCAGAAGATATGAAACAAAAATTGTTAAGTCTACTTTTACCATCTAAACCAAATAAGTCATCAGCAAATACTTAAAAATAAGGGGAAAAATACAGTTAATCAATTATAAATCTTTCGAGATTATACATCTATATCCTTAGAAAGGACTATTATATGCAAAAATATCTCCACTAAATCTTGTTCTAAGGTATTCCTATATAAGGAGGATCAAAATTTCGTAAGAAATCAAATAGATCATAGAAACTATTTCTTTAATACAGTTATTTTATTTCCTTATAAATGGAAAACTATATAGTATCTCATTGTAAATGAAATAGTTATGTATGTATGTATATTAAAATTGTTCATTTTACTTGGAATTAAATACAACAAGTATAACAATCTTTGAAAAAATCATTATAAAAAGTATTACCACATTTCGGCTGTTCCTTTCATATGCAATAGGTTATCAGATTCTACCCACAAAGCATATTGGATACCACTAAGTTGTTTTAATCTCCTTCCACAAAATTTATAAGAAAAGTTAGCATAAAGTGGATATTGTATTTTATAATAGAAAGATTTCAAACGCAGATCTGAAGAAACATTCTGTTGTAATAATTCTAAAAGAAAAACAACACATAAAGATCCCTGAACTAACAAATTATCATATTTTTCTTCTTTTAAATACGAATAATCATAATGAATCTTATGTGAATTAAAAGTTAATGCTGAATATCGAAAAAGAAGGATTTGAGAAGGTGTAATAGAACATGAAAAGTCAGGTATCCAAGCTTTAACAATATTATTAATGTTAAAATGCCTTTAAATCAAAATTACCCACATTTTTTTGATATTTCTATCACTTTTTCGCCCATTTTATAAACAGATTGATATACGATACATATCCTCTCTCTTAAACATACATCTTTCGGACGTTCCTGATCATCTAACGGAGAAATTTCCTTGCATGTCCATACTGAAATGTTATCCTCTTTACGACCATTCCAATCAACTTTTTCAAGCTTTTCAATAGAAATTGCAGGAAATCCCATACGTAAAGGATATTTCATATTTTTATTAATATATTCTAATGATCCTTTGGCCCATAAACGTCTATTCCAATTCATCAAAGGCGCGTAAATCATTTCACCTCCATCTTTCGCTAAAGAATCTTCCAAATGACACATGTGAAAATAAAGATAATGATATCCAGGTGGAAGTTCATTTCCAATACTAAATCTAGACAGATCTAACGCCTTTTTAAAATGTGAAGATAATGTTAAACTCAATTGACGTCCTATTGTTGGTGATAAAAAATCAGAAATATAGGTCACCGGTGCATGTAATAATTCTGATAAAGATTTATCATAGGAATAAAGACGATTCCTATAATGAAATATAAAAGAAATAGCCGATCTTCTGTTCTTTCTATATAGATTTATCATAGATATCTCTTATCTCAAAACTTGACGTTACCAATATCACGTGACTCCAGTATAATAATGAAGATATAAGAGAAACAAAAAATAATGCGATATAATTAACCTATTAAAATGGTGAGAAAACCCAATGCTTCTTTTGTAAGGAATGTATGTAATGAAATTTCCAAAGACCAATAAATTTTAGATAACTTTTTTTTGTAAAATATGAATCGTTAAAATATGATTGTAGTATAATTTTATAATAATTATTGCCTTATATTTGGTGAAAAAATGTGTACGTTTTCTTTCAAAGTATGCATTTCTTGAAGCGTAATATCGTTCCCATGAGAATGATCTTTCAAAATATTAGTATCTTTAGTTGCGAGTACAGCTTTAGTTGTTTGAGTATTTTTAGTTAATGATTGATTTTGAAAATATAGTGTGTTTTCAGGCGAAATTGTACTTCCAAGATGTATAGATGATGTATCTTTATATTGTTGTTGTTGTTGTTGTTGTTGTTGCGTTTTTTTAAGATCTTTATTAGATATCTTCATCATTGAAGGCTTTTCATTAAACGTAAGTGAAATTTTATTTGGATCCATCATGGATAAAGCCGATTTTGTTTGTTCTTTTTGACGCTTTCGTAAACGATGCTTTAAAACATCGAAATAACTCATGTGATCCTTATCCGAAGTACCCAAAAATAATTCTCCCGTTGTATCATCAATTGTCCAATTACCCTCTTCCAAATCATCGGCTAACATTGCCAAAAAAGACGCCCATGAATGCGCTACCACATACTTAATATCTTGATCTCTTCCAAAAAGAATAACTTGTCCCCATCTTCCTGTAGGTCCCGGTGCAAGATCAACTCCAATATTATTTCCTTCAAAATCCTTTCCTAAAGGAATCCATCCTGGATGTGCATAAACCGCTCGTACCGATCCCCTTGGATACGATCCTTGTCGTTTAAATAACTCTCTTTCTCGCAAAAATGTCCCTGATTCTCGAATTTTAGTCAAATTTATCGCCACTTTTTTCCATAAATAATATTCTTCTAAAACTTCTTCGCAATCTAATAATGTAATTCCAAAAATAATCCCCGTCGGCTTTCCTCCCCTCTCCTGTCCATCATGAATAAAAAATGACTCTCGTACATCCTTTGGAAGATGATTTTTTAACTCATATTCTAATTCATTCACATCTGCCACCGTTGCACCATATGACAATTGATCATATAGCTCCGGATAATGCATTTCCGCCCATCTATCAATACGTCTCCATGAATCCGATACTAATGGAGGCGGTAATAATCCATCTGCTCCATAATCTCCTAAAACTATGTCCGTATGCTCATATAACGACCTTTTCAAGGTACATCTCATAGCAAAACGAAGTCCTGGCCAATCTTGCACATTACACTGCGGAATCGGTCTTGTATATTCCCCGTCTAGAGATTCTATCTCTAGACCCTCATACTTCATTATTTCACTAGAATCACACAAATATCGATCTACGCCTCGTATATCATTCTCTCCAATAGATACTACCGATTCAAGACCTTCTGTTCTAACAATTCCTTCCCGTTCTATCGTTCTACCGTATAAAACTCCTGATGATGACGGATCTGCATGTCGATTATTTGTTATTAATGAGTTCCAAAACGACGTTATCAAAGAAATAGCAAGCATTCCCTCAATATTATTCCTCCTTATAATCCAGTGCCCTTATTAACCTATATTTCTAAGAAATATCCTCAATTTCCTGGTATTTTTAGCCTTTTTATAGGATTTGTAGTCATCGCTTAAGATTGGATGTTAAGGTAAGAAGGAACGAGTCGTGGATGACATATAAATAGGTGAAAATAAGAGATGATAGAAAATACAAGGGAAATAAGGGATTTCAATAGAATAGAATGGGATGAAGAGGAGGGAGGAGTATGAGGAGGAGTAGAAGTAGAAGTAGTAGTGTATAAGAGTAGTAGAAGTAGTGTATAAGAGTAGAATTGAAGTAGAACTGAAGTAGAATTAAAGTAAAAGAGAGATTAAATATGTATATAAGAGCTAAATAAGTTTAAAGTGACGAGCCATTAATAAAACTAGAACGATGTATCCTATAATGCACCAGAAAATTCCCCAAAACCAACCAGATTTGTGTTCACCTGGAACAGCAACTAAGAGAAGTTAGTTAGAAAGAAAAGAAAAAGAGAAAAAAACCATTCATGCCAAAAAGGCCGGTAATAATATTTGCAGGAAGAAAAATGGTTCCGATGACAGTAATTTTAGAAAACATAGCACTACTTCGTTCATTAGATTGAACATAACTGATGGATAGCTGTGCTAAATAATTAGAATGAGATCGAGAGAGAATTTTTTCGAATTGAATTAAGTTTTGAGTCATAGTGATTAGATGGTCTATAGAAGAAGGGAGTTTAATAAGGAAATAATAAGAAATTAAAGAAGAAGAAGATACCTTGTATATCACCGAGATATAAGCCGATTTCGCTTTTAGGAGCAACATTATAATTTTCAGTACATCTTTTTGCAAACATTTTGATAACGTCAGCTTTTCCATATAAAAGACGAAAAAGACTAAGAACTTTTCTTCTACAACAACCAATGGCACGAAGCATTTCTCTGGATTCGTGATTTCGAGTGATCAAGACAGCATCTTCAATGGCATCTGTTTCTTTTTCGATAGAATGGATGCAGGGGCCAAAACCATCAGTAATGTCATCGATGAGTGCATAGCATATCCAATCAGAAGAAATATCGACATAGTCACGAAGTTGACGAATCCTACGTCGAACATTTGCAGGATGTACGATTGGAGAAAAATGAAAAGTCAAAAGACCCTCTCTAAAAACAACAATATAAATGTTAACGGGTTCAAGGTAATCTTGGCTTTGAGCATCTTGTTCGAATGATCTAAAACAAACGAAATAGTAAGAACGAAACAATTCAACCTTTTCACGAGTTTCTTGAACACGAATATCTTCAGCGGTTAAAGGATGAATTGAAAATACCTTTTGTAACATTTTCATTTCTATATCAGTTGGATTTAAACAATCTAACCACCAAGTTCCACGATCGGGACCAAAAATATCCTGAAAAGTTTCACCTTCCAAAAGAATATCTCCAATCTCACGAACATGTATAGTTTTTTCGGTGTTTGAAGAGAAAAAACTGAATCTATCGGATATATCTATACCCTCAGCCTTACTACAAAATTCAACTTTTTGTTGAGAATCTAAAGCAATAGCACTAGAAGATAAACTATTCCTATATGGAATATCATTATAATCCTCATCGAATACATTGTTTTCGCATTTATCCAAGTTTAAAGATAAATAATTTTTAGATGCAAAAGCACCCTTTACAACTGATCCAGTACTATATTTCCGAGACTTAGTATAAGAAACATCTGAATCCTTTAAACATTGAGAAGCGACAAACTTATTCAATTCCTCAAAATCAACTCCTTTTACTACTCTACATTCTTCGGTCATAGGAAAACAAACATCTTCCTCGACTTTTTCAGATTTAGCATCGGTTGAATCAATATGAGAATTTGGACGTGAAGTAACTGAAGCACTATCATCATCACTTGATAAATGCTCATACGCTTCTTGTGGTTGACCATCCGTATATAAAATACCTGAATATTTGCACTTCTTGGAATTCGTAGTCGATACCGAGGAAACTGGTACATCTCCTGATGATACATGAGATATTACCGCATCCCCATGTCTTTTGTTATCAACATGATAATTACATGATTCCGATGTAGGAAGAGAACGAACATTTGATGAAATAATAGGAATCGGAGAAATAACATCTTTTATATCAAAATTATAAATACCATCTGTATTATCATTATGAATCAAACATGCTCGACTCGAATTATCCCTATTATCCGAAAAAATCTGACTGCTTTCAGAATGTGTCGGTGATAATCGATGCCATGATGCTGATCGATGAAGTGTTAAACTAGATTGAGAAAGACGATTCGAAAATCCTGTAGAACGTATCGAATCCTCTGTAAAATTCAAATCTGAAAAACACTCCGCTTGATCATTATGATCAAGCGGCACTTCTGAAGAAATACCAGTAAATGGCTCTGAATTATGCGTTCCCATCATTAAACAAGAGCAAGAGCAAGAGCAAGAGCAAGATACTATTACTCTAGTTTTACCCACAATTCAACAAACGTTCTTTCCTTCCACAAAAAAAACTCCAAATATACAGCAAAAACCTCTCAATATATAAAAAATATTCAAGTTACACCCGATCACTATATTATCACAATAATATCCCTTAAATCAATCCTAACCAAGATATATATATATATATAAAACTTCAAAATAACAAATAATCCACAAATAATTTATTTAATTAACTTTATAACTTCTCCTATGGAGGCTTAATAGAACAAACTGAAATTTTCCCTGGAAATGAACACAAAGATTGATTGCACCTAAAAAAAAGGTTCTCCAATTTGATCTAAAATTTAACTTAGTATTATTCCCTTATCATAAATATTTATTATACCTTAATATATTTATATATTCTTCTATTAAATCCTATAATCCTATGTATTTTCAAAGACAGACGTTTTTTACAAAGTTTTGCTTTTTTTTACATCCGTTCGATAGATTTGCTTGCATAACGACGTCTCTTAACTATTCACGTAGAGATCTCTCAGGATCAATTAAAACTCTAAATATTAGAAATAATATAAAATACTTAATATTTATAATAATATTTATAATAAATAATATTTATATTATTATTTATAAATAATAAACAAAACAGTTTATATAAAGAGTTAAAGTTTTAATAAATGATTTTTTCTATTATAAAGAAAATTGAAAAATTAATATATGGACATATTGATTATGAAGGTCAAACAAAGTCAGAAATATTTGCAAATATAATTGTTATATTTTTTTCAGTAAGTTTTAGATTTTTTTTGGAGGGAAGATGTGACGATTAAGATTGCGGCATACGCTATAGGTTTTCTTCAGCAAAACCTAATAATTACGCTTTTTATATTTATAATAGGGATTATAACGTCTATTTTAGTGAGTATTATATATAAATAATGAATGGAGGAGTAATTGTTTTATAAGGTGATTGTTCCTCCATGGCCTATTTATAATATGCACCCTATTAAATGGCATCGAGGCAAAGTCTCGAAAGCATAGAAAATAAGTAGAAGTAGAAGTAGAGAGGAGTAAAAGGAGTAAAAGGAGTAGATATATAGAGGAGTAGATGTATAGAGAAGAGTAGATGTATAGGGATGTACATAAGTAGAATAGATAGATTATGGGTAGTTTTAGAATATATATATTACGTAATAAAGAGGAAGAGAGAAGAGAGAAGAGAAAAGAGAAAAGAAAAGAGAAAAGAGAAAGAGAAAAGAGAAAGAGAAAGAGAGATAGAAATAGAATTTTTAAATAATTAAACGAGTTAAATAAGAGAAAACGTATTACGAGATAAAATATTACGAGATAAAAGGTATTTATAAATATCATGACTAAAAAAAATTAGAAAAAAAAATTAGAAAAAAAAAGATTACTTTTCAATTACATAAAGAAAACCAGAAAAAAATCCTAAAAATGTAAATTTATTGTATAATATTTATAATTGAATATTTATGAAGGTTACCGAGTACGATAGCGCTTATCGTAGAGAAAGTTACAGGTGTATGAAAAAAACAAGTCCAGTGATAGATACAGGCAACTATAAAGAAGTAAGTATAAATAGATAGATAGATAGATAGATAAATAGATGAATAAATACAAACCTTATTTAAAGCACCTATCATACTAAAGAATTAAAAAAAAAAAAAGATAAATTAAAATAAGAAAAATACCTATAAGTAGTTGAAGAAGTTACTCTGATACACCATAAAGAGGTGTAACCGATTCCAGCAGAAAAAATACCAGATAATAATATTGAAATGATTGGAATGATATTTATTCTAATATAATCGATAATATATTGAAAGAGTAAAATTTGAAATACTTATTGAGTGTGATGTTTTGACTACTCCAATCATCCATAGTTAAAGTGCAGATAATTAAAATAGGAATTCCAAGTAAATTGCTATAAAACATAGCTAAAATAAGTTAAAAAAAAGAATGTATAAAAGAATTATACAATCGAAATCAGTAAAATGACCAGATTTAATTTTTTTTCTAGTTTCTAAAACATATGCAGAGCTACATATGCAATTGGTAATTATCCAAAGGTAACCATAATATAAAAAGGAATGATCGAGTAAAAAAGAGCGACGAAACCATAATCCTGATAACAAAGAATATAGATCATCCCATGCTATCATAAGAGAGGATAAAATCATCATAAAAAAAGATAATAAAGCAAGTTTAGATACAGAGCCACCCATAAAAAAAGCTTCACCATATGCCTTAAAACATTAGTATAATAAGAAAATAATATCATGAATAACAGTTATAATGATTGTGAAATTTTTGAAAATAGTATAAATTGGAATTGAAAGAAATTGAAGCCTATTTTTTAATTAATTTCCTTTTTTTTTAAAACTCTAATGCATTTTATTGCAATCTTTTAAAATACTGACGCTTTACTACTTGTATAGATCATAGTAATAAATAAAAATGAAATTGGAAACCCTTAATTCCATTATAAAAAATATGTTTAAGAAAAAACAAACAAATACATTGTTTTACCATAGAAAATGTAAATTTTGGTAAAGAAATAACTTTAAAAATCTCAAAAATATGAAGAATTGCAATAGAAATAAGTAACTAAAAACAAATTAGTTTATTATAAATAAAAATACCTTTTTATAATAAAAAATCTACTTGAATAATCAACATAAAAAAATTAAGATTAAATCCATATCTTGTAACAACCCATTTATTTATAATTGTCATCTAAACAAAAAATTAGCAATTCCTTAAAAATCAATAAAACAAAAAAAACAAACAAAAATTGAAACAAAACAATAACTAAAAATTGACAATACACGAGAACTATCTACTATGTAATTTTATCTTAAAAATATACAAATTTACTTGGAAATATGTTTTAAAACATTCTTTTTTAACATTTCTAAACTTAAAGATATTCAATTAATTCTATTTTCTTCTAATAATTTAAATATAAAATAATAATGAATTATTCTATTATATCTTCTCATAAAAGACTCTAAAACCCTTCTTTTTTATCTTCTTCTTATCTCTCCTAAACATATATAAACTTATCTCGTTATCTATTTATTCGTACCTTACGCTAAAAAAAAACTAAGTTAACATCAAAAAATAGATTTTTTTAAAAAAATATAGAAAACTTATATGAAAAGGCTATTTCTATTTAACATTGTTATTAATAAAAGGAATTTTATGTCTTTTAGCAAGAATTTTTTTGAGAAAAGTTTTTTGAAGAGTTTTAAGGATATACAAAGATTCCAAATAGTTGTTATTGGTGGTGGCCATGCAGGATGTGAAGCAGCAGCAGTTGCATCAAGAAGCGGTTTAAAAACAGTACTTATAAGCCAAGATATTAATAAAATTGGTTTATATTTTTTCAAACATAATAATAATATATTTTGATAATTTATAAGGAGAAACATCATGTAATCCGGCATTTGGAGGGATTGGAAAAGGAACATTAGTTAGGGAGATAGATTCACTTGATGGACTATGTGGGGTGATTTCTGGTGTATATTCTTAATAATTATTTATCTTTCTAATATACCTATGAAGACCGTGCAGGTATTCAATTTAAAATACTTAATCGTACAAAAGGACCGGCAGTTTGGGTTTGCTAATATATATGTATTTGTTAGTTTATGTTTATCTTGATGAAGGGTCCAAGAGTCCAGATTGATCGTCTACTTTATAAAAAATATATGTTAGAAACATTATCTTCATATGAAAATTTGACATTACATGAAGGAACAGCAATAGATATTTTAACAGAACCATTATTAGAATATGAAGATAGATATAAAACTTCGAAATCCAAAGTTTCAGGAGTTATTCTTGGTTTTTAATTATTATTATATCTATTAAATTTAATAATAATAGAATCTGGTGAAAAAATATTAACAGAACATGTTATTATTACTACAGGAACATTTTTAAATGGAAAGATACATATTGGTAAGGGTTTTGAAGCAATTTCTTTATCAATTTCATATATATAGGATCAAAAACATTTCCAGCAGGACGAATTGGAGAATTAGCAACATTTGGTATCAGTACATTTTTAAAGGAAAAAGGATTTAAACTAGGACGTTTAAAGACAGGAACTCCTCCAAGACTTGACATGAAAACTATTAATTATAAATATTTAAATCCTCAATTAGGAGATGAGCCACCTGTTCCTTTTAGTTACTTACATACAGAAGACAATATTAAGAACAAAATTTTATGTTATTCAACATATACAACTGAAGAAACACATAGAATCATAAGAGATAGTTTAAAGGAATCAATTCTTATGCAAAAAGATGTTAAAGGACCAAGATATTGTCCTTCTATAGAAACAAAAGTTATACGTTTTCCTTCTCGCAATCATCATATATGGTTGGAACCAGAGGGCATAGACAGTAATATAGTTTATCCAAATGGAATAAGTGTTACACTTCCTGAGGAAATTCAGCTTAAAATGTTAAGAAGCATTCCTGGGCTTGAAAATGTAACAATGCTACGTCCAGGCTATGGTGTTGAGTATGATTATGTAGATCCTAGAGAGCTTTATCCAACTCTTGAAACTAAACTTGTAAAAGGGTTGTGGCTTGCAGGACAAATAAATGGTACAACAGGTTATGAGGAAGCTTCTTCTCAGGTATTTGAAATGAATTGTTCTAACGAACTTATAATAATATTGTAGGGTTTATTAGCAGGTATTAATGCTAGTTTATCAAAAAAAGGCCAACCTCAAGCTACTATATCTCGAGGTTTGGCATATATTGGTGTACTTATTGATGATCTTGTTACTAAGGGAGTAGAAGAACCTTACAGAATGTTTACATCTAGATGTGAATATAGGCTTAGTATTAGGGCAGACAATGCAGACTTAAGATTAACTGAATTTGGTCATAAATTGGGTATAATTAGTAAAGAAAGATGGGAACAATTTAATAAGGATCAAAAACTTTTTATGGATGCCAAGAAAGCACTAGAAAATGTAGTTCTATCTCCTCAAGAATGGAAATCATATAATATTTCAGTGAATATGGATGGAATTAAAAGAAGGTGAGTATTAAATATTATAACATTTTTATCAATTCAGCTAGTGCAATGCAACTTTTAGCATATCCAAACATTACCACTGATACTTTTTTTAATATTATACCGATGTTGCAAGATATACCCAGTAAAATTCGTCTACGTCTAAGCATAGAAAGTATTTATTCTGGATTTATAACTAGGCAAGAATCTGAAAACCGCTATCTTCTTCAAAAAAACGAAGAATTCCTTTTTCCTCCAGATATAGATTATAATAAGTAGTATATATTCTTTTCTAAACATTAATCTCATTATTATAAGGTTAAATAATTTATCTATAGAAGAAAAGGAATTATTAAATTCTATACGCCCACAATCATTTGCACAAGCTAAAAGGATTCAAGGCATTACACCATCAGCTCAATTAGTTCTTTTAAGATATATTATGCAAAACAAAAAAAGGCACAAAACTGTCAACAACATATACATGTAATATTAGGTTGTAAAAATCATGATTAAAGACTAAGATATGTTAATTTATATATCACTTTTTTTATTTATATAATATCATTTAAAATATATAATTACATATTTAACTTAAATAATATATCCATATGTGGTTAAAACAGTTTTAACATCATCTGACATTGTACTAATAATTCGAGAAAACTATAAAATTAGTAACAATATATAAAGAATTAAAACGTACATTTCCTCCATTTGCAGAATTCCCCTTCATCAACTCTTCTATAAGGAATGCTTTCGGATCTTTAATAGACATGCATGGATCCTGTTCAGCTTTTACAGAAAACGCTAGACGAGAAAAACTTGCTTGAAAACCAATATCATCGATATTTACTTCAATTATTTCATCATTTTTTGAAATTTCAAATGGCAATTCAAAAAGCTTTAAAATAGCTATTAATGTAGAAGACCTTTTTCTGTCAAGAAATAAATCTATAACAAAATAAAATTTTATTACCAAAGTGTGGGATATTTGATTTCTTGCAAAGCAAATCCCCTGCAAAGCATTATAATCATACCAATAGAACACGTTTTACGATCAATTGCAGCTTTAATATTTTGTACTCCAGGTAAGCAAAACATTAAGAAAACTTGCTCAAATAACCTAAAAATATTATTATTATATTATGTAAGTAATTCTCTTTCAAACCCTGTCTGTATATTATTAATAACATTTATGAAATAGTCTGGCCCATATTCTTTTCTATTAATTGCAGATAAAAAGAAAATTAATTGAATAAAACATTCAGTAAATTTTTCTGTCCTAGACTGATTAAGCCGTGTTAAGAGAAGTAAAAATATTTGTTTAATATAAGGCTCCATAACAGACCTATATAAATTTAATAAAAATAATATATATATATATATATAATATAATTTACGCAGGAAGATGAAGAAAAACAGTCTCTAAAAGTTCAAATCCATAATGATCATCAAGTCGAGATGAATTTAATTTTTGAAAAATTCCAAGAATCTGTTCTATATAATTACTATTTACAATAAAAAGTGGATCTTGAGATATAACAGCTTTTAAAAAACGTACTAAAGCAGGGACATTTCCTAATTTTTTTTAATATTAAAATATCTTTCTAAAATATAAATAAATATTACCTCTAGATTCCCATAATGATGCCAACAAAATAGGTGGAACAAGTGATTTATAAATATCAGGTAAACTTAAATTATGATACTCAAGAAGTTGTGCTAATATTTGAAATACATATGGAATAAATTCTTTTAAAGTCAATATAAAAAATTGAAAATCATTTAAAATACCAACTACATCATTTTGAAGAATTAAACGAAGTGAAGGAAACAATAAATTTTCTAGGTGTAACAAAGTTTCTCTTGAATTTGGAACAGTATATCTATAAAATTTTAGTAATGACAGATAAAAAATGGGTTAAAATAATACCTTATTAAAATTGCCAAAGATTCAAAAACATAATGATTAAATTTAGGGTTAGATGGATTTTTGCTTACTTCTAAAATAATATTTATTAAATAAGAAGATATTGTATCGACTAGAGGAATTATTCCATCCTTAATAGTAGCAATAACTCTCATTGTACCTTTTATTATTAAAAAAAAAAAACCTATGAAAATATAAATACTTACATTTCATTAAAAAATCATTTTCAGATAACTTTTCCAGAGTAGATGCTTTTTCAATTAACTTAAAAAGATTTTCCAATAATTCTTTGGATAATTGAACAATATCCATTTTTCCAATCAAAAAACCTTCTTCTTTGTTAAGATTTAAAATAGCTTCAATTGTAACTGCCGAATATGTATATACTGCATAATCTGGAAAATTTAAATAATTCATAAGTAATGGAAGGCAGCTTAAAATTTGATCTCTTTGCAACTAATTTTGATAAATATACTTCAAATGAAAATACATAAAAAATACCTGATTCCTAAATATATAAACATATTTTATTAATACCACTTTCAACATAGTATGAATATCTTCAGATAATGAACTAAGATCTTGAAAAATATTTTGAGAGAAAAAGTCAACAACATTTGTTATTGCGCTAACAGATGTTATTCCCAACTTAATGATATTAGAATATAATAATATATGATATGTATATAAGATACTTTATTTACAGAGCCTTTTATCGTAATTGAAAAAAAAAGGTATATAGCCGTATTTTTTGCTCTCCAATTTTTTCTTTTATCTTTTTGAAATTCCTAAAAACAATTTTATTTAAAAAATAAAATAACATACTTTCTCATACGAGTAAATAACGACTTATATAATTCGAAACGATAGAAACGACATCTGTTTCAAATTGTTCAAGTAATGCTCGAACAAAGCTATATGTAGCGTTTCTTCTTATATTACAATCAAACTCTTCAAGATCCCGTCTAACATATTCTACAGAATCATCCTCAAAAAACTCTTTATCAGATTCTAAATCATTAATTATTATAATTATTTAATTTGGAAATCTTTAAACCTTGAAAAGAAATATTAGGTAAAACTATGTTTTCAATAAGATGTCCAAGAACATCTTGTGATTTAAAAATATAAGAATATCGCTGTATTTTTACTACAGAAGTTAAAAACATCATTATTTTTTCTACAAGCTTCTTTATGTCAGAAAAATCATTAATCAAAGAAAATTCATATACAATATCATTTTTTTTTCCAAAATTCATATTGGTTAATAAATTCCAGGATGCATTTACAAATTCCGGTAACATAGAAAATGCATCTTCATAACGTTGAGTATATAACTCCACAATTTCATATATATTGGATCTAACTTTTTCCAATGGTCCTTCTATATCTTGATCCTAATAATAAATAAACATCAAAAATAAATTGAACTCCATTCAACCTCTGAAATCAACAATGGATTAGAATAATTCATGTATTTATGTAATAATCCCATCCATTGCTGTATATTATCCTCAAAAAATTCCGGTAAATCCTGACAATTAAGATCATAAAATATTTTTAAACATAAAATCATATTCTTAAAAAGAAGTTCCAACGCCTCTTTATTATCGGAATTCTGCATAATCAATTCATCCAACCTCTACCTCTCATTAAAAATCTTCCTCCCCTAAAACTATAAATATTCACCAAAAAAATATTTCTATATGGAACAGAAAATTTCTCTAAAACAAACAAAATTTCACTAAATAACAAATCACTCCTAAACTTTCCCCTCCATCTTCCAAAAATTGAATGTGCCGTTTGTAATATACCCTGATTAATCACCATATCATTCGACGATAAGTGTGATACGAGTTCCTACATTTAAATTAACCCTAACCCTATCTCCTTCAAAAAAAAAAAAACATCAATAAGTCTATCCCATTGTCCTGGAAAGTCTTTCTCTGCAATTATACTAATACATTCTCCAATTTGAACCTGTAAAAGCGGAGGAACCGATATCATCAACATAACTATCTCTTTCTTAACCATTATCCGTTCTCCTTCTTCAATTTCAATAGAACCCCCTTCTCCCTTAAAATATTACAAAAATATAGCGCATTTATCCCATATACCCCCCAATTTTTCCTTATAAAATTCTTAAAAAGAACGCATGCTGCCTGTCGCGTAGGCATATCTAATCTATCCAAAGAAACAATCCTTAATATATCATTAACAAATCCCTTTCTAGATTCTTCTCTTTCAAGAGCTTTCTCGACTATTTCTAATTAATACTTATTCTCATCAATTAACCTTACCTTGTCTGGAAAATAATGGGTTAAAACTCTCCTGCAGACACCTAATAATCTGTTCATAACCCTCCATATTGACCGTTAGAGAAGATATCTGCCTATTTTAGCCCTTATCCGCCCTTATTTCCGGCTTATATGCGGTGTAGGCGTGCGGCCCTATTTTTTTAACGTTGTAGATATCCAGAGAGAGAGGAGTAAATAATAGTTAGGGTGGGAGTGTAGGGTTTAGGGTAAGGGAAGAAGCGTAGGTTTAGGTGAAGGGCGGAGTAGAAGGGTTAGGGCGGAGAAGGGTCAGGGCGAAGGGTTAGGGTTATAAAGTAGGGTTATAAAGTAGGGTTGCATGTTAATACTATAAGGTAAGGTTATAGGTTAATGTTATAGGGTAGTGTGTAAGGGGATGTAGATGCAGATAGTAGGGTTAACGAGCGTAGGGTAGGGCTGTAGAGCACAGGGTAGGGCTGACGAGTGCAGGGCAGGGTTAGGACTGCACATAGGGTAGGGTTGGAGTTATAAGGTAGAGCTATAAAAAGGAGTTATAAAAAGGAGTTATAGAAAAGAGTTATAGAAAAGAGTTATAGAAAAGAGTTAGAGCTATAAGTTAGAGTTATAAGATGGAGTTATAAGATGGAGTTATAAGGTATAGTTTAGAGTTTATTCAGGGTTTATTCAGGGTTTATTCAGGGTTTATTCAGGGTTTAAGGGTTTACATAGGATTTTCATAAAATTTTATTAGGGCAAGGACTAGGGTTAGGGTAAAGATTAAGGATAGAGTCAAGCTATAGAGAATTCAAGTATACAAGGATTAGTTGGAGTTAGGGTTAGGGTTGAAAATAATATAGGGTTAGGGCGGAGTTATACAGGGCAGGGGTTGAGTTTACATAGGGCAAGGTTAATAGATAGAGTGAAGATAGGTAGGGTTAACACAAGGTCAGGGTTAACATAGAGCAGGGCTAATACATATAGGATTAATACACTCAGGGTTAATATACTCAGGGTTAACGTACTCAGGGCTAGGGTTAGGTAAGGCGCAGGGTTACAGGTCTATACAATTCCTCGGTTTACAAGCATACAACCAACAAAATACGGCATTAAAGGGATGAATGAGGGGAATCGCGACGCATTTATGGGGAAAAGTGGGAGGTTTTTTGCTACATTTAAAGGATTAAGCCGTACAAGAAGGACTCTGCTGGATCAGGAGGAAGAACAACGGGAGAGCAGCTTTCTGCAAGATATTGAATACCTTTTATGCATATTAAGGAGCTCTAATGATGAAGAAGAATGTATCAAAGCGGCAGATCGATTGAGTGAACAGCTGTCGCGAAATATTGTTATGAACGGTGCAGAGATATGGAAGGTCGGAAGAAGACATATTTCGGGAGGAAACAGTGTAGAAATGCGTAGATCAGGGTTTTTATTGATGTCAGCATGTATTAGATCACAGAGGGAATTAAGCGCAGTCGAAAGATATATGTTTTATCAGGATATTCAAGAACATGATGTAAAAGAAGATTTTGCTATGTGTTTGGATATTTTAAGGGAATTAACGAATGATGGAAGGGATATTACAGCAATGGAATCAACGATTATGCGATTATTATCATCATGGCTTTTTGTGTGTTTTAAAAACACGGAAAAAAGCAGGTTAAAAAGCCGACAAATGGTGTCTAGACATAGTAATGATGTATTATATGAAGAGAATCTTAAGGTTCTTTTCACATTGATTACAAATATAGTGAAATTTCATTATTCAGTTTTTAAAGAAGAAGAAGTGGTAATGTTAATTAATGATGTGATTTGGATTAGTAAAAAAACAACAAACAAGAATGATATTAAGAATGTAATTCATTTTCTTGACGTTGTTATTCGTTATGGATATATTCCTATTTCAGCATTGACGAATTGTGTTGAAATTTTATGTAGTGCTAATATTGGTATATTAGAATTTGAAGATATTTCATGGAATATTATGAAAAATTTATTAAAAAGTCATATAGCGTATAATACAGTTCAATCATTGAAAAAATTTCTTGAAACGAGAGACAAATTGCATTCGAATGTAATTATAGGAGCAGCGAGATTTTTATCATGGATTTTAACTACAAATGAGCAAAATAGACTTTTTTCGATTCCTCATGGGACTATTATGGAAACATATAAATCAGCGCTTTCTTTGAATATTCCACAGGTGGATCTTGAAATTTTAAAAGCATTGAGAGACTTTATTGGCTGTAAACATATACAAGAGGAAATGAATTATGATGAATGGGATATACCTCTTGAAATATTAACATCATGTTCGAAATATTTGCAATACTTTACTGCTCAAAATAAGCTTCTAGAACTACCTGATATGGAATTTAAAGATGATATATATACATTGTTATTCCAGGTTACTGGTCAAATTCTTTCTATATTGCAAGATTTATATAATAATTCATGTTATTCTGGATCATCAAGAAAATTAATTCAATATTTTTCTAAAATACATACTTATTTACCCGAATCTACTTGTATACTTTTATTGGATTATTATTCTATTCATTATCATTATAATCAAGATTATGAAAAATGGCCAGATAATCCTATATTTATCGCACAATCATTCTTTAAATCTTCTTATTATACGACGAAAGTTAGAATAAAGGCACTTGATCTCATAAAAAATATTATAAGTACAGGAATTTTTTTTCTTCCAGATCAGCTTGTCAATGATGTTTTTTTGTCACTTTTTGATGATTTTTCTGAAGAATGTGATCACGTTGTTATTTTGGAGTCTATTAAAGGTTTAGTAGAAATGGCATATGATGGAAATGATATCTTTTTTAATAAAACAATCAAAATTTTGGAAAAATTTTCGCTTTTAACTTTTCATCAAATAGAAAAACTTAACTCTCTTACTCATCAGAATTCTCAAGACAATTCATTTACTTCAGTATTAGGGGAAAATGTTATGTTTAAAGATGAAAAAGAAACAATAGCATTAGCTTCTTCTAAAGGGTTAATTACTTTATTTCTATATTACTTGCGTATTAGAAACAATGCAAAATGCATCCAATTATATAAAATAATTCTATCAATTGCATCAAACTTTGAAGGCAATTCAGATGTCAGGATATCTGCTTTGCAAATTTTGGTACGAATTCGTGCTGATAGTTCACATTTTATTTATTTAATTTCAGACGTTGGTGATTTACCTTTAGCGTCTAATTTTAAAAGAAATGGGAAATTGGAATGCTCTAATTTTTCTGAAACCATTGATAGGGAATCATCAATTGAACTAAAAATTGAATCGAATAAAACAAAATCTCAACAAGATAACATAAATAACAATGTAAAATCAGATAAATATCTATATAATGTTTTATGGACTATACCCGAAAAACTGCATGTCGAAATATCACCTGTTGACAAATATATTACTCATTTAAAATCATGCAATATTAATAAATTGATGTTTGAAATAACATTGGAACAAAGCAATGGAGTTGATCAAATTCTGCCGATTTCTACATGGTTAAAAATTGTAATAGATATTTTAAAAAACGAAAAAGACTGGGAAATTTATTTATATATCTTAGTTCATATTAGTTCTCAATTAAGAAATAAACATTTATTTTGTGATTCGGTTCATGAAATTAGGGAATTAAGAACATTGATAGTTGATCAACTATTTGATAATGTTTTAGTACCAGTACTTTTACCAGATAACTTTCGAAAAACAGATGTCATGATTGCTTTAATTGATATACTTATTGTCTTAATATCTTACCATAATAAATATACGAAAAATGAACAAGATGAAATTGTTGTATCTTTTCAAATGGGTTTGCAAAAATGGTCTTACGCTGCAAAATCATGTATCCATGCTCTTACTATCTGCTGTTATGAACTTCCCATATCAATGAGTAAATTGTTATCAGGAATTTTGGTAAAGCTTTCTCAGTTAATAACATCTTCAACTGTAAGTATTCATATACTCGAATTTTTGTCATCTTTAGCAAGACTTCCAAACGTTTATGCAAATTTTACTGAAGCTGATTTTCGGAGGGTTTTTGGAATTTCTTTACAATATATTCAGCATAGCAATGCATTCACAAGATCTCAGTTATCAGACCGATCAGAAAACGTTAAAGAATCTGGTCAAACCAGTACATCTAGCACGCAGATGTCTCAATATGTTCTAACTTTGGCATATAATATAATATATATATGGTTTTTAGCTTTAAAACTCTCAGAACGACGAAAATATGTTGCATGGATTGTCAGAGGACTTTTACTTGCCAATCCATTAAAAAATGGTTTAGATGAACAGAGTCAAACATGCTATGACATGCTTTTAAGATTTTCTTATTCTAATGCGGATATTAAAGGCACCTTATCTAACTATACACCTGATCCTTTTGCTATCTCAAAAACATGGCTTCATGGAAATTCATTTATAACAATTGACACTTCAAATTCATCTGACATAATAGAATTAATAATAAGAAGATCAGTGAGTATATTTAATTATAATAATAATATTTTATACTCTAATAGTCCGGCACTGTTCATTTTTCTTGTCAGCCAAGAGAGTCTATGAATAATGAAAATAGAACAAGTGATGACATGGATGGTGTTCAAGATCAATCTATTGAAAATGCTGGATCTCGAAAAATGCCGATAAAATTGTTTTCTTTAGAATTGCCATTATTCCTTCCGAGTTATGTTTTACTTCAAGTATCATTTTTTCCCGAACTTTTAGAGCAATCCAGACCATATCTTTTAGCTGATAATGAATTTACAAAAAGAACATTATCTGTATTTGATAGAATACCTGTTGTCGATTTTCATAAAATTGGAGTTGTTTATGTTGCACCAGGGCAAAGCACAGAATCTGAGATTCTTGCTAATACATGTGGATCTCAAGAGTATTTAAATTTTATGGAAGGTCTTGGCGATTTAACACGTTTAAAAGGAAATAAGACCATTTATACTGGAGGTTTAGATATTGAAAATAATCATGATGGTGAATTTGCCTATTTTTGGAAAGATAAAATCACACAAATTATTTATCATTGCTGTACATTGATGCCTACGAATTTGGAAACAGATCCTCACTCTACTTTAAAAAAACGTCATATTGGAAACGATTTTGTTAATATTATTTTTAATGAATCAGGATCTCCATATATTTTTGATACAATTCCCGGCCAGTTTAACTTTATAAATATTGTCATATCACGGAATTCAAAGTATAACTATAACGTATTATCTTGTAAGGAAGATTCGGCCTCTGATATATTTTTCCTAGTAAAATTGCTACAAAAAAAGGGTGTTCCAGAAATTGGTTCTATAAAAGAAACTATGATTTCTGCTAAAGCCCTACCTATATTTGTACGTAATCTTGCTTTGCATGCAAGTACTTTTTCGCAAATATATCATCAAATAGGTGGTGAATACATAACGAATTGGAGAGAGCGTCTTCGTCATATTCTTCGTGTAAAAGCTAAATTTCAACAGTCTGATTCTATATTAGAGCAGCCTACCAATTTGTCTACAACTCATCAATCAACTATAGATTCTAGTAATTCTAAATTGTTGGATCTTGACAATATAAATGATCATATATCTTATTTAGAAAAGGCACTTGATTTTACTGTATTTTCTTAAAATAACATTTAAATACCAAGATTCTATTTCAAGTTATCGATTTTATATTAAAGACGACAAATCTTAATACATGCTGTGTAATATAAAATTGTTTTCAAAATGTTTCAATAATTTAATATATACATTTAGTAATAACTATGCTGATATCTAATAATTAGATATGCAAGGGTAGTTTAAGATATAATGAATATGACAAAACTTATACAAATAAAAATAATGTAAAAATATTACAAAAAAAAATAAAATCCAAAGATATTTTTTACTATTATTTGTTAATTTTTGAAAATATGGTATATTTGAAATATTAATTATTTTAAATAATTAATATCAAAATTTCCAAAACTATATACTATTAAGTTTTTGTGACTAAAGTTTCGTTGTTTTGATTAGATCGATTGTTAGTAAGGGTTATAAGTCGCTCAACTGCTCGCAATTAGCTTTTTATTTAGATGTATGATAAAAATAAAATCTTACTATTTGAACTTAATGCTTTTCCATGAACATTTTTTTTTAAAAACTGTAAATGAGGTTTTATTCCAGCAATAAGTTTATTGAGCTGATCACCACTTGCAACATCTAATGCTTTCTAAAAAAAATTAAAAAAAAAAAGTATATATTTATGATATCATACTTTAATAACATAATTTGCGTATTGATCTTTTATCATTGGTAAAAAACGAGGAAGTCTAGAAAGAAATTAAACCTTATTAACAATTTGATTAATTTACCCGTCTTCGTCATTTTCCATTATTTCATCAATCAGCAATTTTTTCTCTTCATCTGTTCCATACGTTATACATTTTTCCACTACATTAGAAGCAAATTTATGCTTTGAAAACTTAAGAATATTTTCTTTTACTACGGAAATGACTTTGGAACGATCATGAGGCTCACCCTTTTCAATAATATGTTGTATACAATAATTTCCATATTGATCTCGAATCAAACTACGTGAATATAGATGAAGTTCGTTTAAGAGATCACGGGCCTGTGAACAATATCCAAGTATACGTTGTACTACTCTACACCCATACGGATGTGTTGTCAACGTATATATTTGACCTTGAAAAGTGTTTATAATAAACTGCATATGCTTCATAGGTACTTTTTCAATCATCTTTTGAATAACATGATTTCCATTCTGATTTTTAATACATCTCAATACATTGCCATCCAATTCTTTGATTAAATTAATCTGTTGATCAATTTCAATATATTCAAGAGCCTATTAATATATATATCAAAATTAAATGTTAAATTAATAAAATATTAATACTTTTTGGACGACACGACAGCCATATGTCTGTAATGAAAGATTCAGAATATGACCCTTCATTTGCTCGAGTAAAAGAGTTTTTTGAGTTTGATTACCATGTTCTATAAATTTTTGAATAACATAATTTCCGAAAACATCTGTCATTAATTGTAAGGAATTAGGATATATTTCTTGAAAAACAATTTCTTTATCTTCTGCATTTGCTTCTTCTAACGCCTGCTGAATAAAACGTGATCCATGTTGATCTTCACTAAATTCTACAATATGTCCAAATATATCCTAACAAAATTAAATAATACAAAAACAATTGCGCTTATTTACTTTTAATTCATATTTCTTATTTTTATTATTTCGAAATTCATCGAGTAATGAACTTCTTAAAGATTGGTATCTATCATTTTGACGTCTAATCTGAGTAGAAAAATTTAAGACAGGTGGTATAGGCTTAACACAGGTTTTCTGTAAAGCATGTCTAGAAAAGCATTAAGGAACATCTATAAATAAATGTGATAATACAAAGTGTTATCATAATATTGTTGAGGATGATAAAACATATCTTCTGAATAACCAGTAGATTGTTTTTCCTCTCCCCGGTTATAGTCTTTTTGAACCGTTTCTGGCTCACAATAAGTGGCTAAGGGCGCGGTATCTTTCAAAACATGTTTTGTAGAAACAATAGATTGCGTATTAACGGTATTCTTCGGAAAATCATTATCCTTAACGGTATAATACGAATGCATCCGTTTTTCCGAAATTCCATTGTATTTATACGAACCATTTTGGTTTAATGAAGGTTCTTTAAAAAAATTTCTAGAATTATTCGTATAACTCATATATGGATGAATTAATGATTGTGTTGAATTCCCTTTTTGATCCGTACGATACACTCGATCACGCTCTTCGGAATTCAATGTCTCATGTCGCATATTTTGCATTAATGTATAACCTTTATTTCATAAGTTATATAGTTCATAATATATACAAAAAAAAAAAAGAAAAAAAAATACTCACAATTAGATATGGTATTTTTTTGATAATCGTAATTAATCTCGTTATCATTTACTTTGTGTAAATACGATATTTGATTATTTTTTTGCATTTCGTCATGTTTATGCTAACAACCCATTTAGATTTATCACCAATTAGAAAAAAAAAAAATACATAATCAACACGCAATTGAGATAACTTATCTAATATCAATTCCTTCGCTGTTGTATCTTGCCTTTCCCGAAACATATCTCCATATTCTCCTGAATATTCTTCATTCAACCCCGAAAATACATGTCTTAACCCATGATTCCCCTGTTTCTCCTCAACAATCGACATGTCAGGAACATATATCTCTTCTCCTGATAATTTCATATTATATGTCATTGCTGCTGCTTGAGCATTTGCTGCTTGTAAGTGTCGGGTTTGTTGAAGTGTTCTAAATGTTGGAAATATATTTAAATCCTTATTCACCTGGGAACGAGGATGGGATGTTAAAAGATGGTCTTTAAAAATTACTGTATTATCTGGCCAAAACTTATCTCCATATATATTGCTATCAGCCGTACGTATTATATCGCTTGTATTTCTACACCAGCTATCTTTAAAGTCTTTTTCATGTGACCGAGAAAGATTAGTAGAACCCATTTGAATCTTGGTAATAATATATCTTCCAAAGTCCTGTATTTTGTTGCAAAAATTTAAACTATATAGAAAGATTTTTATATATAATTTACACCCAAAGAAAAAAAGTGTATATGTAAAGTTCCTTATAAATAGCTGAAAGATTGGTATTTATTCCATCTTTCAAAGCATTCATAAAGACATTCAAGTATGTATGCGTAGTGTATGCGTGTTGTATGCGTATTATATGCGTACTATATGCGTTGTATATGCGTCGTCGATGCAGAGACTTGATTCCTCCTCAATATATACAAGTCCCTATCAAATCCCAAGCTTTATACACAAAAACTCATCAATCTAGTCCTTATATGCAGAGGAAATAGTGATACAATAGTTTTTATAGACTACAAGACGTTTTAAACCCTATTTTGTGTGAAATAATCCAAGGTAATACGTGAAGGTTAGAGATTGAGGACACCCACCTCCGCTCCGCCTAAAAGTTTAAACCTTGAGAAAAATATTTAAGTGCCTAAAGAGTGACATATAATCAGCAAATAGTATGTATATATATATATATACATGTATATATATATAAATAAAATGTTAGTTTAGATAGATGTCATGTAATGAAAATTAGAAGTCTGAAGAATATATAGAAGTAAATAATAATTTGAGATCAAAAGATAGAGAATAATAAGATAATTTTAATGTAGTATGATTTGTATTAAGTGATTAGATCATATTTCCTAGTATGAATTATTGAATGATTTTTTTTTGTGTATAATTTTGAATTAATAGATTTGAAGATGATCTATAATGAAAAATATTGAATATAGCAAGTCCAATGATAGAGAAGAATAATACAGTATCGATTAATAAGAGCTCAATTGCACTTGTCATGTATTTTGGAGCAAAGATTTTCCAGACCATAAGATGTCTACGTAAAAGAGCAGTAAATAAAACACTAGATGTTGTCATCATAGAGTAATATAAGAGATAAATTTGAAAAATTTGAAAAAGATGATTAGACATAGTATCAATGGTATTATTTTTAATTCGAAAATTTAAAAGAGGTAAAGAAATAGTGATAAATATTTGAGGACCAAATGTATTTCCCAATATTAGTGCAGGAGAAAGTAAATAAAGAACAGTTTTTGAAGCTAAAAATGCCGAATCCCACTGAATAGATGACAAAGTAGCTTGATGTCCAGTTGAGAAAAAGTGTGAACGACCTAAAAGTGCAAATAAGATAACATCAATTTCAGAGTTAGTATCTTTTTGTAGTAGATTCAAAAGTTCTATATATAAAAGAATTTGAAAAAGAAGAAAAGAAAAAGAAACAACACTTAATGGTTTCTGAAGAATCGCTAAAATAATAAACCAGCTAAGAACAAATGAAAAGTAATTTGAGTAATATATATTTGTAAATTTATGAGTATATGTTTTAAGCATGAAAGTTGAGTTGAGAAGACTTAGAAGCTTAGAATTTCCCCTTATTCTATTACTAAAAGACAAAAAGATCCATATTAAATGAACGATAAATAAATATATAAATAAGACAATTCTTACTAATATTATTTTGATCTCTTGAATTTTTTCATTGTTAAAATGCTTTAATTGAGTAAAATGTAATGTTTCAAAATCAATTATAGAATGCGCTAGTATTAAAATGAAACCAACTTTGAATCCTATAAAAGAAGATGATTTAGAATCCTTATGAATTTCCAAGTTAGTAAGAAAATGAGATATAGTAGATGGAAGAAAGATTAAAAATATGAAAACCAGAAAAAAGAAAAAACAAAAAGAAACAAAAATTCCTGTATTATGAAAAAAAGTTGATTTGCAAAAAGGTTGTTGCTCTTCCCGACATTGATGTATTAAAGACATCATTCTTCCAACAAGAAATAGCAATAATATACGTATAATTGTTGAAATGCGAATATTCTTTTTATATCTAGAAAATACTGAAAAAAAATTCAAAGTATAAATAGAAAATATAGTAAATAAAATAGTCTTTTCTTCCCAAATGATAAAAGAATTTGATGATAATATAAGACCATGTATAATAATCAATATGATACTAATTGATTTAGTGAATGATTTTGGAAATTGAATAAAAAAGGCCTTTTTTAAAAAAAAAGACAAAAAGCTCAAAATGCTTACAAAGCATCCTCCAAATAATGCCGAATTTAAGACATTTAAATAAACGAAAGACAATTTAGATAAAACTGCACAAATTCCCGCACCAATTATAGATTTTAGAATAATACTTTGTATATCAATTTTTCTTGTTAACAAATAATTCGAATTTAGATAAAAAAGAAACTGACATAGTAAACCCCCAAATAAAATAATAATTCCAGCAATTATTCTCAAAATATCGAACTTTATCCATATTTCTCGAAATTTATTAAGTACCATTTGTTGATAAGTGATATATTTGAAAAATTGCTTTTTCCAAAATTCATTATTTTCAAGATTATTCTGAAAAAGATTATGCTCTATATTTTCCAAGTCTAATTCAGCTTTTATATCCTCAAATCCATCTAAACCATATATATTTTTATAAGATTCAACATATCTTTTAATTTGATATGCAGTTATTTTTGCTGCTTGAGAGTAATCTTTCCAATTTAAATTTTTGTTAAAAAAAAAAGCTTCTACAATAGGACCACCTAGGTTATTATATGGAATAGGAATGCCCATAAGAAGCGATAATGTTGGTACAAAATCAATTTGAGATATACTTGATAAATTTGACGGAAATTCCGGCAATATTGAGCCTTTGTTGTATATCCAAAGAGCAGAAACTACTTCGTCTAAACTATCACCACCATGATTACCTCTTTCATCCATACCATGATCCCCTAAAACAATTAAAAGCGTATCATTTTGAAGTTTGCTTATAATCCTTCTTATACTGCTATCCATTTCAGATAATTTTCTATAAGTTTCATGATGATTAGGTCCATATTTATGTCCAGCATGATCAAGACCAAGATAATGGACAATAAGTATGTCCCATTTTGTTGTTTCAGTATCATTCAGAAGAGGAAATAAGTAGGAATTTATATTATTATCGACAGTATCAAGATCCCAAACATTAAATGAATCAAAGGGATAAGTAATATTAGATTCAAAATATGTTGGATACAAAGAAATCCATGTATCATCTCCTAAAAATCCAATACGATAACCTCGTGACTTTAATTGTGCCAAAATATTATCTTCTAAAATAACAGTACCAGCGAAATTTGATCCTGCATCAATAAAAGTTGGCAAAGTCCCCGTTGTTAATGCTTTAAGACGTTGCAAAGTAGTTGTTGGAGGATCTGCAATAAATGGTCTTAAAAATGCATGTCTAGGATATTTGGTAGATGTTTCGTGAAGAATCGTAAATGCATTATGGCAATAAAGATTTGAACCCGGATTTTCAATAGTAAAATCATAACGCAATGCATCAATTACAACGATAATCGCTTTTTTAAATGTTGAAGGATACCAACAATCATTTTCTAAAATTTCTTGATTTGTAAAAACATATGGAGGAATATCACAGCTTGATGTCGAATTCAAAGTAGATCTTGTGAGAAGAAAACCCTGTGTAAACAAGTATAACCCAGAAATATGCAAAAAGATAATCCATGAAAAAAAAACAAAAAAAAATAAAAAATTTCTAATATACGACCATTCTTGATAACTTTTAATATTATGTTTAAACATCTAATTTAAAGAATTAAAATAAAATAGATATTATTCATAATAAATTTTTAATCATACTTATTAATACGATAGCCCTTACACCTTTTTTAATTAAACCGCAATTTTAAAAGAACATAAGAACGCAGTCAATTTAAAAGAATATAACTTGTAATTTAAAAAAAAATGAGTATAGTTAGATATATTATTTCGAAACGATAGTTCGAAGATGTTTATAAAAAAGACTTCCATTTACTCTCAAGTTTAGATGTTATTAAAATAATTGAAAAACATTTAAAATCTAATAAGGATTACAATCGTAAAGAAACAATTGTATTGATTGATTTTCATACCTAAAACGACAATATAAAATTAATTAATAAAGAGTAAAGATCCTAAGCTATGATATAATCTAGTCGTAAATCCCAGAAAAAATAGCATAATTTTAACGCATCCATGATATTTTTGCAACATGATCAGTTTTTCTTTTGGTAGGCTTTATAAATCCAAGATATCTTAATTCTTCTAAACTTTGTAAAAATTCTGCTTGCAAATATTCTTCTGAATCTTGTTTATCATCTTTATCATTTCCTTTACTTGCAGATTGGATAAAAGCAGTTAACCAATCACTGACATTTATAAGGAAACCTGATTCAAGAAAAAGCCTGTAAGAAATACATATTTTTGGTAAAGAAGGAATTGATAGATTATCTTCATTTTCCTTATCTCCAACTTCATAATTGCATGAGAGATAATGACTCGGTAGAGACAATGCAGTATCAATGGCTGCTCTTATGCGTGGATGAAATGCCTAAAAAAATAAGAAAAAGGTAATAAAACGATAAGGATATACATCAAGGTATGCTCTGCTATAATTAAAATAATAAAGTTCATGCAATGGATATGTCATAGGTGATACAAAGTATTTTCTAAAAAATTAAGTTAAATTTTAAATTATAAAAAAAATACCTAAATATTTCTTGTAAATATTGATATAATGAATTCCTAATATTATAAAATTCAGAATTGATAACATCATCATTGAGCTCTGAATTTGCTTTATTTGATATTTCTTCTGTTTTATTAGATGCGTTTATTTCTATAAACTAAGTTATTAAATTAAGATTAATATGTTTATTCACCATTGTCCGAAATATCTATTAGATTTTTATGTTCAGATGATTCTACAATATCAAATATTTTTTTGTAAAATCCTTCAAGGTCTGGAAATTGATCATAAATATCTTTTAAGGTTAACGCTTCCTGAATAAATTGCAAAATATCTATAGAACTCATTATTCTAAAAAAATAAATTATCTCAATAAAAAATCTTTCAAAAATACTTTATTGGATTAAGTATTGTGTCTAAATTCTGTTGTATATTATTTTCCAAAAGCTTTCCATAAATCCATGAAAGGCTTTTTTTTCGTACTGAAGATGCATATTTTCCTTGAATAATGTTTAAAAAGGATATGGAAACATCCAATTTTCTATTGTGTTCTTCTATGTCATGAATTAATGTATTAATAATATTTCGAAAATAGTAATCATCATTTAAAAGAGATTCTGCAGAATAAATATCACCTTTATCAAGAAGATCTTCTGTAAATCGTTTGATAGATGGTAAAGAACGTATACATTCCAAGTGGTCATGAGAAATCAGCTCTGAATGCGCAGAATCACAATAATTTACAATACTAATTGGATTCGAGAAAAAATGAGACATCATAGCAAACTATCCCGATAATTAATCACCAATTCATATCAATAGCATTATTTATACTTTAATTGCAGATAGAAAAGAAGCAATATTAAAAGAATGTTTTTGATACATATCGAAAAGTATATCGTATAAATATGATCCTAAGCGTAATCTAGGGTGTTTAGACGATACCAATATCTAATCTATGTATAAATTTTAAAAATATAATTATCTTCAATATACCTTTTGAATCGCAATATCTGGACTATCATTAAGATATTTGGTATTGAAATATTTAATATTTAATGCTTTTAATGATTTTTTTTCCAAGATGTCTTGAAAGATTTCAACAGATGTCGATATACCAATAAACAATAGTAAAGGAACACGTTCATGCATTTTTCTTTCATTCATTAATAATATTCATCATATATTATATATTATTTACTTTAATATAGTAATGAAGTGATTAATAAAATTCCCATCAAAACCTTCAACTTCCTGAAGAAAAATAACCAGTCTAAACTCATCTAAAATTCATTTCATTAGTTTTATTATTTTCTGATATAATCAATTTCAATATCATTTTACCTTGGTTAATTAAGCCTTGAAGTATAGCTTCTTCATACCATTTAACCACACATTCCGGGTCATATTCACAATATATGGACCATTGTCTTTTTTCTGGATTTTCTTCAGTTGAAATATCAGAATTTCTTTGTCGACCAAATTGTATACAAGTCTCAATTATTTGCTTGAAGCATGCTTTCATGTCTGGCGTTCGCCTTACATGAAGATTGATAAGTGGTCCATAAATATTAGCATTAAGTTGAGCTTCTATACACGTATATAATCCTATATGGTCAAAAAAATAAGCACCTAGAAACGTATTTATTAAATCTACATAAAATCATATAAAAAAAAAAAGGATACCTAAGAGAAGTATACAAGTTGGTATCCTTCAAACGATTAATTATACTTACAAAAGAAATTAATTAATTAACTCACTCATTCTCCTCTTTCCAATGTTTATTTTGTTCAATAAATACTGATAAAGAAACAATCATATTATCATGTATCGTTTCAAAAAGTTCCTATAGATATCCTAATTAAACAATAATATACATACTTTTCATAAATACATTAATATCATTTTTAAGTTGATTTGATTGTATACGAAAACACATATAACGGTAATCCCGTGACAATTCTGTCTCTCGACCATGCATTAAACAAGGAAAATAACATTCCTCATATTTCGATGATTCTTCTTGTTTATATTTATATCATATTATCCATTATAGACATTTCTATACCTGAATATATTTCTTGACACTTTGATGTCAATTCATCTTGAGTTTTACTATATATATGTTTTTTTTTTGACTTAATATCTTTTGGAAGAAGCATATAACATGCCTAAATTATTAATAAATTCATTAGGCTGTATAATATTTACCTCATTAATTACTTGGTCTTTCATATGTTAGTCTTGCATAATCACGTGATCGGAGACTGTTAATATACAACCATATATAATTAGTGCACGTGATTTAAAAAACAATATTTCAAATTAATTATTCTAATTCTTCATTTAATTCAAACATTTCCCTAAGTCCTTTATTCTCTATTTCAAGTGCTTCAAGTGCCTCTGATTCACTAAGTGATTCCGATATATATGCTTGTCTTATCAGATCGTTAATTTGATAAAGATTTGCTTTTAAATCTAAATAAGATTTCTGATATTGCTGTTGTGTTTGAAATTGCTTAGAAAGTTGTTCTTGATAATTTTTATGAATTTCTAACGTTTTTTTTGCCGTATCTTGCTACATTTTATATATTAATAATAATTTGACGTTTAAAAAGGCTTGCCATAAATCCCCGCATTTTTAATAAAACCTCATTTAACCCATTTTCATACATATCAAGTAACATATTTAATGATTCATTTTCTTGTTTTAATTTTTGATGCTCCTCAATCAATCGTGCATATTCCTCAACTTTGATTTCACTTAAAGGCTCTTTTAAATTACGACCCGATGGTCCTATAGTAATCAATTGATCCTATTCTGATCTTAGCATATGTTTAAATTCCTTATATTCAACTATTCATCCAATAATCTAGTATTAATACATTCTCTCATAATATATCCTTTTATTATTAAATATCTCTTTATATATGCGCCTTCTTTTCATATTAAACCCATATATAATACGTTTTAAACCCTTTTTTAATCTTATAATTATGTATTAACTTACCTTAAGAATCTTCACCTGATATTTCAAGACAGAAATAGCTTCTTGATTCACTCTAAGTTGTTCTACAAGTGTTTCTACGAGTCCTCGTACTCTTTCTATATCATCTGTACATGATAATTCCATTGATATTAATATTTAAAGTCTTTTAATTAAAAATTTACAAGGGTTAAAAGGGAATTAAACAGTAAATATATAACAAAATCCAAATGTCCGAAATATTAAAATTCATCTACGTATTATAGAGACAAATATCTATAATATGTAGATGCGGCGTAGATGCGGCGTAGATGAAGCGTAGATGCAACGTATATAATAAGCATACACTACGCATACACTACGCATATAACACGCATATAATACGCATATAACAGATATATTACATATTACACACATATTACACATATATAATACATATATAACACACATATAATACATACGATATACATACGGTATACATACGGTACATATATAATACGCATATAAGACGTATACACTATACATACACTACATATTTACTACGCATATACTGCGCATATACGACGCATACATTGCGCATACATTGCGCATACATTACGCATATTATATACACTCCATATACGTCACATACATTCTATTTATTCACGTCTATATAAACCCCCACCCCCCTCCATTTATAATTTAACATCTCTTATTATATTATATATCGTAACCCTCTAATCAAATATAATACATAATACATAACCACACTAACCCTAACCCTAACCCAACGTCGACTAACCCTAACGCCTACCTAACCCTACTACTAACAACCCCAACCCTACCACTGACTAACCCTCCTCATTCCCTGAATCCACCACAACATTATAAAACCGAAGCTCATAAGTCCCTTTTGTCGTTGAAACAACTCTTAACCAATCACGAAGCTTTTTCTTAATTAAAACCCTTTATTATATAAAAACCCTTATTCTACCTGATGCTTTTTTAAAAACTTTTTTGTTAGATATTTTAAATATCGTCCAGAAAATGAAACATGTGTAACTATTGTAATTTTTCCTTCTTCACGTGTGATTAATACGGAATCACTTAACTGGCCTGTACGTCCTTCTACTTTAATTCTTTCATGTAAAAACGTTTCAAATGCAGAGACATCAAAAATTCGATCTCCTACTGGGCCTGATGCATCTAACGTATATTTTTTAACACATTGCTTTTGTCCCTTTTTAGACCCTTTCTAATACTTTTTAATAACTTATTTTTATTAATTTTAACACTTATATTTACCATTTTTTTATGCCAGCGCAGTCCAGTCCAATCCAACCCTCCAATCGCTTATATTAATATATATTAATAAGGAATAACCCTTAGTTAACGGTTTTTTTCTAAGGTCACGTCACGTGACGGTAGGAAATAAAGATTAAATAAAAAAATAAAAGCAAAATTTGAGGTAAAAAATAGGATAAAAAGAGGTAAAATTAAGAAGAAAACATAGTATTTTTATATGAAAAGAGATATTTTTATATAAACAAGGTAAAAAAGGGGGTAAATATGTATATAATAATAATTAAGTTTTAAGGAGTCAAAATATTGATAATATATGTAAAAGAAGTGATTTGGAAGTGATTTATATTTATCCATTTTTTTGATAAAATTTTTATCAAAAAAACCAATTTATCAATAAAGGGATCAATACGTATTAAAATATAGATTTGGATCTATAAATCGGTCGTTTTTTTATGTTAATTGGTATTGGTTAATATAAGGTGCAAATTGATGGCACTTAATTCAATTTCGTATGATATTTCAGGAATCATTAGTATTGTTGCACATGGTGGATTTAAAAGACACGTTTTAAGTGCTAATATTAATAAGATGACCGTGTTATATCGGGAACTAATGATGGATATTTAAATGATATACAATTTACACAAACGGAGTCCTATCATTTACCAGCGGTTCAAGTATGTCAAAATGCTATACGTCAAATCGTGTGTATTTATGAAGCAGCATTAATTGCCTGTCTTATTGGTATATAAATTTATAGAAGAGAGGATATAGACAGAATTGATAAGTAGTGGTAGATGGACAAGTGGTTCTTTTTGATCTTCATTCATTAGTTCAACAGGGAGTTTTACCTCGATCAAATGGGGCAAATGCGATTTCTTTAATATCGTATCTTCATATGGATGAATTGGGTATTCCTATTATTATATCTCGCTTAGTAGTAGTTTTCAAATGGAAAATTTCTATATATTCATGGCATGATTCAGAATTAATTGGAAAAACAATAGATATGACGATGAATCAGTCTATTAAGACGCTTGAATGGATTAATTCTACAAAACTATGTATATGTTTTGTATCTACATGTGGTTTTGCTGATATTTCAACGGAAAGAATTTTTAAATCAATTTCAATCAAGGATTTTATAACATTAAGGCCTTTAAAAGTGCTTAAAACAACAGCAACCTATCTAGGTTATTATAAAAAAACATCTAAGTTTATAATAACACGAGTTTCTGATGAAGAGCTTTTATTAACTTATAATAGTACTTTTTATAAATTTTAATATTTTATATTTCTAATGTGGAATTAGCTAAATCTCTTTTTATGAATAGTAATGGCCAATTGCTTGAACGGAACCCTATTATCTGGTCATTGGAACCTAAACATATAGGTATGTCAATGTTTATTTTTTACATGGTTTATCTAAACATTATTTTTCCTAGTTTACTTTCATCCTTATTTTATTGTCGTTTTTGATCAACATATTGAAATACGTAATATTGAGTCATATTTTATCATTCAAACATTTGATATAATGAATGTTACATGTATATTTTCTGGAAAATACCTTTTTATATCCACACCGTTTCAAATGTGGAAATTGTCAAATATTCCTTTTGATAATCAAGTATTTATCTCTCATTTATAACGATATGCTTATTATTTAGGTTGATAACCTTATTTCTCAAAACAGATTAGATGATGCTCTCATGCTTTTTAATCGAGTTAACTCATTTTTGTTTCAAAATAAGGTGATTTTTACAATTTTCTGATTCTTTTAACTTTTATTAGACTTCTAAAATTCGATATATAAAAATGATGAAAGCATATCAATTATTTAATGAAGGCAAATACAAGAATTCTATGATATTATATTCTGAAAGTTCATCATCTCCTATTGTTGTTATTTCTATGTTTCCAATTGAGATTTTTGATTGCGAACAATATTTAAATGATCCTATTATATCAAAATATATAAATACATCTAAAATATTTCTTGAGAAAATGCGTAAAAAAGATGACCAAACATCTAGGGATTCCAATTACCCAGGTAATTCGAATCATTTATAATTTTATCCTTATATTTGTTAGAATTTAACTTAAAAGCTGCTACACGTGCTCTTGTGTCTTATTACCTTAATGATGTACGCCGAAAGTTATCTATTTTAATATCTTGTATATCTCAATTTCAAGGATCTTTTCAAAATATATCAGACGAAACTTTACTTCCAGAATACCATTTTACACTTCCTGATTCTGATGATGCTTTAACTCTTGAAGAAATGGAAAAGTTACTTGAAATTGTTGATACTACATTATTTCGAGCATATGTCTTTGTTAGTCCAGATTTAGTGGGCCCTCTTGTTCGATTACAAAATAAAATTCAATTACAAGTAGCTAAAGATCTTTTAGAAAAAAACAGGGTATTTATATTTTAATCTTATAATTATTATTAAACAATTTATTAGAGATATAAAGACTTGATAGATTATTTTTTTAGAAAATCATTGCATAGAGATGCATTAGATCTTTTAAAAAAGTATATATCAATAATTACTAATGCCATTAATTAAAATTTTATAGACTTGGACAAGGCATTTTATCAGATAGTATCTATCAAGAACAATTTGTGGGCATTTCGGAGACTATTAAATATCTTAAAAAACTTAACAATGATTATATAGAGGAGATATTTTCATATATAAAATGGCCTCTTGAAGTTGACCTTGATTTTGCTATGGAAGTATTTTTAAATGATAATCAGCAAACGTGCTTATCAAAAGAAAAAGTATATAACTTTTTGCTTTCTTTGGATGAAAATCTAGCTACTCGATATTTGGAATATTTAATAAACAATTTGAATGATCTTACTTCTGAATTTCATGACCTTTTGATTATGCATTATTTTAAAAACATTGAAGAACATCAAGAATCTGATTATATCTTAGAGAAATTATTGAAATTATTGATTAATTCAAAAGTCTATAATTCTAAATATATTTTAGAACATCTTCCTAAAAGTATATCTTTAATTTATATTAAAATTTCTAAATTAAGATAGATAATAAACTTCTCGAACATAAAGCTATCATTTTGAATAATCTAGGACAACATAAATCTGCCCTTAAGATTTATCTTTTTGAAATTAAGGACTTTAAGAAAGCTACAGAGTATGTATAAATTTATATATTTAAGAAAATGTAATTTTAAATTAATTATAGCTATTGTACTAAAGTGTATTCTATGAATAATACAGAATCAGGCGATGAAATATTTTTGATTCTATTAAATCTTCTTTTGAAACCTCCAGATGGCCATGAAATACAGTTATCTAATGCTCTTAATCTTCTTTCTCTATATAGATCATATATTAAAATCGAAACAGTTGCATCTTGTCTTCCTTTGAATATTAAAATATCCGATATCAAATTATACTTAGAAACTTCAATTCAAAACAGAACAACAGATATTATTAATGGAAAAATTTTATCTTCTTTACATATAGCTAATTTAATGAAATACCAAAACAAATTGATTGATGCTTGCAACAAAAAATATACAATAACTTCTGAAAAAACTTGCAGAAACTGTCATAAACGTTTGGGACAAAGTGTTCTTGCTATATTTCCAAAGTATTTTTTTTTTATCGTTATTGTTTAAATTAATATTATGTTTAGTGATTCTATTGTGCATTATGGATGCCAACGAGCATTTTTAAAAACACAAAATATGCCATATACTGCCAAATAAAATATTTATATCTGCAATTATTTGACAAAATTTCAATTCTATACTTGTAACATAAATTTATTAAACGAATCATCGCAGTTAATTTTTTCTTTTTTCATCATTTTTCGACACTTCTTTGGGATTTCTTTCATTCATCTTTTCAGTAAGAATTCTATTACAATCTTCTTGTATTTTTATAATATTTTTTTCAAGCTCTTCAAGAAAGCCATTTTTCAAATATTCATCATTTGATCTTAATAATTCATATTCAAATTTTTTAATTTGTTTTTCCTGGGACGAATATATTGCTTTGACTGTATAGTGTTGATTTGACATCTTATTAAAAAACAGTTTTTAATTTTATTCAACCGATATTTTTTATAAAAAAATGGTTTCAAAATATTCTAATAAATCTCAGTCAAAATATAATATTTTTAAGAACCCTAAGGACTCTAGTATATCTCGTTTAAATATCAGAAAAAAGAAGGGAAAAAAACAGATTATTAATGAAAAATTTATGAAAAAGCTAGATGATATGACATTAGATTTATATACAACAAATTTAATGAAAAATTCTAACACTTTACAAAATATAAAAAAAGAAACAAAAAAACTGTCTGATATTAAAACATCATATTTAGACATGTTAGCACAAGTTGAAAATAACATAAATGGACTCCAAGTAGAAAAATAGTGGTTTTAAAGAAATATTTGACATATATATTATTTAAATAATATGATGAAAATGAGATATTTATAAGATGTTTGTTATAGATTCAGAATCTTCTTTTATAAAAACAAAACCTTGACAATTTCTATTAATTTTTTCGGATTTAAACCAATGAGACAGAATTTTGACAAGATTATCCATTTTTTTTTGTTGTTCATCTGAAGAATGAACAGAAGCAAGAATAAGAATACTTTGAAGTAGTTTCGGTGCTATATCTGCAAAATCCTGGATTAAATCTAAATTTGATGGATTCTTTGTAAAAATAACTATTTTTATGTTTAAAAAAAGAAGAAATAAAAGATAAAATTACGTTCTAATCTTTGATAAATCGGAAGAACAATATTATCTCTAAATTTGATTAACATTATATATTTTACGTCCAAATCAGTTTTATTTTCCAAAGAATCCTTTACATTAGTATAAGCTGACCATTCTAAATCATCAAATTCTGTCTGTAATGGTAAAAAAACAGCTTCAACATGTGGTATAATCGCAGTAAAAAAAAAAGACCATAGCTTTTTTATGTTATTCAATCAAAATAAACTTGTTTAACCTTACTTCAATAAGCCTAGGAATCAACTTCTCATCTGAAAAAGATGATAAATTTACATCAAAAACTTTTATTCCCTCCTCTATAAATTCATGTAATTCATTTACAAATAGATCTAGCCTTTTTTCATTACAACGTTTTTCAATATGAAGCCTATTATATGTAAAAATCAGAATCAATATTGCCTTTTCTTTACTTAACAAGCTTATTTAAATATTCTACAGGAACTGTTAACCCCTCCTTTTTAAAAAGAGACAATATTTTCGTACGAACTAATGACCATGCATCATTGACAAAATGATTATCTATGTTTTCCTTTGATGTAATATGTTTAATATCAAATGATGAAAATGACTTTTGTAAAGGATGGAAAATATTAGATACAGAAGATGAAATAGTATTCCCAAGTGAATAAAGTTGTGCATATGAAAAATTTGACTTAGGACTTGTATAATTCGATCCTGTATTATGACTTTCTTCTTTCTTTGTAGATTTAAAAGATTGATCTTTTCCTGTATTAATTTCTGAAGAAGATTGCAAAAAATGCACATTTGAAGGACCAGATTCACTCAAAATAGACGGTAAAATCGGCGCAAATGTCCCAGTAATAACATTAATACTGGATGGTAAATTTAATATTTTAGATTTAGATGTTTCTTCTTTTTTATAATTCGATTCTTTAGATTCATTTTTAATAATCAATGAAGAAGATGATAGAGATCTTTGCCGACATCTTTTCTCCCCTGTATCTGACATATTTACCATCTTTTTATTTGTTAAAGAAATATGAAAAGCTTGTTTTGTCATTGATGAACCAGATACTGTTGATGTAGATGATGATGATAAAGCAGATGATGTTTCCTTATCTTGTGAAAAGTCCAGAGCCTTCATTTGATTCTTCAAAGCCTTAAAATATTGAAAAAATATAAAAATTAAAAATATTGTAGTCGATTAATCAGAGAGAGAATATTATATCTTATCAGATAATCTTTTATCTTATCATACCATAATTTACCTTTAATCTCAAGGTAATCAAAGTTGTTTCATAAAAAGAATTGTAATCAAGAAATCATTGAAAAAATAAGGTCAATGATCTTGCCTGAATGTTATTTATAAGAATAAATATTTTTTTTTGAATTAAATCTTTCTAAAGCAGGACCTAAAGGTTTCTCTAAAGGTAAATTAAGTCGTTTTCTTAAGTGTATTTGTCTAAGTTTCTTTTCTTTATCAAGAGATGCTTGTATTCGAAGTTTTCGATCATCAATTATATTCTTTGCCCTTTTACGAAGATATCTACGCAATGCAGAGTTCTTTCCACGAGTTTTAGGTTTAGGAACCCATTTTTGTTCAGGCTAAAACCTTAATTATATCAAAATAGATATGTAAAATATACATACAGGCTTTGATTCCTTGATTGAATCATTTTCTTTAGAAGTAGAAGGAGTAGTATCGACTTTTCCAATATAATCAGGATCCAAAACAATCATTTCTGGATGTAACTTTTCAAGTAAACTACGAACTTCCTTTTCTCTTCTCTGTTTTTTCGTTTCATATGGATTTATTTCATATGCATCATATGATGGTTCTCCAGAACCTATGAAATAATATTTTAAAAATCATAATAAATAAATTTCAAAAAAAAAACCTGGAACAATAAGGCTTGAAAATCCTTTCATATGCGAAAAACCTAAAACATCTTCATAAGGACAAAATCTCACCCGTTTAATTGCTGATCCTGGATTCAAATGTGTTAAATATGGTGATTTTTGCTTTTTTCTTAATGCATCTTTCCAAAACTTATCAAAATATGATTAATTATTAAATATATTATATTATAACTTACACTAATATGTGAACCCCATCCTATTGCTAGCATTCCTGTATCACTTATATCCAATGTAGACGCTGGAATTCGTGAAAAATATGAATGTACTTCTTTCCAATTTCTTATATCCCAAATTTTCACTTGACTATCTGCTCCTGATGATACCATATATCTTCCTTCACGATCTATTGAAAGTCCTGTAATTGGTCCTCTATGACTTAAAATTTTAACTAAAGGCGTTGATAAATTCGGTGACCATAAACTAACTGTCCCATTATAATGTCCTACATGAATAATCGCATTATATCGATTTTGTACCATTGCTTTAGGCATTCCAGCTCCCGTAGAATATTCCGCAATAATTCTTCCTGTAGAAATATCTTGATATTTAAGATATCCTGCTCTTCCCTACACATTCATTAACCTTCATTCTTCTTCTTCATTTTTCTCTTTATATACTATCGTTGCTAAAAGATAATGATATGGTAAAAATTCCATATATAAAACTTCAATATGTCGCTTCAAACAATGAACTTCTATCCCCTTATTATCATACATATAAACATATTTCTTTTGCGCCGCTACAAAAAGCTTCTCATTATGAAGCCATCTATTTATTAATAAAATCCCCTTTTTATACTTATTTTTTACACACTTTACATCCATTATATTCTCATTAACATTAATCTCTGTATTTAACACTCCTTTTTTCCATTCAAATCCCCCAATATGCCCTTTTTTTCCTCCTAATAATACACACCTCCCATTTCTCGTATAATCAAAAATATATGGTCCAAACGTTTTAAGCTCCAATTCATACCCCTCAATTTCATTATTTCCTATTATTTTATCCCCTTATTTATACCTTCTGTCCGCTATTAATATCTATTTTTTCTTTTATATCTTTTTGTGTAATTTTATATGGCTGTTCTATTCCTTCAACTTCAATAAAACCCTCATCGCCACAGCTCATCTTATTAAACATATTAATACCTCTGCGGGCATTTATTATCTTCTTATTCATATCTTTAATATCATTATAAATTCTTATATCTTTGATATCCTTCTATAAGCTCAAATAAGGCAAAAATGGTACCAAAAAAAAGGTAAAAACCTTGATCCTGACCAAATTTTCATTTATTTTATTGGTTTTACTCATATTTACTCGAAAAAACGGCGAAAATCGCCTCAAAATAGCCTTAGATTGGCCTTATATTTCCCTATATTATGTTAGTTATTGATAGGTGAGGTTGGAGGGAGATTATCGAGATAAGATAAGGAACGTCATAAAAAAGATGGGGAAAAAAAAAGAGAAAAAAGTGAGTATTTGAGGGGAAATAAAGGGATTTAAAGGGATAATAATGATTTTATAGGATAGAGAAGATCATGAGGAAAAAGAACAAAAAAAAAAGCATCATCATAGGTCAAGTATGAAGAGAATAAAGAAAAAATATAAAAATGGAAAAAAATCAAAAAGTAAGGAAGAAGAAAGGATAATAAATCTAATAAATATTATTATTATAAGTGGGAAATAGTATTTAAGCTTTTTTTTAGGAGGAATTGAGGAGAAAAAATGGAGTATTTATGTTAAAAAACATACGTCAATGAAGATGGATAGAAAAAACAAAAAAAAACAGGAACGAGAGCATAAAAAGGAAGAAATGATGCGTAAAAGTAGTATATATAGGGGAAGGAATGGTATTTCTAAGCTTATAGTAAGTTTTATGAAAAAAAGATAAAAAAAGAGATATATATATTAAAAAAATATGAAGGGAATTGTATGTCTTTGTGAAGGAGTAGAACCTTTAAAAGTGGTAGAAAATCTGAATAGATCGATTGATATTGATACGGAAAATTTTTTGGGGGTATCAAGAGTAATTAAGTATGATTTAGAAAGAAAAAAAGAAAGAATTAAAAGATTTAGTGTTGAAAGATTTAAACAAAAGCTTCAATATATCATTCCTAAGAGGGAATTTTTAGATATTATTGATTACAGCAAAATAATGGATTTTGTAATATTACTTATGTCAGCTAAAGAAGAGGTAGATGTATTTGGAGAAATATGTATAAGAAGTATTCAAGCACAAGGTATTTCGAATGTTATACCTATAGTTCAGGTATATTGAGAAGAAGAAGAAAATAAAAATTTATTCTGAAAAAATGAAGGATTTGGAAGATTTAAATTCAATGAAAAAGAAATCAGATGTAAAAAAGTCAATATTAAGTTTTATAAAGCATTTTTTTCCAGAAGAAGAGAAAATATATAGTATTGATACATTACAAGAAGCATTGAATGTTGTAAGAATGATATGTGTTCAAATACCATCAGGAATACAATGGAGGGATGATAGATCATATATTTTAGGGGAGAAAGTAGAATGGAAAGATATAAATGATAGTAAAAAGGGAATTTTAATTGTTAAGGGTATTGTGAGAAGCAAACCTTTGAATATAGATCGTTTAGTTTGTATACCTGGATGGGGTGATTATCAAATTGAGCGAGTAAATATAAATATTTTATATTTGAAGAGAATGATTTATTAGTAGATTATTGTTGTTAATTCAAATGAGATGAATGATAAGGAAAAATATAATTCAATGGTAGAAGATAATGAAGAAACAGTTATTTATCCTACGGAAAATCAAGATTCATTAGAAGAATTGGCACCAATTGTAGAAGATATGGAAGATATGAATAATCATGTAGATCAGGAAAAAAAGAAACAAAAAAGTGTGCATATTGATGATTATTATTACATTTCTGATGATTCTGATACAATAAAAAGGCCACGTCGTTTACCTTCAGGAACATCTGATTATCAAGCAGCATGGATTCTTGATAGCAATTCTGATGATAGTGAAAATGGTTCAAATATGGATGTTGATAATTCCTCTTTAGATGAGAATAGTGATTTAGAGAGTGTTGAATATAAAGATGAGGAAGAGGAGTCAATTGATGACCAAATGGATGATGATCAAAGCAAAATGTCAATAGAATTATTACCAGAGGATGAAAAGTAAGATAAATAGATAAAAAAATTAGAAAAAAAAAAGATTAATTCATAAAAGTATTAGGGATAGACAAAAGGAAAGAGAGGAAGATCGTGAATTTCCTGATGAAGTTGTTGTTTCACCAGATATATCACTTAAAAAAAGATTTAAAAAATACAGAGGATTAAAGAATTTCAGAACAAGTCCATGGGATCCTAATGAGAACGATTCTAATACACCTTATTATTGGAAACGTATATATAAATTTAGTAATTATAAAACAACAAAAAAAAGAGTCATTAAACAAGCATTTGATAATGGAATTAAGGCAAGATAGCAATTTATATTTAAATAAACTTACAATGAGTTAGCCAGGGACATGTGTAATTATAGAAATTAGGAATTGCGAGAAAGAGATGTTTTCTACATATTCTTCTACATCACCTTTTATTATTTTTTCACTTTTACAGTATGAACATTTCTTAACTTCTTCAAATTTCCTTATAACACAAAATACGGAATATGAATTGCCGGTTAAATCTAAGGATGAGCTTATTTTACAATATGGTCCTCGTAGAATTCTTGTTAAACCACTTTTTTCTCAATCTTCTAATACAAGAAGTGTAAATAACGTACATAAATTTGAAAGATATTTACAGAAAGGAAAATCTTCTATTGCATCTGTAGTATGTCCTATTTTTTTTGGAAATATTCCTATATTACTCTTAAAAAATACATCATCAGGTATAAATTATTTCTATTATCTAATAATTCTTTGATATTTTAAGGTTTTTCTTTGGTAGCAACAGGATCATTTCTTAATTCAGATCATTCAAGAATTATATCAAAAAGAGTGATCTTAACTGGTTATCCTTTTAAAATTTACAAAAAAATTGTAATTGTTAGATATATGTTTTTTAATCCTGGTACTTAAAAGATATAAACAATTGTATCCTAATAGAAAATAGATGATGTAGAATGGTTTAAACCCATACAATTATTTACAAAATATGGAAGAGTAGGATATATTAAAGGTAATATAACATATATTATTGATTTATTTATAAAATAATATAAAATAGAAAGTTTAGGTACTCATGGATATTTTAAAGCAATATTTGATCGTAGAATTAATCAACAAGATACTGTTGCTATGAACTTGTATTTTTTAATTATTTTTATTTTTATTATTTTTAATCATATTAGATATAAAAGAGTTTATCCATCTCTTGGAAAAATATGGAGACCTCAATTATAATTAATATTAATCATAACTATAATTGAGGCATGGTTATAATATAAAATATCAATATTTTATATGGTAAAGAAGGTTAAATATAATTTTTCAACTGAAGTCACGTGACTTTTTTAACTAATATCTTAGCTAAGGAGAATTAAAAAAGATAAAAATATAAGGAAAATGAGGAATTATTTTTTATACAGAAAAACACCTTTATTTCGTTTTTTTACAACAGTTTCTAAAATATCAAAAGATGAAACAAAGCTATCAATAACTAAAGAAGATATTTCAAAAAAAAAAAAACATCCAGATACAAGAATACCGCCTAAAGTTGGCTTTGAAGGAGATGTAAACCCTGAAGTAATTTTATTTTTTTATTTTTTTAATAAAATATTAACATTTGATTTAGACAGGCGAAATTGGAGGCTAATATTTTTTGTATATATTTATTTATATTTATTAAATGATATTAGGACCCAAGACAGATCCACTTATACATGGAGACTATTCATTTAAGGGACGTGCTATTGATTTTTAATATATATTTTTTTCAAAATATATTCATTTTGTAATTTTTATATATTTATTTTCTAAATAAAACTGTTTTAAAAAAACAAGGTTATTAAATACTATTATTTCCTAACACTATAGTTTATGGCTTGTAAACAATATTTCTATACGTTTTTATTTATTTATTACTTAATATCTACACTAAATTATTTATTTTATTTTTATAGATTTATAATAATAATTAAAACAAATTAAAAAAGAAATATAACCTTCAAAATATAACAATATATCTAAATATATACTATATCCAGACTGAAAATTTCTTGTCTATTTTATATATAAAATAAACAAAAATAAAATCAATTGATATAGATTTAAATGAAATTCTTGGAAAAAAGATATAATATATCAAAAAAAAAAAACAAAACGTAAAGTGAATGTTACGTTTTCTTCTAAATGTATAAAGGTAAATATTGCCTTGTTAGATGGATAATGTATCTCCATAACTTCCAATCACTGTCATAAAAAAAATGATACTTGATAATACAGTGTTTGCAAGATACGATCGACGACATGATTCTAAATTCCTTTTACCAAGTGTTGATATATCTTTTGTCCTAATATCCTGTATAATTTTAGCAACTTTTGGTCGAATATAAAAAAATGAAATAGGAATTAAAGATGCAACACCAAAACCACCTAATAAAATTATTTTTAAATAATTTTGAAGTATTAAGACATACTATAAAGGAGATATGGATGAGAAACATGTGGTTCTGACAATATATATGAACTTAGTATTAACGTTGCAGCAAATGATTCAAGTGGAAGAATATAACGAATCCAATGTTTATTCACGACCTCTAGCAATAGTTGAATAGATGATAAAGGACAATGTTCCTTCATAGCAGGAAGAATGAATTTAGATAAGCAAAGATAGGATCCCTATAATTTAGTTAATTCCATTGAAAAAAACAATTTTTAATCTTTTTTCAAGATTAAAAAAGGATAAAACATACGGCAACATAACCTATTGAAACTGTTCCAATGATTTTGAATGAAGTACCTAGAATGCCTAGTTTGTTCATTTAATAAAGATATTTTAATAAACCTAAGTTTTGCGATATTTTCGAGCAAAAACGGTTCATATGAAGCTTTCATAATTTTCGTAGATAAATTCCAGTTATAAATATCCTGTCTTCCAATACTTATTCAAAAATTGCTGTAAGTGATGTTTATTATGTATCTTTTTTACTTTTTTCAAATGATGACTCTGAAGTATATAAATCAAAATAAAAGATATAATATCATAAATATAAAAAAAACATTGATCTTTCCTTTATATCCATAGTAGATATTCATGAATATATAGATTAAATAGAAATTAATAATATATATATCGATCTTCTAATGATTTATAGAAGTATTTAGACGAGCACAGTAACCTCTAGATGATGAACGACTTTGACGAGATTCACTGCTAAAACTCCTAGATCTATATGATAATGTGCCAACATCGTGTTTTCCTAATATGAATAGTCAATAAAAAAGAAATAATATGACAAAAAAATTACCATTGCAACAACTCCGAACATTTTCCAAATTTGCTTGTTTGATAATTGAATTAATCCTTCTATATTTTTCTTCTAAATGAGATTCTTCAGAAAGTAGATCATCTTTAGAAGGCGATTTTTTAACCCTCATTGATGAATAAGAATTAATACTTGATCCAATTATTTGATTCAATTTAGGTAAAGAAGGATGTCTTTGAAGATATGACTTTCTGTCAGAAGGTGGTTTATTTGAACTAGTGGTAAGCGTTGATGAAGAATCTCTTGGTTGCTTAAATAATGGATCCAAGTTATCACTAGTTTTCCGTGAAGCCAAATTACAACGTTTTGTTTCAATTGATTCGACAGTATTTGAAGAAATTTCTGCGAGAGGATTGATTTGAGAAGTTAAATAAGACAATGCTTGATACCAAAGCTCATGACTAGTAGATGTTCCAGCAGTAAATTTAATTGCACGTGTTGGAGTAATAACAACAATGCTTCTATTATGTATTCCTTGTGGATAATTGTTGTTATCATAAACAACCCTTACTGATTCGATAAAAGCAGACTTTGCATATGATTCTTGTCCATAAGAAGTAGAAGGATTTCGTTTAGACCAGTATAAGGATCGTGAGTAAGGATGAATCCAAAAGAATCTCAAATGACGATTACGTGATAATTCCTTTCGTGCATGTTTACGAGTATATTTCCATAAGTATTCGCCAATCATGGTTTGTGTAATAGAGCGAATGATTTGCGGGTCTATAGAAGGCCGAGCATTCGTGGATACTTTACGTCCATTGGCTTGTGATTGATGGTTTTCAATATTTCTTGAAGAAAACGAACTAGAAGATGATTTTGAATTGGTATTTGCAAGAGAGCCTTTAGAAGCCAAAACAGAATTAAAAATAGTAATGGTTCCGTATGTACTTTCTTTATCAGCAGAGTTAGATAAAGATGTATTCGGTTTCTTTATAGCAGGATCATGTAATAGGAATTCGAATGATGGTTTCTTCACATGAGTCGTTTTATCGAAACTATGAGATTTATCTTCATTTGATTCTATTCGAGAACTCGAACTCGTATTTAATTTTTTCATAATCTCGGATTTATTTTGAGATTTTAAAGATCCTATTTGTAAAGATTGAACAGTCGTATTTCCTGAAAACTTAGAAGAGGATGTTACAAGTGTTGCTTCTTGGTCTATAAAAATTGTTAAATCTCCTATGAAAGAATAAGTGAATTTACCATTGAGTGGCATTTTGAAATTTGAAAAATAATCTTTCTTATTTCCTTGGACAATATCAAAATCGCCATTATTCTGTATTACATTGGATTTATCTTCCTGTTGTTTAATATCATCTGTTAATCTTGAATTTAACTGAGGCTTTTTAAAAAGATCATCATCATAATTCAATTTATTCAAATTGACATTAGAACTATTCTTGTTTGTCGCAAAAATAGAAGGCATTTGAATACTTTTCTTTTTCTTAAGTTTGAAAACAGATACTAAAGAACTGAAAGAGAACGGCCTTGATTGCAATTCATTGTTATTTTCAGTCGTATCGATTTTATTTATTTCTTTGGACAGATTCGTAGTTGGAACAGTATCCAAATTATTTGATTCATTATTTATCAAAGAATTGGTATCGTTTATTTGTAAAATAACATTTTCATTCGGATCAAATGATACGGGTTTCTTCTCAGTTATAATAGTGTTCAAGTTGAAAAGGAAATTTCTAGTTTTCATGATATCAGATACTTCTTCCGTCATTGTTCCAATATTAATGGTTTCGAGATAGTTATTTTGATTAAACATTTGTAATTCTTTAAATAAAGGTTGAATTTTTCGGGATGAATTGAATGAAAATTCATTTTTACCCCTAGAAGATAGATATCGGTTGCTTTTATTTTCACTAATTTCATTATCAGAATCTTGAGAAACATCACTATTATCTAAATGCGTTTTTTTCGTATGATTCGATATTTTATCATCTATATCGATAGAATCCCTTTTTTCTTCGATGTAATAACTTCCTTCAAGACGTTTTACATTATCCGGCGTGTTAATGGTTATTCCTGATGTATCATGTTCATCTTTCCATTCCGAGTCGGATTCAATTGTTATTTCATTCGTTATTTCTTTATATTTATAAGGATTCATTGTTATGCTATGCTGCGATTTTCTAAATACTTTTTTTTTCGAATATTTTGCACTTTCTTTCTCTAATCTCGCGAGTTTTTCTAGCGCCTCGTTTAAAAGACGCCTTAATTCTATTTTCTCCGTTTTTTCACGCTGAACAGCATTTCTTAATCCATGAATCGCCCTTTGTGCATGCGAAAAAGATGCTTTCATGGTTTCTATCTCTAAAGGCATGTTTCTCGAAGGAGTACATTTGATCGGTGATTGAGGAGAAAGTTGTTCCGGTGTTATTACTTCATAAATCATTTCCTCATCATTCACTATCCATTCTTCTTCTTTCTCTACATCTTTCTTATTATAATCATTCGTTTCGAATAAAGCTTCTCGTTCTGCTTTCAATTCTTCCACTTGTCTTATCCATTCATAACGTTCTTCCAATAATTCATCTTGTGCCTTCCGATAACTCGTTATCTCTGATTCATGTTTTACCCTCAATTGTTCCAATATCTCTGTTAACTCCATTTCCCTTTGTTTTAGGGTTTCAATCGTTTCGATCTGCGTTTGTGTTATCTTCAAAAGCCGTGCATTTTCCTGACTTATTCGAGTTTCCAATGCCGATAGCCTTGATATTTCTTTAGCCATTTCTTGTGTCATAAGCTCCAAATTCCAGTTCTCTTCTTTGTATTTTTCTTTCAAATATTATTAAATTTTAAAATACTTTTTACCCCCCATTTTTATACCTTCTGATTCTTCCAGCGTTTTAAGTTTTCCTTCTAAACCCTCCATCTCATGCTCTAAATACCCTTTCTCACATATAATAGCCTTCCATTGCTCTTCCCGCTCATTTAATAGCCCCTGAAGCCTTCGAACTTCTGCTAATAAACTTTGCCCAATTTCCGTTGCAAATTCAATATCATGAGGCTGAGATATTGGCTTATTACTACGTCTACGCGTAGAAAACCCATGTTTAATAGGTGATATCGTTCCATTACTTATAAACTGTGGAATATTTGGCTTAATCTGCTGGTCCAAACTAGACACCTAAAATTGCCTTAAAAACCCTTCTAAAAAAACCATATCCAACTACTTCATCCAGAGATCCTAATAATAACCATGAATCATTAGATTCCTTCTTAATTTCCTCAAATTCTCTTTCAAGTTCTTGTAATTTAGCTTTCAAATTCTCTGGGATCCGATTAACCCCTTCTAATACTTCCAATTGTTCTTCTATTTGCTTTTTTTGACTAAGAAGGCGTTCTCCAAGACGCCCTGCACTATAAAGACGCGTCGTAACCTCTTGAAGCTGTCGTTCAAGAGCCTTTTCAGCTTGTGTTGTATCCATGAGTTTTTTTTCAGTCGTTGCCCGTTCTCTCAAGACCGAGTTAATTATATTTTATATAAAAGAAACCAACTTTCGTGTAAAAAATAATTCTACCAAGATGATAACCCGTTAATAAATCAACCGTTTAAATTTGTAATTAAGTCTGTATTTTTCACGTTTTTTTTTTGTAAAATATTTTTTATTTTTATATATGGTTAATCTAGATGTTTTATATTTTTAAATAAATTCAAAAAGAAGCCTAGTTTTATACTTATTTATATACATCAGAGTGTATTCGGATTATTTGTTATGTTGTAATAATTGGTTTTATCCATTCCAAAAATAGCCAAGAGATCGATATTGTAAGCATCGAAGTCCTAAGAGATCCCATTCTTTTTGTTTAATCCAAAAATCTTGTGATATTTTTAATTGACTAAATACACTTGCACCTTTCCATGTAAGAATTTGTGGATCCATATCCCTTGGAGGGGATAAAAATTGAATTGTCGGTTGTTTGATCTGTAATCTTTATTTTTTGTTAGCTTTAATATATTATATTTAATAAATATGTTTGTTTACTTGTCTTCTAAAACGTGTACAAAGCCAGGAAAAGCATATCCCCCTCCAACTAATAAAAGACTTTTATACATTGTTTTTTGACGTTCATCAGAGGGTGCATGTTCACATGCACGAGTAATACTTTCGACAATTGCTTCATCTAGAGGTTTCCATTCATTTGTCTCTTCTTCATGTACCATATCCGTATTATAAACGTTTTTTTCATAATTTTTAGAATCATTTTCAAATACCTTTGGGAAAAAATAAGACTTAATAAATTAATATTAACATAATATATATAATTTAACCCATATATTTTTACCATTGTTGCTAAAACTGGCTCATCATAAACTTTAAATTGAAATCTTTTTGTATTTCCTGGTTCTCCATGAAAGAAATGCAAAAGTTGTATTGATGTATTGCTTTCATTTGCTGTACAATGTCGAATTTTAAGTGTATCTGCAAGATGCCAATCTTGAACTTTTCTAAGATCAATTGCATATGGAAAATGATTTCTAAGAAGTAGACGAACAAAAAAACGTGTTACATCTTCTCCTCCATAACAAAGTTGAACTCTAATTATACATCAATGGTTTAATAAATAATTATTCTAAATAAACCTAGATTCTGGCAAACAAATACCTTCTTCAACACATGCAATACTTGTTGTTTGTGCACCAACATCAATAATACAAGCTGAAGAAAGACCCGCTCCAAAAGCGGTACATACTGATTCCTAATAATGTATTAAATATATGTATGAATATATATATGTATATGTATGTGTATATGTATGTGTATATGTATATATATGAAAAACATATTTAATAAATCATACTTAAACTAACCTGTAAAACACAAACTTTAGAAAATTGTAATTCCCGCATTATTATATCAAGCATCGCTTCTACATATACTTTATCATATGCATCTGGAATCACTAAAACTACTGCTAATGCTATCCAATCTATACGTTGCATTCCTAATGCAACTAATGCCGATTTCAAAATAGCAGAAATATCATCAATACATTGACGTGATGATACATAATCATTCTTATTTAAAACTCTATGACGTATAGGCCAAAATAATGTATAATCACCAGATGCACATGATGGTATTTTAAGTGCCTAAAAAAAATATATCAATTAAATATTTTAACGCGTCTTTACATTATTAATTCTAATCTTACCTTGTGTCCAACTAAACTTTCCGGTTTTTCACTCACATCTACCCACTCATCTGGGTTTACCGGCTCAACGGTCGCTTCCGGTAATACTTCCCGATTATATGCTATAACTAATTCTCGTGTATTCAATGACGTACGACGCTTTGGCAAACGAAACCGCGTTTTAAGCGAAAAATCCATTTCCTGAAGCATTTCTTCAAAATGTATGCGCTCTTTTTCCTCATCTATAGGTTTCGCGTCATCAACGCGAAAATGACGCGTCGCGCCGTGTCGATGCGCGATCACGTTAGGGATCGTCTGAGGATACGCGTCAGACGCTAACCCTATTCTTAAATACATCGAACCCGGATGAATCACAAGCACTTTTGCATCATTTCCCTAATCTCCATTAAATATTCTTTTTCCCTTTAAAATATAATATTATTAATCATTTATACTTGTTTTTCCTCCTCTTCTTCTGATCCTTCTTCCCCGTCACTCCTTCGCGTCTCTATTTTATTACCCTCCGTTTCTTCGGACCAGGTTTTACCCGAGGCCCTATACATTAGAATCTAAGGATTTATATGCATTTATAAATAAAACATATTAAAACATGTAATTACTTGATCTTCACGCTTAAGATATTCACTGTTTGTGTATTATTTTTTAGAATGGGTTAAACCCTTATTAAAAATATAGCTTACGTATAATAATTTTTTTGATTAATAGGCTGAATTACAGGGAACGTAGTAAATCTCATAGATTCATTGCGTCGCTGTTCATCAGGCGACGCTGTTCCTTTTTTTCTTGGAGGCATTTTTGTTTAATCTAATATATTATTAATATATTAGATGACGATGACTATATCTACGATGAAGCATTAAAAATAGAGAAATAAATGTATAGAGAGAGAGAATAATATAAATAAATAGATAGACTAAAATATAATACATATTATATATATATAATACATATATTTATTATAATATATAGAATAAAGCTATTTAAATTTATTTAAAAATTAATATTTAAACGTATTTTTTCTATGTATCGATAGTTATACCATGTTGTTGTAACCACTCAGTAGCTTCATTTATATCCTAATTTTATTGTAAAGAATTATTATTAATAAATAAATAATAAAGAAACCTTTAATATAAATCCATATGCATCTTGTTTATCATTAAATAAAATTAATTGAAATCCAAGATATCCTAAAAGAAAAGATCCGATGCTAACTAATAGCCAAAGTAAAATCTATTATGTATTATATAAGTTAATTTTAAAGGAGAAAAGTAACAGTAAAAGACCAAGTAATCAATTTTGAATTATTATTAGTAACCCAAGCGATGAAAGAAATAATAAGAAATATTAGAAGCCAATAAATTTTATTGAGTTTTTTATGTTGAAGAGAGTTTAAAGGATTAGATGAATCTTTCATAGTTTTTATGTATAGAAATAAAATATTGAATATGTCCTAAAAAATAAGGTAATACAAATATATATATAAATAAATAAATATAAATATATATAATTGAATAATATTTTTGTATATTTTATATGAATAGTATATGATAGAAAGTATTTTTATGTATTAAATAGAATTTGTATGTATTGTATGTATATTGTGTATTGTGTATTTTGTATTTTTTCACTTTAATATAGGGTATAGGGTACAGGGCTGGGTTATGTAGGGTTAGGTCGTAGAAAAATATGGAGAGAAGCTATTGTAAAATATATATATGTTTGTATGTTTGTTTGTATATGGTTTTTGTTTATTAAATCTTTTATTTATAAATAATATTTTTCAAAAAAAAGATTATCTAATCTTTAAAGATTTTTTATTTGAAATATATAATTAAAAATTATATATTTCAAAGAGAAAGTTGAAGACGATATCTTGCAGCAATACGCTCTTTCATATCTTTTCTTCCTTTTCTGTTTGTTTTATCTTCAACCCATTTCAAATCTTCAATCATAATGCTTTCTCCATCATGTCTTGTTTTCCAGCCACGAGACATAATATTATATCTTAAACTACCACTATATTTAATAAGACGAGGAAGTACGCGAACCTTAACGATTGCGTCGCTTGATGGTTTTTTCCTTCCAAGACGACCTGTATGTAATAAGATTGCAACAATATCAGAATCATCTGTATATATATCAGTACCCCATAATGCACGTTTTTTAATTTTATCATTTTCCGATTTATGAAAATATTGTCTAGCAATGCGAATAGTTAGAATTCCGTTTAATTTTCCATCAAGGCGTGGTACTGGATTAGATGGGGTATATATATGTTCTCCTAAATCCATTTCTTCCATGTCTTTTATGAAATTCATAACAGCGTCATTTTTAACGATTAATTTTGGCCTTGGAAGAGGTTCTTTTGGTTGAAGAAGAAGTTGCTTTTTCGTATCTTTTTGAAATTTCTTTTGTGAAGTTTCTTGTGACGTTTTAACCGGAGTATTTGATGCACTTGTTTTATATGAGGACTGATTAGTTTCATGTAACTTATGTTTAGTAGATGATCGAACTTTATGTTCATTTTCATGATGATCTGCTGATTTTGCGCCTAAACTTGAACGAAGATGTGCATTTTTTTGAACTTTTGGTGAGGTATTTGATTTATTCGAAAATTTAATCTTAGATGCAGGAGAATTATAATTTTCTTCCATATGATTCATTGGATATAATTTTCCTCGATCCATATTTTGATTTAATGGCTGATGTCCCTGGAAAAGCGGTGGTAATGTTGATGGAATAATTACATTATTTGAAAATAAAGGAACCGGTAGTTGAGATGATTGATTAAATGAATGAAGATGTCGATATCCATTACAGTTTTTTTTCTTTTGATTTGCTTCATCCTCATACATTAACATATTATTAAATGAGTGATATTGATTCATAGGTCTTGAAGAGTTCATATTCATATTTGGATGAAATACTTCATTTGAATATGGATGAATAAGCGACGGTATTGTCTCCCGATTATCTATTTTATTATTAATTCCTTCCATAGGAAAGTTTTTATTCGATGATTCTGTATTTGCATTCCAAGAAATAGATTCTTCACCAAGTACCGACTGAATAGACATCATAGGACAATGAAATGATAATGACGATATAGAAGGAATATTCTGATTCACTTTTACCGCACTTTCCTTAGATGAATTACTATGTATAAATGTATTTGTAGATAATGGTGATTTTTTCTCATACGACTCTCCTGATTCAAACAACTGCCCATCATCCGCCTTATCATTCAATTGGCATGTATTCTGTGCATCAAATCCCTTAGTATTATCCTTCATTGACTCCTCTAACCCTTTATATATTAACATTTCTATTTATGTTGTTTTTTTGGTCATTTTTTGGCCGTTTTTTACGCCATTTTCACCAAAAATATCCTTACTTTCACTTCTCTTTTCATTTTCCACTGTTTCCGAGCAATAATCTCGACTTTTTTGCTCCAAAAAATCTTCTTCTTTTCTCTCCTGTTTCTCCATCAATATACCCTTTCTATATCCTCTTATACAAAGTTTTTCTCTCAAAAATATATGTTTCCCCCTTAATAATCCCTTAAATATTGGTTTTTTCTACGTATTTCTTGCTTCTACTGTCCTTTAAATATTGGAAAAGTTGAGACTCCATAAACAAGTTCGATAAAGCTTTAAAGATATATATTTTCTAAGATTAGGGAAGAGTAAAAAAATACATGGAATTTCTTGAGAAAGAAGTGGTTGAATATATAGAATCAGAGAATAAAGGATATGAGATTTTGAGTATTTTTTTGATAAAAAAAGAGTTATCTAATTTTTATGAGATGAGGCAAAAAAAGAGTTTTTTTCAGATATTTTGTGTTTAAATGAGATGATCCGATCATGTTTTAATGATAAGTAGTTATTTTTTGGGTTTAAAGAGTTTCTGGAATGATCATTTTGTTTTTAGAATAAAAAAGATCCAGAATGAAGGGAATGAGCGGAGAAATGAAGAAAAAAGTCTTAATAAATATATATTTGATCATTATTATAAGGTAGAAAGGGTTTTAACATCAATTGATAGTATAAAGAAAAAATTAAATGTAATTTTTATGAAAAAAAAGATTTAAGGCTAATATTAGAAGTTGGATGATATGATTGAAGATATAAATAAGCTTGAAATGCAATTAAATTATGTTAAAAAGATGCTAAAAGAAGTTAAAGAAATGGATCAATAAGTAAGCTAAAAATTAGATATTTTATGTGTATAATATTTTTGTATATAAATTTGAGTAGAAAATAAGCAGAAATGAAGAGATGTATGATTTGTATAATTTATTATTAATAATTGTTTGATATTTAATTGAAAAAATATATTTTATGTATATTTTTGAATGATAAATCAATAAAATCAGAGTTGTTATGTATATATATATTGTTAATCATAGTATTCAAATAAAATCCAGAGTTTATTGTATTTGAGAATGTTTTGATTGTTTTGTAATTAATTTATAAACGAATACCCAGGAATATCTATCCAAATATTTGATCTAAGAAGTAAAGAAGTATAGATCTGATTTTTAGATAGTTATAGAGTATTTATATAAGATAATGATAAAATATGTATTCTTTAAGAATTAGATAAAGCCCTTATAATATCTGTAAATGTTAAATACGCTGTTAAATAAGATCAATCGAGATAGAAAATGTTTCGAATACTAATAAAACCTATTTATTGTTTAGATAATAGAAATTGAATATAAAATATAACATTTTCTTTTATTTTAATTATGATTCATTCTTTTTAGATCTTTTAGAAGCCCATATCTCTTTTAAACGAATTTTCCTCTGTAAAAATATTAGATTTAGAAACATGAATCTTAGATATATTACCTTTTTCCAGCGTGCAAGTCTATCTGCGTATTCTTCAGATGAAGGTTGCCATTTACTTTTTAAAATTCGTCGAATTGCTTCCGGAGAAACTTTATACATCTCTGAAAGTACAGGAACTGTATATTTTGGATTCTAATATCATTAATATATTTGTATTTTTTTAGAAAATATATAACTTGTTGACGAAGTGTTCTGATCTGATTAAGTGTATCCGGATCAAGTTTCTTTAAAGGATTCCATCCTTCAGGAAACTTTTCCTTAAGTGCTATTTTTTGTTTTTTCCACTGTGGAAGTTTATTTTCTCTCCTTGTATCATTTTTTAAACTTTGTATATTTTGATAAGATGTTTTTGATAAAGTATTATTTTTCAAATATTTCTTTTTTATTTCCTCATGATTTAGAGGTGATGGAAGATTCCATTTATTCTTTCTTTTCTGTATATTTCCAATTAAATCTGTTTTTTCTAATAACAATTTTGGTTTGTAATTTAAACTTCTTTTAAAAAAACGCAAAAACATTAATTATATATTAATTTCCCTGATCATTTAAAAGCCAAAAAGTAGTTTATTTGCTTTGTTGTATTTTAAAACACCTTAATCCTTTATATAATATATATATATATAACGATATTTATAAAGATAAGTTTGATTAAAAGTTGAAAAAGCACCTTTTTCCTGAATATAAATAAGCAGAATGAATATATTTTTTGATGCAATATTTTCTAAAGATTGTAAATTTAAATGATAAAATATTTATAATTAAGTATGTTTAATAAAGTGTCCATAATTAAAAGATTTATAAAAATCAATCATTTCAAGAGTTGTGTGCTTAACAAGATCCATTAACGCTTTATCAAAATGTTTTTTTTCTATATTAATTGCATTAATATTATCGTGCATAGCATTGATTCCTGCATCTTGACATAAAGCAACAATTTCTGCCCCAGAACAACCATCTGTCTAAATAATATTAGCTAGAATATCATAAATTTAAGAATATATCCTACTTTTTCTGATAAATCCTCTATATCTACATCATTTGCTACATTCATTGTTCTAAATTTTATTCTAAAAATATCTTTGCGTGCTTCTAGATCAGGAAGACCTACATATAAAATTTTATCAAATCTTCCTGGTCTTAATAATGCATTATCCTTTATTTTTTTTAGTCTTTTGATTTAATTGTAATCCATTTTAAAACTTACAATAACGTCAGGCCTATTAGTTGCTGCTAAAACAGTAACATTAACAAGATTTTCAATACCATCCAATTCATTAAGTAATGCTGATAATACCCTATCATTTGTTTCTTCTCCCATTCCTCTATTAATGGACAATGCATCAATTTCATCCTAAAATTATTTAAAAATATATCCAATTATAAGATTTCTTTACAAAAAATATAATGCTTGGGCTTGCTAAGCGTGCCTTTCTAAATATTTCACGAATTGCTCTTTCACTTTCCCCAACATATTTGTTAAATACTTCAGGACCTTTAATTGCAAAAAAATTAACACCTGCTTCTGTAGCTGCTGCTTTTGCAATTAATGTTTTTGAACAACCAGGAGGTCCATAGAGCAATATACCCTTAGGAGGATTGATTCCTAACCTTGTAAATGTTTCTGGATGCTATAAAATAATTTTAGAAATATTTAAATATATAAAAATACCAACAGTCAAAGGCCATTCAATAGCTTCTCGTAATTTTTGTTTTATTATCTGTTGCCCACCTATATCTGACCATCTAACATGTGGTGTTTCCAAAAATATCTCAAATATGTTAAATAATTATAGATCAAATAGAAAATATTAAATACTTCTCTCATTGCACTCTGTCTAACATTTTTTAATGCAATTTCAAGATCATATTTAGATATAGTAAAGTCCTTTTCAGGAATATCTTTAGCAATTCCTCGTTTTATAGCTAATATTGATGCTTCTCTACAAAGAGATGTTAAATCTGCTCCAACATATCCATGTGTTCTTTTTGCTAATCTTTTAATATCATCTTCATCTAAATCATGTGGCATTTTGTTAAAATGAAGATTTAAAATTTCCAATCTAGCATCTACATCAGGAACACCAATCTCAATCTCTTTTTCAAATCTTCCTGGTCTACGTAAAGCTTCATCAAGTGTATTAGGCCTATTTGTAGCTCCAACTACAACAATTTGTCCAGAACTGTTCATTCCATCCATCAATGTCAAAAGTGTAGCAACAATTCTTCTTTCAACTGTATCTTCCCCTCTTTTTGGAGCAATTGCATCAATTTCATCTATAAAAACAATACTTGGCTGGTTCTTCTTTGCATTTTCAAATATTTTACATAGATTTGCCTCTGTTTCTCCTAGATATTTCCCAATAACAGATGGCCCATTTACCAATTCCACATATGCCTTTGTTTCACTAGCAATTGCCCTTAGAAGCATAGTTTTTCCTGTTCCTGGTGGCCCATACAATAGAACACCTTTTGGTGGGCTTATACCAAATATCTCAAAATATTCTGGCTTCAATAAAGGAAGTTCCACATAGTCCTTAAGCAATTCAATTTGATGTTTTAACCCACCAATACTTTCAAATGTAATTTTAAAAGATGGATTATCTTTTATATTCCATGATAAAACAACTTTAGTATCTTTTGTTATTAAAAATACCTCCTGATAAACACTTTTATCCCCAAGTTCCATCGTTTTCATCCTATCTGTAAGCTCATTTATCTCATTTGCCATTTTAATCTTAACAATAATGGGTTTTCCTTGATATTCATATTCATATTCTGACCCTATAGAAACATATCTTATTTTTACAAGAAAGTTCATCATTTTGTTTAACATATTATCTTCTGATTCTAAATCTAATGTTTCAATCCCTATAATTTGTGCTTTTACTAAGGGCAATGGATATTTTCTTACTGAAACTTGTTGTCCTAGTAAAATTTTCCCTTTTTTTCGAAGATCTTCTGATAGTTTAACTTCTATTTATCCTTCTTAACCCTTATACTATATTTTCTTCTGATTATTACCATCAGCTCCTGTTCCTGAGTGCATCCAGGCCATTCCAAAGGAATAGGACGTTGATAACTTCTCATTCTCTACTAAAACAAGATCTCCTGTACTCAATCCCGCTCGTTTTAACTGGGAACTATTTAAATAAACCTTATTTAAGACGTTTATCTTTGTTTCTGGGCTTTGTTGCACTGTTAAAGATGATAATACTTCTTTATTTATATGAGATGAGGCATTTTGCAATTGAGAAGCATCAGGCTTCTTTCTAGGATTAATATTGAATGTATTCTTTGGCATAGTTGTATATTTATCTGAAATTCTTGTTTTTTTTTCAGAATTTATTTATCTAATATGTATTTTATATTTAATAAATATAAGTCTGTAAATTGATGAATAAAATACACAGATGTGTAGATAAAGCATTGCATTAAGAACATCTAAATTGTTATGTTAATATCTGTAAAATTTAATGTTAAGTCTCGATAATTTTGTTTATAAAATATAAGGAAACATAACTTTCCTATGTTTAGGATAATCACTAAACTCTTTTATGTATCGTGAATGTTTTTTTAATGCCCAAAGCCACATCTGAATACCACTAACAGTAAGAAATATCCAAGCTAAAAAAGAATTATAAAATATTAATAAATATTAATAACTTACATGATAATGAATGACTTAAACATGCAATAACAAGCCATGATATGTATTCAAAAAAATAATTTGGACATGAAACAAGATCAAAACCAAATCCTTTAGGAATTTGTCGAACTGTTGTCTTCTTAGGTCTTAAATTACGCAAAATAAGATGTGTTTTCAGATTTGCATACTCTGAAAACTAAAATATCCCTCTTAACAATATAAAATAAAAATAATTCATATTTTTACCATCCATAAAATAACATAGCTTGTCAAAATAATCTTTGATTCATATATATATGAAAACCATGGTCCATACATCCAATATGCCATATTTATACCCCCAAGAACCCAATAATGAAAACAATTCTTAAATAAATTCATTCTAGGCATCGTATTCATTGAAAATCGATGCACTAAAAGCGTTTCTAGCTCTCGTTTTACATAATGAAGAACAATAAGAACAAAAATAATTCTGATCCCATCAAAAAAAAAAAAAAAAACGACAATCATTATTGCCTTTGATTATACGAATGTTTAACTATATTTCCATACAATAAACCCTGTATAAATCGAGATTTATACACCAATGGATGTATACATAATGGTCCCAAATATTCCGCCAAAAAAACCGTTTTCCACCCAATTTGAGGGCCAAGATCTTTTACAATAATATATTCCTCATCATATATACTATTAATATCCTCTTCTTTCTTCAAAATCCTCTCATTAACCAAAAGTCTTAGCCGGTTTTCCGGCAATTTGGTAGCTTTTGAAACCTCTTTAAAGATCGATTCTATTTTCTTATCATTAGAACCCACTGAAACAGTGTCTTTAAGTCCTTTTATATGTCTTCCTCTGCTTTTAAGCTTGAATTCAGTCATTTTAGTGGGTTTTTTATTTTTTTGAGGTTAAAAGTGTTGATTTTTTTTTAATTTGAACGATCCAACGTCAAAAAAAAGTGGGAGAGAAAAGATGTCGGAAAAGAGGCTTAAATAGTGGATAATAAAGGTATTTTATAGTAAAATATGAAAATTTGAAGCATTTTTAATATATAATAGTTTTTGAAGCGGAAAAAATGACCCAGATTTACACCGTTTTGAGTACAGATACTCGGTCAGAAAAGATGAAGATATTATGGGGGATTTATTGAGAAAAAATAGGATCTGCGTATGCACAGTAGGGCTTCCAGCACGTGGGAAAACGTATATTTCGGAAAAAGGTTTTTTTTTTGGGGAAAAAAGCCGAATTAATGAGATAAATATGAAGTAAGACGATATCTTACATGGCTTTCAATACCGACGAGAACGTTTAACGTCGGGAATTACCGTCGACGACAATCTATTCCTTTTCCTCTTGCAGAATTTTTTAACCCGGAAAACGCAGCAGGAGAAGAGGCCCGTAGAAAAGCAGCAGAAGCGGCGCTTACAGATATGATGACATGGTTTAAAGAGGAATCAGGGATTGTTGGTATTCTTGATGCAACGAATTCAACTAGAAAAAGAAGACAATGGATCCGAAGTGTTTGTGAGGAAAACAATGTACTTTGTATGTTTGTGGAATCTATATGTAATGATGAAAAAATAATTATAAATAATATAATGGATGTTAAACTTAGTTCACCGGATTATAAAGGACAGGATTCAGAAAAGGTGATTTTTTTTTTTTTGATTTATTTTTTAAAATAAAAATATGATAGTCAGCATTAGATTTTTTAAAACGAATTAAATATTATGAACAAGCATATCAACCTTTAGATGAAGGGGATTTTTCATATGTAAAGTTAATAGATGTTGGACAAAAAGTTATTATAAATCGAATTCAGGATTATCTTCAAAGTAAAATTGTTTATTATTTGATGAATTTACATATCAAACCAAGGAGTATTTGGCTAAGTAGAGTGTGTTATATAATTTATTATTTAAAATTTTTTAATTTTTATTTAGCATGGTGAGAGTGAGTTTAATTTACATGGGATTATTGGGGGAGATTCAAGTTTAAGCTCCCGTGGTCTTCAATATGCTGAAGAACTTCCAAATATTCTTCAAAAGTCGTTAGGAGAAGCACCTCTTATAGTATCTGAATATAATATTTTTTTTTTAAGAAAAATAATAATTATATAGGTATGGACATCAACATTGAAAAGAACAATAGAAACGGCACAATATCTTCCTTATAAGAAACTAGAATGGAAAGCATTGGATGAATTGAGCGCAGGTGTTTTTGATGGAATGTCATATGAGGAAATGAGGGTTCTTTTTCCTGATGAGTAATTTATAAAATAAATATTTTCTATTCTAATTTTCTGCAGATTAAATTCTAGGGAAGATGATAAATTTAATTACAGATATTCTGGAGGGGAATCATATAGGGATGTAGTTACTCGGTTAGAACCTGTTATTATGGAACTTGAGCGTCAAGAAAATGTTTTAATTATTTCTCATCAAGCTATTCTTCGTTGTATTTATGGATATTATCATGATCTTAATCAAGAAGTTTTTCCATTTGTAGATATACCTCTGCATACTGTTTTAAAACTTACACAGGCACCATATTCGACATTTGAAGAACGGTATATTGATTGTATATTATGTTTAATATTTAATGATTTATAGATTAACAACAACTATTCCTGCAGTTAGTACATACAGACCTAAAAAACCAAAATCATCAGGAAGTCAATCAAAAGTTCATTAAGTCCTACATAAATATTGCTTTTATATTTTTTATTATATATTTCAGTCTTAAATACAATTTTATCTAATTTGCATATCTGAAAACGTTAATATCTAAAATGTATATGATATTATAGGTCCAATTTCTTGCTTATATCAATGCTTAAATTCAATTATGTACACAAGATATTGTTTTATGTATAGTTTTATAAAAACTCATGATTGCAATTAAATAAATAAATTACTCAAACATTCAGTGTATATGATTTGCATATTATTTGGAATAGAACATATATTTTTCCATATATAATCATATTCATTTAATTCCCCAATGTTTGACATAAATTTAATAATAACGTTATGATCTACTGATAATCCTTTAAAAATAATAGATGGTATAAGTTCTTTTATAAGTAATTCCCATACTCCCCCGCATGAAAAAAGACATGCAATAAAATCAAAAATGCTTTTTAATAATAATTGCTTTATCTTTAGAAATTAGCTATAAACAATTAAAATTTATATATTATAATACTTCTTCTTCTTGATTAAAATCCGAAATAAGGCTGATTTCTTGATTTCTAAAATTATGCAGCCAGGTATAATTTTTTTGAGATTTCTTTAATGTCCATTCCCTATATATTTGCCTTTGAATAGTTTCTAAGTATTTTTTTTGCAATTCTACAATATATAAATCTGGCCAACGAATATTTTCCTTTCCCCATGATATCCATGAAACAAATATAGGCGTTAATTTCAAAAATTTAGAGATATATTTCCATAAATCTTCAATGTTCATATTTTCAGCTATATAAAGATGCTTATTTCCGTAATAATCAGTATAATTTATTGATCCTAGAAGTTCCACTAAAACTGCCAATATTTCAAAAATCTTAACAGAACCATATATTGCTAATGAAGTGGATGATTCGAAAAATGTTTTAAGACAGGATAAAAGGACTTGAAAGAAAGATTCCATAATATTTAAAATAGAACATATGTAAAAATTTTGATATTTATATTGCAAAAGACCAGAAAAAAGCTCTTTTGTAGCTTCTAACATTGGAATTATATATATCCATGTAATATGAGACCTTGAATATGCTATATACGCACTAAAAACTTCATCAATAACAAAACAAACAAGATTAAGCGTTTGAATTTTACTAATAATTAGTTAAATGAATTTTTATATGTGTACACTTACATATGCATAGCTATATTATTATCTTCTGTGTCACTCATGACAAGACGCATTAAAGTAGAAAACCTATTTCTTTTATGTTCAAATAATGCAATTTCGCATTTTGCTTTAATAAATCTAAACAATTCTTGTTGTATCAAAGGATTGTTTAAGTTTCTTTTTTCATAACCCTTAAGTTTTTTTGCTGTGTAAATAATATCTTCTTCAGGTTGTGGAAAATTTGTAGAATTAGTAAACCAATCTAAAATTGGAAGACTATTCTCATTAACAAATTCGCCGCAGTATTGTAATACACAACCAATAAGCTTCTGACATAAATCAATATATTTTTTGATATCACTATCATTTTCTTGGACTAATTTCTAAAAACTATTAACACAGATATTAAAAATTAAAAATTCTAAACTTGATAAGTGTCTTTCATAGAATGAAATAGGTTTGATAGATATGTTAAAAACTCACTTTTAGTATTTTGCATTATATTTTCTGATTCTAAATGAGTATAAATTTCTCCCATATTTGCCAATGTATCTATTGAAATGTTAGTAAATATATTAAAATAGAAGTTTTAAATTACTTGAAATTAAAGAAAATTGGTAATATTTTATTTCATGTAATTTAATTTCAAAAAGACCAGATTTTTTTGAAAATGGAACATTTTTCCATAATTTGTTAGAAAAATCAATATTTAGGATAAGACTTGTTAAAGTATGTTGATTATAAAGTTTATTTTCAACAATGACCCGAAACCAATAAGATATAAATGTAATACGATAGGACTAAATTATTAAAAAGAACAAAAGCATTAATAGAACTTACAAAATATGCGTTAGGACATTCTTGAATAACTTTTGACATAAAAACGACTCCAGCCTTATTGATTTTTGAATTATTTCCAAAACGAATCCATGATTCTTGTCCATAATCTAAATAATTTGACCATTCCTTAGAAAAATTAACTTAACAAGTAATAAAATAACTAAAATTTACTTTAATCCCATTTCTTACTAAAAGATCTGCAGTGAGTACCCAACACTCAATAACTGCATCAAGTAATTCATATGAAATTTCAACATCAGAGCCCAAATAATTGGATAACATTTGAAAAATCTCACCACTTAAAGTTTCATTAATAATCTAATAAAATAAATAAATAAATAAATAATCAATATAATAAAATTAAACTAAACCATAGAAAAATTATGTTCAATATTATTTCCAGGGTCATTATTATCAATTAAATCATAAAATACAGATATATCTCCGTAATCCTGGCTATCTTCCATATATGATTCATTGTGTTTTTCATAAGAACCTTTTTTACATAGTTGTCTAATAAAGCTAGACGTTAAATTTAATGCCTCAATTATTACAGAACTTGGAATGACAGATGAAGAATTAAATAAGTTTGTTGAAGAGGCTTTAGTATGTTAAAATAGAAATTAAAGCATATTTTTTTACCTTTACAAAATAATTGCAGAATTTTTCCTTTATTAACATTATTTTCAACAGTATTAATAATCTCTTTTTTACAACGCAAACATGAAATCATTACATCCTCAAGCTGTTTTAGATTATATTTTAGTAATTTATCATTTGAATAATATTTCAAAATATCAGATTCAAATTGACGTTTATATGTACGATATATTGACAAATATTCTTCTCTTGTTGTATCTAATACCAAATCATACCAATTACATATAGCTTGAAAATCATCATTGTTTGAATTGAATAATAGAAAACGTGTTAGATATAACCATGCTTTAAGGTTTACCAATTTTGCTTTACAATGTGCATTTTCTAATTGAACCAAATCCTGTATCATTGCTATAGGTGGTCGATATTGATTAGGAACAATTCGAAATAATATAAGAAGAAGACTATGATGATTTTCAAGAGAAATGAAATCCTGAATAGAAAGTTCTTGACTGTTTGAGTATTTTCGATTATGAAGAGGAGTTATACGAGATATTAAAATTTTTAAATCCTTTGAAGGTATGAAAGAACTATTTAATTGTATCTTTAATTGATCCAAGACAAGAATAATTACTTTTAAAAAAATATGAAAACATGTATCAGATGTTTCAATCGAAGTAGAAGGAGGATCTTTAAGATTCTGAATAAAAGATGGATAGCCTGGTGTATTTTCATTAATTAAATTTCGAAGTTGTCTTTTGCAAAAAAAAGTGTATAAGAAAATAACAATAGATTTTGCATTTGACCATTTCCAAGTAGAAATGAGATAATGACACCTTCCAAACAAAGTTCGAATATACATGTTTTGACTATTTCCTAATTCTTTTTTATAAATCTCTGTATTTTCGAAAAAATTTGATAAGATTTTTTCTATCATTATCCAATTAGCTAATCCATTTGGAACACCAGAGACGCCAGATATATTAAATTGATATAATACAGTTAAATTTATTATAGAATACCAACATTTCTCATGATCAAGAAACTCATATATTTCAGAAGAATTGATTATTTTTAATTCAGAATTTAAAAGAGTCCAAAAATTTGGTACAAATTCTCCAAATAAATTATTAGAAAAATCCATTATATGGATTGTCACTATCCAGACTTCGATAAAATAATCATTATTGTTGATTCCCATTGATGAATATTTCGAGCTATTTTGTTTTCTTAGACCGGAATTCAAAGAATCAAATCCAAATTGCAATAAATGTTTGACTAACCTTTGAGATGTATCTGTAATTATTCTACACATATCATGAAATCTAGGGATATCATTTTCTCTAAAATATGATTTTGCAAATTTAAAAGCAAAAACCAGAAAAAACATTTGAAGTTGAAAAAAAAGTTTTACTGGTATTGATTTTAAAGACAGATTTTCATAAATTTGAATTGAAGGAATCAATTGTTGAGAAAGATTTTCGCATAGCTCTAGAAGATTTTTCGAAAACTCTATTAAAAATTCCAAAGTATTATTTTGTAACCGAAAATTAATATAACGAAATATGTAAAGTAAATATGAATATAAAGAATCATCAATAGTATTTTCTTCTTTAGACTGTTGAATATTATATCTTAAGATATTGTATGATAACTCTTCAAATATTTTTTGTATCTTTTCGATATCTTCAAAAAGATTATTTTGTACCTTATAATCAAATATAGTATAACAATCAATGGAACATGATGATTCATTTGCATCATTATTATCATTTGATTCCGATAATAATTTTTGAAGTAAACCACTACCAATAAATGTCTCTGAATCAAAAAAAATATCTTGTTTAATAGGGTTAACATTAAATGTCATTGAAAACGTTGATTTTTGTAACCAAAATTGCTCCAATGATTGCTGAAAATAATTATTAGTATTTTCCCTTTGCACATTTACTTTATTTGTAATATGACGATGAATTATAGTATCATCAAAATGATTAGAATCGATTCTTTTGGCTATTGATTTACGATTATAATGCCTTGTTTTTAAATCATTCATTTTGTTTTCCATATTATTGTCAATTTTATCAATAATATCTGGCTTAGATAATGGTAATTTATCCAACCAATCATAAATAGATTTATATTTATCTGTAATGCAACTTTTAGGTATAATTCTTTCGTAATAACTTTTATTTGATCTTTTCATGAAATTTTCTGATATATTTTTTTCTAATCTCCCTTGAAAAAGCATTTTCCCTATAATTTTTTTAAAATTAACATCCTTTACTTCCACGTTTTGTTTTGTTTCATGTGTTTCACTAGATAAACAGGGAATATTTTCCGTAAAACTGATAGAATTCATTAGAGATTTTGGTTTTGTATAACAAGAAAAAATATCATTCTTTGAATAAACAGGTGTTAACGTCCCTTGTCTCCATTTTTCAAATATTTCATTTATCTCTTGTCTATCATCAAAATTATCAAAAAAAAAGACTTTTCTATAGGGATAAGTTCGACCAAGATCTTTTCGAGATTTCATAATTCGACATACTAAGTTAATGAATCTTGGAGGAGCCTGTTGGTTTCTATCTTTATGTTGTTTAAAAAGATCCAGAATTCCTATCCTAGTTACTCTTTTTTTTTTCTTTATAAACTTGAATGAAGATTTATTTAGTCTTTTGGTTTTTTCTGGCAATAGATATCTTGAAATTTTCTTCAAAGAATTTTCATACGTATTATCTTTTCTATGTCTTTTTTGAAAATACGTATAATTATTAGATCCTCTTATTCCTGAATACATTCTATTTATCAATTTTCTTTCTGAAACATCATTAGCATCAGATGATTCATTAGAAGAATAATAATTATTATTCTTGTTTTCCTTAAAATCCGAATATTTTATCTTTTTAGGTTGATGGCTTAAATTGTTAGTATCTATGTTTATTGAAAAAGGTTTTAAAGTTGATGGAAATTTTGCCATTTTCTTTTTTACTAAACCTTTTCTATTCTCTTCTTGAATATATGTTTTCTTTACACATGGATTCATCTTTGAATGAGAATTTGATATGATAAACTTGTTTTCTAAAGTAAGGTATGACGGTGGCAAAATTCCTTTGAGCTTTCTTTTATAACGAGAAATATCATTCATAAAAATTTGTTCCTCATAAGAATAATCCTCTTTTTTTGTATCTGATTCACTACTATCCTGTAAAGTATATTTTATCCTGGAATCCTGTTTTATTGGAACCATTGATGGTGAATGGTGGCTTGAAAATGATACTTCAGAAACATTTGAAACATCATTTTCTGAACCACATTCTTCATTTTCTATTTCAGATACTCTCTTAAGATTTTCAGCCGATTTAAAAATCGTTATTTCTGTATCTGAATTATAATGTAAAAACTAAATCAATCAATCAATCAATATATATATATAACCCTATAAAATTAACATACATTCTCCGCTTTCTTACTACGTTCTAAACTGCTGATTGCTTGTTTTTGCAATGCTTTTTTCACTCGTTTAAGACGCCAATTATGACGATTAGGATTAATAAAAGTCGCACTTGGTTTATTTCTTTTAAACTCTTCTAATTCTATTTAAGCACTTTCTCTCCTCATAATTATATAATAAAAATGTACCAAATTCCTCATTTTCTGAAATTATATGTGCTAATGTCGTTTGCGATTCTTTACTATCTTGAGATTCATATTGTGTATCTTCATCATCTAATTCTAAATATTTCATAGATTCATTTTCTACCGGATTTATCCCAATCCTTCTAAATTCCTCATTATGCCTTAAAAAATCATATGTATAAGGTCTTTTTTGTTCTGGTCGCCGTTTTCGAAATTGTCGTTTTTCTACCCATTTTTCTGCTATTTTTTCCTCTTCATTTCTTACTATCTCCTTCTCCTTATCTTCCTCTATCTCTGTTTCAATATTCCAGATCTCTTCCTCTCCTTCTGAACATGATATCTCCAAATCTTTTTTTTTTTCAATCATTTTATCATCTTTTCAAATAATTCATACTCAAAAACGCCTTTTTTTCACCAAATACTATTTCTTCTCCTAATACCATCAAATCCTTACCATATATCTCATGATAATACACTTTTATTCATCTTATTTTTTTATTCTTAAAGATTATCTGTCCTTAACGTTGATCCGCTGCTAATCCTTAACCCGTAATGTTATACAAAAAAAACATGCAATAATACTTTTTTCCGTCTTTAAATAATCCTCAATTCAATAATTCAATACTCCCTTCTCTCTTCTTTGCCTCTTTTCTTTCTATTTTTTCCATAATACTTATCCACTAAATTCTTTTTCATTTTTTTAACAACAACTACCCTTCAAAACAAAAAATTCCCCTTCTTTATTCTTACTTAACCCCAAAACATCCCATTTATTTGGCTCTTCCGTCTTCTCAAACAAATCTTCATATTTTAACATAATAGGCCTATCTTTTCTCACTGAAACAAGGCCCCTTACATATTTAACATTCACCCCCCTAATACTACTAACAAAATCAATATTTTTTAACAATTCCCGCACTTGTTTTCCTCCTTTATCGTCCTCTGGAAATGATAAAAAACTCCTCTTATATAGACTTTTTATGCCCTTCTCGTCTTGTTTTTTAAACCCCTGCTTCTTCATACCGTTTATCATACTATCAACCGATAAAATACTCATATCTAGACGTTTCATCGCTTCTTTTACACCCCTCATATTCACTCCTTATATATTCTTCATTTTATCCCAATCTCCCCCTAAATTCATCCTTTTTAATCCCTGAAAAAACCCTGATACTCGTAAAATAGACCTTTCTACTGTTTGTCACTACGTTTACCTCTTAATTCTCACTTTTATTACCTCTTTTTTCAAAAATACGTTTTTTTGACGTTCTCCTCGTCCCCGTATTAAACCCCAGATCTGTCCCTAATCCCCCCCGAACAGCCCTATATATTACCAAGAAGCATTAAATATATACAGGAAGACCCTATTTTTGCCTATAAATATGTCAGATCCAGTCTCATTATTGCTAAAAGTTAGTGTATTTTATAGTAATTATTAAGAAAGCTTATCAGCACACTATAGGCTGATAAGAAGTCGTCAGGACATGGAGGAATTTTGTCATTTTTTGGGAATAAATATAGTGAAGCAGCAGAACTATATATTGAAGCAGCTAATGGATTTCGGCTAAAAAAAAAGGGTATAAAGAGGCTATATGAGGGTATATTTGTGTTTATTTTTTTATAAGGGAAGGAGGCCGGGGAAGCACTGGAGAAAGCAGCGTTAATGCAATTGAAAATGGAGGAGAGAGATGATGCAGCAAATACACTTGTAGAGGCATATAAGTCGTATAGAAAGACGGATCCGATAGGTTTTATGGGTTATTTATGTATAATAAATATTGAAGGGTAAATGTGTATATAGATGCGGCACGAGTGATAGAGAGTGCTATAGAGATGTTTACAATTCGCGGGAATTTTAGAAGAGCAGCGAGTTATAAAATGGATGTAGCATCGCTTTATGAATTAGAATTAATGGATTCACAAAAAGCTCTTGAAAGTTATGATGAAGCGGGAGAATGGTATTCTAACGATCAAGCAGAGGCGTAAGTAAATGTATAAAAATTGGTAGAAAGATGAATATTGAGGGGTTAGTCTTGCGAATAAAGCATTTTTAAAAGTGGGGGAGATTGCGGCATTAAATGAGCAATATCCATTAGCTATACGAAAATTCGAAGATGTTGCTCGAAAAAGTATAAATAATAATCTTATGAAATGGGGAGTGAAAGACTGCCTTTTTAAGGCGGGGTTATGTCATCTTAATTCAGGAGTCAATTATATTTTAATATGATATATTTTTTCTTATTTTATATATAGGATATGGTAGCTACACGAAGGGCTCTTGAACACTATATTGATTTGGATATAACGTTTCAATCAACGCGTGAATATAAATTGTTAGAGGTGTGTTAATTTTATTTTTTTTTAATTAGAATTTTTTGATATAAATATGAAATTAGGATATCTTGGAAGCTATTGAATCAGGGGATTCTGATTTATTTACAGAAAAAATTAGGGAATATGATCAGCTTAGTAAATTTGATAAATGGAAGACGACTCTTCTATTAAGAATTAAAAAGTCTATTAATGAAGAGCCAGATTTGACATAAAAATGTTATCGTTAATTCATAATTCATTTTTTTCGCTGTTTTAAAAGGATTGTTTTTATGTAATTTTAACAGTATTCTTAGAATATGTTCATTATTTATATATTTTTAATATCTTCTACATTTTCAAACTTTGAATTTTGACATCAAAAAAATTTATAGAAAAATACAAAGTATTTTTATCTTTTAAGAAGCATTATTAATAGCTTTTAGAATGGTTCAATCAGGTGTTTTTTAATATGAATCCTCTTTTTTTCAAGTTTTTATAAAGAAAGAATTATAAAAAATATAAGATAAGGATTATGAAAATTAAATTGGCTATTTATACACAAACCTTCCATTTTAACAGATATTTATTATATGGATATATATATACAATCAAGAAAAGTCTTTATTTGCAGAAAAAAGGATATAGTTCTTCATATTTTTCTACATTTGAAGTCTGTTTAAACATTTTTATTATTTAAAACTTAATAAAAATGTATAGGATTGTCATATTTCGCCATCTATCACTAAGGCATTGAGATTGGCTTTTCCTCATATTTATAAGCCTACAGCTATTCAATCAAAGATTTTTTCTAGTCTTATTTCAAAGACTTCTTTATTTATTCGTAGCTGGACAGGAACAGGCAAATCATTTGCACTTGCTTTATATGCCTTGAACTGTACTCGATCTATTTCTAAGAAAAGACCTTATAATCCTACTTTAACAAGTGTTATTTTGGTTCCAAATAATGATTTAGCACATCAATACAAACAATGGATTGAAAATATTATAAAAAACTATGAAAATCCTATTAAACATATTGAAGATATTATTCAAGTTTTAACAAGGAACAATTATGACGAAAATCTTCAAATTGAGAGATTAAAGCAGTTTCCAAGTCCACATATTTTAGTTTCAACACCAAATAGGTTATTAGACATATTAAATGAACTTGGAGAAAGTTATAAGGATTATATAGATTTCAAAAATCTTCAGTCTATCATTATTGATGAGGCAGATCATGTTCTTGATCCATTAAAATGCTTTTCAATAAAGAAAATGAAGCAAAATCGGCATCATTTGCCTCCAGGTCAAATTCTATTAGATCATATTATAACATCTAGGAATAAAACGTCTAAAACTAAGGCAGAGTTCATTTCTGATAATTATCAACTTATTTGTTTATCTGCTACTCTGGATAAAAACTTAAGGCGCTTGATTTACTCTAAAAATTGGAACAGAAATCAAATTATTCCTTTAATAAATATGTCTGGCTTTGATAAAGATTCTGATTCTGGAATTCCAATTGGAATTAATCATTATGTATTAAAAATAAATTCAATTGAACATGATAAAATTCATATTATGGATGCTATTCTACCTGAATTTAAAAGAAAGGCATTAGATATTAAGAAGAAAGCAGAAGAAAGATATAGGAAAAGGCTTAAACTCTTGAAAGATGTTTTTATGATTAGCAATTTGAAATCAAATTCTACTAGCTTGGAAGATATTATTGCTATTACTTTAAATCATTTGATTAAATTAGATGATGTAAAGAATGCTATAATTTTTATATCACATAATCTTTCAAGAGCTGCATTTGTTGAGAAATGCCATTTTCATGGATTGACATCTGTTGTAGAATTAAGAGAGTCAATTACACAAGGCGAAATAAATCAAAATAAAATATATGTAATAAACTATTCATCTGCACGAGGCATTGACTTGCCTGGTTTAACTCATGCTTACATGATAGGAAGACTTAATGATCATGTAAAATATATTCATATGGCAGGAAGAATTGGAAGAATGGGACAAACTGGAAAAATGATTTCAATTATACCATCTTCATCAGAAAAACTAATAGATGATTGTTTTTCTAAAGAAGCTGCAATGATTCTTCATAAAGCCAAGGTTAATCTTACATCTTACTTTACTGAAACACATGGTCACGAAATATTCATTGGAAAAAAATATATTTAGTTTTGCGTATTCATTTATAAATTTACACTGTTAATTTTAGTATCTTAATAAATTACACCATAATATATGGTCTAAATTCCTCTTATTTACTACCATTTGATATACTTCTTGATCTAGAATAGCTTCTTCCTCGAGAATAACTCCTTCCACGAGAATAACTACGTCCTCTAGAACGACTTCTTTCACTAGAATAGCTTCGACTACGGCTACTATAACTGCTATAACTAGATAACCTATTTTTCGAATTCCCATTATGTCGGTAATATGGACTTGATGATTTCGAACTTCTATGAGGTCTATATGAATCTCCTAGTCTAGAATCTCTCATATTCCTTCTAGGAGGTGAATATGGCCTTCTATATCGCTTCATTCCCATAGATCCTCGTCGTACCGGCGAAAATGACGATTTACGTGCATTTGACGGTCGTGGCGTAACAATTGATACCGTAATCACTGATCCATCGATTTGTCCCTCATTCATATGAGATATCGCTGCATTTGCACTGCTTGATGATGCATAAACAATGTAACATAGTCCTCGGTTAATATTCACTATTTTTTCCTTAATTTCTCCTTTTTACCCCGGAAAAAACATACATCTTCGGTTCATAGGCATATCTACTGATCGGATTTCTCCGTACGATCCAAATATCTCTTCAATATGGGCCGCTGTCACATTTCTTGTCAATTTTTCCACTAAAATCTAAAATTCATCAAATTTTCTCCTTAAACTCCCGTTTTTTCCCCAAAAACCTTTGATGAACTTCTAGACGGTGATACTGAGCGTCTAGAACATCGTGAAACTGAACGACTATTCCTATATCCTTTCGGACTTCTTGATCTTGATGATATTGCCGAGCGAGATTCCATTATTAACAACAATTAAATGTTCTAGTACCAAGATCTAGTCTATATAAAGCTCTATAACTCTTTTATTATCTATAAAAGCCTTAAAAAGGGCCTTACCTGGCGATTTTTTAGTGAGACCGATTTTTTTGACGTCAGATACGAGCGGAGAAGGAGAGAGAGTAACGTAGAGATCGAGAAGTATCGAAAAAAAAAGATAGAAAGGAGTTTAACGTGGATGAAATAAAGAAATAAATATTTTATTCGAAAGTGGCGGTTAGAAATAGTAGGAAATTGTTTTTGAACGGTGTTTTTAGGCCTATTTTTTGTGGAGTTAGAGGTTTTTTTGTGATGAGTGAAAGTGAGAAAGGAATAGAAGGGAATAAAAGGGAATTTGAGGGGATAAATGGGTTAGAAGAGGATGGAAAGTATGATAAAATTAAGGAAGGAAGTGTATATCTTTTTATTCCGAAAAAAAACGAGGTAAAAGAAGTGAAAATGGAGGAAATAGAATGATTACGAATAATAAGGTGTTTTATAACCCGGTTCAAACGTTTAACAGAGATCTAAGTGTAATTGCTATACGTTCATGGAGTAGAGTATTTCTCAGGGAGAAAAAAGAGGTATTAGAGAAGAAAAAAGAAAGAAAAGAAGTTAAACGGCAAAAAACTATGATAATAGTGGAAAAAGAGGGTAAAGAAGGGTCAGATAGAGGATCAGAAGGATATAAAATTAATATAAATGATGAGAAAAAGGTATTAAAAGATATAAATAAGTTTAATTTTATGAATAAGCAACAAGAAATATGTTTAGCAAAATTTAATATTCTTGATGCATTTTCAGCGACAGGAATTCGTGCAATTAGATACATAAAAGAGATTGAAAATGTAGAATATGTAGTGGCGAATGATAATGCTAAAACATCAATTGATATGATTAAAAAAAATTCGATGTATAATGATGTTTTTGAAAAAGTAAAGCCTAGTCATGAAGATGCACGTTTTATTATGTATAAACATGTTATTCAGAGGAAGTATTTTGATGTGATTGATCTTGATCCGTATGGAACAGCATCACCATTTATTGATGGAGCAGTTCAGTGTATTTCAGATGGAGGTCTTCTTTGTGTTACATGTACAGATCTTGCAGTGTTAGCAGGAGGAGGATATCCGGAAAAGTGTTTTTCGAATTATGGATCTATGCCATTTCGTCATTCTGTTTTTTGTCATGAACAGGTTTTTTGATATGTTTAATAATTATTATTTTGATTAATATGAATGATAAGGCGCTTCGAATTGTTTTGCATACGATATCCTCGTCATGTGCAAGATATGGACGTTATATTACGCCATTATTAAGTATTTATTCTGACTTTTATATACGGTTATTTGTCAAAATTGAAACATCACCATATAATGTTAAATTTCTTCATAAGTAAGGAAAACCTTTATTATTATTAGGTTTAATAATTATGATAGTAACATAATGATGTCTTATTTATGTTCTGGATGTTATACATTCTATAATCAGCCAATTGGAAAAACGTCCCCATCCAAAAATTTGAATACGTATAAACATTTTAATTCACAGGGACCAATTGTTAATCCTAATTGTGAGTTTTGTGGATTTAAATTACATGTAATGATAAGGTTTTGATTATTAATATTTTTAATGCAATTGTTTAGATTTCTGGGCCAATGTGGTCAGGTCCATTACATGATAAAGAATTTGTAAAAAGTGCTTTAAATATTCTTGAATCTGAATCCATTGACATTTATGAAACACTTCCACGAATGAAAAAGTTGTTTTTAATTATAGAAGATGTATGATTTTTGAAATATTAATAATTTATATGACTTACTTATATTTTTAAGGAATTGGTAAATCCATTTTATTATAGTCCAGCGCATCTTTCAAAAATTCTTCATTGCCAAACTCCACCACTAAAGGATGTTGTTTCAGCATTAATTAATTCTGGTTATCTTGTTTCTTTAACACATGCATCACCAGGTTGTATAAAAACAAATGCATCTCCAAGAATATTATGGGATATTATGAAATCTTGGGTAATTAATAATATTTACTTCCTTTTTATGGCTTATTAATTCTTTTAGATAAAACAATGTCCTGTAAATAAAGAACATATTCGTGATGGAACAGCTGGAAAAGAAATACTTAAAAGTGACCCTGAGTAATCTCCACTCCTTAGTTTTAATATTGCTAAATAATGCTTAGTACTTGTATTAGTTTCCTTTTTCATCCAGATATTAATAAAATTTTTAAGTCTGGACTTGTTAAATGTCATTTGAATCCTACAAAGAAATCAGGTCCTAAAGCAAAAGCAAAAGTAAGAGCAAATGAAGATGAAAATCCAGCTTAAAAACTAGTATGCATCATAGTTGTGTTAAAGAATATTTAGATAAAAAAATATGTTTAAATTTAACTTCTAATGAAAGATAATACTCCAGAACAATAGTCTACTAGTTTTTTTAATTTAATGTTTATGATTTTATGTTCTTTTTCCCAATTTATGAGTGATTGTTGTAATGCATCATTATTAGGATTTTCAATAAAAATATCTCCATGAATATTTAGAAATTTAGCCATACATATTTGAATAAATTCAAAATCTATTTGTTTTTTTAAACTTTGAGTTAATGCATCCAAGAACCATATTATTTCAGAAAACAATGAATCTGGAGAAAGTGATTGTATTTCAAAATCTATTGATGATGGATTTAATGTCTTTAAATGATTCATAAATTTCATATCTAAAATATTAAAAAAGAATAATTAAATAAAATTAAACATACAATCTTTTTGAGCAGCTCCTTGTTTTAAAAGTTTAGTAAATTGACTTTCTACAGATAGATCTTTCGTACTAATAATCCTAGAGAAGCCTTTATCTATTTCTGAAGATTCATTTGTGTATGAAATTGATGGAATTATATCTTTTGATGTATCTTTTAAAAGTGGTAGAAAGAATGGTGCATTTTTAGGAGCTTTTGGCGGTTCTTTTGGCTTATTCCTAAGTTTGATTATATCTATATTATGTAAAATATTCAATTTAAACCGAGGAACTGAACTAAGTGTTAACATTTGATTAATTTGTTTAGAAGATGTATATTCAGTTTTACATAAAATATCTGTCTCACTTGATACATCTTTTAATGAAAGATCAATAATCCCAGAACCATTCTCTCCTGATACTGCTGGTAGATTTATTGTTTTAATGTCAGATTCTTGAATACTGTGAATAAATACTTCAGAAAACTGGGACTTATTTGTCCTAATTTATATTTAGCTTTTAAAACATCCAATTATACATTATTACCATAAAGTTATTCCAAAATTATCTACATGAGTTGTTGCAAGAAAATCTCCAGTAGGTGAAAAATCTAAGCTTGTACATATACTTGGTGTACGAAATGCATCAATGAGACATCCTACTGGAAGATCCCATGTTCTAATCGTTGAATCTAAAGAAGAAGATATAATCCATCTTCCATCATATGAAAAGACCTATAATCATTAACCTTTATCTTCAAATTGGTTTTTATACTAAATCTGTAATACGATTTGTATGACCCCATAGCTCTCTTACAACTTTTGTTGTTTCAATATCAATAACTCGAATACAAAAATCATCACAAGCTATTGCTAAAAGATCAGAAGACTTCTGATATCTCATTAGTGTTATTGGTAATTTCATATCAAGAGTATATATAAGTTTTCCTGTAGATATTTTCCAAAACTATATTTATTAAAATATATAATCTATTATTTTCTATTTACCTTTATAGTTCCATCTAAAGAAGATGATACTAATGTTTTGTTTAATGAATCTGAAACTATTCCTGTAATTTCCTTTCTATGCCCATCTAAATTATCATGAAATTTGCGGCGATGAAGCCTAGATTGCATGTTATACATATCAATTGTCCCTAAAGAAGAGCCAACAAATCCAAAATTTCCACAAACACTTATTGCAACACTCTGTTTTTGTTAGAATATATATATATATATAAATATATAAATCTTTATCTACTTTTATAGAACTTTTATCTGAAGTTGTAAGAACAAATTTCTCAATTGCCTTTCTTCTCCAAGACCAAAGTCTTGCCACATTCTCTCCTTTGTGTGCTGTTATTATATTATTCCAATATTTTTCTTTTGTTGGTTGTACTGCAAATGATAAAATCTCTGGAAGACGCAATTCTTCTAGAGAAAACTTTAAAGATATAGGCTTCTTAATAAATGGTTTTTGTGATAGTTCTGTATTCTGTGAGTCATTAAATACACTAAAACCTCTCAATGAACGGTCTCGTGATGTTGATAATATAAAATGTGAATCATTTTGATAAAATCTAATAATAGATGGTGGTGCACTATGACCACTTCTATGTTTAAGTAATCGGGGCGTTGAATCTGGTGAATCAAAGATCCATTCCTGTATTTTTTCAAAAAATTCATTTTAAAACTAATAAAAATACCTTTAAAGAATTATCAATACCACTAGATAATAAAATAGGCTGTCCCTCTAGAAACTTTATTCTAGCAATTGAACCAAAATGTGCTGTATATAATATATTAAGAATTCTTTTTTTGAAAAGATCCCAAATAAAAATATCCCCTTTATTATTAGAAGAACACATAATTGATGGCCCATCTACTCCACTTTTAGATCAATTTAATACATTTCCCTTTAAAACCTGTTCTAAAACTAATTGATGTAACATTCCCATCTTGTTTAAATTGAAATAATTCCTTGTCTTTCTTAATATTATACATATAAATCACTCCATTAGCTAAACCAATCGCAATAACATCTAAAACCGGCGCCTGTTCAAGACATGTCACTGAAATTTTGAATGATGAAAATTCATAGATCCGTTTTCTTCATCCCTTCTTAAATATACAAAAAATACATAAAAAATAACTTCCTCACCCTGTTCTTATATTCCATATCTCAACTGTACCATCCTTTTTCCCAAAAATAAACTTATTTAAATAGGTTGCCGGATGAAGCATACATAAAACTTCTTCCCCCCTATCAAACTCGATCTTTGAATACATTTCTACTATCTTACATCCCTATTCTCTTAATAATAATCACAAAATACCTCTACTATGAACATTCCAGATTATAAGATGGTTTTTCTCCGTATATGTAACAAGATACCCCCCCAAAACACTCATCAACACTACCCTCTCCTCTTCCTCTTGTTTTATACTCCATTCCTCATAAAAATATCAATAAATCATACATAATCACTGTATAAAAATACAATCTTCCCTTTACAATATGCATATATCTTTTCTCCTGCTCCTGCAAGTATAAAATCCCCCCATGAACATACACAGGTTATTCTACCCTTAGTACTAGGCGTTATAAACAATAGATTAAGCTTGTTACACTAAATCATTTGTCTTTTTTCCTTGAAAAAACCCTTTTTCTTACATCATATGTTTGTATACTCTCTCCAACACTTAATGAAACTAAAAAACTCCTTCCACGCTTCATAATATCAAATGGAACCTTATCTGAAACGTATCCAATCCTTCTATATGGTCTAAATAGATAGGATCCCTCTCCTTCTTTCTCCACTTCTTTATTTCCTCTTTTCTCCCTCATTTTTACGCGTTTTAACGCGTTTTTTTTGCTAAACCCTTCCAATTCTCCATTATATTTCATTTCCCTTAATAAATGCTTGTTAATTCCTCTTCTAACCCTTCAAAAGACTCACCTTTCCTTTTTTCCTAGGCCCCGGATCTGCCCGTGAAATTTGCTCCTAGGCCCCACTGTAACCCAATCAACCCTATTCTATAGCTTTTCTAACCTATCTAGGTCCTGTTCATGTCCCTGTCTACTGATTTCGTCTGTTCCCTGCAGCCTGAGACAGCTGCATTGTCCCCACCACCATCACCACCCTCATCACCAAGCGTCAAGGCCAAGCCAAAATGGATTATTGGAGTCTGTGCAATGGACCAGAAGGCAAGATCTAAGCCATGCCAGAATATATTGAACCGTTTGATCCAGCATGGAGAGTTTGAAACGGTTATTTTTGGAGATAAGGTGATCTTGGATGAAGGTAATAGATGAGCGGCATGAAGCAGTATTTTAAGGGAAAATGCATTAGAAATAGAGAATTGGCCATGGTGTGATTTTCTTATATCGTTTTTTTCGTATGGATTTCCACTGGATAAAGCTATTAGTTATGTAAGATTGCGTAGGCCATTTTGTGTAAATGACCTGCCAATGCAGAAGATTCTATGGGATAGAAGGGTAGTTATGTCTATTCTTGATGCTATTAATGTATCTACGCCGTATCGGGTAGAATGTTCAAGAGATGGGGGACCAAAGATTGAAGAAGGGTTAGCAGAGAAGCTTTTTGTAAAATTTGGGATTAGAAGCAATGTTAGAAGGGGAATTAGTAGTCTTAAATGTATTGATGAGGATACGATTGATATTGATGGGAAAATTATGAAAAAACCATTTGTTGAAAAGCCAGTAGATGGGGAAAATCATAATATACATATATATTATCCAAAAAGCAAGGGAGGAGGAGGAAGGAGATTGTTTAGGAAGGCAAGAAGAAGGGGTTTTTTATGTATATTTTATTAAAAAAATTAGATTGGTAACAAGTCATCAGAATTTGATCCAGAGTTATCAATGCCTCGTACAGATGGATCATATATATATGAACAGTTTATGGATGTGGACAATGCAGAGGATGTTAAGGTATATACGGTTGGACCGCATTATTTCCATGCAGAGACACGAAAGAGTCCAGTAGTTGATGGATTAGTTAGACGAAATACATATGGAAAAGAAATTAGATTTGTGACGAAATTATCAGAGAAAGAATGTGAAATGGCTAAGAAAATATGCCAGGCATTTTCTCAAATGATATGTGGTTTTGATTGTTTGAGGGTAAATGGGAAATCATATGTTATTGATGTAAATGGATGGTCATTTGTTAAGGATAACAATGAATACTATGATAATACGTCACGTATTTTGAGACAAACATTTATAGATGCAGCTCGTAAGAAGAAGCCAAGAATTCCATCAATTGGCCATACAATTTCATCATTATCATTGGAGCAAAATTCATGGAGGATCAAAGGCATGTTTTCAGTGTTACGTCATGCAGATCGTACACCAAAGCAGAAGTTTAAGTTTTCTTTTAAGAGTAGACCGTTTGTAGAGCTTCTACAAGGTCATACTGATGAAGTAATCTTAAGAAATGAGGAACTTAAGATGGTAGTGTCTGCTACAGAAAAAGCAAAGCAAGAGAATTGTGAAGACATGGAGAAATTGAATCAATTGCATAATGCATTGTTAAAGAAGATAGAATTTCCTGGAACTAAGGTCCAGATCAAGCCCAATTACTCTATGGAGACAGGAAAACTTGAAAAAATTCAAGTTATTTTAAAATGGGGTGGTGAAGTATGTTTTTTTTGGATGAATGTATCATATGAAGAGGTTAATTGTTCTAGTTTACCCATTCTGCTCGTTATCAGTCCAAGGATTTGGGGGAAAATATAAGAAAAGATGTTATACTAATGAATTCTGATTGTCTTGACGATGTAAAGGTTTTTACAAGCTCAGAGAGAAGAGTTAGTGCTAGTGGTATGTTCACTTGTAAATTTGAGTATTTTGGTACTTAATTTTTTAGCTGAAATATTTGCAATGGCTTTTCTTGATAAAGAGGAACTTCCACCTGGTTTTCTTGAAGTTAGAAAAGATCTTTTAGATGATACAAATGCTGCTAAGGATAATATGGATAGAGTATTTGTTTTTTTTGTATATTTTGGTAATATTTAATTTGTTTTAGGTTAAAAAGAAACTAAAAACATTATTAAGAGATGATTTGCCTGCACGACCACAGTTTACATGGCCTAAGGATGTTCCAGAACCCAATGAGGTTATGCGAGAGGTTGTTGAGCTTATGAAATTTCATAGAACAGTGATGCAACATAATTTTTCAGTGTTTTCTGATAAATTGGATACATTTCAGACAAGATGGTGCTGTAATGAGAATCCCTTTTTGTTCAGGGAACGTTGGGAGAAGTTATTTTGTGAATTTTGTGATTCTGAGAAGGTTTGAATAGTATAATATTATTATAGTTTTAAATATTTAAAGGCTGATCCCTCAAAAATATCAGAATTATATGATACAATGAAATATGATGCATTGCACAACAGGCCATTCTTAGATGCAATATTTCTACCAAAAGATTATCATGATTTTAACAAGACAGAGAAAGTATTGTCTGGTGATAGGGAAAATGGAACACCTAGAGAAATAGGTGGCCCTAAAATGCTTCCAGGACTTGAGAAACTTAGAAAATTATATCGTTTAGCTAAAATTTTATTTGAGTATATAACTTTTTTTGTTTTTTTTAATTAGCTGATTGATATAGCTTTCTGAGTCCACAAGAATATGGAATTGAGAATGAAGAAAAGCTAGATATTGGACTTTTAACTAGTATGCCATTATTAAAGAAGCTTATTAAGGATATTAATGAAACTAAATCATCAACAAGTGCTAGAGTATTATATTGTTTTTAATAATTTTAATTAAAGGGAATAGTGTTATTTCTATTTTACAAAAGAATCACATATTTATACTCTTCTCAATTGTATATTTGAAAGTGGGATTCCAACTAAGATTTCAAGAAATGAAATTCCTGAATTAGTAGGATTTTATGTATTATATATTATTTATTAATTTGATCTAGGATTATCTTACACAAATAAACTTTGAATTGTTTGAGCGTACTACAAATTCAAACATTGGAACAAAAGAACACTCTGTTAGAATTACATTATCTCCTGGTTGTCATTCTCAAGATCCTCTATATATGCAATTGGACGCAAAACATTGTATTAGTGTTGCGCCAAGGAAATCTTTGACAAAACACTTGGATTTACAAGAAATTTGTGGGAAAATTGAGGAAAAGTTTCAGAGAGTTGATCTTTCAAAAAGATTTACACCTCATATTTCAAAATAGAAGGGTATGTTTTAACAAATTATAATTTTTATATTAAATATGAAAATAAATTAATTTTAATAAATCTTTTTTGATATTTATGGGAATTTCAAATATATTCTCTTATTTTATTTATAGATCTATCTATGCTGGTTTAATATTTAATAAAAATCTCAAAAATATCTTTATTATCTACAATTTTTGAGATTTTTATACTTAAAATATTTATAAATATTATTATTTGCAAAAGTTTTAGAATTTATGGAATTTTATTAACTATTTGGATTATTTACATGTTTTTATATCTATTTTAGCTATTTTTGATTTTAATATGTATACTATTCTTATATTTTTTTGAATCATATACCATATTGTATTATTTTTTAAAATAATTCTTAGAATAAATCATTATTAAATCTAATATTTTCTAAGATAAACTAGTTATTTAATTAATATTTTTTTAGACATTTATTTATATTTTTAAAATGTTTTAAGTATTTATAAATATTTATTTTTATGTTAGTTATTTTTAAGAATTCCAATTGTATTATTAAATTAAATTAATCATTACTGATAGTTTATAACCTTTTGAATTGATTGTTTTAAATACTTTTATTTTATTTTTTTATTTATATCTCATTACTTGTCAAGAAAATATAATTATTTTATGAAATTATTATTATAAAACTAATTGTATGAAATTATATAATTTGTTAGTATTATTACTCTAAAATACAGAATTTTTGTTTTTTATCTAACATATTTTTAAATAAAAATAATATTTTTAAGCTTTATTTTATAGTTAATTCTAAAAATTTTGATATTTTAACAAAATAAAAAGAAAATCAAGATTATATCAATCAATAATATATAAATTTATTATTACAAATAGTATAATACTATATACGGATCCCTAGATCATTTTAAAATTTAAAAGCAAATTAAAAATACATTATTTAAAGATAATTATATATCAATTTTTACAAAAAACAAAATATTATAGATTTTTATAATATTTATAAATATTAAATAAATTAATAGGTTTATAAAGCCCTTCCAAATAAATGGCTAATACTTTCTCCATTATGTACTCTTCTATAAAAATATTTAATAATTTTTTATATAGTATAAAAGCTTTTTTATACCTAATAGCCTCTCCAAAAACTTTACTAATATCAATTATAACTAACTTTGAAGATGATTGTCTTTTTTCTTTACTAACAGGATAAGTATTCGTTATAACAATCTATTTTTTTTATTAGATCATAAATATAGATATAAGGAAAACAACCTTATCAATACATTTACATTCTTCCATTTTTTCTAAACAGTCATTTTGCAGAATTCCATGAGTAGCAAATACAAAAACCCTTTTAGCGCCACAATTTTTGATTAAATGTTCAGCTGCTGCTACAAAACTTCCAGGTGTCTCTATTATATCATCGAGAATTAATGCAATCTTATTTTCAACATCTCCTACTAATGTAATCATTTTTTCTTCGTTTAAATTTACACTTTCATTATCGTTAAATGAAATAGCAGTAGACGTATCACCAATAACCGATGCTGCATTTGAATAAAAGGTAAATGGAGGCAAAAACATGCCATCTGAACCATGTGTAGCATCCATAGAATTTTCACAATATGGTGATACAGAAGATGGATAATCATCGTCTACAACATGTCCAGATATTAATCTTGCTGTACGTATGTTTGAACATATAGTTCGATTAGATTGAGTTTTCTTTTGAGGTAAAATATCATTAGGCGTACTTGACCCTGAAAGAATAGGCGTTTGATCATCATAACTATTTTCTTGAGAATTATATATATAATTGTTATCATCAATGCTTTCCGTATTAGACGTAACTGGTGAATATGAATTTGTACTTAAACGTGAACATGGTTCTTTAAATGTTTTTCTTCTTCTATCTGTATGAATAAGTGCAAAATTAATGTTCAAAATATCTGCTAAACTCGTAACCCTAAATTTTTCAGTTAATACATATAAAATATATTATTAATATTATTAATATTAATAATATTAATATTACACCTTTTAGCTCCTCCCGGATTCTTGCTTACGACTACTGCATTCTTCCATTCACTTATATTTTCCATAATCCATTTCGCGATACTCGGTTCTGCAAATAAATTATCAACTGGTTTTGTAAAAAAACCCTGGATTTGTGACGCCTAAAAATAATGAAGTTTTCACTACTTAGAAAAAAAAATTACATGGAGATCCATTGTAATAATATGATCAACCCCCGCAACAGTCAAAAGATTAGCCACCACTTATTATATTCAGATAATACGCATATATATATATTTATTTACATACTTTTCGCTGTAATTGCTCCACGATGTCTTCTCATTTTACTCTGCTTAGAATATGGAAAATATGGCATAACTGCTATATATATATATATAAGCATCGAGAAAATACCTTATCTCCTCCGTTTTACCTGTAATTTTCGACGCTGATGCTCCTTTACACGCTGATATCATAATCAAAAGCTCCATAAGATGGTCATTAATCCTAATCCCTTATTATTATCTCCTTTTCTTCTCCTTATATATATCTCACGTATTACTCCCTGATTGAATAATAAAAACATCTTCCATACGCACTGAACATGCTATAAATAGACGCATATATTAATAAAAATACCTTATTAACCTCTTTCTTACCAATTTCTACCCTTGTTTCCTGGTTAGAAAATTTTTTAAGGCTAACTGGCGCCGGGGAAATCGCCAAATGATGCGTAATAGCTTCTACCAATTCTGGATGGGATGATCCACCAAATATCTTCGTTCGTCTCATCAATAATGCTTTATTAAGCTCCTTTTTATACTATTTAACCCTTATATTTGCTTGGGTTTTTTGGTTCCCTCCATTTTTATATACGCTTGGATCGAGAAAACCCTCGCAAATGGCTTGCCCTCCCCCTCTATAAATTCTATACAAAACGCATACATTACGCATATATAACGCATATAATACGCATACAGCCCGCATATAACCCGTATACATATAGTATACACGGTAATATATACCGTGTATATACTAACTATTCCATATAATAGCTAATATATACACCAAACGCATACCATTCACTATTTATCCCTATTTCTATTTCCTTCTAGAACAATCTATGCGTTCTTTTTTGCATATATAAACCCCTTATCCCCGGATTTTTGGCTTTCGAACGCATATATTCGATCTACCACCGTACCGTTTCTTTCGCTCATTATTTATATGAGGAAAGAGCGTCTAAAGACGCATACAGTGGGGAAAATAGGTATAAATAGAGAGGTTAACAGGATATTTCTAATGATTTTAATAGAGAAAATGCAGGGAATGAATATAAATAAGAGGGATTAAAAAGGTTAGTTTTTTTTATAGGAAAATTTGATATAAATAACGAAAACGTTAGTCGAATATTAAGCGGCATTAGAAATAAGTGATAAAAATAGGGATTAATGCGCAATAATTTGGATAAGAAAGGCGTAATAATCGATGCTTTATTATTCGAAAAGATCGGTTTGCTTGGGAGAGGTATTTCGGTATACAATTGTGGTGGAACCATCATTTAAAGGAGGAGAAAAGACGGGATATAAGAAATTATGGCTTAGAATAAAGAATACGACATCAGTAGGTAGCATATAATGGTGGGGAATGCTGAAGGGGATAGCATATATTCCGAGCGGGATATTTTAAAGGGCCGTATACGCTTTATGTATCAGTACGAAGGGAGGATTATTCGGTAGGAAAGCCATCATTAGATTTTGTGCCGAAATACTGTCCAAATTTGAATACGGGATGTTCGTTTTGGGTAGAACTTCCTCTTGTTTCAGAGGAATCAGAAACGGGAACGATTTTTGAAAAAAAAGGATGGATTGTGGATATTATTAGTCAGATTGTGTTTACAAAGTCGGCAAAGGTTTATTTTGAATTATCATTATCATTTTCTAAGCAAAAAATATATTGGGAAAATTATTTTGGGGTTGTAGAGGATAAAAATGCATGGATCAAAGTATTGGAACAGAATACTAAGGAATTATGGTTGATCGATAGGAGTTTAAGGGAAAAGGGTGTAAATGGAGATGAATCCTTGAAGGAAGAGGTTCATTTTGTTGTTTTAACGCATGGTCTTCATTCAAATGTTAGTGCGGATTTGCTTTATCTTAAGGAACGTATTGAGATGGAAGGACGTTTGAAAGGAGAGAAATTAGTGGTTTCCGGGTATAATGGGAATGTTTGTTTAACGGATAAAGGGATTGAATATCTTGGAAAACGTCTTGCGAAATGGGTATTGAAGGAAGTGGGATGGTTTAAAAATGAAAAACCTTATTATCAAAAAATTTCATTTATTGGACATAGTCTTGGAGGGTTAATCCAACTTTATGCGATAGGATGGATATGGATACGAACGGAAGGAAAATTTTATGATGCATCAAGTCATGGACTGATTCCGGTGAATTTTATCACTCTTGCTACACCATGGCTTGGATTATTCGCGGAAAACCCGAAATACATAACGAAAGCATTAGAATTCGGGATTGTCGGAAGAACAGGGAAGGAATTAGGATTTACAATGAAATATGATAAAGGAGCATGTTCGAAACATATTGGTGAAACGGATAATCATTTACCTCTTTTGAGAACGTTATCACTTGAAAAAAGTCCGTTTAGAAAGGCATTGAAGCTTTTTAAAAGAAGAACGTTATATTCAAATATAATTAATGATGGGATTGTTCCATTAAGAACAAGTTCTTTATTTTTTCTTGATTGGAAAAACATTGATTGTTTTGAAAAGAAAAAAAAAGATTATAATTCATATCGAAAGAATTCGGTATATTCGATTCAAATGGAAAGTCATGAGCAAAAAAATAATGATGAATCTATAAACACGAGTAATTCATCCCAAATCGAACCTACAATATCGTCTAACGTATCAATGCAAACAAACGCTACTAGCTTTTCCCTTACAATGCCACACATAGAAGAATCTTGTTGTTATTCAGATATTAATAAATCCAACAGTAGTAAAGTTGATACTACACTCCTAGATACATCTAAAAACACGGAATTCCTAAATGAAGTCGAATCCATAATAAATCCTCAATCTAGTACAAAGGAATTTTTTATCTTTAAGCCTGGTCGTACTTCTCCTTCAAAAACATATTCTCAATCGCCTTATTTAAATACTATGTATTCGTATGATTCAATATCTCATGATTATGATTCTTTAACCTTAACCAAAAATAATACGATTTTGGATGCTCCAGAAACAGATCAAACCATCAATACATCATCATCATCTTCTTCATCTTCATCTTTTATTTCTTCATTTAAGAATTACTTCAAACACAAATATGGTAGGGATGATTCCAAGGTAAAACGAGATAAACGAAATAAAACCATTAGCAATCCTAAGGACAATGATACATGTTCTTATCAAAAACTAGATTTTATACCTAAAATGAGTTTTTTTCGAAGTGCAAGCAAAGTTTTAAGACCACCTTTACCAAAAAAAGACTATTTCATTAACCCTTGTCGAACGAAAACTATAGTTCACGATCAATACTATTATCCCGATGATATATTAAAAAAGTTTTCTAAATTTTATTCTAAATTAAGTATTATCTCTGAAAACGGGAAAGATAGTATAAAAAGGAATAAGGTTTTTAGGGAAAAGTTAAAACTTCAGGAAAAAATTGCTAAAGAATGGCATTCTGATATGGTTTGGAGAAAAGTTCTGGTATATCTGGAACCCGATGCACATAATAATATAGTTTGTAGAAGAATGTAATAACCTTTTTACATTTATTATTGGGCTTATAGAATATAGGTTTGTCAATGCATATGGTTGGCCAGTTATAGAACATTTAGCATCAAATCATTTTGGAAAGATTTCTAAAGATGAATCTAACAATAAATCAGAGTTAGAAAAAGAAACATATAACAATAATAATTTAATTGATCATACGAGAATTAGTGACGATATTTTTATACATAATAATGAAGTATGATTTAATTATGAAATAAATTTAGAAGAATTTAAAGTGAATTTATTTTTAATAGATCTTTACTATTTTTTTGTAGAATAATAAATAAATGTTTGTAATACTAATATATAAAAATGTTTAAAGTACAATAAGCTTATTATGTATAGAATTTATGAAAGTCTATAACTAGAAAATAATTATATATTAATAAAATTCTATGATATACCAAATGATTTCCAAAATTTTATAGAGTTAAAAAACCAAAATATTTGTTTAAATATTTATAGATTAGTTATTAAAAGAGCAACAGGTTTTTCCTCATTTTCACCCAGGATTATTATTTCATGATCACCAATCTGACATAATCCTAATGCTTCCATTTGTATTTTTATGACACTTTGATAACTATTAACTTGATTATTGACAACATTCCAATATAAATATAGATTTTGACTATTACAAAGACCTTTTCTATAGGCACCAGATTCAACAATAATTGCAAATTTGCCAGTATAGCTATATTTTAAATATTTTTTTGATATTTTAGATGAAGATATATATGATAATGCAGGAAATGTATAAGAATGTACCAAATCCATCAATGAAGTCTCATTGGAGCTTTTGATATTATAAATTAATGCATCAACATCATATTTTACTGCTATACAGGAATTTTTGTTTTTTTCATTTGTAAATTGACTTCCAATAATGGTTAATCCGTTGATCTCAGCAATACAGACATCTTCTTTAAATTGTTGCAGAAAGTAAGTTTCCGAATCTTCATAATCTATGATGTAATCATCGCTTAATTTGGTTTTTGATATTGGTTGAGACTTTAAAGATAAAAGATTTTTTAATACTATTGTTCTATCGGATAAATTCTCTAATTCTAATGCATTGTCTTTATTTTTAAAAACATGAGGCCATTTAAGTCCAGCATTTTCTTTTTTCATGCAAATTTCAAGAATTTGTTCAGGAAAAAGAGGAGTTTTTGAAAGTGTCCATGTCGATTCTGAAGGAATAATTGTATAATAAAATTTAGAATTTAGTATATACTTAAGCCCATTATTCTCACTAAAGCCTTCCAATTGATCAAGAGAGAATTTAATCGAAATATCTTGTTTAACAGTTGTTGGAGATATTGTTAAAAATAAACGAATATCTTCAGAAGTTTGAATCCAAGTATAATGTGATTCCCCATTATATTCTGTCAAAGTTTCACATTCCTTTTGAAGGTTATTTTGAATTCTATCCTGAACACCTAGAATGATAGTTTGATCAATCAGTGTTTCCCCTAAAAACTGAGAATAAATAGGTATTTCCTTAGAAAAATAGACATTTAAAACAGATAATTCCCATGATGTAGACACCTTTTCGCACATAATATTTTTTATTAAGTATCTCTTTGATTTTGCATCTGTTTTTTCCTTTTTTCCATTTAAATGAGCAATCAAAACTTGTATCTTTATATTTGAATGGAAAATGGCATCTAAAATGATAAAAGGATGAAATTCAAGATCTTCTGTTGAAAAAACTGCCATATCCACCTGTGCAGGATCGCTTGATGAATCAATAAAATAGAATTTCCCTGCACCATCTGTAGCCAATATTAATGTTTCTGTTAATGATTTTAAATCTGGAAAATATGGATAAATATCATCATAACTTTCTCCTCTACATTCAATTTTTGGCATATCAATACTTGTAATAATTCTTTCCTTTAAAACTATATCATTCTAATTATTATTAATTATTATTAATTATTAATTATATATATATATATATATATATCATTTATACCTCTTTTTTTTCCATAAAAAGCTCTACAAATACACCATCCTCTGAAATATATAGTGCAGAACATGGTTTAACACTTGGTCTTAAATGATTTCTTGCTAAACGTGCTTTCCATTCATAATACCCAATTTTTGCATAAGATGGTATCTGTAATTTTGCAAGTTTATGAGATATATTTAAGCGATAAAAAGATAATATTTCCTCATCATTTCTTAGTTTATAAGATTCAAATTTAGGATGTAAAAGTGTAGTATTTCGTGAGAGTTTAAGTGTTGTACGACTTGTATTAACCTGATTGTTCATTTATTATAGCTGTTAAGATAATCGTAGAGTTAAAAATCGATATAATATTTAAAAAAATGATTTAACCATTTAAATAGCCAAGATGATTGTTATAAAGATCAATAAATCCGTTGTGAGAACCTCATTATGTGTTTTATGAAATATTTTTTTTTTTTGATTAAAATATGTATATAAATTGTAGTTATAGAATAGATTTATCTCTTATATGTGTAATCATATATCGTTAATATAAGGTGGACCATTTTCATTGTATTCGCCTCTTCCCATATAATTTTTTGAACTTGGATCATTAAAAGATAATTTAGCAACAATTTCTCCACCAAGAAAACATGCTTCTTCTAAGACTGCATTGGGATTTCTGTCTGGTTTCCATTCAGGAAAGAAATCAGGTATCTTTGCAAGTCGAATTGTTGATGGAAAAATAATTGGTGGATTATGATAGACCAAATAACTTGAATTAGGATTTAATGTTGATGATGTATTGGGAGTTGTATATGTTGGTATAGGTAGATTATGATGTTTCTGAGAAGAATTTTCAATAACAGAAACAAATTTCTGAGTTAAATCTGAAAAAATACGTTCTTTAAATCCTGTTAATTATTAATTTTAATATTTTTAATCAATATTATATGCTTAACCTGTAATTCTTGACCCTTCACCAACAATAGCAATGTTTTCCCAAAGTTCAGCACGCCTATTTGATTCAATACTAGGATTATTTATTGCTATATAGACAGCATTAAGAATATCAAGTCTTCCATCTTTAACATCATTAAAAAAGAAATCACACAATTTGAATCTTTCTTTTCCAACTAATATAACTTGATTATTATCCATTGTAAATTGATTATAATTCATTTCTTTGTTGTCTAATACAATATTTTCAGCCTTTTGACCTTTTTTACTTTGATTTTTTTCTGCTTCTTTTTGAGCTAAATATTCTCTTGTTTTACCACTTGCAACAATTGATGCTACATCTTCTACACCATCCATACTACTATCTGGAAGCTGTAAATTATCGTTTTCTCTATTTAATAGCTTTTGAAAAGAATCTTGAACATTTTCTACAATAACTTCAACAATATTTGAATACTTTATCTTTTCAGAAAGCTCAAGTGTAATCTCTTCTGGAAGAAGAGGCATATTAGTTTCTTTCAAAATAGGAGGAGATGATAAAAGCAAAGAATAAAGATACTCTGTTATATCTTTTCCACCAATAGGAATTGTTACTCTTGCCGGAGCAATTGCTTGTGCATCCAATATTGGAGTAATGTCTTAAATATGTTATATTTTCCTAAAAAATATGTATAAAACAAATACCTGTTTTTTCATGACCAATATGTATAACAAGACCTGAAAGATGTCCCATTGCATACAACGGAAGAACACTAGAATTACCAATTGCAAATCCTGCAACAAGATGCTCTTCAAAAAAAATACGTGTTGCAAGTTCTTTATCTCTAAAATTCCATTGAGGTGGTACAATTAAATAAACTGGATTTACAAATGTTCTCGGCTGAGGAGGATACGGTCTATTCAATAGTTTATAAAGAATATAACTCCTTCAAAAACATAAGCCAAACGTGTAAAAAAGGTTCTTCTAACCAAATTGCTTCTAATGCTTTCCAATTCTTCACGATCCCCCGCTTAATAGGCCAAATTATCTCAATATTTCGGTCAGAAATCAATGCCTCACAAAGTTCTGCTCCAACAAGATACTTTTCCTCTGTATTTTCCCCCGTAACCCCATTATTCTGTCCTCTACGAATACCCACCCGTGTTAAAATCTTCACTGTTGGCGGCGTTAATGACTCAGAAAGACCAAGAATTGCACGCGTTCTATAAGATCCAATATGAATAACCTATTTTTATTAGAAAATAGCTCTTAATCCGTATAATTCATCAACTATAATATTTTCATCTCGAAAAGTTGTTAATGGCATGTTTTAAACGCCTTTTTAAAAAAAAAAAAAAGGTACCCCCAATATAAATAGCGATTTTAAAGGTAAAATAAGTATTTTCTTCGTATAATTCCGTTTATTTAGCCTTATTTCTTGAGATAAAGTTTGTCTGATATTTTTTGTCGTTGAGATCAGCCGTCGCCATGACGATTGTTGTCATGGCGACTAACTGATCTCTCATAAGAAAGATAGCTTTTCTTGAAAAAAACACTAAAAAATAAAGCATTCTGTGCTTTAATATATCAGGATTTACTCATTTTATTATGTATTTTATTATTTTAAAATAAATTACTCATTTTGATTATGCTCGCTATATCCATATAGAACACTGAAATATTATTGATATACATAAAAATGTTTTGTATTGCCCTTAATTAGCTCGTTTTTCATTCATACATTTAAACGCATCTCCTTCTTGATAATCTTCTCTTATTCCAAATGCCTTTCTAAGTTTCTCTAACTCCCTGGCTTTTGCTGTTGCTAGTTCATGGACTTGATATGACTTTAAATTTTTTACATCATCATGACTAATAATCTCTTCGGTCTTTTCATTTAAAAGTTTTTCTCTATATTCATTCACTTTTTTCTCAATTTCCTCTTCATCTAGCTCTCTATTTTCCTCAAGACTATCTCTATAGCTAAGCACTTTTATTTCAAGCTTTCTTTTCCTATCATGTTCAAGAATTTCCTTGTCTGCCTTCCTGACAGTCGATTTCTTTGATGGATATGGGTTTATTGCTTCTCTTGGATGTCTAATATGGGATCTAAAATCCTTCTTAATTTCCATGCCTTTTAAAGGGAAAAATATACAGATTTCTTACAATATAACCATTTGTACCAGAGCCACGGGGCGTTGGAAGACCTATTCTATGAGTTTTATCAATTTCCTATAGAAATAAACAACATCTTATAGAAATATACCCGTTATAACTCATTTTTTTAAGACTGAATGGTATTTAAGCTTTCAAATGGGTCCTAAATAGCTTCTAATATATGGCTTAGAACGTGTTAATGACTGTTTAGGCGTAGTCTTTAAATCCTCATAGTAATTAGGAAATAAGAGGGTTTTGGATCTACTCGATATCTTTATATATAAGAAAATACTCAAAATATATAGTAAAACAGTGCAATAAACGCAGGATATTAAGAGACAGATGTGTTCTATATAGATATTTCTTTAAAAGCTCTTTTTTCCGGGAAAAAAAGACCAAAAATATGAGTGATCAAGATCAAAAGAATATAAAAAGTAAAAAACCAATGTTTTCTATAAAGACTCAGACAAATCCAGATATAACTAGTAAGAACAAGAAATATAGAAGGGAAAAACCCTGGGATTCGGAGGAAATTGACCATGTAGGCCGTCCTATTATGAAAAAATACATATTTAAAGAGTCTATTATAGTGGAAAATTGAGTCATTTGTTGCAGATAAAGATGCACCATCTTTTACAGATGAATCTTCATTTGCTACGCTTTTTCCTAAGTACCGGGAGAAATATCTGCAGGAAATTTGGCCTCATGTTACACAAAGTTTAAATAAATATGGAATATCATGTGTTCTTGACATGATTGTGGGGAGTATGACGGTAAAAACGACAAGAAATACAAGAGATCCATATGCAATTCTTAAGGCTAGAGATCTTATAAAGCTTCTTGCTCGTAGTGTTCCTTTTCCTCAAGTTTTTTTACAATATATATATATATATATATATTGATTGATCTAGGCAATTAAAATTATGGAAGATGCTATGGCATGTGATATTATAAAGATTGGAGGGTTTTTAAGGAACAAGGAAAGGTTTGTAAAGCGAAGACAGCGTATTTTAGGACCAAATGGATCTACTTTAAAGGTAAATATGATAAAATTAGATCCATTGCTTAATATTTAGGCATTGGAATTATTAACACAATGTTACATAATGGTTCAAGGAAGTACAGTTAGTGTTATGGGAGGTTATAAGGGTTTAAAGCAAGTACGAAGAATTGTTGAAGATTGTATGAAGAATATTCATCCTATTTATCATATTAAGGTATATATATCTAATTTTTTAGGGATTTATATATTTTTTATATAGGAATTGATGATTAAAAGAGAACTTGAGAAAGATCCTCTTCTTAAAAATGAATCTTGGGATAGATTTTTACCACATTTTAAGAAACGTAATGTTTCAAGAAGAAAACCAAAGTTTATTAAGGAAAATGAATATACACCTTTTCCTCCTCCACAAAATCCAAGGAAAATTGATCTTCAAATAGAAAGTGGAGAGGTATTTAGGATTTTTTTTTAATATTTAATTAAACTATCAATAGTATTTTATGTCTAAATATGCAAAAGAAAGAAAAAAGCTTGAGGAAAGGAAAGAAAAACATAAAAAGGCTTCAGAAAAAAGAAAAAAGCAAAGGGAAAGTGCATTTAAACCTCCTGAAGAACCTATTTACAAAAAATCAAAGACAACTATTCACTAATTCTATCCTAACCCTGTCCTAACCCTTCACAGATTTTTCGATTATTTTTATAAATTTATGTTATTTTTTTATATTTCATATTATATAGTGTTATACATTATTATAAAATACTTCTTGGTTTTAAATAGGTGAGAGGGGAGCTGTTTTAACAGAGGGGTTTAAACTTTAATATTCTATTGGATTTTTGACTATTATTTGTAAGTGAATTTATTTAACTTAAAATAATTTTATATTAAAGTCTATATATACATCTATATTGATGTTATTTTGATATATTTTTGGCTTTTAATTATTTTCTTTTAAGTTGTTTTTTTTTAATTTTTTATAGGACTATTTTATATATTATTTAAATCTATCTTTATAAGGTTATAACTATTATTGTTATTGGGATATTTTTGAGCTTTAAGACAGTATTTTATGAGATTTATCAATTTTATAACTATTTTTAATTTAATTTTTATATATTGGAAAAATTGTAAAGGAACGGTTTTATCAGTGTATCAAAAACATCTTAAAACAGACCAGGTATGCCATGATTTTCTTGAAAATAGCAATTTTGGGGGTATATTTTTTAATTTTTTTAAAAAATTGCTTTTGAAGGGTTAAAATAGAGTCACTCGTTGAATGTGTAAGGAAAATTGCAAAAGAATCGCATTGTGGAGGACCCTATGATGTGCGATGTCTTTGTAACTCGGATTATTTTGTTTTTTCTACACTTTTTGTTAAAACATATGCATCATGTTTTCGTTTGCTAGATTCTAGTGAACATTTATCTTTTTCACAATTTTTTGAAGGACTTTGTAATAATCCACCGGTTCCTGACAGTTTATGTGTTAGCTTAAATAAGCCACCACCACCTATTTTATGTTCAGATCCATATAAACATATTAAATTTGGAGGTAAGGAAGTTTTTCATATGAAACATTGATAAATATTTTAGACGAGCTTTTGGCATGTATGAAAAGATCGGCAAATCGATCACTATGTCAGAATTTGAATGATGCAAATTGTTTGTGTGATTCACGTTCTCATTGGATCAATGTTAATGAATGTCTTCGTACTGAAGATTTAAGTAAACTTGCTATCGTTCAAGACTTTCGAAAGTCATTATGTAATTCACCACTTGAGCTTCCTGGATGTTCAGGTGTTCCAGATGTTTTACCGGACTGTCCAGATGTTTTTGAAGCTTCTGATCTTGATAGTATATTATCCACTAGTGATAAATTATGATTAATTTATTGTAGATGACCTTAAAAAATGCCTTACAACTATAGCAAAAGGAACACGTTGTGGAAATATGGATATAGTTTGTTTATGTGATTCAAAGAAGTTTATTGATTCTACTACAAAACAAGAAAATTATGATATTTGTTACACTAAACTGTCTTCCAATGTTCGTCATAGTTATTTAAAATATAAAGAGGAGCTTTGTAGTAGTGTTAAGCAGGCTAATATGTGCACTTTAAAAAGGCCCTCTTATCAAGAAGTTATTTGTTTTGACCCATACAAACATACAGGTTTTGGAGGTATTTGTTTAAATATTTATTTCTTTTTCTTGTTAATTATATCTAGATAGTCTTAAAGCATGTTTGACAGCTGCTGCAAAAAATTCATTATGTAAACAGCCTTATGATTCATTATGTCTTTGTGACTCATTGTCATATTTGAATGCTGTTAGAAAGTGTGTCATGGAACTTGATGATAAAGAACGTAGTAAAGTTACAGCTTTTCATGAAACTATGTGTAAAAACCCCACCTCACTATCTGGTTGTAGTAAAAAAACAGACTTATTATCTCTCTGTAAGGATGTTTTTGAGGAAAGCAGCTTTAGTTGTATGTTTTTTTTTAATTTTTGTTTTGCTGTTATTTAACTGGAATAGCTGAATTCAAAGAGTGTTTAAAAGAAATTGCTAAAAAGTCTCGTTGTGCCGGGAGTTATGATCCAGTATGTCTTTGCAATTCTAATTATTTCATGGAATCTACTCTATTGATTGATACATATGAAAGATGTTTTCGTCTATTCACTGTTGAAGAACATCTTTCTTTTACGAATTTTTATAATAATATGTGTAAGAATCCTCAGCCACCTCCTACACCATGTATTCAACTTCAAGTATTATCGGAAAAACCAGTTTTATGCTCAGATGTATATAAAAATGTACAATTTGGAGGTAAATATTTTTTTTAAAATATACAACATTTCTCTTAATATTACTCAGGAAAATTCATGGAATGTATGAGAAACGCATTAGAAAAATCAAATTGTCCAAAACCTTATAATGCATTATGTCTTTGTGACTCTAGATCTTATTTCAATGTTGTTAATAGATGTATAATTACTACTGATAATAAGGAATATAAAGTATTCAGAGATTTTACAGAAATTTTATGTAAAAATCCTACATTACTTCCTGGATGCACTATGGATACAACCTCATCAACTCAATTACAAACTACATCAACAGCTATCTCCACTCAATCATTGACAATTCTTGAAACAATAACAAGTTATACTTCGACAACTATAATTATACCTTCTCCTGGTACTCTAATATCATATTATTCTGGTTGTCAACAAATAAAACTCAATACTGTATTTTTTCTTCTTGCAATGCTTTTCATTATTATATTTATTTAAAAATCTCAATACTTATATTACATTTACTCTTTCTAATCAATAGGTATTACTTATTCTTAAAAAAAAAAAGAAAAACTATTTTATATGGGGCTATTTAAGAATTCTCTAATCTGTCAAATAACAATAGAATATCTTCATTATTAACTAAAGGCTTTTTATTTAGGATTATTTTTTATCTTATTGATAAATTCTAAGATCAAAAGGTATTTATAATAAATAAATAAATATACAAAGAATTACATATTATCATATCATATAGTTATTCCTAAGTCTGAATATCTTATTATTTGGTATTTTCTTTTATTTTTTCTTCTTTTCACTATAATATATTTTTAATCTGGTGCTTCTGATTGGTTGAAAAATAAAAATTAGGGTTACCATCCAATTTAACATAAAAAAAGTATAAATAGGCGAGCAACTCACTTTTTTTCTTAGAAAGACAAATGAAATCGATATTAAGGCAGGGGATGCATATTTGGTGAGTATTTATTGACAATTGTGAATTTTCTTAATAATTTATAGCGGATTTTTAAAAACAGTACCATCTAGCAAATTACAACAGTTAAGTCAAAAGATTACAGCAGGAGGAACAGAGCTTCAAGCATTAGCATATGCATGCCCGGTTATGGGGAATGTTATGAGGAGTATTGAAGCACGTTCATATGCTACGGCGAGTCGTAGTAGTGATACGGAAATGGATGTTCTTGAAAATATCCATGCAGAAGTAGGGGGTTTTGGATCAATAACAGACGAAAAACCAGGTAGGATGTTGGTTTTTTATTGTGTGAAAGATTGGTAATTATTGGTAGAAGTTTGCTCATATGAAAAAGCTATTCTTAATGTACCTCATGAACAAGTATTAACGAATCGATTTTTTGGTTATGAAGAATGGTTTTCTAATGAATTGTATAAGAAACATAAGGACAAGACGTATAGGTATTTTAACAATATTAATCGACTTGTAAATGAAGCGCCGCTTGCACATACAAAGGATTTTAATAAACGTGTTACTGTATGGTGTTCTAATGATTATTTAAATATGAGTAAAAACAAGCAAGTGATTGATTCTATATCCCAAACTCTCCATGTTTATGGAGCAGGTGCAGGTGGTACTCGAAATATTGCAGGACATAATCAGCATGTTGAGCTTCTTGAAGCATCTCTTGCACATCTTCATGGGAAGGACGCATCTCTTATTTTTAGCTCTTGTTATGTTGCAAATGATGCATGTATTTCTACCCTTGGTAGTAGAATTCCAAATTGTATCATATTTTCTGATGCATCTAATCATGCATCAATTATTCAAGGAATTCGCAATTCTCGCGCTAAAAAAGTGGTTTTTAAGCATAACGATCTCGAAGACCTTGAATCAAAGCTTATGGCTGTTCCTTTATACATACCAAAGATTATTTGTTTCGAATCCATTTATTCTATGTGCGGTTCAGTTGCTCCGATCAAGGAAATCTGTGATCTTGCTGAGAAATATGGCGCTCTTACCTTTTTAGATGAGGTTCACGCTGTTGGTATGTACGGAAAGCATGGTGCTGGTGTTGCTGAACATATTGGACAAATGTCTCGTGTCGATATTATTAGCGGAACATTAGCTAAAGCTTATGGTTGTATTGGCGGTTACATTTCTTCATCCAAAAATATTATTGATGTGGTTCGCTCTTTAGCTCCTGGATTTATTTTTACAACGGTTTTACCTCCTCATGTCATGGAAGGTGCACGTGTTTCTGTTGAATATCAAAAGCATACACAACATGATCGTATTCTTCAGCAAATTCATACTCGCCAATTAAAAAAAGCGCTTAAGGATGCTGGGTTGCCTGTACTACCTAATCCGAGTCATATAATACCTCTGATGGTAGGCGATTCTCAAACTTGTAAAGAAATATCAGATGAATTATTGTTGAAACATGATATATATATACAGCCTATAAATTACCCTACAGTTCCTATTAATATGGAGCGTTTGCGAATTACACCAACACCGGCTCATACTATAGAGTTTCAGAAGAAGCTTGTAACTGCTTTAAAACAAATTTGGGATGAACGTCTATTAAGGAAAATAGACGATTGGGACATGAAAAGCCTTGGTTCATTTACTCAGGAATTGTGGACTGACGAACAATTAAGATTTTATGATACTGAAAATAATTTAGGAAGATAATACCTTACAAAGTTAATTTATTCAGTATTTTGATAGAATGGTACTATGCATGAATATTAATTTAACATAAACCTTTATATTTAAGCATATCCATTTTCTTTTAGTATTTCCCTAAATATTTTTTTGCATTCTATCTGAGCACCAAGTTTCCTACAAAGAAGGAATTGACCGCTTAATTTTCTATGTAAGGAATATGTTTCTTGAGGAGGTGGTGTTAATCTTTGTTGAATCATTAATGGAATAGTTCTTTTTATTCTTTCTGTAATTGTTTGTTTAGAGAAGTCATAAATATCAGGTGCATTATAACAAAATGGTTCAGCTAACGTTAAAATAGAGTTAATATGTGCATTTAACATCGCCTATCCTGTATAAATTTTAAAAATATTATCTATTAAATATGATACCTGGGATTCTTCGCCTGTAAGATATCCTAATTTAACAGAAAGATCATAACATGCATCTCTATCACGTTCTGCAGCTGCTTTGAGTATTGAAATATAATTATTGATAAAGTCTATATTAAACGAGCGAGAAGCACCAAAATCAAGTAATCCAATCTATTTAATGTTAAAAATATTTCCAATGAATATATATTAAAAATTCCTTTCTAGAGTTTTCATCAAACAAAAAGTTGCTCCAATTTGGATCAGTTTGCATATATTTGAATTCAATAATTTCTTGAAGACATAATTTGAACAATGATGTTCCAAGCTAATCTAATAAATAAAAGGACATATGTATAATTATTTACCCAATTTTTTGTTTTTTGATCAACTTCATTTACTTCAGCTAAACTTTTTCCTGGTAAATATTCCATTGTTAAAACATGTTCACTAGTAATTTCTGGTATTACTTTTGGAATAATAAATGTTTCATTATTTTTAAAAAGTTCTTGAAAATGTTTCATAGAGTTTGCTTCTCTTCTATAATCACATTCTAAAATCAATTCTTTTCTAGCAGAATCAATAATTTTATCAAGAAATAAACCTTTTGGAAAAAATCCTGATGCAATAAGTAAGATTTCTAAATTGTTCAAGTCAGAATCTATTGATTCTTTAATTCCAGGATATTGGATTTTAACAACAACTGGAAGAGAAGATAATTTTAAAATTGCTGAATGTACTTGACCAATAGATGCTGCTGCTATAGGTGTTTCATTAAATTCGGAAAAAAGATTTCTCCAATCTTTAGTAAATTCTTTTGTCATAACTTCTTCCATTTGATCCATTGGCATGCAATTTGCATGATTTTGCAATTTTATCAAAATCTCATGCAATGCTGTAGGGAGCATTTCAATGTCTTTTTCTATTAATGAAATTAAAAAATAATATATAAATAACCTTGGAAACTAATTATTTGGCCAACTTTCAATGCAGCACCACGCATCTTAGATAGTTTAGCAACCAATCGATTAATATTAGATTTATTCATAATAAATGAAGTATTTTCACTCTTGTTATAAAGACGCTGAAAACCTTCTTGTAATGCACCAATTCCTAAACCAACAAATAGACTTCCAAAATGATACAATCTTTCTATTTGACCTGTAGGAATCTTAGATTCTTCCATAGATGGTAACTAGATATTTAAAAAAAAAACACATCAAACATAAAAGATATATACTTTTTTAGTATTTTCATATTCTAAAGATTCGCCATTTTCATTTCTATGCTTTATTTAGAAAATTGCTTTATTTTTAGACTAAAAATATACTTTTTTTCACTTTTTTCTGAATATTTTCTTAAAAAATGTTCATTATTTAAAGAAAAAAAAACATTTTTCATATTTCTTTCATATCTAGAATATGAATAAAAACTTCGTGTCCATTCTATATCAAATAAACCATTATTTTAAAAATAAAAACATCTATTTCAACCATTTGAACCTCCTGATTTAATCCTCATATTTATAAGGTCTAAAAACACATTTCTATTCCAATAAAACCTGTAAATCTGTTTAAAAATAATAGAAATTCTCTTATCACTGCGATATATATAAAAACACTGATTTAACATAGTATTTCGCCTCATTATTAAAAAAATAAAGAGTTCCCCTATAAATAGACCTAGTAATGAACTTATTTCCCTTAAAATTTCATAAAAATATCAAATTTTATTTGATTCTCATTCTTCTTTTTGGCTGTTTTAGACATAATTTTAACCAAATTTAACCGTTCAAAAGCTCATTTCTTTTAATACTATAAATATCTACTTATTTATACGTTAAAATACTCTTAAAATACCTTTCATACCTCTATTTATCTCCAATCTCTTAAGCACAATATTTTTATGTCGTTGAGTTGATCGTCTCTTAAGAAATACATAATTTTATGCTAAAAATAAAGTTCTCTTTTACTTAAGAAAAAATGACTTCTTGTTAATTATTTAGTATTATTTTACATAATTTATTATGTTTTTATGTATATTTTTGGGTTTTTTTGAAATATTTTTAAAGATGGCTGGTGCACTGAAATATATATTTTTGCACAAACAGATCATATAATATTAATATCTCCTATTCATAAGTATCAGCAAGACTATTTAATATAAATAATCAACATTTTTCTTGATTTATAAAATTTAATTATCTGGCTTATCAGCTTATCAGCTTATCAGCTTATCAGCTTATCGGCTGGTGAAGAAATATTTAGTGGGATTATTAATGTTTTTATGGATAAAAAGAAAGTTTAGTTCTATTCAAGATATACAAGATCTATTTTATGGTGGAAATTCGTCAAAGAAAGGGTCAAAAAGAAGTATTAAAGATTATACAGGATTTCAAGGAAATAGTGGATTGGATAAATTTTTTAATAATAATAATTCAAGGAAATCATCTAGACATCTTTCAGAGACGTCATCAAGAATATTTGTTCGAGAAGATGAGTCATTTGATGTTAGAGATGACAAAAATGCATCTTTTTGCTCTATTTATCAAAAAGAACATAAAAATAGAAATTCCCAGAAGGATAGATCATTGTCTTTCCTTATACCGGATAAATGTTCTAGTCCTTTGATTATTTCTATTGACAAAAGTTCAAGATATCCTAAGATTGCAGGAAAAAATGGATTTAGAGCACTTAATAGATCAATAATAGTGAATTTTCTAAAAAAGATTTTTTGTCTTAGTTATTTTGTGGATGAACAAAGAATATTTAGAACAGATGACTCAAGAAGTATGTCTTCTCATATGATTTGTGATAAATTATCATCAATGTCTAATCAACCTTTATCATGTGTTTCATTATCATCTTTAAATACATCACAAAAGATGATAGAATTACCAGAAAAAAAAATTGATTATTTATCAATAGGAAATATGTGGGTTCCAGGAAATGATGGATTTGGAATGATTATTGAATTATCAGGTGAATTTTTTATATTAAGTTAATATTTTTACAGATTAACTATAATTAGATTGGATCAATGATAAATTATCTACTAGAACACGACAAAGACTAGCAAATGAACTGAGACGATCTATATCAACACATGATAAACCTGGTTATATTTATGTTTTTAATTTACAGTCATCAGGTAAAAAATATTTGATTTAAATATGGGTATTAATTATTAAAAGAAATAATTAAACCTTATTCAATGGATAAAATGATCATAAAAATAGGAAGAGCAGGTAATATACAACGCAGATTGAGTCAATGGCCCAAACAATGTAATTTTATACCGGAATTGATAGAATATTTTCCATCAAATGAGAATGAAGCAAAGCAATGTTTAGTTAGTTATAGAGTAGAGCGATTGATACATATAGAACTTCAAGATAAATTCTTATGTAAACCACAAACATGTATGACATGTGGAATTTCACATAGAGAATGGTTTTATGTACCAAATTTTACTGCATGGAAAGAAGTAAAGAAAATTATAGAAAAATGGATAGAATTTTCATTTATAGCATATGGAAAAACTTAAGCATGTGTTTTTTAATTTCTAATATTTTAATGATTTCAAGAAAAAATAAAATGATTTTTGAAGAATATTTATTTTCTAAAATATTCCATTTGTAATTCTTTATGATATTATATGATTACTTTTCAGTTGATATGTCTTTGAATTATGCCTTTATTTTTCTATTTTTTATAGCTAATATTTTTAAAAGTTTTGTAAATGAGTAAATTCTTAAAGTTTTCAATATCTATATAATAAATAAATTTTATAGCATTATTAGATATAATTATTGTTTATGAAATATTAAAGATATAACTCATGTAGTAATATTAATTTTATGAATAAAAACCATGCTCTATGATTAAAACTTAAATAAAACTCAAAATGCATTTTTACCGTAGAAATCATTCTATACTTTAAAATATTCTATTAAAAGTGTGAGTATTTTACTTAAAAAATAATATAATTTTACGTATTAAATTCAAATTATATAATGCATGCGTAAATCTTATAAATATATTATTAGTGATGATGATAGCATTTAATTGAAATGGTTAGCGAAAATATTTATTTGATTTCCATTCTGAAATTTCTTTAGGAAAATTAATAGCGGCTGTATTTTCTAAAAGAATTCTTTTTTTACATCTTGTTTGTAAAGTAGCTTTCCTTTTATCTTTTTTTTTTAAAAGATCATCTTGTTTCTGTGTAATATTAAAATTAACATTAATTTCTTGCTCTTTAAGTATATTTGAAAAACAATTAGTAGACTGTATGTTAGATTGTATTTCAGATAAATTATTTTTTGTTAAAAGGCCGTAGCAATTTTTTTGTAAAGGATAATCTACTTTTTTATCCCAGTTGAATAAAACCTTTTCATCATAAACTTTTTCTAAAATAGCACGATGACGAGATATCCAAATATGATTAAATGCATCTTCAACTGTAAACCTGTCTGATGGCTTTTTACGTAATAGTCCTGAAATAAAATCCTTTGCTAATATTTATTTAAATAAAATTAATTATTTATAGGGAAAAATAATACCTTCTAGACTTACATTAGACCAAGAATCCTCAGAAAAATCGAATTCTCCTTTTTGAACTTTACGCATAATTTCTTTTTCAGTGACTTCTCCATTGTCAAAAGGATTATAGCCTAAAATATTAAATATATTTATAAAATAAGTATAATTATCACCTCCTAAAAGAGCAAACATTATAACTCCAAGACTCCATAAGTCAATCTAGTAACGATTTAAAAATAGAAACAATAAAAATAAAAGGTATACCTCCTTCCCATAACCTTTGATATTCTCAGAATTATTATTTCGGCTAGCACAAGAATGTATCTCTGGGGCAAGATAGGAAGGTGTACCTACGAATGTTTTCATTCGAGAAGAAACTCCAAGTCGTTGTGCAACGCCAAAATCTGTTAAAACAACACGGAATCCAGAAGAAATAGATGTACTTGTTACTAGAATATTTTCAGGCTAATTATTTTAATATATATTACAAAAAGAAAGAATATACTTTTAAATCACGATGTATTACGTTTTTCGATTGAAGATATTGAATTGCTTTGAGTATTTGTAAAACTATAAACATACAGTCTGTTTCCTTAAGTTGACCATATTTAACACATAATCCATATAAATCTCCCCCATGTATTCTAAAATAATAAGATTTCACATACTATTAAAAATGAAACTAACAATTCTTCAAAGATAAAGCTGAAAAAAGTTAGCAAAATTTTAATAAAATATATCTATACTAATTTTTTTCTGTTTCTATCTCATAAAATACTTGAATAATATTAGGCTAGATATTTCAGAAAGATAAAAAAAAAGTTAATGTCTATACATGAGAAAGATTCTTTAAAATTTGTGCTTCTCGAAGATATTTTGAATTATTAAATTTTGATGATACCTTTGAGATCACTTTACATGCAACTTGCTTGCCTGTTATTTTATCAATGGCCATATAAATCTTGATATTTTTAATTATGCTATTAAAAAATTATTATTTTACCTCTGAAAACCCTCCTAATCCAAGTAATCGTGGTGTAATTTCATATTTATCTTGAAATATCTTGGATATAGTTAGACATTACCTTTTAACATTTTTTTTTTAAAATCATATATTAAACGTACATATATATATATATATATATGTATGTATGTATATGTATAAATTATATATATGTATATATATACATATAATTTATACACATCCAATATATACACATCCAATATATGCACATCCAATATATGACTATAAACTAACCTCAATATCCCAATCTATTTTTTTTAAAATATCCGTTACTGTATGTTCTTGTTGAAAAATAAATGACGCACAATGTCGAATACTATTAATCATAAAAATTATCCTATTATATATATATATTTATTTATTTACTCCAATTTATCCCCATTACTCAATAAAACAATATGATTCTTCCCTATCCTTCTTCCATTATGATATGTCCCATTAAGACTCAAATCTTCACAGTAACATAATTGTTCAATTTCTTGTGTTTGATCAAATCCATGTTCTACTGATACCTATCTTTTTAACCCTAACCCTAACCCTAATATACAAAAAAGAAGAATACCGTATATATCTTAAAATGATGATTACTAACCATTTTCTGATTCACTACAAGGTCACTTTACTTATTAAATGCGCGTTTTCTTTCATTTTTTTAATTACCATTGTTCATGACGTCCCACCCAAATTTCTTTATTAGCATATATAGAAATAACTATATGCATTTAAGCATTCTCTTTACTCATAAAAACAAATTATTACCTTGATCCCTCTCAATTCCCTGGAATAAAAGCATTGCACATCGTCCTTTTTTTGAACGTTGTTCTCCAATAGACGCGTATTGAGATATTCTCTCTGAACTCCCAAGAATCTGAGTAGGATATGCGCAAAAGTTCTTCATATTATGTGTTTCTTCCATTGCTAGCAGGCCATTTCAAGATTTGATATTTTCTAATATAATTTAGTCGTGGAGCAATCGAGAGGAAGAGGATTAGTAGGATATGGACGTTTCTATGGTAACCTATAGGTGTTTCTATGGTAACCTATAGAAGTTTCTATAGCAACTTATCTATTGTTTCTATGGCAACCTATATGTGGTTGCCAAGGCAACTAATAAAGTGTGGATAACCTCACAGAAAAAGAGGAAACAAATAATTATAAATTTGAGGGGATTAAAAGGGTTTAAAGCACTAAAAACATAATAAAATATGTCCTTTTTTGATACATTTGGTATGTCCATTTTTTTCAGGGAAAAAATATGATAAATTAATGAGATAATAGTTCAACTTCCTTTATCAATTAATGAAGGACGAGTAGTTTCAGTAGAAAAGGATCTAATGGAGAAACTTGAGCCTTTGTATGATGTTTAATAAGTTGGTGTGTTTTTTTATGAATTTATTTTAGTAATCATCTTGTTAAATCAATTACTTTAAATCAATGTCCGGAAGATATACCATTACCGCCGAATCAAGTGCATCCTAAACGATCTATTCATATTAATCGGCTAAAAGAATCGGGTTCAGAACATTCTCGTAGAAAAAATTATGATGAGGCAGTTAAATTTTTTACACTTGCTATAGAAATGGCATATGGACGTCCTCATTGGGAGCCGGCAGCTTTAAGTAGGGATGAGCTAGCAACGGCATTTTATGAGAGATGTAATGTATATCTTGCATCTAAACAGTGGAAAAATGCATTTGTTGATGCATCAACTGTTATTGGGATTCGAAAAGCTTGGAGTAAAGGACATCTTTGTAAATCAAAAGCACTACAAGGGATGGGAATATTAGATAAAGCAAAAGAATCACTTGAATTTGGACTAAGTTTTGAGCCGAAAAATGATGAATTATTAACAGCTCTTAAAGAATTAAATAGACAGTTAGAAAGATATTCTTAAATATAATTTAATATATATTATAAAATATGTCTTTAAATTAATGCCAAAAAAAATGCATTTATTATGATTTCCTTTGTTTTTTTGATACAAATTCGAAGGGCAATGTAAGAACCGCTTTTTTATATAATTTAATTTCTGCTTTGGAAAGATTCATAGCAAGTCGTTCGGCTTCGGTGTATTCTTGAATTTTACATCCTAATGTTTTAAATAATTTTTTGCACCTTTTTTTTAAATTAGAATATATTATTTATGATTAAAACAGTTCATACTTTTGAGTACTAAGTGAAAGATCTTGTGCCAAGAGATTTATATTAACAGAAAAATTATCAATAATTAAACAAAGTGCAAATAAATAGCATAAAATTTTGTCCATTCCATGTGATGTTATAACCAATCTATATATAGAATAAATAAAGTAACTTTTTTTCATTTTTTAAAAATACTGGATTGTTTCATAATTTTTTCCTGAATGCGCACGCTCTGAAAACCGTGTAATAAGATGATCAATTAAAATCAAAGGTGGTTCCCCCAATTTTTTTGTTAATAATTCCTTTTTTGATACTAAATGATGATTCGTATAAAATGCCATTAATAATGATGCATAATAAAGTAATTTTATATAATGTTTGTTCTTTTTCTCTGCTTTAAGTGCTTTTGATAAATGTTCATTAACATATCGTGAATTTCTAGATAGAATAAACAAGATTTTTTATAAAAGTATTTGTTAAACTTGAAAGGAAATAATAATGTACGATTTCGTTCGTTTTGCTCTTGAAGAATTGCTTTAACATGAATAGCAGACAGTTCTGCTTCTGTTATAATATCTGATAATGAATAAACTTCTTCTAATTTTGTCGTTTCTGTATTTGGTGGTGGAATCGGAAGATCTGGACTTGCATTTCCACGCATTTTTTCTATTTCTCATTAAATATTCTTTCTTATAATATTATTTATTAATTACCTAAACTTGTCATGTTTTTAGTCACCTCTTTAACATCATTTATCATATGTGATGATATATCCTGCAGTTGTTGAGTGTCAATTGCATGAAGTTCTTTATTTTGGATTATTTTTTTCATTTTTTTCGATCCAAATGCTTCTCCAAGTTCTTTCTTTTCTCTTTCATACTAAAATTGTTATTTTTTTTTTTAAAAATGTTTTCCATTTTACATCTTTCTTTTCTATAGTTTCATGAATTTTTTGAGACTTAACATGACATTCTAAATGAACCAATGGTACTGGAATCATATCAAACGTATCATTTTCTTCATTTTCAATTCCAATACAATATCTAATCTCTCAATAAAACCTGTCTTTCAATATTTCCTCAAATGTGAGGCTTACTGGAAAAAACTATCCCCACGTTTATTAACTGTTGATCCTTGATATCTGATTCCTTCTGTTTCACCTTCAACATTCCATTCATTAGATTTTTCTTGTCGTGTAACTGTAAAACGTGTCTTTTGATCGGGTAAAAAACCTGCTGATGAAACTAATAGTATTAAAGTATATTTAATTATACGTTGATTTTACTAAGAATAGGTATTGGCTCATTTTGTACCGAATGAAGACGGATTTTTTTAAATGTCATGCCTGTCATGCCTGTCATGTCTGAAATATGTCCGTAATGTCCGTAATGTCCGTGATATTCGTAATGTTCGTGATATCCCTTATATCCGTCAATGATTTAATTCCTAATTCTAAAATATTAATAATATCAACGTAAAAAAAAAATAGACAGAAATTATAAAAAGTAATATTTTATTTTATTGAAAAATCTTAAAAAAAATATGAATAAAAAATACAAAATAATAAAATAATAAAATAAAATAATAAAATAAAATACAAAATAATAAAATAATTAATAACTGAATTAACAATTCAATCAACTACCAATTCAATCAACATCTCATTCATTATCCACTTCTTCATATTCTTTATTTAGATCTTGCTCTTGTCTTTCTTCGTTTACCTAAAACATTTTAAAAATATTAAAAAAATTTCAAAAATATACGTTTTAACCGTCGAACTCTTTTTTTCTTCCATTTGGCTAGAAAAATTAATTTCATTTATATACATATAAAGCTTTTTACCTCTCATAATTTAAGAGTCTGGAAGAATACTATATATTTATAGTCGGAGAAAATCGGATCGACGGGTAAAGCCGTCGTACACCCACCGACTATTTTTAATAGTTAAATCTTTAAAATATTATTAAAAAAAGTGATTGTTTATTATATTTTAAAGTGTAAATTAGTTTTTATTTTTAATATTTATTAAGTATTATTTAAAAATGATTTTTAAGCGCGTTTTTTATATGTTTAATTTCAGTTGTTAATATTTAATTAAAAAGCAATCTTTTATGTTGAAAGATGTTTTAAAGATTATTTGGTTTTCTTTAAGATTTCTTGCAATTGTTTTATCGTATTGGATTGAAAGTTTTGTGCATCTACGACGCATACAACACGCATATACAACGCATATACAACGCATATAATACGCATACACTACGCATATATCCCGCATACACCCCGTATACACCCCGTTACACCCTATATATACTTTGTATACCCCAAGAAAACGGGTTTCGCCTTGGTAAACAGGCTTAATCACCTCCTTTTGCCTATGGACGAGCTAAATCCTTGTTCTAATGACAGTCAAAATGATATAGAAGACCCGTTTACTGCGAACGATATAGACAGTACACAATCTCTGGACTTTCATCCAGCAGAAGACCGTGAATGGCCTTGGATGGATCCATGGATGGGCAAGAATGAGGGGGTTCTAGAGGCATCTTTAAGAAATTACAGTGGAGATGATACGACACATTCAGCAGATGCATCAATTATAGCGGAAGAGACATTAACAGACGAGGAGAAGAAAGGTATTCTTCAGAGTGCATTTATCCGTGCAGCAAGTCATGGAGATGTTGAACGTATTGAATCGATGCTTAAAGGAGGATCACGGAAATATATTGATATTGACGGGTGCGATGAGACGGGAGGTACAGCAATTATATTTGCGGCGTGTTTTGGACACCAGGGGGTAGTTGAAGCGCTTTTAGAAGCGGGAGCAAATATTAATGTACGAGATAAGGCTAAATGGTCGCCTTTGATGTGGGCAATTAATAATCATCATGGGGGAATAGTGAAATTATTATTAGCACATGGAGCGACATTTAATTCTAGAGGGATTGGGGGGAATTCGGTGTTAGAAGGAACATCGCAGATGGATATGATTGATATTTTGGAATCATTGCATGTAGAAGAATCATTAGAAGAAGGGGAAAGTTTTGAAGATCATGAATGGTATCGTCAAGGATGTTTAGAGCAGATGGAAAAAGAAAAAATGATGGAAATGCCGATATTAGAAGATTTAGAAGTGGATTTATCAAGTATTGGATTTGAAGGATCAAATCAAGAAATGGAGGAATCAGAAGAAGTATTTTCGGAGGAAGATTTTGTATGGAATCGATGTCTTCCAGAACAGATGTATATTTTTTCGGAAGATCATATTTCAACGATATTAGATCTTGTTATTACAAATTTTGAGCCGTTACGATCGGCAGATCAGAAGGTTATTCCGGCAGATGTGATTTTTTTATCGATTCGTTTTGCTCATTATTATGGGACAAAGGATATGCTTAATAAATTATTATATGATACGTTAGAACGTATTCGTTTACTTATTCGTGATAAGCCGGATGATATGGCTATTTTGGCATTTTGGATTTCGAATTGTATGCTTCTTTTATACTATATTAAGAAAGATTCGGGACTTTTGGTCACAATTATAGATTTTCAGCTTCATTTAACAGAATTGATCCATGATATTTATTTGGTATTTCTACAAGAAACCAAATTTCGTATTGAAAAACATTTGAATAGCTCTATTCTTGATTATGAAACTATTTCTACATTTGACAATGTTACATTTGAAAATAAATGGTATAATTTTCGGCGGCAAAAAAAGAAGAATTCATTTTATCTTTCACCGGAAAAACATGCAACACCCTCACCTTTATTGATTACTATTCTTTTTTCGTCAATTTTTTTTATTCTTGATGTATATCAAGTTCATTTTATTATTTTTAAACAAGTCGTAAATCAAATATTTTATTGGTTTAGCGCAGAACTTTTTAATCGTATTATTACGAAAAAAGGCTATCTTTCAAGAAGTAAAGCAATGAATATTCGTCTTAATATTTCTGTAATTGAGGATTGGGCTAGAATAAATAATAATCAATTTCAGAAGAAAATGCATATGAAATCTTTAAATTCAGGATACAAATCTTTTAATATTTATAATTCTTTGAAGAATCATATAACTCCTTTAGTACAATTACTTCAGTGGCTTCAGTGTCTTACATCTTTAAATAGTATTGAAAATATCGAAACAACCGTAGATGCATTGAATTTACTTACATCAACTCAATTATTATATATTGCTAAAAATTATAAATTAGAGATTGATGAAAATAAAATAGGGAAAGAAATAATACAATATCTTTCCAAGAAAGAAGAGAAAGATAAAAATATTAAAAAGAAACATATACAAGACTCAGAAAATTGTTCTACAGATGATACATTTGATAACCCTAAACCGCTACCTTTTGATAAAGAAAAACTTAAAAGTTCAAATCTTTTAATGAACGTTGAGTTAATGCTTCCATTTATTTTACCAACTGGCACAGATCTCTTGGCTAGTTATGGTTCTAAAATTATTAAAGTGGATGAGAAAAAGAAGAAATGCTTTATACCTGTAATACCATCTGATTTTATGGACTTATTGAAAACAAAAATTGGTCATAACAATGAGAAAGAACAAATAGAAACAAATAATGAAGAATTAAACAATGAAGTCCAATCTACTAAAGATCATGATTTTTCAGAAAATATTAAAATATAGTATCAGAAATAAAAATCATCTTTGTATTTTAGAATTATTACGTATGTATTAATATAAAAGATTTATTTGTTTTATTTGGTATTGAAAAAATATAATCTAACAAAAAGTAATGTTAATTATTTTTTTGCGTTTAATAACTTGTAGTTTGAAACTAATGGCCTATTGATAGCATTCATCTTTCTTGTATAGAACTCGTTCATGTTTTTAGATTAAATGCCAGTGTATTAGATCCTTGTACTGAAACTTCTAAAAGTTTTTACAGTTTTAATTCCAAAATTGTTAGGATATTTTTTCTTCTTTTGAATCGCCAATTCTTCATTATTTTTTAATAATGCAGGCGAATTTTCTTTGTTGTTATGTTGAAACGGTAATCCCATTACATTTACAACTTTTCTACTCCACGAAGTCTTTCGTTTCCCTTTTTTATCACTTATACTATCTGTATTATTTGGTGAATTCATAACGGTAGAAGGAGCAAGTGTAACAATAGATGGATTACGGTTATGAATATCCAAAAGAGAAAAATGACGAATGTTTTGAGGTGTTGAAGGAGATTTGGCAGATTGTTTAACTTTTTTTTTCTATAAATATTAGAAAATATTTATAAAATAATGAAATGCAACAATTACGGATGATTTATTTGATTTTTTATTTTCTTCCCTTTGTTTATTAAGTCTCAATTGAATATCTTCCAAACGGCTTTCCAATTTTTTTACTCGTTCTTTCAATTTATTTAGTGAATCTTTTTTGTGACTAATATATGTATCGAGACGTGCAAGCTCTGCAGACAATTCAACTTTACGAGAATACATATTCTCCATTTCTGCAATATTTGTTTGTTGCAATGTTTCGTATGATGAAATTAAATTGTTAATTTCAAGTTTCTCGGAAAAAGATTTATCTTGAAATGCCTCAATTGCTTCTAGTTTTTTATTTATATCGATCAACAATTGTGTTTCCGTATTGTGAAATAAAGCATTTGTATCTATGACTTGCATAATTTTGTCCAATTTTTCTTTAAATATATCACTTTTCTCCTCTTTACTACTCTCTTGCGGTGGAAAAGTAACAATTGCTCGTATTTCATCAATAATTTTTTGATCTCTTTTTGCATCAGTAATGTTTTGTTTTAAATCCAATAATGCAGTAGCATTATCTTTGCTTCTTTCTATAAGAGAACGAAGATCCTCCAAAATTGTATTTGTTGTTTCTGAAATAGATTGAACTATATCTGCCGTTTTATCATCTGCGCTTATCCGCAACATTTGAGATGATGTTTTAGTACCCAATTGTTTATACAAATTAGATGAAATAGACGATGTCCTTGGGAGTCTTACTGATCCTTCAATATGATTTAATGTCAATTCTTCACGCATTGGTAATGGAGGAGGACGTCGCTGAGGATCTGAACTATCCCATCTTATGCAATATTTTAGCTATCAATTCTCTTCAAAAATATTCCCTTACATAGGAGAATGTGATGTATTCGATTCTGACCGAGAATTCGTCATTTAATGCTAAATTTATGCCTCCAATCTAAGATTTACAATATTTATAGATTTAAAGTATTTTTGAACCGTTTTTTTTCGAATTTTTTAACAAATATCTCTTCAATATTATAAATACACTAGTTTTAGAGCCTTATTAAGACAAATTGCTTAGTTTTCCAAGGAATTCTAAAAAAAATTTTTTTTTACAAAAAAAGCTGTAATTTAAAGATTTTTAATCAGAAAAAAAAGGTCTTTCTTAATATACACCGTATAAATCCAAAATTTAGCTAAATCTACTCGTTTTTATTAGTTTTATATCATAAATACGGCTAAATACTCACCTATTTTGACGCGTAAAATATACGTTGTTGACTGTCTGAGTGGTTGTTAAGATACGGTTGCCGTGGGTCATATGAATTAGGTTTATAATATAGGGTTTAGGTATGGTATTAGGGCCGGGGTTGGGTTTAGGTATGGGAGCAGGGTTAGGTTAGGTGTAGTGTTACTAGGGTTAGGAGTAGGTATAGGTATAGGTTCAGGTTAATAATAGATAGGGTATAGGTTAGGGTATATGAATTGTTAGGTATGGGTTAGGCGCGGGTTAGGTATTATACACTATATTTAGGACAGGGTTAGGGTTTATCAATATCATCCGGAGTCACTCTCTAAGCTGAGATTGAAATTTTAAGAAATTAAGGATGGTTAAATGTAAGTTAATTTTGTATTTTTTTAATAGATTTAAGATTTTTTTCTTTTTATGAGATTTTTCTTATTTTTTTGTGAAAAAAAAGGGTTAAAAAGAAAAAGATATTAAGGAAAAAAGCAAATATTAAATTTTGTTTTTTTTAATATGGAATTTATCATTAAATATGGAATTTATTATTAAATATTGAATGAATATTAACAGTTGTTTTTAGTTATTAAACCAGGAAAAGTTATATTGATTCTTCGAGGACGATATGGTATTGGGATATTTTTTTAGTATGAAAGAATATTAATAAGATATATAAAGCTGGTAGAAAAGCGGTTATTGTTCAACAGGTAGATTCAGGATCTAAGTTTCATCCATTTGGACATGCAATTGCTATTGGTATTGATCGGTATCCACGAAAAGTGACCAGAAGAATGGGTTCTAGTAAAATTTCTAAACGGTCTAAAATAAAGCCTTTTATTAAAATTATTAATTTTAATCATTTTATGGTCACGCGTTATACTTTTGAACTTGAAACTTTGAAGGGGATTGTTACACCAGAAACGTTTAGAGAACCTTCTCAACGTGAAGAAGCTAAAAAGGCGATTAAAAGAATCCTTGAAGAAAGATATATGGTATATAATTGATTTTATATTTAATAATATTTTCTTATATTTTCAGTCCGGAAAAAATAGGTGGTTTTTCACACCTATTAGGTTTTAAAATGATATTTATTCTATTTTGATAATTTAAATTTGTATGTATGTGTATTTTAAATTTTTTTAAAGAAATTAAATCATCTCAATTTTAAAAAATTGATTCATTCCTCTTTCATTTATATTTTTTTCTCTATTTTTAACTTGAAAATACTGATTTTACTCATTTATACATAATAATCATTGATTTTTTTCTTATAAATGATATTTTTTATTCTATATACTTAATAGTTAAAAAATCTTGACTAAATATATTTATTTTAAAATATAAACTATCTAATATCAAAAATTATCTGTTTAACTTTTAAATTTAAATGTTTTATCTATTATAATTCTTAATATTAGTCGATTCAACATATATTCGTAATAATAACATCTAAAGCACATAATTTACACGTCAATCTAAACATATAATTTATTTCTATATATTATTTATATCTATCTATACCATCTATATCATCTACATCTATCTATGATAGACCTGCCTGATCTAACATATCTGCACATTTATCATTATATACAATACATATATATTAAAAAAAATTATTACATATTCCTTTTATTAATACATTAACTAAAGATCTTTCTTTTAAATAACTATAAAATAACACTTTTTATCATTAATTTATACACTTGAGCTATCGTCCCCGCTTAAACCCTTATGTTGATATTCTATTTTTAACGTTATAAGATTAAATCAAATATAAAATGAATATATTTCTTTAAAAAAGCAATATTTAAAGGAATATTTTCTTATAAATAGATGGGGATTCCTGGGTTATGGCCATTCCTTAAAGAATTTGGAGAGAGTACAAGTATAAGAAATATTATAAGTTTTATCAGGCTTATTAGAACTAGCATTAGCAAAACTTGCGTGTGATTATTATTATAAGGATGATAGAGTGCCTAAAGGCTTTAGAATTGGGATTGATTTGTTGATTTGGTCGTATCAGATGCGTTCAAGTTATGGAGGACAAAATCCAGAATTAAGAACGCTTTTTTTTCGTCTTTGTAGACTTGGATATCTTGGGATTTTGCCTATTTTTGTCTTAGATGGATCTAAGAAACCGTTATTTAAAAGAAATAAGAAGGTTCCAAAGGCGATATTTGGATTATCGGAAGTAATAGATTTGATTCGTTTGTTTGGGTTTCCTATCTGGTATGCGCCGGGGGAAGCAGAAGCAGAATGTGCTTTGTTATTAAAGAACTCTATTATTGATGCAGTAATGTCTACGGATGTTGATTCGTTTATATTTGGTGCACAAAAAGTGATAAGTGGATGGAGTATGAGTGAAGAATCAAAAACAAGTACACTTTCGAATGTTTCTATTTTTGATATAGAAACAGTTACTAAGAAGAGCAATATTAGTCAAGCAGGAATGCTTCTTATTGCTCTTATATCTTCTGGGGATTATGATTCAACTGGTATTCCAAATTGTGGAATTAAGACGGCGATCGGTGCAGCAAAAGCTGGGTTTGGGGATTCTCTTTTATCTTTGATCAAAAGTGGTTCAGATTTGACTTGTTGGAAAAAGGATCTTGAGGAATATTTATCTAAAAACCATGGTGGACATTCTTCAGCTAAACATTCATCTTTAAAATTACCCGAAGATTTTCCAAATCAAGATATTATTCAATTTTATATTAATCCAGTAGTATCAAGCGATTTAGATATAAAAAGGAAATTACGTCATGTTGTATGGAAATGGCCTATCAATGTCCCTAAATTACAGAAATTTGTATCCATCCATTTTTCTTGGTCTGGATTACCTGGTATTAAAAGATTTGTACGATCATTTGCTCCGTGTTATTTAGTATCTTTCTTAAAGTATACGGATTTTTCAAAACATTCACAAATAAATTCTTTACAAAAATCAAACTCTATAAAAAAAACTAATTCTACATATTTTACTAATCTAAAAGATCCCTCAAAAAATATTGAAAATAATGACGAAAAATTCGGAATTAAACTTCTTTGCTATAGAAAACATATCTCTACCGGATATTCTTTAGAATTTCGTGTATCTTTTTCTCCCTTTAAGTTAATAAATATTGATTTTACTAACGAAAAACAATCAAATAATAATATTCAGTCAAACGACAATATTCTGTCAAACGACAATATACATTCAAATCATAAAAATACTCGTCATTCTACACTTATCGATAATCTTTTTGATTTAAATGAAAAAATGGAGATTTGGGTTTTAGACCCTTATCTTCATCTTTTTCAAAAACATAATATCATAGAATGGAAATCTAAATCTAAAAAAAATATTTCTTTAAAAAAAAAATTAGGTTATGATCAATTAGGTGCAATTGAAAGTTATTTACTTGTCACTTCAAAAAATACTTCTATTTTAGGCTCTTTACAACTTGATCAAAATCCTTCTTCAAAAATTTCACAAACATATAAAACAAAAAATATCTCTTCAAATTCTTCAATGTCTTCTTTAACTCAAAAAACTTTATCAACTTTTATTTCAACCTCTCTTTAAATCTACTTTTAATCTACTTTTTAATCTAACTTTATTCTATCTTTATTCTATCTTTAATCTACTTTTAATCTACCTTCTACCTCCTTCTACCTACGACCTTCTATCTAGCCTTATACGGCTACCCTTCTATCGATACTCCTCCTATCGATACTCCTTATAATATTATATCCTTATTATTATACCCTAATTTTACCTTGTTTTCTTTTAATTCCACTTATTTTCTTTTAATTCTACTTATTTTTTATACTATTTCATCGACTTTTCTATTCTTCTAATCTTTATCTCTAATCTAACCTCTTTTCTACTATTACCTTATTAATATTAGTCACTTAACTATTTTATTTATCAAGATCCGATATTTTTATTCATTTTTTTAAAAAAAATATCTCCGGCTAATCTAAATCTTGATTTTTTACTTGTATAAAAATTATTATATCTATTTAATAATCTTAATTTTCACTTTATTTATACATATTTTTCTTTACATTCTTTCTCTCTTTAATATATTCTTTTATTCATTATTATTATATTCACTCTTATGATTGTTGATTCGGTTCATATTAATCAAACGGATGTATATGGAAAACATCCGTTTATGTTAAACCCAGATCAGAAGAATGTCTATATATAATAAAAGCTATCTAAAATATCTGTCTTCCTTATATAAAATTAATAATTATTATAAATTTTAAAATAGAGTTTAAATGGATTCCTGGTGTGCTTATTAAGATTATAATATTACGACAAGGTTAAAAACAAGGAATTGTTTAGAAAATTTTATTATAAATAATAATAACATAAATAATAAAATAACATAAAAAATAACATAAAACAACATAAATAATAATATAAATAATAATATAAAACAACATAAGAACCTTATCTTTAAGATATAATATTATTGAGATTGTGAATGGCAGATACAGAATCAGAGAAATTGGTAATAATAATAAAAGCAAATAGATAAATTATTAAATACGTATTAGAAACGGACAGCAGAGGAGGAGAAAGGTAGGGAATATGAAGAAGGACAGGAAAAGGTAGAAAAAGTAGAAAAAGATAGGGAAAAAGTGGAAAAAAAGGAATTAGAAGAAGAAGAAAAAGAAGAAGAGAAGAAATTACCGGGAACATATACAGATGAAAAAGTACAAGTACCGGAAGGGTTTGAAGGGGATATGTTTTCACTTACGTATGATATACGGGAAGGGAATCCATTTCCAGAGAATCCAGATGCGCCGAAAGAATTACATCAATTAACGATTCGAGCGTTAGTAGTGGGATCACTTTTGGGGTCGATAGTAGCATCATCGAATATATATTTGGGGTTAAAAACAGGGTTTACATTTGGGGCACAACTATTTGGAGCGATTTTTGGATTTGCAATTCTTCGGTTTATTTCGAAAGTGATGCCAGAATGGTTTGGAGGAGGGTTTTTTGGACCGAAAGAGAATTGTACGGTTCAAACAGCGGCAACGGCAGCAGGAGGTATGGCGGGTATGTTTGTATCATCTATACCTGCTATGTATTCATTAAACCTTCTTGGATCGGGGCCGGAAGAGGATTTTTGGCGTCTGGTAAGTTTTACGGCGGTTAGTGCATATTATGGGTTATTCTTTGTTATTCCATTGCGAAGGTTTTATATTATTTATCAAAAATTAGTATTCCCGACGTCATCAGCATGTGCATTAACGATTCATTCATTACATTCCGGAGCGGTAGCGCATTCGGTTATGAAGAAAAAGATATGGTCACTTTCGATATCATTTCTGGCGGCTATTGTTCTTCGTGTTTGCGCCGATTATTTGCCAGGTATACTTTGGGATTGGCATCTCTTTTGGTGGTTATATAAAGCGGGATGGAAAGGAATTATTGGAGCGGAAAATTGGGGATGGTGGATTGAGCTTACACCGGCATTTTTCGGTGTTGGTTTCTTTTCGGGATTAAATGCAGCGGCTAGTTTCTTCATTGGATCCGTTTTATCATGGGCTATTATAGGACCTATTATATCCAAAACAGGTATTGCACCTCATTATACGGTATTATCTCCGGAACATCCTGATTGGGTATCCTATTCTTCTATGAGTTTACAGTCTTCATTGAATCCGAATGGATTTGATCCTATTAAATCCTCATCACCTCGATATTGGTTACTTTGGCCCGGTGTTATGCTTATGTTGTGCTCATCTTTCGCCGAAGTTATCATGAATGGACCAGTTTTGTGGTTAGGATTGAAACGGGTCATTCTTGTTCTTTATTATAAACTACGTCGTAAGGAAGTTCCCGTTTTCAAAAATGCCATTCAAGATCCTGCACCCCCTGAAACTCAGATTCCAGCATGGCAATGGGTGCCATTATTGATTGTATCGATTATTTTTACGTGTGTTGTTCTTACGTTGCAATATGATATCAGCGTTGGGTTATCTCTTCTTGCTATATTTTTAGGTTTTCTTTTCTCTTTTATTGGTGCGCAATCTTCAGGTGCAACCGATGTTAATCCTGTTTCGATTTGTGCTAAATCTTCTCAATTGGTTTTCGGTAGTATTTCGAGTGCGCAAAAGATGGACGAAATCTCGGCACAAAGACTTAATCTTATCGCTGGTACTGTGGCATCATCGTCTGCTTCACAATCGGTTGATATGATTGGCGATTTGAAAACAGGTCATCTTCTTGGTGCTTATCCTAAAGTTCAATTTTATGCACAAGTAATTGGATCTTTTTTCTCTATCTGGATAAGCGTAGCTCTCTACATTTTGTTTGACAAAGCTTATCCATGTTTTACGACTCAATTTATGCCTGGATATCCAAACACTCAAAAATGTGTTTTCGGTGCACCATCCATTGCTTCATGGAGAGCAGTTGCTAGTGCTATGACTAATGAGCGATTACCTATCCCTCCATCTTCCGGATACACCTCAATTGCTCTCGGTATTATAGCTGCTGCTACTGTTGTATTCAAGTATACTTATTCTCCCGAAAAATATCGCCCATTTATTCCAAATTTTAATGCAATTGGTCTCGGATTCGTCGTGCCACAAACACATTATGCAACAGTCATGTTTATCGGTGCTATTGTTGCCTATTTCTGGAAGAGAGCTAAACCCGTTTCTTATGATATTTATGCTCTTTCTATTGCTACCGGCTTTGCTGCTGGTGAAGGCATGGGTGGTGTTCTCAATGCTATTACACAGATCTCTGGTGTTAGCGGAAGCGTTTATGGTTCAAGTGTTGGTTGTCCATATGATTCATGGTGTGGTTAATCATTATACTTAATCTTTTTTTTATGCTATACTTTATTTCTTACAAGTAATTGGTTATTATTTTATTCTTTCGTTTTTACATAAACTATATTTATATATATATACATTTTATTATCATATTCTTTGCACTTTTATTGGGTGTATTGTATATTAAGATCTTTATTTAATATAAATGTTCCGATCCTTAAATATAACCTTGCTTAACCCAGGTTTCTGGAGATTTTAATAAATGTCAAGCTTCTCCTCCCTTTCATGGGATGATATGGAGATTTCATTAACATCATGGATGTAAGTCATATATCAGGTTAAATATTGAGTCTTATTTATTTTTTTTATAGAAGAAGTGCAGTTGATGAGATGGGGTTTGAGAAAATGACGCCAGTTCAAGCAAGTACAATACCTCTTTTTATGAAGAATAAGGATGTGGTTGTAGAGGTGTTTTTATAAAGTTTTTTTGCAGTTTTTTTGATAAAATTTCAGGCAGTAACAGGATCAGGAAAAACCTTAGCTTTTTTACTGCCTATACTAGAGAAATTAATAAGAAGAGAGGAGCCATTAGAAGAATATCATATAGGATCATTAGTAGTATCACCTACAAGGTTTTTAATGAAGGGATATACGGTGTGTTTAAAATTAAATAGAGAATTAGCAATGCAGATATATTCTGTTTATGAAAGTATTATGAGTAGATCGGAGGAGATAAATGTTAATTTGAGAGCCCAACTTGTTATAGGAGGGGTAGTAAGTATACAGCAAAATATAGAAGAATTTAATGAAAAATCGCCATCAATTATTATTGGTACACCGGGACGTATTGATCAGCTTCTTTCATTAACACATGTTAAAACGAAGGAGCTTGAAATTTTGGTTATGGATGAGGCGGACAGATTGCTTGATATGGGGTTTTTTCATGTTATAGAATCGATTATTAAAAAGTTACCCAAACAAAGACGAACAGGTCTTTTTAGCGCTACTTTAACAGAAGCAGTTGATAAACTTGTTAAAACGGGGCTTAGAAATCCTGTGAAGATAGTTGTTAGAGTAGGAAACCAAGAAAATACTAAAGAAGATAGATGCGTTCCTGCAAGGTAATATATAGAGATAGAGAGAGAGAGAGAGAGAGAGAGATGATGATATACATATAATTGATCTATAATTAATTGATCTATAATTAATTGATTTATAATTAACTCTTATAGTTTACAAATATTTTATATGATTTTGTCATCAGCAGAAAAATTTATACAACTAATTAGATTATTAAATTATTCATATATTAAAGATGGGATGAGAAAGTTTATTGTTTATTTTCTTTCTTGTGTTTCTGTTGATTATTTTTCTATAATTTTTTCACAAATATCATATTTAAAGAAAACATTTAGGATATTTTCTCTTCATGGCAAGCAAAGTTCATCTTTAAGAGTTAAGAATTATAAGGCATTTTCTAATGCGTTATCTGAAACACCTTCTATATTATTTACTACAGATTTGGCAGCAAGAGGTCTTGATATACCTAATGTAGATATGGTTATTCAAATGGATCCACCGTTAGATCCAAAATCATTTTCTCATCGTTGTGGAAGGGCAGGAAGAGCAGGTAGATCTGGTAAAGCTGTCGTTATGTTAAATAGAGGACGAGAGGAAGACTATGTTCATTTTTTAAAAGTTAGAAAAATACCAATTCAACCTTTAGAAAGGATTAGGAAAGATAACAGTATTATGGAAGACAAGGAAGATGAATCTAAAGAAGAAATACTTGCATTGGTCAAAGAAATACGAAATATCGTTAAAAAAGATAGAGATTTGTATGAAAAGGTATGTTAATATTTATTCTTTATAATATCTTATAGATCTTCAGGGTTTAAGGGCATTTGTATCTTATGTAAGGGCATATTCAAAACACCAGGCACATTTTATTTTTCGTGTTAAAGATCTTGATTTTTCTGGCTTAGCATATTCTTTTGGATTATTTCATTTTCCTAAAATGCCTGAATTAAAAAACTTGGTTTTAGATTTTGAGGGGGAAAATATAGATGTAAAATATCTGCTTTAATATTTTATATATTAATTTCATAATAGCTGGACAAATTAACTTATGCTGATAAATTAAAAGAAAAGGCTAGATTAAAAAAAAAAGAGGAACAGAAATTAATGAATGAAGGAAAAAATACTGTTTTCATGAAAAAAAAAGTTATTCCTTGGTCAAAAAATATAGATTTAAAACAAAAGAAAAAAAATCGTCAAAATAAACGCAAATATAAAAGTCTTTTAAAGAAAAAAACATAATATCTTGTTTAAAATATAAAGGCATTTGTATTATATACATTTCATCATATTAATCATACATGTTTAATAATATAAAAATACATATAATACTAATATTTTATATTTAAACTTTTAAATTAATATATACCCTAAAAAATGTCTAAAAATATAGCTGATATAAATCATTCTGAAAACTCTCATTATTCCCTATTTCAACCATTATTGGCTCTTCTTAATCCTAATTATTCATCATTCCAATATCAAAATGACCCTTCTATTGTATCTTATATATCAGAGTTAATAGAATCTTCTATATATGAATTATCAGAAAAACAAAATGAATTAAATATTAAAGATAAAAAGACTACATATGACTTGGTTGAAATTATTAAAAAGGAATATGATCATTTGATCACTATATTAAATTATAAAAATGAGTTTACTGGATCTTTTAATATTCTTGAAGAATCAGTTAATAAAATTCAAACAACAATTACATCTATTAATGAGAGAATTTTAAATTTTGGGCTTTTAAAAGATGGAATTAATGGAATTAATGGAATTCTTAAAGAGTTTCTTTTATTACATGAATATGAAGAATATATTTTAAATTTATTTGAAATTCCATCTTTAATAGAGATATGTATAAGAAATAATAACTATTCAGAGGCACTACAACTTATATCATATGGGAAAAAATTGGGAGATGAATATTCTCAAGTAGATATGATTCAAGATTTAGTAAAAAAAGTTAATTATATGTCTGAATATTTACAAAAACAATTATTATTACTTCTTAAAGGAACAATAAAATTAACAGAAGCTATTAAAGTAAAAATTTAGTATATTTTTTTTTTGGAGGATTAATTGAAGCAGGTTATTGAATATCTTCGTAGAACAAATGAGTTTTTAGAGATTGAATTGTGCTATATATTTCTATTATCTCGTTGGGATTATATAGAGGGACTTATTTCTGATTTGAATTCGTCTAATAAACAAGATAATCCTGAAAAATATCTTAAAGAATATATTGGGATATTTAGAGAACATAGTTTTAATATATTTTCATATTATACATTGATATTTTTAAGAGAGGAATCTGTACTTTATGTATTTTCAGAAAATTCAGAAAATAATATTTCAGTAAAAAATGATGATAATTTGAATGGAAAAATATCAAGAAGAAGATTACTTTCAAATTTTGCATTACATATGGTATCTGAAATAAAAAATACATTGGCTATATATATTCCATATATTTATGATAATAAAGTAAAAGCATCAATACTTAATCGTATTTTATATTGTGGACAAAGTCTAGGAAGGATTGGGGTTGATTTTAGTTTAGCATTAGTTGATATTTTTGGTGATGAATGGGTTGATCTTATTAAAGATCATGAAAATATGATGAAAAAGTTAGAGACAAGTACAGAAATATAAATGCATATCTCTTTATAATTCCTTTATATACATATTATTATTGTTTCAAAATATATAAATTTTATAATGTAATTTCATTTAATACTGCACTATCGGTTAAACCAAGTTTTTTAATACAAGAAAAATATCTGTTTTGATCCTTTCTACGTAAATATTTAAGAATTGCCTGACGTTTATGTACCAAATGTCTTAAAGATCTAAGACTATTTTTATCTTTATGATGAGATGAGAGATGAAAATTTATATAGTGAATTCTGACTGTAAATACCGCTGCTAAATATTTATATTAGATTAAAATAGTAATTTTAAATATAAATTATACCTTGTACTTCTGGCGATCCTGTATCTAATTCATGTTGTCTAAATTTTTCAACTGCCATAGAAATATTCAAAAGTTGTATTGCTTTACTATTACTATTTTTCAAATCCATAAGTCGTCTCATTACATTTTCTTTTCTTTCTTCTCGTTCAATTATTTCTTGAGTTTTACAAACAGATGCTAATTTAACAATAATATTTTCTTCATTTTTTTCTTTTTTTAAATCAAAAAATTCTTCAATATTTCCTTCTTTAGATATAATTTCTAATAATGCTTCAATATTTTCTGTATTTTCATTAACACCAATATATTCTGATGCCTTTTTTTTAAGTTCTTCTAAACTGCTTTTATTAATAACTGATGATGAAAGTCCAATACGGCCAAGATTAGCCTCTTTAGTTAGCTTGAAAAATTTATCTAATTCTCCTTCTGAAAAGAAAAAATTTGCCTTATTATTTGAAATTCTTTCTGAAGAAAAAAAATCTTGTGGATATAAAATAGAACGTGTAAATTCTGTAGGTATTCCTGTAGCCGCATTACATATCATTGGACGACGATCCTCTTTAAGCTTCCTTTGCTTCTCAATATTCTGTTTTCTACGACGAATTGCTGCATATGATTGTTTCCATCTTGTACTTATAGTATGAAATTCTGAGTTTCTTAATAAATTATAGATAAAAGCTTCATAATTTGTCTTTTTACATAAAAAATATTGACTTTTCTTATAAAATATTCTTAACATTTTCTTAATTTTTAACTTTTCTTAACGTTTTCTTAACTTTTCTTAACCTTTCTTAACCTTTCTTAACTCTTTTTTAACTTTTTTTAACTTTTTATTAACTTTTCTATATTAATTCTTAAGAAAATTTAATAAAACGTTAAGAATTGTTGACTCAAAATCTTAACAAACGAAAACTTAAATTAAGAATTTTATTAAAAATCCTTAAAAACCAGTTAAAAATGCTTGGTAAGTTCTAATTTTTCTTAAGAATTTCTTAAATATGAGTTAATTTTCCTAGTTTTAACTGAAACAAGTGCTGGATATGCTATTTTTAAGTTTTCTGCTAAGGAAAAGATCTTTAAGAAACCAGAAACACTATATAAAAGTCTTGATACGCTAGATAAAGCAACAAGTTTGTAAGTTCCTTGGTTTTATATTAAAAAAATGTATAATATTTGCTGAAATGGATTTTTTTATATGATAGACTTAAGTTAAAAGTGTTTTCAAGATTTGAAAATATAATGGAAGCTCTTGATAATGTATCAGCTATTAATGAGGGAAGAGTTACAGGAAAACTTGCATCATTACTTTCAGAGTTTTCAGGAAAAAAAGATTCTCTTATTGTTTCAGATTCGAAGTAATTTATATAAGAATACAAGTAATATTTAATTATAATTGATTGATAGACTTGCAAATTCTATAAAAAAGCTCCCGGATCTTAATGTTTCTATTATATTTGATCCATCAGTTCAAGAACTTTATCGAGTTATTAGAGAACATATTACATCACTTATATCAGAACTGACGCCAACGGATATGTCTAATATGGTTTTGGGATTGAGTCATAGTCTTTCTCGACATAAGCTTAAATTTTCACCAGATAAAGTGGATACTATGATTATTCAAGCCATTGTATTATTAGATGATTTAGATAAGGAACTTAATATATATGTGATGCGTATAAAAGAATGGTATGGATGGCATTTTCCAGAAATGTCTCGAATAGTTTTGGATAATATAGTTTATGTAAAAGTAATTAAAGCTATGGGATATAGAACAATGGCAGAAGAAACAGATTTTTCTGAAATTCTTCCTGAAGATATTGAGATTTCTTTGAAGGGAGCAGCTAAAGTGTCTATGGGAACAGAAATAACAGATGATGATTTAGAAAATATTAATTTGTTAGCAGATCAAATTCTATCACTTGCAGAATATCGTGTTCAGCTTTCAGAATATTTACGTAATCGTATGGAAGTTATTGCTCCTAATCTTACTGCATTGGTTGGTGAGCTTATAGGGGCACGTCTTATAGCTCATGCAGGTTCTTTGTTAAATCTTGCAAAGCAACCAGCATCAACCATTCAAATCTTAGGAGCAGAAAAGGCCCTTTTTCGAGCTCTTAAAACGAAACATGATACACCAAAATATGGTTTAATATATCATTCTAGTTTAATAGGACAGGCCAGTTCTAGAAATAAAGGAAAAATAGCAAGGATATTAGCCACAAAGGCGGCTATTAGTTTAAGAGTTGATGCTATGGGAGAAAAAGACATTGCAACTATTGGAATAGAAAATAAATTAAAAGTAGAAGCAAGATTACGAGCATTAGAAGGTGAAAGATTAGAAAAACTTTCTACTCCAAGCGAAAAACTTTGGAAAAAACATCAAATTCAAATGTAAGTATCCCGATATTTAATTAAAGTATTAGTAAAACCAATATAGAGCACCAAAATACAATCCAGATACTGATATTGTAATTGATACAGATTTAAAAGAAGATTCTTTGCAAGTTAAAATGAAAAAGTCATCTCCAGAAGTTAACGTAACTGAAGATATAAAAACAGAAAGTTCTAAGACAAAGAAAAAAGATAAAAAAGATAAAAGTAAAAGCGAAAAAAAAAGAAGAATGAGTGAAGTTGAAAATGTCCCTACTACTACAGAATCGCATGATAAATCTAAACGTAAGAAAATTAAAGATAAATCACATCTATAATATTTATCCTAATTTATAAATCATATATTATATAAAAGGTGTTTTTTGATTGGATAATTGAGAAAAATAATATTTTATTTATATATATTTTATTTTATTATATTAATTTTGTTAATTTTGATTATATTATTTATTAATACTTTATATATTAAAAATACGCCAGTTTTAATTAGGTACTATGGCCGAGTTGGTCTAAGGCGTGGGACTCAAGCTTATGAGTTTTATCTCATCTCGAAAGAGGCCTGGGTTCGAATCCCAGTGGTACCAATATTTCTCTTATCAGTTATTTTTTCTTGTTTTTACTGTATGTATGAGATTTTTATATGTTTGATCTAGATAAGCTACTTTTTTTTTAAAAAAATACATTGAATCATAATTTAATTTAAAATTTCTTTAAAAAGAAACTGATATTATTTTTTATATGAATAATTGTTTTTAAAATTATATATCTACTATTAATCCTCTTTAAACATTCTTAATTTTATTTACAAGGTTATAAGTTTTTAGATTTTACGCTTTATATTACTTATATAAGATTTATATAAATTTATATTTGATATAATATAAATATGATTTTGAGAATTTTTGCTTTAATTTGAATTTCTATTACTATTGAAAATCCTACTTATAATTTTATTTTAAAATATCAATGTTTAACAGATAAAAATAATTTTTCGTATCAATTTATTTATATTCTCTTTAATTTGAAAAATATAAGAAATTATATATAAAATTAAAGTTTTAATATAGTCTATTTTTATAATATTTTCAAGATTGATTGTTCAAAAATTAAAACTTTATTAAATTATTTTTATTTGTAAAAATTTAAGCATTTTATAAAGCAAATATTGGCTAAAATGTAAATATAAATAAATATATAACTGTAATTCCTAATCTTCCAAATTTATTACAATCGTAATATAATATATTAAGTTTTACATTGGATTTATTATTAATTTTTGGATTTTTTTTAAAATTCATATTATTTTAATTTATAATATTTATTTAATATTATTATCATTTGATTTAAAATGTTTATTTTCTTATTTCAAATTGCCAATTTTAAATATAAGCATCTAGTTTAAATAAGTTTTTTATATGATTTTTAATTTTACGCTATTATAATTAAAAGGTTTTTATATTTTATTAATTTCATTTCATATTAAATAGTATCAAATGAAACATTTTATTTCAAATCTGCTATTCAAATTTTCAAATTATATTTTTCTTTTATATTATAATATATATACTATATACTTTTATTAAGATATACTTTTGTAAATGCCAAACATATTATATACTTATTTATAATTTTTTTAATAGTATTTTCTTAGCCTTTTTTATCCCTTGCTTTTGTTATTAATTTTATAAACTAGGTAAATTCTAAATGTTATAGTTTTATTCAAAATATGATTTAATTGAAGACGATTTGTTAACCTATACTTTCAATTACGATATTGTAATACTACAATATTCATAAATATTGTATTTTTAATTCTATAAATTACTGAAATTAAGAATACAACTTATTAATATAGTCTTATATTGCCTCGAAAATTTATTTTTTATATTTAACCATATCTTGGCCTGAATTTATAAAATTTTTAAACTTTATACACCATTTTATGCTTCTTTAAAAAAACGTGTTAATGCAATAAATACACAAATTTACTAAATTTAAAAATTTAGCATGTTGTATTACGTTTTCTTTCTGATTTGGCAGGATTTGTTAATTGTTTTATGGCAATTAAATCCTCCATGATTTCCGATTCCTTAGCACCAAGTATATCATTTGAAGGTTTATCACGCTCTCTTTCTTGTTTTTCTCGACCACGATCTCTAGTAATTTGTTCTTCTATAGAATTAAGAAAAGAACTTATATTTTCCGAATTTTTCTTCCAATTATAAATAGTAGATGAAAAAAGAGATATATCTTCTGTAAGCCCAGGTTTATTATTTACATACCCTTTTCTGTGTCGAAGCTTTCTTTTGTCTGTAGACGTAATCGAAATAGGCGATAAAGATGGATTCGTGCTAGAATGAGAATATAATACAAAAGATGAATCATTTACAATATCAAGTAATTCTTTGTCTTCATGAAGTCTTCGTTTTCTTGAAAATAAATGTGAAAGTAATCTAGATTTTAATGTCGCTTTACTCATCTATAAATATAAACCAATCTCTTTTAAAAAAAAAAAACATCTTCTATACCGTAAATTCTTCTTCTAATAACTCCACATCATGTTCAAATTCACTTTCCGCCCTTTTTAATAAAAAATCTTTCATAAGTTGAATACTTTTCAATTCTTTCTCCCGGATCTCCTCTAAATCCCTAAGACTATGAAGATATTCCTCATGTGTCCCATCATGTAACTGTTGCATTTCATTTTGAAGTGATAAAAGTTGGTTATGGAAATAACTCTCTCTATTCAACAAAAAATCTCGAGAAATATGATCCAATTTTTCAATTAATATCCGTCGTCGCTTATCTTTCTTCGATTCTGATGTTGATACATTTAATGAATATGGATATAACTGCTCCGTTGATTCTATAAACATCAACCCTCCTAAAAACCCTTTATCTTTCTCTTTTTACCATCTGACCATTCCTCATTTTCACGTAAAACCGCTGCAAGTAAATCCATTATTTTCCTTATTATAATACCTTTTAATAAACAAAATAGTCCTTAATATCTCATTATTAGCATTATATTATACTATAATTACTACATACCTTACAATTCAATAAAATTTCCAGTGCCATCTCATCGGTGCTTGATATTTTACTGTGGTTACTGGGGCAACGCGTCTTCAAAACAATCGATAACCCATTTTTATTATAAAAAGCTTAAGAAAAGCTTAAGAAAAGCTTAAGATAGTGCAGAAGTCAAAAATATGAGAGTTAATGGGGCTAAATCAAGCTCACCGGATCCTTTGGATATACTTTCGTCCTCTAGAGCTTTATATATGACACCGAATTGTAGACCATCGTTAAGTTTAGTTCATGAAAAACTTGAATTGAGTACAGATATTAGACGAATAGGAGTCTATGTAGATATTGGAAATGATAGAGAAGAAGTTTTATTTGTAAGATTTTATGTAGAGGAGTTTTTTCTGGGGTTAATTATGTAGGTTTCACCTAAAAAAAGGAACAAACATAGGGTGATAGGAACATGTACAAAAAAATCAAATGAAATAAAGGAAGAAGAGGATTCAGGGGAGTCTTTTAGTGAAATAGTTAGCGGAAATAAGAGGGCATTAGATGAAAAAAAGAGGGGAAAAAAAAAACTAGTAAAAGAAGAGAAAAAGACTAGTAATATAGAGTGTTTAGATGGAGAACCGGTATTTGTGCAAGATGAAGGGAATATTATGGAAGATCAGGGAATAAAGAAGGTAGAGGAGGAAGATTTTGATGAGGAAGGGGCATGTTTGTGTAATAATATGATACCTAGTGAAAAAAAAAGAAATAGAGAAAAAGGTTTTTATAATGATGAAGATGATATGTATGTTAAAAATAATGAAAAAATATATTAATTAAAAATAGGGATGTAGATGAAGCAAAAAATAATTTATCTAGCTCTACGAATGAGGTAGTAAAGAGATCGAATGATAATACGAGGACAAGTTGTAAAAAATCAACATCCAAAAAACGAATAAATATAAAAAAACAAGAGAAAACACCGAATACGACAAGAATCTTAGAATCAAAGAATGTAATTATTGAGCCTAATAGATCAATTGAATCGACAAAATCAGTAACACCTAAAAAAGATGTACTAATAGAAGTCTCTAGTCTATCAAAAGGCTCTGCAGAAAGAGCAGAAAATGCTTTAATTCTTACAGGGAAATTTGAATTTGAATCTATTGAGGATCAAGAAGATTCGACTAAATGTGAAGAAAAATTTGAGGAAAAACGTTGTTGGACTAAAAATGAATGGAAACTTTTAGATCTTTTATTAATTAAACATAAAAAAATAAAAAAGGCTTTAGATTGTTTTTTAAAAGTAAATAATAATTTTTCAGAGGAAGAAGTTGATAAACGATTAAAAGTCCTTTTATTTAAAAAAAAAGAAAATTACTATTTGCATATTAACAAGAGAAATAAATCAAATAATCATATACAAATACGAAATAACAGAAGTTCAAATTCGGTTTTTGAATGGAAAAATTGGTTAAAATGGTAATGAGTATATTATGAAGTTTATAAAAGAAATCTAGAATTTAAAATATTTTGAATAAAATATAAGTTTTTTTGAAAAGTTATAATCTATCTATGTATCTATCTAATATTTTATTTCATGAATTTTATTTTTTATATCCTATTGATTCCAGTTATATTACATTAATAGAAATAATAATATAATTAAATTCTTAAGATTTTTTTATTTAATAAATTTTACTTATAAATTATAAGATCTTTATAAGATATATTATGAATATATAATATTTTATTATACATTTAGATTAAAAATTTATAGAAATATAAAAATAAGCTTTATAACCATCTAAAATTAAAAATATTAAATTTATACACAGATTAAGGATTTAATCAAAAAGAAATGGTAAATATTATAGATATTGTTGAGTATATTTAAAATTTTTTATAGAAAGTAAAAGTACTTTCTCGGCAGAAATCATTAGTTGTAGCACCAAGACTTGGTGATCAGAATCCAATGCCTAGGAATCTTAATCATGCTATTCACCCGTTTGAAAGAGCTAGAGAATATGTAAGAGCTCTTAATTCAGTGAAACTGGACAGAATGTTTGCAAAACCATTTATTGGACAACTAGGAAATGGTCATATTGATGGGGTATATTGCATGGCTAAAGATCCTCGGAAAATAGACACTATAGCTACGGGTAGTGGTGATGGAGGTAGAAGCAATATTTAAAAGCTTTTATCTTATTATTTAGTTGTTAAAATTTGGAATCTTATTGAAAGAAATGAAGTTTTGTCTATTGGTGCACATAATGGTACAGTAAATGGGTTAACATATACAGCTGAAGGATATTTATTATCATGTTCTGCAGATAAAATAGTAAAATTATGGTCACTTAATTCAATAGAAGTATGTTTTGTTTTTATTTATTTTCTTGGTTAATATATATATATATAGCCTGTTAATATATATATGGGCACTAACGCTTTTTCTTGTATTGATCATCATTATTCAGAACCTATTTTTGCTACATCATCTACAAAAATTGATATATGGGATGAAAATAGAAATAAACCTATTTTTAGTATGGAATGGGGAGCAGATACTATTCAAACAGTGAAGTTTAATCATGCAGAAACCAATATTGTTGCTAGCGCAGGCGCAGATCGTTCACTTATATTATATGATATAAGAACATGCAAGCCTTTATCAAAATTAATTACACAAGTAATTTTAAATATAATGTAGAAAAGGTCAATTTCTTATATATTATAGCTTCGAACTAATTCTATTTGTTTTAATCCAATGGAAGCTTTTAACTTTGCAGCAGCATCTGATGATCATAATTGTTATATATATGATATGAGAAATCTTAATTTTGCAAAGAATGTTTTAAAAGATCATGTTTCAGCAGTAATGGATGTTGATTTTTCTCCTACTGGTCAAGAATTGGTAACTGGTGGTTATGATAGAACAATACGAATTTTCAATGTAAAAGAAGGTCATTCACGAGATATATATCATACTAAAAGAATGCAAAGAGTTTTTTCTGTGAAATTTACTTCTGATTCTAATTATATTCTTTCTGGCTCAGATGATGGCAATGTTCGTCTTTGGAGAACTAATGCATCTTCAAGAATGCATATACGTAGTACTAGAGAAAGAACAAAAATAGAATATGCAAATGCTCTTAAACAGCGTTATAAGAATATGCCTGAAATTAAAAGGATAAGTAATAGCAGAAATGTTCCAAAAGTAATAGTAAAAATGCAAAAGACTAAAAAAGAAGAATTAGCAGCATTAAAACGAAAAGAAGAAAACAGAAGACGTCACAGCAAACCCAATAGTATATCATATGTACAAGAACGTAAAAAACATATTCTTGCAGTTAAAAAATAAAATAAGTTGAAGGCATAATATTTTGTAAATACACTTAAAATATAATATTAATTTATTAATAACATTTTCAAATTATATAACTCATTTAAAATAAATATACTTTAAGATAAAGTCATAAATTAGTTTTCATTATACGTTTGATGCATGTGGTTCATCTTTAAAAGAAATACTCCAATCAGGAACCATCATTTTCTTTATAAAATTTTCCCTTGTAATTTCATATAGCCCTTCAATTTTAAGATCACCCAATAAACTTGCTCCTACCCATGCTGCATTTACTCCAAATTCATTTCGAATGACTTTTCCTGATGCTTTTATTTCATTATTTATTCGATTTTGCAAACCAGGTATTAAAGAAAACCCACCAGAAATGACCAATGAGGTTGAAACTTTAGAACGTATATCTATTGGAAGATGGGACAAGCACTTTTTTATCATCTGAGGTATAGAAATTTCATCTGTGTCTGCATATTTATCTGAACCCTCAAATAAAGCTTCAGTTATACAAACTCTAACCCATCCTGGCACAGTTACTTCCAATCCTTTTTGAGAAGGAGGTTCCCAAATAACATCAGAACATTCTACATTTGATTTATAAGTATTTTCTAGATCTTCTAGCAAAATAATAGTAGATTTTGATGAAGCAAGTGGTGATATTGGCAGACAAAATACTGCTCTTTGCAAAAAATCTTGAACATCATAAAATGTTAGAGATGCAAGCCGAGGAATAGAATAATGTGTTAACAAGTATTTCAATCGTGAAAAACAAAAATTAGATGCCAATGATGATGTAACAATAAATGATGTCATTGGACGTAAATCATAAATCTATTTATTAATTAGACAAAATACATATATATAAATTCTTACAGGAATAACACTAGTTTCTTTAGATCCAATGTCAATAACAATACCACTATTTAATCCGAGTGAAACAAGTACAAGAACATGAGATGATAAAAATGTTATACTGGGAACCTATACATATTAATATCTATATATTTAAAATAAAGAAAACCAATACTTGAAAATACGTAAATAATGTTTTTGCTATAATTACCTTGAATTTAATTGGAAGCAAAATATATTCTACAATGCTTACTTTTCGAAATTTAGAACCTATGTTAAGCCATCTAAATATATTATTTAAAATTTTATAATAAAATTTAAGTAACTTATTATATACTTCTCTCAAATATATTTCTAGTCTATCACCTATAAGTTCTAAATTAGGTTCATCCCATAAAAGATATTCAAACTATGTTGAAATTTAGATCAATCAATCAATCATATGGTCCATAGAAACCTACATCAACTGGGAATCGTGTAATGTTTTCTGCAAGTGTACACCGATATCCAAGAAAGCTTCTTTCATCATATTCAACTGTACATCTAGGAAAACTTTCACCACTAAATCCTGCCTTAAGATAATGTGATCCTATATCTAAAACTATATGAGGCTCTAATCCATAAAGAGTTTTTAGTTGGTTTGAATATGAACTATGTTGTGAAGGTTCTTCTGAAGCAAGTTTCAGTACAAAAGAATGTGGTAATGACATATTTAAGGATTTTTTAAGAGTTAATATCTACTATCATTTATGATAATAAGGTTAATATTTTTAAAAATTGCACAATAAAAATATAGAGTTAAGTTTAAAAAATAAAACGTTACATAATTTAAAAGTTTTATTGAAAATTAATCTTTTTAAAGAATTTAGAAATAAATATAATACTAGTTTATATTTGTTTAAATAATTATAAATTGTAATAAAATTCTAAATATATTTATGGATTTTTTAGTAAAATAATTATATTTAAATGAAAATGTTTTTAATATAATTAATGTCTTAATTAATGTTTTAATTAGATTTATAAAATTACATACAAAATTTTATTTAGGATTAAACTTGAATTAAAATTACAAATAATTTTTTTAAAAATGAGTATATTAAATAAAATTATATTAAAGAATCATGATTTAAAACTTGTAACTTATAATGTTATAAATTTTAAATAGAAATTATAATTTTATTATTGTAAAAAAGTTAATATGAATATTATAAAATATATAAAATTATTGAAATATTAATTTTTTTATTTATTTAAATATTTTTATAATAATTTATAATTAAACTTTTTATATTAATATGTTTTACCTTATAATTCTTATGATTTGATTAATTTTTATAAGTAAATATCAATTCTTAGTAATCTTTTTCATAAAGACCTTACATTTACATCAATTTTATTACAATAAAATAGTTAATATTAAAAAAATTAACTAAAAATATACAAATCATAAAAAACATATTATAAAGCATAAACATTAAAATATTATTCAATATTTTTATAAAATATAAAATTTAATCAATATATTTAAAATAAATATAATAATTCATACGTATATTAAATTTTCTTTTATATTTAATTATTTTAATAAAAAAAAAGATTTACAATTCATTAAATCTATTAAAATACTTCCTGTTCCTAAAAATCTAAACTCTTTTTTCTCAAAATTCAATATATCCTCATCTACATATATTTTTAGGTTTATAACCTATATATAGCTTTATGTGACTTAATACGTTAGATTTCAGAACTTTGGACTTAAAAGATTATAAACCATGGGTATTCTTGATGCCCAGCCAGCAGATATTGAGATGCTCATATCTGCTAATTGCCATATAGGCTCTCGAAACTGTGAGGTAAAAAAAGCTTTTTTTTTAGGAAAAAATTAGACATTTTAATAGCTTCGGATGGAACCATATGTTTTTAAACGAAGAGCAGATGGAGTTCATATTATTAACCTTGGGAAGACATGGGAGAAACTTGTTCTTGCTGCACGAATTATTGTTACTATTGAAAATCCTAGAGTAGATGAATTAATTATATAAGAGAAATTTTAAATCAAGTTTTTAGGATATAATTGCCGTCTCATCACGATCATATGGACAACGTGCAGTCCATAAATATGCTTTACATACAGGGGCAGAGGCTATATCATCACGGTTTACTCCAGGGTCTTTTACAAATTATATTACTCGTTCTTATAAAGAGCCTCGTTTAATTATTGTAACAGATCCTCGGACAGATAGTCAGGCTATTAAAGAAGCAAGCTATGTTAATATCCCTGTAATAGCTTTATGCGATACGGATAGTCCGTTGCAATATGTTGACGTTGCTATTCCAACTAACAATAAAGGACGTCATAGTATTGGTCTTATTTGGTGGATGCTTGCTCGTGAAGTCTTAAGATTAAGAGGAACACTTGCAAATAGGGACGTTGAATGGGGAATTATGGTTGATTTGTATTTTTATCGTGATCCTGAAGAAACAGAAAAAGATACGGAATCTGAACAAAAGGCTCTTGAGGCATCTGGAAATCCTGCTGGCCAATTTGGATCAGTTCCAGTGACATCTGACTGGGAAATTGCAGCACAATCTACTGGCGCAGGTATTATTACCAACGTTGCAAGTAATGTTCAATCCGTAGGAAACTGGGATGAAAATTTTGGAGTTGAGACAGGTGTTCCTAGTGATTGGGCAGCTGATTCTATACAACAATCAGAAATTCAACATGCACAGAATTGGAATTAAGAATTAAAAGAAAATATTACATGTAAATATTTATTTTTTACCAATAATAACTATAATTATTATCTAAATTTACTTTTTTAATGAAAAATAGTTTGTATTTCTCTATAAACAACTTCCAAAGTTTTTTTTCGTGGAAGAAGATTTTCAAAAATAATCTGTAAAGTATCCTCATTCCGTATAATTAATGCTAAGTAATAGCGTACCTCCAACCCAATGAATCCTTCATGAATTACAACATCCAAGATTTCAGATAATGGAATAAAACGTATACGAGAAGGTAAAAGAAAATAATGTAAAGTAATTTGTAATCCTAAATTATGTAAAATAAGCAAAGATTCACCTGAAACAACTTATTAATATAATCTCAAAATAAATATATACTGTATTACTTGACGGTTTTGGATGCATAAGCCTACATGCAAAATATAGAAATATTACAACTATACAAAAAAAAACATATGGCTTATGTATATATAATTCCTGAATTAATTGAATAACTCCAATATATTGTAATATATATATTATATAATTTATTTGTTGATAATGTTGACCAAAAAAATATATAAATATTGATAGAAAAAATACAAAGATTGATGATGATGCCAGAACTTTTAGTATGTATTTTATAGACCATTCAAAACTTTTGTAATATGTAAATTCAACAACATCTGGTGATGGTCGTTTTACTAACAATGGCATAACTACCTATTTAAATAATCCTTTAAAAAAATAACATATATAATTCCTAAAGTATTTAAGAATTAAAAAAATCTTTTTTTTTTATTATACCATTAAATACTCATATTTTAAAATCTTTATTTTTTTAATGTATATAAAATATTACTCGAAATCTTATAAATATCTTAGTAAGATCCAATAAATCTTATTGAAATGAAAAAAATAGAGAAACAGAGATGCAAACTGATACAAACAAGACAATCCCTTCTCTTTCATCTCTATTACATTTACCATCAGCTTATATTAACTCATTCCTTTCATCTTCTATATCATTAGAAGAAGCACATAATATAACAACAAATCTTCTTTCATCACTTGAAACTGAGTCTAGATCTACCATTGATCAATTACAAGAAATAACAAATGAGATTATCCAAGAATTACCACAGTTAAACCATGATATTGAACTTTTGAACAAGAATATAGTAGTTCTTTTAGGGATATTAAATAAAAAAAAAGAATATACAGAAAGTTTTAAGAAAGGAGTAGAAAACCATGTTATTGATAATTTTATGCATCTTGATCTTATAAAACAAAGGATTGAAGCAACTCAAATAATTTTAAAAGAAGCCAAAGAATGGAAAAATATAGAAACAAAAAAAAAACATATTGAGCTATTGATAAAGAATAAAGAAATTGAAGAGGCACAGAATGTTATTAATAAATTAAAGCGTCTTGTAGAAGTATGGAAAGAAACTAATGAATATAAAGAAAGGGTAGATATGATTAAAATTTTGGAACAAAAAATATCAGACTTTACAGAAAAAACATGATAAATTTTTAAAGATAAATTAAAAACAAAAATAACGATATTCTGATTTATATCTAAATCCTTGTCAAAATATTCGAAATACCTAATATACAGCTAAAGCGAGTTAAAATAATACTTTTAAACATGATACAATAAAAAAAAATATATCGCTATCATTTTATTTATAACATTTTGGACATTAGTTTTTGTTAAACAATCTAACATTTGAAGTTAACCCTAGTTTAAGCATTTAGGGCTGATCATGTTAAGATAGAGATATTTTCTAAATGATAGGAAAATTGCAGTTTCGAAATTTTGCTTCTATGGAATCTAAGATTTATGATTATTCTTCATGGACCAAAGATGATTTGATTAAGAAAATCATATCATTAGAACATGAAATTCTATTAAAAGATAAAAAAAATATTAATACGAAACAATTTGTTTCTAAAAAATCACATTTATGTAATGAAAGTTTTAAGCCGAGTAAAAAGCCATTTTGTATGTCAGATTATAACCAGAAATATATTGCTTTCAAATTTGCATATTTAGGATGGTATTATAACGGTCTTGTAACTCAAGGAAATGAGACACGTCTTCCTACAGTAGAAGAAACTATTTTTTTTGCTCTAAAAAAAGCCAAACTTATTGATCAAGAAAGCAATTGCAACTTTTCAAGGTGTGGGCGAACAGACAAAAGTGTTAGCGCTATAGGCCAAGTAATAGCACTTAATGTAAGGAGTAATAAGACCTTTAAACAGGATTCTGAAGAAAATTGTGGTGAAATTAAATATATAGATATTTTAAATAAACTACTTCCGAAAACTATTAGAATATTAGCATGGTGTTCAGATCTTCCTTCTGACTTTTCAGCTCGATTTTCTTGTCAAAAAAGACATTACAAATATTTATTTTTTAAGAATTCTCCTGGTATAGATCTTAATATAGAAAAAATGTCAAAAGCAGCTTCCTATTTTGTTGGAGAACATGACTTTAGGAATTTTTGCAAGCTGGATTCAAGTAAATCAATAAAGAATTTCACCAGAACAATAATCAAGTCAGAAATAAGCAAATATAATGAAGAAGAAGATGATTCTCTTTATATTTTTGATTTAGAGGGTACTGCTTTTTTATGGCATCAAGTACGTTGCATGATTTCTATTCTTTTTTTAGTTGGACAAAATCTCGAAGAACCTGAAATTGTAAAAACATTATTAGATATATCCAAGACACCCAATAAACCTGTATATAATATAGCAGATGGTCTTCCTCTTATACTTTATGATTGCCACTTTGAAAATCTTAATTGGAATTATGGACCAAACAGAAATTTTGTTCAAAATTTATATAGAAGTATTTATGATTTATGGCATACAACAAAGATCCAGAATTCTATTATTCAGCTTCTTTTAAAAAACATACCAAATAACGAAGTTTTAGATAATAACAATACAAAAAAAATATTAATTAAAAATGGGACAGGTATCAATCAATCTTTAACAAAATATATACAAATGGAAAATAGAAAGTAATATATAATGTAAATATCTAAAATAAATTTTGATATAATAAAAATGACTAATTTTAATAAATTAAAACAATTTTTATATACATATATTATGTTTTTTTTTTTACTGCAATATTCATCATACCTCCCATATATTTTTGCAAAACTTTAGGAATCCTGATACTTCCATCATGATTTTGATATGTTTCCAAAATTGCAATGATCAGTCGTGGTATAGCAGCTAAAGTACCATTTAATGTATGAGGCCAGCTTAATTTATCGCCGGGATAAGCCATGTAACGAGTATTTAATCTCCTAGTTTGATAATCTGTACAATTAGAACATGATGTAACTTCTCCCCATATCCCTCGGCCTGGCATCCAAACTTCTATATCATATTTTCTATATGCTGATGCACCCAATTCAAATGTAGGCATATCCAATATTCTTAATTTATTATTAAATATTTATATGCTTATATAAATATTTTTTACCTTCCATACAAACCAAGCTCTTCTATAATATTTTCTTCAAGTTTCAAAATATCCTCTAAAATTTGATCACTATTTTTAGGATCACTCCATGCAAACAATTCTGCTTTTGTAAATTCATGTACTCGATATAAGCCCTTTGATTTTTTACCCCTTGAACCTGCTTCAGATCTATAAACACGACTAATACCAACTACTTTTTTTGGAAGATCAGAGCCCTTTAAAATTTTATTAATTTCCATGCCTGCTATAGGAATTTCTGATGTGCCAGAAAGACAATATTTTAATTCCGTATTAGGACTTTCTAAAAAGTATATTTGCGTATCATTATAGTCATCTCTAGGCTGAAATCCACAAGCTGAAACTACTTCTGAACGAACAATAGTTGGAGGTATAACAAATTCCCATCCTGCATTTATTGCTTTTTCTAATACATAATTTATAAGAGCTATTTCCATAAGCGCTGCTTCATTCTTAAGAAAATAAAATGCATGTCCTGATGTCTTAGTAGCTGCATCGAAATCAATTAATCCCAACATATTAGCAATAACAATATGATCTTTTGGTTTAGATATAAAAAATTGTTTATCCGAATTAATATATTTCATAATTTTTGCCTTTTCTTCTGAACCTATAGGAGATAGCGGATGAATATTATTCGGTATTGTTAAAACAAGTTGTAAAAGCTCAGATTGAGTAAAATGAATATTTTCTTTTACTTTTTGAATATCTTTTTTAAGTTCAGATGCACTACGAATAAATTCCTGTTGTAAAACATCATTTCCACTAGAAATCTCTTGCTTAATACTATTTGTTAGACTGCGTCTTTGATTTAATAAATTATCTCGTAATTTTATATATCCAAGATAAGTTTCATATAAATTAATAATTCGTGAAACATTATCAAATGATGTCTTGCAATTCCTCTTTAGACATATAGACTTTATTTCTTCCTCATTATCCCTAATATATTTATAATCTATACAAGATTGAAATATTTTTTGATGTTTCGTCCATGCTTAAAATAATTAATAAAATTCTTAATTCTTTTCTACTAAAATATACCTGAAAACCTCTTTTTATCATAAAATTTTAAAAATTTTCTATAACAATTAAATTTTCTTAAGAAAAAAGCTTAATACTTGTTTAATATTTTTAATGTCATTAATCTTCGATCTAAAAATCTTAACATAAATTTGAAATTTTTAAAAAAAAAACTATTTTTTAATATAAAAATTATAAAAACATAAAAAAACATGAGAAATCCTGTAATTCTGATGGGTAATTGTTATTATTTTATTAAAATCTTAATAACTAATTGTTTAAAAAAGATATGAATGCAAAACGGCAATTGGGTCGAAAGGCACAGATATCTAATATTCATTCAGCAAAAACAGTAGCTGATGTAAGTAGAAAATAGATAAGAATCAGTAAAATTTATTAATATATTATCTAGATTATTCGAACATGTAAGTAATATATTTGTAATTAATTGTTAATTGATGAAAAAAGGCCTAGGACCCAATGCAATGTTAAAAATGATACTTGATCAGATGGGAGGAGTGCTTCTTACGAATGATGGACATGCTATTCTTAGAGAAATAGAGGTTGCACATCCAGCAGCAAAGTCTATGATAGAATTAAGCCGAACTCAAGATGAAGAAGTAGGAGATGGAACAACAACAGTTATTATATTGGGTAAATAAAGAGTCTAGTTATAAGTATTCTCTAATTAATGGAAAGCTGGTGAATGTTTAACACATTCTCTTGTTCATCTTGAACGAAATATTCATCCAGTTAATATAATATCTGCATTTAAACTTGCACTTGCGGATACTCTGGACATAATTGAGGAGATTTCTCAGAAAGTAAATATAAAATGTGATAAAGAGATGAATGAGCTTATAAATATATCTATTGGAACCAAATTTATAAGTCGCTGGAGTGATTTGATGTGTAAACTTGCCCTTAAAGCAGTGCGTATCGTTGAAAATAATATTGATGGAAAACATGAAATAGACATCAAACGCTATGCAAGAATAGAAAAAATTCCTGGAGGGGAAATTGATCAAAGTACTGTTTTGGATGGAATTTTGTTAAATAAAGATGTTACTCATCCTAAAATGAGGAAAAAAATTGAAAATCCTAGAATTATACTTTTAGATTGTCCTTTGGAATATAAGAAAGGAGAATCGCAAACAAATATTGAAATAACTAAAGATGAGGATTGGAATAGAATTTTACAAATTGAAGAAGAACAAGTACAACAGATGTGTGAAGCAATTTTAGCTTTTAAGCCAGATATCGTTTTCACTGAAAAAGGTATATCGGATCTTGCTCAACATTATCTTTTAAAAGCAAATGTTACGGCTATTCGCCGAGTTCGAAAATCTGATAATAACAGAATTGCTCGTGCAGTTGGTGCAGTTATTGTAAATCGAGTAGAAGATCTTCGTGAAAACGATGTAGGAAAAGATTGTGGTCATTTTGAAATATCAAAGATTGGTGATGAATATTATACTTTTTTAACCAAATGCAAAAATCCTAAAGCATGTTCTATTATACTACGCGGTCCTTCTAAAGATATTATTAATGAAATTGAGCGTAATTTGCAAGATGCTATGTGTGTTGCTCGAAATGTCCTTTTTTATCCAAAACTTTCTCCTGGTGGTGGCGCAACTGAAATGGCTATTAGTGTTAAATTATCAGAAAAAGCGAAATCCATTGAAGGAGTACTTCAATGGCCATATAAAAGTATAGCTGATGCTATGGAGGTTATTCCTCGAACATTAGTACAAAATTGTGGCGCAAATCCAGTAAAAGTATTAACGGAATTAAGAGTATATTTAAACTTTGTATATTAAATATTTTATAATATATATTCAGGCAAAGCATGTCAATGGACAACATTCATGGGGAATTGACGGTGAAACCGGAAAAGTAGTAGATATGAGTTCCTATGGTATATGGGAACCACAAGCTGTAAAGGCGCAATCTATAAAAACCGCAATTGAAGTAATATCATAATATTTTTAAAAAATTATTGCTAATTATAATTTAGAGTGCATGCCATCTGTTAAGAGTTGATGATATTGTCAGTGGTATTAAAAAGCCGAAAGAAAAAGGTGGTTCTGTAGCAGAGACGCAAAATATCTCCGAAAGAGATATTGAAAATCAAAATGAATAAAATATTAAATTTCAAATAGATTTTTTTTTAGAAATATTTTCATTTATTTCCAAACCCATTCTTTCATTTATTCTGAATCTTAATAATATATGAATCATAGCTATATGATTTTAGACAATAATATCTTATGCATCTATAATTCCATGAGAATCTAATGGCATTTTACTATGAATATGGTCTAAAATCTGTTGTAACTGTTCTAAATTAAACCGTTCCTCGCATTCTTCTATTAGTGCGTATAACTCAACAAGTGTATCTGGTCTTGCATTAATAATCATAAGTTTTTCCGCCTTTGTTAAAGAATAAATTTCTAGTTCCTTAGCAAGATTACAAACTTGTTTTACTGACTGCTTTTTTGCAGGAAGTTCTTCCAAATATTTTCTAAGCTAAAATCATAAGTGTTTAAATTAAAATATTTAACTTTACTTGAAATTGTATAGTACCAAGATTTTCATTTATAATTTGTTTTGATCTTGTATTATCTACATCGTTTTTTTTTTCAAGTTCTTCTTCATATATATGAAGAAGAACTTCATAATTAGTTAAAAATGCGTCTCTTTTAACCAACACTTTCATTAATTCTATTTAACTTTTAACATATTTTTTAATTAAATTAAAAAATTAAACGATTAACGTTTAATTTAAATTTATTTCAAATAATTTTTAATCTAAAAACTAAGACATAATATTATGGGTATTTTAAAAGATTGTCTCTTTTGCCAAGATATAAATTATATTGATGGGTTAATTCGGGGTTATAAAGCTAATTTCTTAACAAATAGCACATATCAATATTTAACACAATGTGGATCTCTTGAAGGGAATAATTAAAAAGTATATAACTATATTATACTAAAACAGGATAGATTTCAAGATGCAGTTATCATCTACGGCATATGGGAGTTTTTTATCAAATGTTTCTACGTTAACAACATCAGTTATAGTTTGTAAAGCAACACAGAAATTAACATCAGAATTTCAATATATTATGTCTCAAGCAGTTTATCCTTTGTCAAAATTCATGGAATATATTACATATAGTTATATGATTGATAATGTAATTCTTTTAATTACAGGTACATTACATGAACGTGATACTCATGAATTATTGGAGAAATGCCATCCTCTTGGTTGGTTTGAAACGATGCCTACACTTTGTGTATCAAAAGATATTGAAGAATTTTATAATAATGTGATTATAGATACACCACTAGGTAAAATAATGCATTTTAATTTTTTATTACTAATATATATCAAAGCCTTATATTTTAAAGATTGTCTTTCAGCAGTTGATTTAAACGAGCTTAATATAGAAATTATAAGAAATACTTTATACAAAGCATACTTGGAAGATTTCTATGCCTTTTGTAAAACACTTGGTGGAACTACTTTTGAATTGATGTCAAACATTTTAAAATTTGAGGCAGATCGTAGAGCAATCAATATTACTTTAAATTCTTTTTCTACTGTTCTTACGAAAGAAATACGTAGAAAACTATATCCTACAATTGGCAATTTATATCCAGAAGGCACATATCTTTTATCTTCTGCGGAAAATATAGAAGATGTTAAATTAGCAATAAAAGGAGTCCCAGAGTATTATTCTTTTTTTAAAAATGATACTTCAAATGAAAATAAGAAAAGTCTTGAAGATATTTTTTCTGAAAAAGAAGCAGAATTAAACAAGCAAACATTTGTACAGCAGGTACGATATTTTATTTTATTTTCAAATAATTTATTATTTAGTTTCATTTTGCTACTGTTTATGCGTGGGTAAAACTATTCGAACAAGAAATTAGAAATATAGCATTTATTACTGAATGTATTACACAGAACCAACAAAATTATGCAACATTTGTTTCTGTATTTTGAAATGTGTTAAACATTTTTTCTATATTTCTATGCAGATGAGTTGTCAAAAGGCATGTTTTATTATTTAATTCAAAAAAATTCAAATTGTTAATATTACATAAATTGTTTTAAGTTACTTTTGTATTTTTTACATCATTTTTATAATAACCTTTAATCTTTTTTTTCAAAACACTTAACATCTTAAAATACCAATAAAAATTTAGAATATTAAGTATTGTATTTGCAATGAAATAGATTGCAGCTAGATATACCGGCACAACATCTAAGTTGGAAAATATGTCAGCTAAAAACATTAAAAAATAATATAACTAATAAAATATTGTATACAAAAAACGTTAAATGCTGCATATAATCCCCAAACAATTCTAGCAAGAAAAAAAACAAGAAGAAGTATAATGCCATTTACCAATTGACATGTTCCTCCTATCATTCTTGTTTTATTCTAGTTTCGTTTAATATAAGGTTTTAAATAATTTTTTTAACAAACAAAAAACCAGTGTATATTTAAAAAAGGTGTACTAAATTCAAATGCCAAAAAAGCTAAACCATAATACATTAAAAATGGTCTCTATAAAAATTAATTAAAAAAAAAAAAGAATATACTAACATATGAAAATAAAAAAACAGATAGAGCTGCTGCACCATGTAGACATATAGCAATGCCGAATAATGATATATAACGAAATGAAGTTATTGTGTCCCAGAGAAAATATCCACATGCAAGAGAATATATATCTTTCATTAACTAAAAAAGTTATGAAAACATAATTATGTTCTACCTCCTTTATAAGCATTGTATCCAAATAATCTATCTTGTTTTAATTCATCATCTTGATAACATCCTAATATCAAACAAGATATTAATATTGATTGAACCATACTAACAAAGTGAACATCCCATTTTATACGAGTTGATTTATTTAAAGTTAAGTATGATCTAGACAATTTCTTTGAAATAAAAGGCGAAATTGTAAATAAAAATTGATAAAACAATGAAGCCCCCAAAACAACATGAAAATGCTTAGAAAGTGTACGAACATTCAAAGCATCTAAATAGGGCAATAACCAAGTTTCAATTGAAGTAGGAGGACCAGGAAAGATAGACATAATTTCTGACCTCTACCTTATTTTTTGCTTTTTTTCTAAGTTCCAGTCTTTTAGTTGTTAAAGTTTTAAAAAATTATTAAAATATAACCAAAAAAAAGCCTAAACTACTGTAATATTTTAATTTATTAATAATTATCTATTTCTTTTTTTATTAAAAATATAAAAAAACGTTTATCATTTTTCCTAAAAATTAAAAATTCGGGAAAATCATCTATAATAAAAGATATCTAAAAAACATATCTATATTCCTTGGTATTTTGGAAGATTATTAGATATATGAGACAAAAATGCCCCCAGAAGATCATGCAAATTCTGATTTTAAACCTTCAGTTTCTCAAACATCTACAAAAGAATCCTTGGTATAATATTTTTTTAAAAAAAAAAGAAATCAATAGTATTAATACATATTTTAGACTCCAAGAAGTGTTATATCGAAGACTTTTTCATTTTTTTCTCCATCAGCATGGAAGCAAAACTATAAAAATTCACGTAAAACAGAAAATAAACCTCTAAAATTTAAAAATGAAAGCCAAGATGGCATGGAATATCGTAATTGTTTTCAAGACACTTCTGAATCATTGGAAAATGATAATATTGTAGAAGAGGATTTCTTTAAAAAAAGAAAAAATGATGAATTTAAAGTAAAATATTATTTTATACCAAAAACGTTATATTTAACATAAAAAGGACACCTATACTCCACAGAAATCTTTTTCATCTGATATATCTTTTGAAGATAATAAAAATATGCTTTTTATCAATTCTAATATTCCAAAAATGAGCGAAAAAGATATTTTATCTGATAGAACATTAACTCCAAATGAAATTTTATCATCATTTTTTTCTAAAAAAGGAAATTCCCCTCTTAATACTATAGAAATAGAGGGAGTTATAAGTTTAATGTCGAAAAATACTACATCAAATATCGATTTTTCTTCTTTTGTTACACCTTTAAAAGCATCACAGCAGTCGCTATTTTCTTTGAATAATTCTGCATTTTCTCCAACATGTGATTCTACTGTCAAATTTGGATCATCCGTGTCTACATTTTCTCATTCTAAAAAATATTCTACTTTTGGACCAACTATAAGTACACCATTTCGTAAACGAAGATCAACTAGAAGATCCTCGTTTTATATGAATAATACATCTAAGCAGCCGCTACCCTCTAAGTATGATCTTTTGGCGACAATTGGAATGAACGAAAATGAAAACACTAAGTCTGGCGATAAACACGAGCTAGACATAATGCTCGCACCAGAAGCAAAACGACGTCATGTAGATTCTACATTTTTGGATAAAAATAGTTCTAAAAAAATGCCTCTATACATTTCAGAAACTTCTCAAAACCTAAATTCTGATAATTTTAAATTTGCAAAAAGTCGCACAGCAATAAATATTTTAAACATATTGGATAAAGAGAAAAACGAAGAACATATTAAAACTGAAGTAGATATTCAATCGGTCTTAAGTCCGTATGCAATGCCATCTTCTAGAAGAACACCTTCAAAACATGGAATTAGTTCAAACATTATTACACAGAAAAAAAAACAAAAATCTATAGCCGAAAAAATCGGGGAAACAATGCATTTTAATGCATTATCAAAATCTATTAACAAAACAAATTATCAGACTCCTGAGATTCCGTATAAAAAATACAAGCCTATTATTAGTTCAAATTTGCAAAATGTTATTTCTCTAGGAACGGGAGAAAATTATTCAAATAATAATAATACTGAAGTAAGCCTTTTTAATTTAAACATATCTTCTTTTAATATTATTAGATTAATGATTTTAAAGAATTTAAAAATATTTTACCACTTGATAAAGTTTCTATTCCTAAAAACCTGACATCTGATGAAATTATTTCAATGAAGAAAAATCCTATAGTTTTTCAAACTTTTAAGGATAATAAAGAAACATCTAATTCTTTCTCGACAACAGGATTTTCATCTGAGCCAGAAATTAATAACAAACCATTAACAATTTACCCAATAAATAAGCATAACAATCCGGTAGCTACTGCATCATCTAGTTTCTTAAATAAGGATAAAATTGTATTTGGTTTTTCAGAGAAGGCTGATGAAATTGAAAATACATCTATTATTAATAGTCCATTAAATCAAAAAAATCATTTAACTAAGGAAACTTCACAGACTACTGAATCATTGAAATTTGAAATTTTTAAAGTAATAAGAATCTAATTTTTATCTTAATTAATTTTATTTAGATTAATCCAAATTTACTTCCTTGGTTTTCATTCACTATATCATCATCTAAGGAATTCAAAAATAACTTAAAAAATATATTATTAATTCCGGAGACACAATTACGTAAATATATTTTTACAACGCGTCCTAAGTGTTTAATTTAAAGGTTTTAAGGATTTTCAATATTTTAATAGAGAAATTTATTTATATCTAGAGCTTAAACTTCTAAAAAAGATTAAGAATTGAGTTTATTTTATTTTTATATAAACAAATAATATATGTATTAATTATTTTATTATGAATAAAGATAAAAATTATAATAATTTAATGTTTTATATATTTGTCATTAGAAAACATATAATATAAAAATTTTATAAAACCTTCTTTATCTATAATTTAATTCTAGTTTTAAGGTTAATAAGGTTATGTTTATACAAATAAGCATAGATCTTGACGCGACAACAAATGAATTATTAAAAGCACGACAAAAATTTATACTTTAAAAAAACATATTAAATTAACAATAACAATAAAAAAATGTATTGAATATGAAGTATGTTAAAATACTTTTTTTTCTATTCCGAGAACTTAGTTTTTTTTAAAAGATATCTTTAAAAATAAAAAACCTAATTATTATTTAATATATGAAAGCTTTTTGTAATATAAATCGGTAAATCATGCAAACTCTAATTATAATTATTTGTTTATAGAAGTTATTGAAAAAAATATTAAAAAATATGTTAATGATCAATCTAATTATAGAGTTGTTAAACTTTCAAATGCTATAGAAGTGGTATCGGTTAGCGATCCTTTCGCAATCAAATTAGTTGCATCTGTATTTGTTCATGTAAGAACTTCAGATGATCCTCTAAGTTTTTATAAGCTTTTTGGTTTATAGGGACAAGGGTTAGAGTTAAGGTTGATATTAGAAAGAGATATCGATTTCTTGTTAGGTTTATCAGGCATTGGTATAAAAAGGTGCTCTTTGTGACCCGAATTTATCCTTTGCCTGACGTTTATTATAAAAACTGCATATTGTTTTTCTGTTTCTGTATGATGTATAATTAATGAAAAGCACCTTTTTTATGTTTTTTTTTGTGCAATTTAAAGTAATATAAGTGAAAATAGAGAAGAGAATGTGTTCAATTAAACTAAAAGTATATGTCAAGCATTATTAGTCGAGTATTCTTTGATTAAAAATGAAGATCAAAAAAAGTATTGATTATAAATCAATATTGAAAACAATGTAGTAATTAAAGAAAAAGGTTTAAGAATTAGCTATTTGAATAAAGTTAAAAATAAGGAAGACACTGGATTTAAGAATAATAATATAGTATTAAAAGTAGTAAAAGTTCGGAATGAATTAAAATAAATGTTAAAAGTCGGTAAATAAAATCTAATATATATATTATTTTATAAAAAACAATTGAATGGGATGAAAAGGGATATATAAAAAGGCAAAAAAGATCATTTAAATTTATAATCAAGATTTGTAATGGTTTTTATTTTTATTAGTTTTTTCCTAATTTTTTTAGGGTTTAATAAAAACTGCGAAATTCATCTTAAAATCTATTCATGAAATAACTATCAAGCTTAATAAAGGACCCAATTTAGAAGCATATTGTTAATATTTATGCTATATATTGTTAATATTTATGCTATATATTGGAATCCTGAAATAATATGAAATGCTTTTTTCCAAAATTAATAAAATTATAGTTCTAGGAATATTGATTTTAATTGGTGATTATATTTTGAATTATTTTTATTTTTAACTATTTATAGTTCCTACTTATGGCAATCAAAGCACACATTTGAAAACTAGAGATTCTCAAGAAAGCGCAGTAAATACGCCGCTTAAGGATTTTGTTGTTGAGGATGAAGATATCATTGCTTATATTTTGAAAGAAGATTATAAAAATGAAAATAAATGCAAGCTAAAGCTTAAGGAATATTGTGAAGAATTGAAGGAAGTAGATCAGGGATTAAATAAAGTTCATACTAAAGTTAAAGAAATTTGTCTTGGTATAGAACAAAAATGCAAAGATTTGGAAGGAAAGATGGAAGAAAAAGTAGAGGATATTGCTGATTTAATCTCTGATTTTGAGAAAAAAAACGCCTTTTATGAAGAATGCGATCAATATTTTCAAACATGTATGTTTTTTGAATCTACAAAAGATAATTCTGTTTTACAATCCTGCAGTCTCCTTAGATATTTCTGTTATTTATACAAGGATAGACACATGGGATATGAAGTCATTCTTAGAGCTTTTGGTACTAGTATTATTGAATCTAAAGATTTTGAGGAAAAAAAGCTGGAAATTTGTCCAACATTGATTAAACACGGTGATAATCTAGCCTTAATATGCCTTGAGGATATTTCATTTGAAAAAATCGATAAAAGTATTAATTATTTTTGCAAATTTTTAAGTTATCTCGTTGATAATGGCAGAAAAGAAGGAATATGTCATGAAAAACTCGGAATATATCCTCTTCTCAAAGAGAGATGTAAAGAGAAAAACAGCAAATTGAAGGGACTATGCGAGGAAAAGAATATTACATATAGGCCTTCAGTTAAAGATTTTAATCCAATTGAGTCGGAAATGACATTGTTAGAGGAGATTGATCTGGAAAATCTTTATAAAGAAGGAAGAAATAGAGGACTAATTCTTGGAGCTTTAGAAAGAACGTTGGATGACATGTTAATCCGTTTGTCTTCGAATATTAATGGTAATGATATGGAAAACAATTGCAAGAGCGTACTAGATACTAACTGTACTTATCTTAGAACTATAAGTTCTAAATTTAAAAAATTATGTGAAAAAAAAAACAGAGAACAAAAATGTAAAGATATATCAGATATAACCGATAGGTGTAGAAAGTTTAGAATGAGACTTTATCTAGATGGAACTTCTACAGAATTTAAAGATGGAGGCAAATCGAGAATTTTGTCTTATGATGAGCTTTCAACATCATTTACTGAGAATGAATGTTTAGAGGTTATTTCAAAACTTACTTATATTAGAAAATTATGCAAAGATGATATGAATATCGAATACATAAATCTAATGCTGGCATGTCATAAAAATAAACAAGATCTACTATTCATTAAATTAATTGGAAGTCAGTTGTACAAACTTAATATATCAGAATCGAATGATGAAGGGCTTAAGGAATGCCAAAGAATAGTAATGGAAAAGTGCTCTAAACTTAAAAATAATAATACAGAGATTTTCTTGAGATGCCTTCGGCCGAAGGAGATATGTCTTAGAGTTGAAAAAATTATTTTGGCTCAATTGAAAGATCTAGAACAAGTTTTGAATACAGTACGGGATTCTCCTAATGAAAAGGACTGCATTAAATTGAAAGAGGATTGTGATGGTATTTTGAAAGATTTAGGTTTAAATAATGGGAAATGCGTTACATTGAAAGAGCGATGTGAATATTTTAAAGTTACAAAAGAACTGAAATATGTGTTTTTCAAAGAAAAAAGTGATGCATTAGCGGATAATCAA